AAGCCGCGGAATCCACGCCGACCCCGCAGACGACGCGTTCTGACATGGTTTACGTGAATACAGGCCGAGTGATCGCCGCTGTGATGGGTGCGACGTTTGCTATGCTGGAAGACGATGCTTGGAAGGATCCAGATTCGGCGTTGGCAAACGTATTTCAACAGTCACCTTTTAATTTCTACATGTCCGGGCAACTTTTCAGAGAGCCGCGCATTGAGTTGGGGTTAAAGATGGCTTCATAGGATCTGGGGGTCGGTGGACTAGGAGGAAGGGCGGGTAGGGAAAATAGAAGGAATGAGAATTAGGGGACCTATTGGAAAGTATAGGGCTCGCTGGAGACGTGGGGCAAGGCAAAGCAAGTTCTGACAATCTCAGGCGTGTGGGTGGTGTGCCGGCTCTCTGGACTGTACTCTGGGCAGACACTGGACTACTTCCTTAATGGTTCAGCTTCATTCTCCGACCGTGCTCTGAATGACCATGAAACTCACATCAAGTCTTCCAGTTCTCTTTATTTATTAAAATGCACATCAGCTTCCAGATGAATGCGGACGGTATCATGAAGCCAGTGGAAGACTTGGACTCGTCTCTGGTGGTCTTTGGTCTGGACACGAAGCACACTATGGCAGCAATTGGCCAACAAGCGAAGCGTCTGCTGCAGAATCTCTACTACTGCGTCTGGTATCGTGCAGTGGAATATCAGAAGTGGTTGGCGCTTAAGACCGCGGCGGAGCAGGCGAAGAGTAAGACTCTGAAACAGAAGCAGAGCGCAGCACTGAAAGCATTCGAGAAATGCTCGGTGTTGAAGTTCGTGGAGTTCCATCCGGCAGGAACCAACCACACGGTCAGCGTCAAGCAGTACATCGCTCACAAGACGAAGGAACAGGACTTCGTGGAAGCTCGAGGCGGAAAGTACGTGCTGGACAGCGGAAAGGAGCACATGCTAACCTCGTCTGGTCTGGCGTATGAGACCAACGCAATCACGAGTGCGTCGACGTGTGACATGCAGGCTGCTGCTCTCGCAGGCTGTGCCTTGGATACCGCCTCTGGCAATGATGCAAGCGACGCGTTCTGGTCGCGCCTCACGACTAATACGACTGCGAAGATGGGCAAGATCGGCGCTCTGAAAGCCACTGAGAACGATGATCTCGGCGGATTCGACGACGGTGAGGAACGCATGTCCCCGGAAGAAGAGCGTGCTGCTCTCAACATGGACCTAAACGCCTTCGCAGCCGTCAGAGATGAGTGCGGCTACTCGGATGAAGATGCTACTGATGATGAGGACGACGACAGCGACACTCCGGAGAAGGCAGCTGCAGAGCTGGATGCTCTGGACGAGGCATCAGACTAAGCTCAACAAGCGTCACGAAGGCGCAAGTGGAAAGTGAAAATTTATGATGAGGGGATGTGCGTACTCTTGACACCTAGTCCAACAAGGACTAGAAGGCTGAGAAGTATCAGTCATAATATTTACGTCTTTCGCCCTCCACTCGGGGGTGAACCTCCTCTACTTGATATAAAGAGTTTCTCTCTGTAGTGTTGTTATGATAGACCAGGTTAAGGAACGTTAAGCTACGACTTGAAAAATTTTTTTAGCTTCACTCTATCAGCCATCGACGACGCGACCTTCTACGGTGTTTGAGTAGTAAAGCAATGTAGTAAAATTTCAGCGCGCCACTCTTCACCCCTAGTGCGTGGCGTGGAGTATGTAGCTCTACTTCTTGAGTTGTGACATTGTTGAAGCTAAGCTCTTACCCGGCGCCACCGTGCGGGAATTTATTGCCAATCATTAGGATCGTTACTTTCATGATTAATGCGGACTGCCCTACAAGTGTACATCTACGAGGCACCCTATCGACATCATACAAGATAACTGATGGTCAACTATTTGGTAGCAGCTGGCCGCTTCTATCAATGCTTAAGAGCTCTGAAATTTCACACAGTATTGCTAGTCCCCAGCATATTCCAGGCAATCGCCTGACTTGGTCGCATTCGTAGACTTTGTCTTGGCAGCGGTATAGTGCCGCGCCGTTTCGTATTCGATGTTCTTTCCGTAGAGGTTTTCTATTTTTTGTAGGTGTGGAGTCGGTGTCCTTGTCAGGTGTCCGCGTCCCCTTAAGAATCGACGCGACAGCATGGGTATTTGATAAGAAGCGTCGCCTTTTTCCCTTGTTGGAGCCTCTGAAGCGGTTGGCCTTCAGTCTTTGGGATTGGTAGCGCCTGAGCTTCTTACTCGGTGGCCAAAGGGCATGGGCTCGCCAGGGGCAGCCGGTGGGCCTCTTACTGCGCGACGCTCCCTATCACCTCGAGGCCGTTCGTCTTGTTTTAGAATTGCCAAGAACTTATGAAGCCGGCCCACGTTTTTCCTTGTCTTGATGATTCCCAAGGCACTCAGTCACTCGGACTCAGCCAGCCCCCGCGCGAGCTCACCCATCCACCAGCCAGCGCCCACGCTTCCCAATTAAGCGCCAGGCTTACTCGCTGAGGGGCTTCACCATTAGGCAAAGCAAGGGGGGCCCCGGGTGAGTTTTCGAGAAGCGTCGGGCCAGTAACTATTGGAACAAGGGCAAGGGGGGGCTTGGTGCGTGAAATCAGTGCTGTCCAAAATTGGACAGGCTGAGCACCTCCATGCCTCTCAGCCCATAGCTTTTTTCTGAAGAGACGGGCGGCGCTCGTTCTGTTGCTGTCGTGATCTAGAAGGCATGGGCGTGCACCATCGCCAGGGGCTGGCGTTTCACTCAGTCGCATGCATTTGTTGGCTGGTCTTTGTTTCACTCATGGCGCGTGCTTGAATTGTGTAACCCAGTCAGTTTGCAAGTAAGTGGGCTCGCTTCTGCCGCTGCTGAGATCCGGGCGCCATCGGTTTCGGCTTCAGTGGCGGCATTGGGCAAAGGTATGGCGGGCGCACTTGTGCTCGTGGCTCTCTTGAGTAGTGAACGAAGACAAGAGGGCTAGCACATAGCTAAGGGGCTCTGCGAGTGGGTTTGCCCTTGTGTATCCTCCCGCCCCCTGCAAGAAGGTGGAGGGAGTTTAGGCTAGCACTCTAATGGCCCGCCTGCTTTTCGTTTTTGTGGTCAAGGACGTCTTCGTTCTGGGACAGAGAGTGTGTGAGCCCCAAGGGAAGTCCATCGCATTCATTAGACAAAAGCGCAAAACCGGCCCGCGGGGGCTGGGCATAAGTGTGCCCCAACCCAAGACGAAAACCAACCAAAGAGAGAAACACACACACAGCGCCGGGCCAGCAGCTTCGCGGCTGTCTTCGCCTCCCTCTGCTTGCATTTGGTGTCGTGTTCTTTCCCGGTGGTGGGTGTGTCGCTCCGCGTGTGAAGTCAACCATGGCCAAGCAGCTGGCGAGCCAGCTCGCTTGGCGTTGCTCGGCGGGCGGGGTGTTTCCCACATTCGTAGCGCATGCCGTCGGGTGTGAGTGGTGTGCGTCGTGTTGTGATGTGTTCGCTGCCTGGTGGTTTGGGTAGTGCTTGCGTTGCGAGTGGGTGCGTTAAAGTAAGCAAGGGGTGGCGCACTTGGATTCGCGGCTTGGGCGTGTTCTTTTCGGTATTAATTCATTGGATGGGGCGCGGGCTGTGCTCTTTTTGTGTGGTAGGTCAGTCACCTGCTAGCATTCTTGAAGCGGTGACGCCTGCCACGGTTGGAAGCAGCGGCAAAGCGGTACAAGACAGAGGAGGGCCGCCTGTGCGCGGTGCAAGCACTTTGGGGGGAGAACAGACAAAAAGCCGCCGGGCTTGGGGACGTCAGTACAGTTTCGGGGCCGCTCCAGCTCGTGTGTGTCGTTTGGCCGCAGAATGGGGATGGCGGTGGAGGTGGGTGGCCTGGCTGGGGGGCTGCTGCTGGCTGCTGAGCTTCGGCGGTTCGATTGTTGCGTTGCGTCTGCTCCTCTTCTCTGTTGTTGGGAGGCCACCTTTCTGGCAAGTGTGGGGCTTGGTGTGTGTTGAGTGTGTTTGCTTGCTGTGTCTGATGTGTGTGAAGTCGTGCAACTTGAGAAGCCTCTCACCTCGGGAAGGCTCGAGACAATGGGGAACAAGATGGAGCCTGAGACAGGGACACCCCGAAAGGACACCGACCGCAGGCCGGAGCTGCATAGTTCGAGAGGCCGTTTGGAACGTGATATGGTCCACGGCAAAAGGCGTCGCGAATGGGTTCGGCCGGCTGCTCGTTTCTTCTGTTCTTGTTCTTCTCGTTTGGAGTGTTCCAGGAGGGTGCCGCCTGCCTGTGGGATTTTTCTGGGGTAACAAGCTCGCCTCGGCGTCAGTGGGTCAGGAGGTGGCTGGACTCACTCCTCCCAGCAAGATTTCGCGTGATGGTTTCGCCGCTGTCTGTGGTTCGTCTTTCAGACCTGGGGGGGCCTGGAGCAGGGGGAGCAAGAAGACCACAGCCCAGCGCCGCCGCCAGCGTGTGCCCCCTTTGTGTTTCGCATTCGCTTGGTTGGTCGTTGGTCAGCTTGGGGGGAGCTGGCGCTGTTGGGCTGGAGTTCGCGGGGGGTCTCGCTGCTTGGGTGTGGTTTTCTGTCAGCTAGGTGCGGGGTGTGGGTTGTGCTTGTGGTTTCAGCTTGATGCCCTGGCCCCTGCGCGCTGGTGACTGCGTGGCACTCACTCTCCCTCACCCGCGCCCACACAAAGGGCGCTGGCGGGCTTTGGTGCTTGTTTCTGCGCGTGTCTTCGTGCTGGGGCCGGGCCCGTAGAAAAAATTAACCAGGCTGACGCGCTGGAGGCAGAGGGAGAGAGGGGGCAGAGGCTCGCGGCCTCGGTTCTGTGTTTGGTTCTGTCTAGTAGTCGCTTCACCTTGGCTGCGATCTGGCCAGGCTGACTGACTATGAGGCACAGCGCCTGCTCCGCCTCGCCCTCGAGGCTGTGCTCGCTGTCGCGCCGCTTTTTTTGTCGTTTGTCTTGCTTTGTCTGAAGGGCTTGCTTTGCTTAATTTGCTTCGCCCAACTTGCTTCGCCTAGCTTTTTTTACTTCGCTAACTGGCTCTTTCGCTTTGTCTTGGTGTGAGTTGCTTCTAGCGTTGTCCAAAATTGGACAGCTTCGCGCGGCTTGCTGGTCTTGGTGTTGGTTGTAGGGAAGGCTGGCTTTGCCCCGCTTGCTGTTGCTTTATTCTTGTCCCGCTTGCTCTGTCCCCCACCTTTCGTCTATGCGCCAAACTTGCCCCCTTGTGGTCTGACTTGCTTTGTCCCGCTTGCTTTGTCTTTCCGTCTCCAGCGCCCATGCTTTGTCTGACTTGCTTTGTGTTGTCCAGCTTGCTTCGCCTGGCTAGTTTTGTCTGGCTTGTTTTGTCCAACTTGCTCTGCCTGAATCTGACTAGCTAGAGCTACTTCGCCCAACGAACCAGCTTCGTGCCACTGAGTTGCTTCGCCCAACTCGCTTCGTTCACCTTGCCTTGTCCACCTTGCTCGTTCCAACTTTCATTTCTTTGTCTGCGCCTGGCTTGCTCTGTCCGCGTCCAACTTGCTTCGCCTTTCTTGTCCAAGTTGCTTTGTGCGCGTCTAACTTGCTTTGTCCCACTTGCATTGCTTCGGCCTTTGGTAGTATCATTTCCTTCGCCCCACAGCTTTGTCTTGCTTGTTTTGTTCAGCTTGCTTGGTCCAACTTGCTTTGTCGAGCTTGCTTCGCTCGCTTGCTCTGTCAGTCCCACTCGTTTCGTCCAACTTGCTTCGTCGCTTTGTCGAGCTTGCTTTGTCCAACTTGCTTCGTCCAACTTGCTTTGTCCAACTTGCTTTGTCCAACTTGCTTTGTCCAACTTGCTTTGTCCAGCTTGCTTTGTCTGTCCAGCTTGCTTTGGTCCGTGTGGGTTGTTTCTAGTCCTGTCCAAAATTGGACAGCCCGGCACGGCTTGGCGACTTTGTAAGGGAATCCTCCGGGTTTCTTGCTCGTGGCTCTTGGGTTCTGGGAGTCTGAAGGAGGTGCCGGCTGCTCTAGAACCGTGCGGGCCTGTGTGCTCAGAAGCCTTTCCAAAGACCTGGGCGCCAGTCGGTTTCTAGTCGGTTTTTGGGAGTGATTTGCTTTCTATCATTATTAGTTTCTTGTTGAATCGCCATGCTATGACGTTGATTCTGAAGGGGACGCGGACAGTGAACACGGACACCGACTAGCCACCTACATTTTTAGAAGAGTTAGACTCGTGCCCTAGCCTGCTATTTATTAGTAAGATCATAAATGCCAGCACTGCTCGCAGTGCCACTAGATTCGTCGCTTATTTCTCGTTGATAGAGCTCAAGTAGTATTCTCGTCCTCTATTGCTACTGGCAAGAACTCGGCAAATAACTTCCACAACAAGCACTGGTGACGTTTGCGTCCCTCGTGGTATGCTCGAAGCTAGAACTCGTAGCCCTCTAATAGGCACTGGCTCTCTTATCTCTCTCGAGTGTGTGGCCACGTAATCTATCGTCTAATCACCGTTTCAGAAGCTACTGCTTCCTCATTTTGGCGACTGGTGGAGTTGTCGGAGCAGTCGGCATTATGAGCAGGCTGGTATGCAGGGGGCACAGAGTCGAGATCATGTTATAGCTAATTTCGTTCAAGTCCGACGCACCGAAGGGGAGCTATATGGTGTAAGAGACAGTGTAGATATCGCTTTTAGTTGAGAAAGAGGCTGGTAGAAAGCAACTGGTTATCACGGCTATTCAGGGGAATCGACTAGATAGAGACGCAGGACGGCAAGAACATCCATCAGAAATATGTAGTGCTGCCATTCATTGCGATAGCTACCTCTGTACGCTCCGCCTATGAGCACTACCCGCCTTCGGGCCGACACACTTCTCATTCGTCAACAGCAACTATTTTGGTGTCTTTTATTTTCATCTGTGCTAGCATTCTGAAGCGGTAAGGTGTGGAGAATGAAGATTATTCGCGATAACGTGAACCAGGGATCGAGTAGGAGGTTTGCGTCACAGTTTTCAAATCACAATCTTGTAGTATCAACATCCAGGCACCCGTGGCAACTAGTTGGAATTCATTTTCGACTCGTCATGGACTCTATTTAGAGCGGTAGAAGTAAAGCAACTTGCTTCAAAGGGCAGTTGCCGTTTTCTTGTTCGATGGTAAGTAGAGGGCTTTGAGTGTAGTTGTCCAATCGAAGTTGATAGATAATTAATTTCGTTCGTATGATAAAGTTCTTGCTCTGTTGTTCTTAAATTTTTCTTTGAGGAAGAAACTGCTGGCCTTTCATGGTAGTAGAGACCAGCCTTGTTCTTAATTTATTATGATCGAAAGTGAAACTATAGCTAGTATGTATTTGAGTACAATATGTGGCTGTGTTAGTTTAATGCTGTATACCCCCACGAAGTAGGACTAGTCTCGTTTTCTCTTGAAAAATATACATCCCCACATTTGTTCGGCTATCTGACTGAAAGACATCTTCGCGGCCCTTATCTTTTTCATCGTCGTGATCGAGTGCCAGAAGTGCTGAAAGTTAAACGCACAGACTTATGACGTTGATTAATATGGTCGTCTATCGTTATGCAGCAGTGACATTAAGCTCGGAGAGCCGATTGATGAAATAAGAAATAACTTCTCCTCACATTCTCCCTCCTCCGCCGCGTGTGGCCTCTTTGAGATTCGTCTACTCCTAAGTCAGACCTTCCCGCTGGCCTCCGCTGAAATTGTCCAAGAGACCTCATGACCACCTTCCCACCATGGGCACCCTGCTACTACGAGTGAGCCCAGCACAATAATTTAATTGAACACGAAAAGACTCAGCAGCCACCTGCTTCTTCATTTTTGAAAAACTTATGTACTAAACGGCACCGGCCATAGTCGGACCCCTTGAGAACGCCAAATGAGTCTTGTAGTCTCTCACTGCACAGCTTGCCGCGGCAACGTGTCTGTTAATCAAAGTCTGGCGCTGTCTTCCTCTATTGTAACTAAGAGAGCTATGAGCGCACTGCGGAAAGAAAAACTTGCTGGAAATTTGGAAAGCGAAGCAGAGCGACTTGGCTCGGAGGTGAGAGTCCTAGTCTGGATGTGGAGTGATGCGTGGAGTGGCTAGCATTAGACGAGAGTGAGAGTTTGCCCGTTTGTGAAGTCCTCTGCATGGTGTGAGTGGCTGACTTGTGTCTGTCATCCGCGGAAAGGTCTGAGGCAATGCCGAGTGCAAACCTGAAAGCTTTTAGTTATGTGTCTTTCTTGCAGGGTGGTGCTGTTGATTGTAAGAGAAATGTTGACGGGTCGTCTGATCGTGAGCGTACTCGCTCTTCTGCGCGTATGAATTCGAGAAAATCGCTATTCTCTGTTTCGGCCCTCTGGCTGCTCGTTTTTGTGAGCGTGAGATCATCGCCGTGCCCGGCGCTTGCTGGTGAAAGATCTTCGTCGGTGACTCCATTTTTTCGCTTATCACAATGATGGCCAGCATAAGTCTACTGAATTCAAATTCTTTAAAGAAATGCTCAGAATTCTGCCCATGCAGCTCGACTTGAATTTTTTTTGTGTAAATGGATTCGGTGAAAGCGCTCGTTTGAAAGTGATGAAAGAAAGGTCCACTTTGTTCCCCGCGGTGCCTCTCCACAGTTTTTATCTCTCTGCTCCATTTTCCTCAGCTCTCCTCGTGATCCCCTTTTGTCTTTCAGTCTGATGAATAATAGTGTCGTGGCCGCTCCTTGCTCTTTCTCTCTCTGATAGTTTGGAAAATTTGAATTATTGCTGATAGCTGCACCCTGCCGAAGTATGAACTTCAGAAATGCCTTCACCCGACTACGAGCAGCCCTCTGCCTTCAAAGGTTGAAATATACTGGAAAGATCATACTTGAATGGGGACATCACCCCCAGTCGTGATGAGTAGTGTTCGATCTCTTTCATTCTGTCAACGCGCGCGTCCGCGTGGTGTTCTTGTTGATGGTTCTTTGCCGGTTCATCGAGAGACTAGTCGAAGCGTCGGATACTGCGCTCAGAACATGTGCGCTTGTAATTGGTAGTGTGGCGTCATGTCGATGCAAAGAACGTTGTGGTAGTTCCTCACTTTGGTGGGCCATTCTATGCTGTCATAGTTTCCATCTCTAAAACACATTCTTACTTCAGTTTCATGCAGTTTTTATTCAGTTTTTATTCAGTTTCGGGCCCGGATTGGATGGCGGCTGACCGTTTCTAATCAGGCTGGGGGACTGGGGCTGCTCTTCTCGTCGCTAATGTGATGTCAACGAGGAAGCTGATTACGTCGGGCGAAAAACTTGAGCTGCTGCGAGCACGCTCGACCTTGTCGCAAAGCTCAGACCGGGAGCAGAACCCACGCGGGCAGGTCGAGGGTGGCCGGCGGTTGGCTCAAGGATTTGGCCGCTCCATGATATGGAGCACCAAGACGAAACGCGCGAGCAAATCTGGGCCCGGCTGTACTTATGGCGCCTGGGAGGAATATCTGCGCGCCCATTCTTGGCGCTTTTTCTTAAGGGCTAGCAAGTAGCTGCCTGGGCTTGGCCCTGGCTGTCAAAAGCTGTCGCTTCTCAGTCATCGACATCCTCTACGCTGCCAGATGTCCCAGGTGTCTTCGAAGTTCGGACAAAAGCCATCGCGTCGAGGTTTTATGGCGGTTGCCATCCCTTGGTGGTTTTTCCTAAGTATCTCACTCTATCACTCTATCAGAGAGGCTCGCTCCCATTTCATTGACACACTCACAAGCAGCTGCAGGGATGTTTTGGCACTAGGGTGCTCAGCTGCGCACTTTGGGAAGTGGTTAGGAATAGAATTAGCAGGGGTCGCGCGCGCTCTCTTTGGCTTAGCGCCATGGCTTGCGCGTGGGGCTACGGCTGGGACTAAAGTAAAGTAAAAATTTATAGCATGGCTGTTGACCGCCGTCGCCGTTCATACAGCCCGACTGAACAGCAAAGAAGAAGAGGAGGGCAAGTTTTTGCTTTCTCGGGATTATCTGCAGGCTGCTGCAATGGAAAGCGAGCGGTACGGGGAGCAGGCGAGGGCGTACAGGTTACGAATATTTGGCGCGCTTTCCCCCGTGGCTGGGCTGCGGCGGTGGACTCTCCCCTGATTTGTTGGGTTCGCTTCGGCTACCTCGCGCATGCTTGTTGTCTGCGGTGTGTCTTCGTCTTGTGCTCCGCTCGTGTCTTGTGGCCGTGCGCATGCAGCGCGGGGCGCCTCTTTGGGTTAATTTGATTGTCTGTGGGCGCTGGCATTTTCGCCCAGCGCGGCAGTCGCCGCGGTGCAGTGTTTGGCACTGGTTGCTCTTGTGCGTCTTGTGTTGGCTGGTGTGCACGAAGAGTCCCCCGGGGCGCAGCGTCTAGACCCGGAAGAAAGCCGCCCGGGGCTGGCGCTGCCTTGCGGCTGCGTTGTTGTTGATTCGGTGTCTGTGTGTGTTCTGTGTGTGTGTGTCTGTGTGTGTGTCTGTGTGTGTGTGTGTGTGTGTGTGTGTGTGTGTGTGTGTGTGTGTGTGTGTGTGTGTGTGTGTGTGTGTGTGTGTGTGTGTGTGTGTGGCAGCGGATCGGCCGTTGGTTTTGGAGCCTCGAGGCCGGCGCTTGCGGCTGGTTGTGTGTTGGGGTGGGGGGGTTGAGTCCACGCCCGAGTATGCCACGGGGGCGCCTGCGTGTGTCATTTTGTGAGGTGTTTGCAGGGGCGCCCACGTGGAAAGAGTCGGCGCATTGGGCGCTTTTGTTCTTATGGAGAGGGCTGGCTTATTTTAGCTTCTAAGTAACTACGTACTATCTCTGTATCTATGTATGATAGTTAGTATCGATCTAGCTGGCTATGAGTGAGTGACAGACATTGACATCGTCGCTACCTTTCTAACTTTTATCTATATAGGTACGTACCTACGTACCTACGTACGTACCGTGCCGCACCATAGTAGCAGGCGCGTGCCATGCGTATGCGTATCTGCTAGCTAGCTAGGTAGCAGGCACATCCTTGCGGCTTTGGTCCATTCTTATTAATTCGCACGCTCGAGTGTGTAGGTAGCCTCCCCGCATCTGAGTAGAATGAGAGCCAGGAGACGGCTGGGAATCTTTTCTCTTCGCTCCCAGATAGTGGAGCGCTTCTCCCTCTTTGTGTTATCAAATGAAATCTATCAAGGAACGGCCAGGCGGCGCGGGGCTTGTGGCTGTTGAAACTAACAAACTTTGTCAAAGATAGAACTTTTTAGAAAGAAAGTAAGTAACTAAGGATGAGGGTTACTTTAAGGAAGAAAGTAAGAAACAGGGCCTCTGTGTTAATTGTTTGACTGTGGCCGTTAGTAACAAATACTTCTTCGACCTCCTTGCTTCCTAATCTGTGGAGCTTTCCAAGGTCGTGCCTTCGCGACTGAAATAGCGACCAAAGGTACGGGGCGTGGAATTCGTTCCACCTCAAAAAACCAGCGGGCCACTTATTAACGCGCCCTCAGTGGTCTGCGCGAGTGAGTAGACACAAGAATACATAGCCAGGGTGGGCGCGCTGGTTTTTGAATGTGGAGGTGGACTGGGTTCTGCCTTCGATGTAAGGACTCGGTCTGGGGGACGCTGTCAAGTTCGCAAAGCGGAGGAGCACAACCGTTACGGCTGCAGTGAATATGTGTTGTGCTCTGTCTCGTTGCTTTGGTTCTCTTTGGCCTTGCGTGTCAGTCTCTCTTTCCATAGCTAGCTGACTGCAAACTCGCCGAGGGGAGGCGCTTTCGCTCTAATGCTGACGTGCAGGGTTTTTTTTCGCCGTTGTCGCATTATGGTCGGAGCTTGCTTTCCTTAGCCTTAGAATAGAGGACGGAGGATTTCTCTCTCTGCAGATGCTAGCTACCTAGCATCAATTTCAGAGGTTGCAAGCATGCTTGTCGCCGCTGTCGTGGGCTTCATAGCTTTTCTCCCTTTCTATCTCCTTGATTCAGAGCGGGCCTATCTTACTACACCTACACTGTGAGAGCAGCCAGCGACAGCTCCGCCACACTTCTACGGCGTCGTCGATAGTTCTTGTGTGTCATGGTCACCAGCTGAGCCATCAGCTCGCTAATTTGTGGCATACCTCCGACTAAGGCGCGAGCTTGCTCACCTTGGAGAGAATCCTGGAAAAGTTTGGCGGAGTATCAGTATGCTCATCGGCTGTTACATGTTTCAAGGACGCGCGCCCAAGGTGAGCAGTTGGCTGGCCTAATCTGACGGATGAAGCCGGTCCAGCGCCACAGAATTACGAAGAAGGCTCGGGCCCCTTCAGGCGCGGCGCCATTCTCTTTCATCTTCCAGTGTGTCCATGAATATCTCCGGAGATTACTCAGGCACCAGCGTGCTCGCCCATGGCTAGAAGAGAAGGAGAAGCAAGCGTGGGGCTCGAGCTGGTTGGATCTCTAAGAGCAAAATCTTGCGCCACCTCGCAAAGGTCGAGCGGATCCTGCCGTCGTTAAAGGCGAAGGTTACAAAGCGCGCGGTGAAGAAGTAAGGCTTGAGAACTGCCACGAAGGCTGCCCTGTGCTTGAGGTTCCAACTTCTCCTTTCTACCACGCAAGAGCGAGAAACTACCCAGCTTGTTGGCAGTTAGCTCTTTTACCATCTTTGTGCATCCATTGGCATGCAAGCTGGGCGGTTGGGTTTCTGACGTGCGACCCGCCGCTCTTTCGCTGAGGGGGTGCCTTTTCTTTGGCGCTGCGTTCTTCTGTAGAATAGCCGTAAAACCTGTAGAAGCTCCATAGAACTACTGAGGCACCGTAGAAAATTGCTTGGGAGCGCAGCGCCTGCGGGGTCAGGGGGCGCGCAAAAGAAAAGGCCGCGTAAGTAGAAAGCGGAAGCTTTTGGGCTCGATGACAGGGGCGCGCTGTGCAGGGTGGTCGGTCTCAGCTTCTAAAACAAGACGGGCCTCAAATCCAAGGTATGCGAGCACTGAAGGCGCTAGCTTTAAAGATTTGCTAAACTAGCTGACGCATGCCCTGACTCTGCGGGAGTGTCTTGAGCTTTCTGTCAGCTAGGTTCGCTGGTAGCTAGGCGCTAGCGTGTTCGGTTTGTCTCTTCTTCATGAGTGCACGCGAAGCGGCGACATGCGTATGATTATGGTGCGCTTGTGTGTGCTCATCTCTTGGGGCATCTTGCTTGCTGGAAAGGTCGCAGAAGTTGCTCAGCGCGATACAGCGGCAGGATGCACGGCAGGGACGAGTCTCGGGCTCGGCCTGCTTTAATGTGAAACGCTAGTCACCCGGCTGCGCTCAGCTTTTTAAGAGAGGGCTCGTAGCTTGGCTGGATCTGTGATTTTTCGGCGTTTGTTACTTAGTTAGTTGGATGTTTGCGTACTTAGTTAGACGGCTATCTCCTTTAGCTTCGTGGCCAGCGCCTCGTCTCTGTGGTTTTCTATCAAAACGCTCGCACGCTGGGGCCTTCGGCTGCTCACTTAGTTATTAGGTAGCTGACTACTTGGCGCGGGCGGCGCTTTCAAGAAGATATTACCCCATAGGTAGCGTCAGGGCTTTGGAGTAGTTACTGCTATTATTTCTGGCGAAGTCAAGTGCGTTCGTACTACGTACGCGCGTAGTAGTAGTAGCAGTAGTAGCAGTTGTCTGCTCTTCCATTTTCAGAGGGTTGGCTGATGGACATGCCGTCGCTTCTCTGTGGCGCTCTAATAGCTTGGCGCTCTCGAGGCGAAGCACGTGCTAGCAGTGTTGTCGAAGCACTCTCAGTGCAACCGAATGCCGCAGGCACTAAGGGTTATGGCGCTCCCATCTTGGCAGGGACTAACTAAAACTATGGTGCACTCGTTGCACGTGTTGCGGCTGTTGTTGTTGCTTGGTCGCTTTATTGTTTAAGAAGTCGCCGCCTTCACTATGGTCTTCTAATGGTTGGGAGAAGAGTACGCGCATGACCTTGACTGGCCGTGGGGCGAGAAGATGTATGACGGCGGGGGGCGCTTACTCAGGTGGCTGGCACTCGCTGAGGCCTTGCGCTGTTTCTTATGATGAGGGGAAAGGAAGAAAGAACGGCAAGGAGTCTGAAGCCCAATCTGCAACGAGAATGAGTAAGCCCGCCCGCTCGTCATAGGACGGAGGAACTACGTTTTCGGCCGCGATCCGGCTTTTTATTATGGCTGCCTACGTATCAACCTTGCGCTCAGTGTTTTCGTTCTTATTACTTACGCTGCCACTAGCTTGCGCTTGTGTGCTTGCTTTTCTGCGCGCTATCTGTCTGATTGGGTAATGCCTCGTAGGAATTAGCGCTACTGCGCGTGATTTGATCAATCGCCGCCTTCGCCTCTCTTACTTTCTAGCTCGCCCCTGAGGCTGAGACACTGGGCGCCCCTTCTTTGTTTCCTCTAATGATGCACCGCGCCTTCGCGCCAAAGTGACGAATTCTGTTAAGAGAGGGTGGCCCGTGGTGGTCGTAGGGTTTAGTTTAATTTGAATGAGTAGAAGCAAGCGGCAGCCTATCAGCACACGTAGACGCGCTGTCTTTCAGTCAGAAGCTCTGCGGCATACGCACCCACTCAAGACGACGCGCCAGCTCGATTGTGGTAGTGTAGGAGTGTGACTAAGTGAGGGCAGACGAAAGAGAGCTGGGGCGCTGTAGATTGGGTTTCCACTTCGGGCGCTCGCAAGTTTGCAAACTTCTCCGTCCCAGTTCGTTTCTATCTTTTTGGCTCTTTGATAGATACATAATTGTCAATCAGTCACTGAGTGAATGCATGAAGCAAATAACAAGTTACTAAATTCAGAAGCTTGCTTTCACTCTTTCAGTGAGTCTCTCCTTTGTTGCATTAACTTGCCTAACTTTCTCTACATACATACATACGCACGCACTTACTTACTTACTTACTGACCGCTTGCTCAGTTTGGTGGAAGGATTGCTCGGCTGTCTCTTTCGCTTGAAGCGGCAAGAATCCCCATGGCCCCGGCCGGAGACCATAGCCCCCGGGCCATTTTTCAGGGGTTCGGGGGGCACCTGCTCCTGGTCTTGGGGTTTTGCTCTAATCATCGACAGGGGAGTGTGAGCGCGCTGGCGACCGCTTTTTCAATTAAGGCACAACAGGGGAGCCGCCTCCTGCGACGTGAGCATCTGCGGCGCCGTTGTCAGGGACAACACGCGCCACAGGCACAGACGTTTCCAAAGGTGGGCCTTTTTGCGCTCTAATCTTAGATACTCCGCAAAGTCATGGAGCAGAAACCAAAGAACAAACCGCTGGAGAGGAGCTTCGGCGCGACCTACCTTAAGGCTCCCTGAAAGAATCTGGCCACATTGGGGTCGCACTAAGATACTCTGACTGTCGGTAGCGCTCGGCGAATTTTCTGGCTTCAATCATTGACGCAGGCGCCGCGTCTAGGGTGCGCCTTTTGGCGTGATCGTCGCTTCTTTTTCGATGGGGTAGCAAGCTAGCTAGCTAGCTCAAGCTAGCTCGGTAGCGAGGCAGTAGAATAGATAGGTCTACAACTCAGCGCAGCTCTAATTCCAGGGCGTCCAAGAAAACCCAGAACGATCTGAACTACATGGGCTGCAATTAGGGCGCGTTTTTCACTATCTTGCCCTTGGCAGTGCGCTGAGCGCGTTGCCCCTGATTTGAAAGTAAGGGAGAGGGAGACCGAGCGGCCGAACATAAACGGTCGGGCAACGCGCACGCGCTCCGCTGTTTATATATACTCATGACTAGTGAAAAGCGTGCGCTAATGGAGGCTCGTGCAGTTCATGAAACACTGCAGACGACAATTAAGGGGAGCCAGGCTTTGGGCGTTTCGTTCTCATCTCTTCATGTTTTTCATGGCTCTCCAAAGGGGCGAGAGCCGGGCAAGCAGAGGAGTAATGAAACACCGAGGGGGCCTTCGCGCTAAGAAATAGCCAACAAAACGGAGCGGCGCAGCAGTTGCAGGAGGAGTCGTCGCATGGAGGTAGTGACGACGAGGAAGACAGCTCCTCGGGGAGTGATAGCGAGTAAAATAGGGCGGTAGAAAATGGGGAGGCTTCTCGTGCAGCGAAGTCTTGTGAATTTTTTTGAGAAGCAGGCACGCATCCATGCAATCAAAACAAGACAAAGCAACTCTGACACATTTTTGATTCTTTCGTGTGGTGTGCAACATTGCGGTCGCATCAGCGGCGCCTGCCTTCCAGATGTCTTTTTTTGAAAGTTTGTCTCAATGAGTTGAGACTCGTTCTCTCATTCTTAAAAGCAGCAACTTCGTATCTTTCATTCTTACAGTGATTCAAACTAACGCACAAGCTTAACAGTGTTTCAAACTAACGGTAGGCCATGTTATCGCCCCGGTTCGTTCGGTTCCTTCGTGCCGTACGTATGTACGCTCGCTCACTCCTTGACTCTTTCAGTCTGAGTGATTCACTGACTGACATCGCATTGACCCCCTTCAATCTATCTAAGAGTAAAACTCTACGAATGTGTCGCGTTTTACAGTAAGCAGCTAAGTCAGTTACTTCGTTCGTTCAGATGGATCAAGAAATCTCACTGCGGGCGACTTCTTCAGCTCAACAACAGCTTCGCACTTTTTGCACTTCTTCAGACTAGGGGTCGCGCAGTCACGGCGCAAGACTAATAGGCCGCCCCTGGTGTATCACTATGCGTGGGCGGGTGACTAATAGGCCGCCGGTGGTGTCTGAAGTTCATCGCAGTCGCTTCGCCCTCCGTGCATTCATTCTGTCCAGGGCCAGAGCGTGGGCGCCTTCTGTTTGCAACTCCAGGTCTAGGCTTCTTCGTGCGTGCTCGGTGTAGAGAGATTATCGGCCCCAGGCTCAGTTTGCGAGCGACAGAGTCTGTTGCGCCGTGTGATTTCGTCGCGCGTTTCGTAGTAGGTTGTCTTGAGAGAGTGGGCGGATTTTATCCATGTTAAGCTCGCAGACGGTCGGTCGTTGCGTTTTGTCTTGCTTAGCATTGTCGCCATCGATCTGTTATTCTTGTTGTCTGACTGTCTGACGGAGTGAAAGAGAGGCAGACTGTCTTTAGAAGGAGAGCACTAGGAATGTCTTGAAGCGTGTGCGCGTCGCGCTGTGGATGTGGATGGTCAGAGGCCTCTCTGAGTGGATGAGTTGGCGCGTAGCGCTTAGGCTTGGAACATCGAGACAGGCTTTCCCCGGCCTAGACAATGTGGGGCAGTGTGTTCTAGTCAAAGGCCTCTCTGAGTGGATGGGATGGCGCGTAGCGCTTAGGCTTGGAACATCGAGACAGGCTTTCCCCAGCCTAGACAATGTGGGGCAGTGTGTTCTAGTCAATAGCGGAGCGACTTGAAGCGTTGCCGAATATGCTGGGCTTTCGTCAAGCAGCAAGGGATATGACCTCCACCCCTGCGTCTGCGCAGTGAGTGTCGGCTGCTCATCGGTGTTGTCGCTTTCGCTGGTTCTTCTTCTTTCTCATGACTACACACCCCGGCTGCGCCATTCGTTTCGCGGAGGGGTCGCTCGCTTGGTTTTGGTAGGTCGTCAGACAGTTTCATTCAATTCGACTCGCGTAGCGCTTAGGCTTGGAACATCGAGGCAGGCTTTCCCCGGCCTAGACAATGTGGGGCGGAGTGTTCTCAGAAGCCGTGGAGTGACCACTGGCTTGTGGTTTTTGGTGGAGAGCCAGCAGTGGGACGCCTTTGCTCAGGAGGGAATTGGGTTTGGTAGGTCTGAAGCCCCTTGTCGTGAGGAGGGTCATTCATTGGCTTTGGTAGGTCTTCAGCCGGCTTGTGCTTGCTGCCGCTTTTTTTGTGAGAGTGTTTGTGTGACTGAGACAGAGAGAGACTCTTGGTGTTAGTGCGAGCGGCTTCTTTGGTTCCGTAGATCTTCCGTAGACTCCGCAGAACCTTATATGTGTAACTTTTCCTACTTACAGAAACGACCAAAAAGGTCCCGGGATTTGAGACCATAAGACAGAATTGTGGGGAGTAATGTTCGCGCTCGCGGATTCTTCTTACATCATGTCGCTCTTGCTTTCAAAAAGCAGGAAGCTATTAACAGGGACGACTGTTGTGGTATGTTCGCGTCCATTCGTTGATACGCATTCTAGAGCGGGGATAGGCTTCGTTGGTCTGCACGCTGACAGAGACAGGCGTGAGATTGACTAGTCGGTTGGTATCCTATTGGCATTTCAGGAATGTCTGCCAGCTGCGCACGTACATGTCTTCCTGAGATGCTGAGTATCAGGATTTTTTCAGCATTAGCTGTGCTCAGATGAAGAGTGACAGGTTTTGAGGCAAAGGCAACGTCTGACGTCTGTTGAGCATCACCTGTTGGAGTGGGTAGTGAACGTGACAGCTTCTTCGGTCGATTCTGTGCAGTAATTATATGCAGGATGAAGAGAGAAAGGTGGAAGTAGATAACTGATGAAGTTCCAAGCGAAATGCAATTGTGCAAAAGCGAAGTCGTGGGAACAGCACGATTGCAGAACAAAACAGATGAAGTTGAAAACGAACAGGTACTTCTCTCATGGTAGGTATGTGTGACAGAAAAAAGGCTTACGCCATGATAGCAAACGAAAATGAAAAAGCAGCGTAATATGAACCTGTACCTAATCAACTTCAAAATTCATGACATCGTGTTTCAGAAAAAAATCAATTGGAATATGTAGCACGCATGCAAAGAGAGGCACTTATCGCAACAGACATTTTGAAGCTGGAGTAAGTGAATCCATCATGATCATGTAACATTACAACGATGACAGGACCGAGCTTCATATCGTCAAGTATAGTATACTATAGGCAAGTCCATTTTTAGAAACATGATAATGACTTGTTCAAATACTGTGAAAAAAGAATTAGAAGTGACGGGGACGGAGAACAGAGAGCACACCGAACGATAAAATACTAACACGGTCACGTGGTGACAGTGAGGAGACTGCCTCAACGTACGAATCCGATAATCAAGAACGCTTAACCTTAAGGCGGCAGCGAGCAGAGGCGGCACGCGACCGACATGAATACGCTTGTGGACGACGATCTCGCCCTGAACGAGGAGGATGAACCCGCACACCTCGGTTACCGCTTGGCACCGGATGAGGTCGACCTTGGCGCGGATGTGGAAGCCAGGAGTTGGGAATATTGGTTGCAACTATGTCTCAACACGAGTGACATGCATACGGTGCGGGCATGGAGGCTCGGAACGGACGTCAATGAACGCCGCGTCTTCAAAAAGCATGCGCGGGAGCTGTACGCAGGTAGCGCAATAAAGGGCTGCTGGCTTCCGGTGGAGGCGCTGCTCTCATCTTCGGACGAAACGGATTGCGTGCATGATGAATCATCGTCAACGTCCTCACCCGCTATGAAGTTTTTGTTGGGCACAGAAAGCCTCTCGTTCGACCCGACGGCGATAAAGTTTCCGCTTGGTGCTCTCAATCGCAAGAGAGATCGCTCGGCAACGAGAAGACATGCTTTCGTGCTCGTTCACGTGGCGCCTGGCAAAACCTTCTCGGCACCTTCGGAGAGGACAGCTTCTACAGGACCAGACTCAACTTCTACAGGGCGAGGTCCGCAACATGTGATGCCGAGCTCGATAAATAGGATGCAAGTTCATCAACTTCAACAAAAGAACCCCAACTATCAAGTCGGTGGTTCCTCATCATCCACTGCGCCATCAGCTTTTCGCACTACAGCACGGCCCAGAAAGGCGGGAGCTTCTGGAGGTACATCCGCAGAGATCGCACGATATGACGACGAATACAAGCAGAAAGAATCTTCTAGAACCGTACTCGCGGCCAGTGCATCCCCTGCCTCCAAAAAAAACCTGGCGTCATGTGTAGGTCCAGGAGGCCGCAGCCAGATTCTCAGAGTGCCTCCACCAGGTTACGACTCCACCTGTGAGATCGATGAGAAAATTGAGACATCGGGAGGTCGAGGTGGTGCTGTTCATCCACCCGTAGTGAACGCGACCAACAAGCCGGCGGGTGTTTCCTCCTACAACACGAAGATGAAAGAGCCGACTAGTACCTTGCCTTCAAAATCCCTACAGTCGTCCGCCACTCACATGAATCAGGTTGGCTCGTCCCCGCCTCTCGCAACATCCGGGGCTGCAGGACCAGCAGCGCCAGGAGCAGCTCACTCGACGTCCTTCCTCTATTCGGTACGATCACCGATGCAAGTATACCCAATAGCCCTTCTGGAGGTAGAGTTTGTGCCGAACGAACCCGAAGTGCCAGGCTTTACCTGTATGCCATTTCTTTTTCTGGTCGCGCATGGAAATTACTTGATCTTGATGGTGTGCCTTAGACTTTGAGGACTTGTAAGTACTTAGCTCAATAACTCAAGAACCTCGTCGAGGATTTCCTCTGCTTCCGCGTCAGCGTCCGCATGTAGTCGACGTACCTCCTGCTCTCCACTGTCTTTTTGGCTACTCTTCCTGCAGTGTAGTAGTAGTGGTAGATCAACTTGTGGTTCTGGTTGCTTACATTTTCGACTTGCGCAAGTTAATCTGTCTTCATGTCATGCGAAATCTGTGAGCAGAAGACTGCTCTGGTTTATTGCGTCAACGACCGCGCGCACTTTTGCCGCGGATGCGACGTCGAGCATCACAGCCAGGACGCCTTACTCCAGAAACACCGTCGATTGGGAATCGAGCACTCTCCCTACCAGTTTGGTATGTGCGACATCCATCCAAGTGAGAGGTACGAAGCCGTGTGCCTCGATTGTTCTACGCTCCTGTGTTCGCACTGCATTCTCATCGGCTCGCACGCGGGACCCGACTTTGCGGACCACAACCTCGTCAGCACGCTGGACGCGTTCAAACAGGCCATGGCAGCAATAGGAAACAAGACCAATCTGGCATTGTCTACGAAGTCGAGGTCATCTTCGGGAGAAGGAAGACATGATATGCTGAACCCCGACCCGGAGGCAGCGTCGACTCGAGAGGCACTGGAGAAGCGGATGGAGACGCGACAGGAACAGTTGCAAGAGGTGCACAAGTCTTTTGAGGGGATGCGGAAGCGCGTCGAGAGCGTCTTGAAACGCTGTCTGCACACCGTTACCGAAGTGCAGGACCGCAAATTGCAGTATTTGCACGCACGCAGGCGTGAAATGCTAGCGCAATTGCTGCTCCTCGAGTGGCTTGATGCGTTCTACGAGCACGCACGCATCACGCTGTCCCCAGTAGACTTCCTGCGGTCAGCGCGCCGTCACGAGCTGCTCGTGAAGGACTTTCTCACACTTTCATCCACTCAGAATCAGGGGACGGGTCTTCAAACGAACTTCGCCGGATCACGTGGAAGTACTGGAGGAAGTAGTGCGAAGGACGTCGTCGCAGATTTGCCAGCTTTCATCTCTGAGAACATCGTGATTGAGGGGAGTTTAGATGTAGTCATGGCATCGGGGCCGAGCAGAATACCCTCTACAACGGCCGCATCCACTCCTGCGCCTAGCGCGAATCCTCAGGTGCCAACAGCACCAACAGTGACGGAGGAGCAGGGTCATCGGAATGTGGAAACGCAAAACGCGCAACAGTATCAATATGAAAAATCGGGCTCAGTCCAGCAGCAAGAGCATCGATTGGATGCTGATCTCGCCCTTTTTGGGCCTGTAGTTCACGCAACGCCCCGAGGCAGGTCGGGTGCGTTAAACGAGCCACAGTTCTTTTCTCCCGGGCCAGCATCGGAGCTTCGCGCGCCACTATCTGCGTCAGCTGCTCTTTTTGTTCCACCAAGCACAAGTGTGGGTAGTTCTGCTACAAATGCAACCACGAACACCCGACGGCTCCAACAACCCGAAGGCGAAGGAGAAGCAAGTGCATCATCCTCCACGCAAGGAACCATACAGATACGACAGTATGATCCGCAATTTTCACAAGGTGCCGCAGCACCTGCACTTGAAGGTACAAGTAAAAAGGAAGGAGGAGACGTAAGGGCATCTTCCGATATAACGAATGCAGTTGGAACGGGAGCCGCTGCGGCGGTCGACGCGCGCATCATGGTATCCGTATTGCAGAGCGGGTCGACAGAATGGGGTGATACGCTGCAACTGCTCCGCGAGCTTCCGACACGAGAGCGGGGCGCCGTCGACCACGTGCTGATTGAGCTTCTGAATGCGAGACGCGATGGTTCTCTGCTGGAGCTGCTGCGAGCTGCGTTAGCCGAGGACATGGACCTTGCCGTCAGGAGTGACAGTCAAGGCAGGACACTTCCCATCCCGGTCGCATCGTCGGTCACTTTTCTTTTCAGCACACGCAGTGTGGTTTCCGCACTTGCAGCGGCCCTAGTGAAAACCGCGGCAGTCGAACTTTTACCCCTGGAACCGGAGCTGCGACTCCTGTTGAGGCAAACCGAAAAGGAGCGCGGACCACAGCAATTGTACCATGAGAATCCTGGAGCCCTTTTTTCCGCGATAACCGATTACATCCAGAAACTCCATGTGAGTGCACGCTCCAGCGAGTTCCCGCCTCTCTTGCTCGTCCTCCTGCACAGACTTTTTGAGGTACAGAAGACTACAAGCACATTATGTTGATCATGAAAAATTCTAGTAGCTTTATTTGGGGTTGCTCTTCTGGTTCTGAGCCATATGCGTGTCGGCAGTCCTCCCCCAGATAACTTCTTCTAAAACGTGAGCCGAGCACTTACTTTCCTTAATATCGGTTTTTCAACGACCTATGTATTCATTGCATAAGCATACCCTCTGGATGCATCTCGCGTCCTGAATATGACTTCCGTATATGTAATGAATTATAGGCGGCCGACGCGCATTTTGGCCAGCTAGTGGATCCGCTTGCAGTCGTCGGTGCGTTCGTTATCTCGCGTATTCTCTCGCCGTTGCTATTGCGTCTTGCGCAGAAGAAGCAGGAAGCCAATCCTCTAGACGTTGAGCCTTTGTCCTACAACGTTTCTGAAGTTAGTCGTTGGTTCCAAAAGATCGCTCGTTTCAGTCTGGCTGGTGACGAGAGCCAGGCTGTTGATTCAGGACAGCAAGCGTCAAGAAGCGGCGGCATTTTCAACTCTTCGTCTTCTGGTGGCACGACCGCAGAGTCGCAGTTTCTTCGAGTGAACGCGAGACAGATGCTCAAGGTCGCGGAGGTCATGCTGCGAGCGAGTAGACGCGTTGTTGGTGCCAGAGGCGAAATCAGCTTCGATCCTGCACTGTACGTCCTCAGTGGCAACCCTGTTGGATCGATTTCGCTTGAGGAAACACTTCTGCTGCATTTAAGACGAAGCCGTGCGCTCTGTCCAGCCGCGTCCAAGATGTTGCAGAGAATCGATGAGCTCACCTCTTCAGCTACTGCTCAAAAGAGCCGAGGAGCGAGTACACGAAAATAGCACGAGGCCGTATCCCTCAGGTGGAGAAGAACAGCTTGAAGGCCGTACTGTGGTGTTTCAACAATAACACATGCGTAGGTGGAGACTACATGAAACAGAAATGGTGCGGCATCATAATTGCGAACAAAGAACTGGCCACAATTATCGAAAAAACTAGTCGATATTACACATACAGGAATAGTCTCTATGTCTTTGCCGCATGTCAAACATACAATGTATAGTGTACTGCTTTATGAACAGAAAAAAGTTATGATCTGATCCGTGTTCTTCTTGCAGCGCTTGATCCTACTTCAGATTCAGTCTATTTTCAGTTCGTTACGGGGGTTACCATTTCGCAGAAACATTTAACAATTTCATCCTATCTAAGACTAAGTAGTATAGCGGACCTACTGGTGCTGGTGAAAACTACACACTGCCTTTTATCATTCCAAGAAATCCAATTACATCAACATCGGCAATAAAAAGTGCAGATGTGCTTAAAAATCTAGCGATCAAGTTTTGGTTTTCTCTCTTTTTCAGACTCAGAAAAAACTAGTAGGGGTTCAGCGCAGGTGGGGTATTCGTATAATTTCATCCGAGTCGTTTATGCTTAAGTACATCTACATCTAGAATCTAGTGACTTAGACATTGAAAGATGTCATGTGCTATAACAGCTACAGACGTTGCATTTTCGGAACCGATATGTCTTGAGCCTCAGTACAAACGGTGCGTTTATCGTCAGTTAGTACTGTTACATCATAGTGAAAGGCTGTGACTGCTGTAGCAATGAGTCATAGAATAATCGCCGTGCGCTTGTTGCGCACAGGGCTTAGATAGTGTTCATCTGTTGGCCGACGTGCGAAGTTCATCTTCCCCTCAGCAGATGCAGATGGATCACAAAGAAGTTGCAGTGATGACAACTCCTAAAGCACCAGGTACAGTTGTATTGCATAGCTGCAATCCTCGCTCAAGCTCAACACTCCTAATCCTGAACCAGCCATCGTAGTAGCATCTCTCGTAAATAACTACTCGCTTCTTTGGCTGACGTAGGCAGCACACGAACTGCAGTTCAAACTGCTGGCTCATTTTTTCACCCGAGCCAAACCAGGCTACGCCACATTAGTCCTTTTTTTATTTGTCTCTCTCTCTCTCTCGACGTTCCTTCGGGAACCTCCTATGAATGCCACGCGTGCGCGTCTTCCAGGCCATCTAATTCAACAATAGTAAAGGAAGAAAACCACGAAAACACCAAGTAGAAAATTTTGGGCACGCGCCAAGTGCCTCCGCCTATGTTGCGGTTGCCTCAGCCTTCGCGGGTACCACTCGCATTCGGTCCTGCTGAACTTCTCTGTCGAGGAATTCATTCGTTCATTTACCTGTTTCACCCGGTGTTCTCCAGCTCCAGAGTGTCGGGACTCAAGCGCAAGGGCTTACTCTTAGGTTTGGTTGCGACGCAGGGCTTTTCGTTTTCGATGAAGAACAAGAAAATATGAAAGGTTTTTGGATTCCAAAGACGCTTGGAGTTTCATGAAAACCTAGGGTCTTCGAATCAACAAGAATAAATCCATGTCAATAGCAATAAGCACTTAAGTATGGCCAGCGACGTTCTCTTTCTCCACCGGCACCGCGGTCACAGTCTTATTGAGAAGACGAAAATGAGCAGTCTATATGAGAAGACGAAAATCAATCTTCAAGCGGGTGTATAATTGTTGCCAGGCGTGCTGGGTCGTGCAGAGCTTAGAAGTCGGCTCTTCTAATGATGTTGTAGAAGCAATACATTAAAATAGGGTAGTGGTCATAAGGATCAATAAGAATATAACCTAAATAAAAACAACCTCCTGCGAAAGTCTGACTCTTCTATCAAGGGGGAGAGTCGTCATACATAATCAATCTATAATGCAACAATTTCATGGCCACGTTCACCGATGGAAAAATACAAAAACCTGAGGTTTGCGACGCATCAGGAAAATAGATACAAGACTCACCGTTCAACCAGTGTGTCATTGGGAAAATCTTCACCCGCCACTTTTTCGGTTCTTTCCCATATTTTTCTCAGTTTTGTCAAGATCTTCGCTGATTCTTTGAGTAATCGTTTCCGAGCCAGACTCTTATTTATCCCCAGAGGACTCCGACTCTTTATCCCAACATCCGCTCGCGCATTGCGTTAGCTATTTTGCGTGTAATTTCTTGTTTGTTGGCGTGCGCGCCGAAGGCTGGGACTCCTTCGATGCGCATGATGTCTGCGGCGAGGAAAATCACCCGTTTGCGCAAGTGGTCTGGGAGGAGCAGCTCCCGTTGCTGGCGTTCGACCCAAACGCGGGCCGCGGCACGCATGGCGCTGCGGAGTCTGCCGCGGGCGGGATCACGTACCAGCTTGTAAAACTCGCCGTCCGTGAGCTCGAACAGCAAAAACTGCAGTTCCTCAATTTTCGTGCGCAAAATACGATACTCGCTTTCGAGTTCATCAGCCGTAGGCGTCCGCTTCGCAAATTTCCGGTCCAAATCTTTGCATGTCCCGAACATAATCCCGAGTTTAAAGGGATGCAAAACGCACTCGACCAGCGCTTCTTCGCAGACCGCCGCATTCAGCCCTGGTTCCGTTGCGAAGTCTCCAGTGCAGCGGATGAGGTTCAGAGCTACCTCCAGCTTGCCTAGCCAAGCGTGATTTTGGTCGAAACTGCCGCGGCGGAAGGTGCTCCACATCGAGTGGGCATAGAAATAGCTGCCGATGTCCATGATCGGCGCCGGCATGTCCTTCGAACCTGTGAGCGGACCACTGCACGCGCTGCGATCCTTCTCGGCACGTGCACGCCAAGCCTGCACGTCGTAGGTCACCATGTTGGGCCCCTCTATGTCCGCCCACTCGACTTGAGTGCTCAAATATTTGACCATGGCGTCCTCATCGTTTCCAATAAACGGAGGGGCCGGGCGAGCAACGATTTTGGTTCCTGAATTACCCATCTTTTTGAAAAACAAGGCTTTTGTAAAGATACTGATTGATTAAGTATTTGTCTTTAGTGAAGATTGTGAGATAGTGGAAGTTGTGGTACTAGTGGAGGTAGAGGTAGTGGGGCTTGCGTTAGAGAGTGTGTAGTCTACGAATTCTTCTACACGACATGCACGCGTGGAAGCCGACGAGACTGTGAATAGTTGCCAGGGCTAAAACAAGCTAAAACGTTTTTGAGAAAGTGCAGTCTCGTGAAAGTCAAGTTTTGGCAATAGCAGGAATCAATAGGACGCAATTTTCACTGATCGCAACTATGAATCTTGTTCACGTCTAGTGCTGTCCTTTACTTACAACAGTCATCTGATAAAGAAAATGATCATGCCTCACGATCTAGATCTTCATGCTCCCCGGATCTGATCTTCTACTTGACGCACCAGTGATCATTATTAAGGATCGCGCCCTTTGCCTTTTGCTTTTGCCGAGTTTTTTCAAAATTGATTTGGATCTTGTTCATTATCATTGCTTGATTGTCTGGTCTTCTCGGTGTGATCGTCACTTGCTGTAAAACTGATCTCATTTTTGGACTTGATGATCCTATCTTCTTTTTTCACTAACACCACCTTGACCTTCTCTCAGAATCTTTCTTCGCGATCGTCATTTAGTCTACTTAGACAAGGTCATACCTCACGATGTTGAAAGGTACAGGAGCGAGATAGCGACTACGACAGCAACATAATCGAAATCGTATAAATCAGACTAAACTACAACAAGACACAGTTGATATAGTGTCCATGCATCCTGCGTTCCTTTTTTCTCTGAGCTACTAAAAGGCAGTTTTCTTGGTCAAAGTCGTGGTCAACCAAGTTCCTTGGCACTCTGAAGTGGCACTTCCTACAAGAAGAAACTGAAAAAAGGCACTTTCTCGTCTTGTGCCCGCCCAAACCCAACGGGAACTCTTCGTACAACATAAGTACAAACAAGTCTGTAGTGTCGCATCTTTTTGATTCCAGGATCAAATGACGCAGCAAGACCAGAAGGTACGTTGACAACCAGGCAACAACAAAATGAACAAGAAAACTTTTCATATTTTTAGGCCTTTACTTTTACACTTTTGCAGATTTTTTCCAAAAAATTTGGACTTTTTGCGAACGTTCCAGTGCACTGGACTGCCGGCAGCGTGCGTCGTCGAGTGTGGAATGGTGGTTGTTGGATGGACAGGTCGTGCGAGTCAAGAAGATGTTTCGTCATCATGTCTAGAAGTTCAGAACTAGAAGAACATCTTTCATGATCATGTTTAGAAATGGAGGTAAGTTTTTCTTGTGATTGTGAAATAATAGGAATACAAGAACAAGAAGGTGGAAAAATATTCGCGAGGTGAAGAAGTAGAAGAAGATGGTGAAGAAGGTGAGCGTGAAAGAATCGAAATCGACTATCGAACAATCAGACTGTAGATGTACCTTCCCTCCTCCTGCGCCTGCTTCCGCTGTGTCTTTTGAGAGTGACGCTCCGCCACCCCCGAAGAGTTTGGGGGTCCTGAAACTTTCGATTTCACTCATCTGAGGTCCGCCACTGCCACTCAATTCCATGTCTTTCGTTGCCGCGTGCTCTCTTATTAGACCCTGTTCCTAAATCAAAAACAAAATCGTCCATCTTAATAAAGTGGAAGTGCAGAAGTGCATCCTGGAGCTGGAACCGTTTGTTCTTCCCCTTTAAAACGTAAAGGGTTCCAGAAACAGGATGCTCTTCTTCTTGAAGATAGATCTTTGAAGAACTACAAGCGAGCCATAATCTTAACACAGAGAAGTACTCTGTGCAAGCCTTGAACATATCTTCATCGCATCGCGCGTGTCCTATGCACAAACAAAACGTGAAGTCGCTTTCTAGCTCATGGTCGTCTACACTGGGAAATTGAAAGAAAAACTTCGATAAAGCAGCACCCTTGGACACACCTTTCAGGCGTACCTGTGACGAGGAGGAGGAGGAGGAGGCTGCATGAGTTGTTGTACTAGAGATGAAAAACTGAAAATCATCTTCAAGTTCAACAACTTACTACAACTACAAACACGACAAAACTGTCGTACTAGGGTACCACTTTTTGCGCACTAATGGTATTATCGTCGTGATCAAGACGAAGACCACCGGCATGTGGATATCCACATCGCTGAAAAGATCGGATCACAGCTGACGCTATTGAACGTGAAGAGACAGACACAGAGAAGAGAGTCAATAAATCAATACCAATCCTCCACCTTGATGTCAATAAAGAAACAAAAACATTACCTGCACATAAGAGTTCCCACTTTCAATGCTCGTTGCTGGCGCGTTATTTGAAGAAGAGTTTTGGAGCAGTTCCTCCAGTTGCCGCACTAGATTTTGCGCTTGCTGTCGCCCAAACATGCCTTCGCAACCACCATAGTGCCAGTATATGCAAGACCCATTCTCCTCAACAATCGAGCCCTGGAAAAGGATTCCATACACATAGCTTACCAACTAGAAGTGCTGGAGGCCGTTTTTAGCTGGAAGGCTCTTAATTTACGATGCTCAAGGTTGAACAATCGCATACGCTATCCATCTTCAGGTCCAGACAACTGGAACTTCTACAACCAATCTTCAGGAAGTTTAGTACCTGCGTCCTCTTTGCAAAGGTGTTCATGAGGCTGCGTGCTATGCGCTGCCACCGATGATTATTCTCCATCAACAGTGAGGGATTGATACAGCTCCAGCGAAGATCCACTGCCGGGTCCTCCACATTTGCATACTGACATTAGCGATAACGATCTTTAATATTTTTTGTTGGGCTTGGGTTCAAATAAGTAAGCGCACGGTAAAATAAGTCTTCACGTTCACTACGACTACATCAAGAGCAAGAACCACCAGAAAACATCGGATGAAGACATCCTAGAGGTATGCACGTACTTATATACTCCTTCCCTGTCAATGGCATGGACTAGGAAACCGACTCCGACCGAGAAAAATTTCATAACAATATCCGTCCTCCGCGATCACGTGGAGGCCGTTTACGGTGTGAAACAGTTGCTCCAGCTGCTCTCGTGAACGGCCGCTCGCCACGACCACAGTATTTTGGGGCACGTCGCAGAGCGCTTGTAACGACTTGAGGACGATTTCATAGGCCGGGTCGGCACGAAAGACGTCCTGCTTGAAAAGGCCGTGGCTGTGGCGTAAGAGCGTTCCGTCAAGATCGAAGATGAGCATGCGCTTCGCCGCACAAGATCGATACCCCGAGATGACTATTTCGGGATCTAGTATCGAGGCCCAACTCTGGATACTCAATTCCTGGTACGCGGCGCGCGAGCCGCCGAGACGCGCGGGCACGGGTAGACTCGGCAGTTCTCCGCCGCTGCCGCTTTCGTAGCACAGTTCCGTAAGAAAATCAGACAACCACACGGACAGAGAAAGAGAACTGATGTAGTTGTAGTCCTGCGCGAACCTCTCGTAGCGATCTGCATCTAGCATGTTCATGGCGAAATCCAATTGCTGGCAAATATTCGGCGTCGACCATGGGTTGACGCGCAGCGCGCCAATGAGCGCCCTGGAGGCGCCAGAGAATTCAGAGAGGATGAGACAGTTCCCAGGCCGCTTGCAAGCTTGTGGGCCAGCACTGGCCGAGGTGCTTCCAGCCCCTGCAGCCCGCATTTGCTCCTTCTCCTTGCTCGTCGGGGCACTCTGGGCTCGGATGCCGGGACTCGTCCCCGTGCTCGGCCCATGATGATTCGTTGTCTCGTTCTGCACACCGTGGATGAGGATGAACTTGAAAGCCGCAATGTTCAGTCCGTTTTTCGTGCACGTGTCAAAAAAAATATCCGCCGTTTGCAAAACGGAGTATACTGTTGAATCGTTGATTTGTCCTATCTGCAGATGAACGTGGTACCCATAGCGGGCATTGATTTCACGCGCCATCGCGCACACTTCCTCCTTCAGCTTTTCCGTGTCGTCGAACGTCACACTGGGCGGGTAGTATTAGCGGAGGTCATTTGTTCTGTGTATACACACTGTGTAGTCAGAAATAAAATAATCTATCTCGTCGATCTTCTTTTCCCACCAGGAGGTCTGCTGCCTGGTACTTCTCTCCCACTCGAGAACATTATCATTATGGAGCCAAATGCAAATTGAAAATTATGAATTTTCAAAAATGATAGCAGAGGTTGGGGTTGCAGCTGCCTTAATAGTAAAGGTACTGCAAAAGGAGGAACTTTTTGTGGTGCTGTGGATAGTGTTCTAGGAAGCTTCGGATCGCTTGCATCTTGTTAGTGAGTCCCGCAAAGCGCTCGATGCAGTCCACGGATCCGAGAATCACTTTAGACTGATAGTCCTCGGGCAAGTGTCCTATAACGGCAGCTGTTGGACTCATGCTAGCGTTGATATTACCCCTTCGCGGTGCTAGGATACTCGATTTGCCTCCACCTCCTCCGATTTTCATGTAGTTGTGGGCTCCTGCACCAGCCACCGTGGTGTTAGTTCGAAGCCCACTGCCTCCTCCTGGTGCGTTGTCAGCGCCACCTCCATTATTTGGACTGCCGTGACCACCGCCACCCGCCACAGGGCTTGTCTTGCTTCTTGAGAAATTTTCAGCCCATACTCCTGCATCCCCGCCTTCCGCAGCGCCCTTGTTCTCGTAGGGACTGGCGGCTGCGATTTGTCTACTTCTTGTGCTTCCTGTTATGTATGACGCTGGCTTGAGGCCTCCGCTTCCGAAACCAGACTCCATCGTCGTCACTACCTCGCTGTGCGCACCTGAGATAATACTCCTCAAAGTTTTGGGGAATTGCTGCGTGACATTCACCGGTCCGCGGCGCTCCGAGTACTGTTGGGACCACTCGGCAACGGTCGCTGACCATCCGGGTCCCTCTTCACCCTCAGCATCCCCATACGGGTCTGCGTTGCGCATGTACTCGTCGCCATAGAAAGCTCCTTGCCCATCCTCAAAGAAATCCACAGAACAATTAGAAGGTAAGCGTCAGAACTCGAACTCAACTGTATCTGTGAAAATATAATAAAAAGAAGATCCTCACCTTGTTCTGCTTCTGTAAATCGAGCGACATCTTCTACATCTATTATTGTAATAATGATTATTCTTCAAAAGCTGCTCAAGCTCAAAGACTACATTCGCCTTCCTCGATAAACTCCAATCAATCAGAAAGCGAGAAGTACCAGGTCCAGGACTCCAGTTTCTTAAATTTATTTGGACGTCCACTATTTGTATTTCGGCTACTCCCTATTGCGCGCTGCCGTCCGCCTGAAGACTCGTCTGGCAGCGTGCGCACGTGATCCTCCAGCACGATCTTTGAAGGGTCGCCTCCAGGCAGCTGGCTCAAATAGTCGATATTTACATTTAGCATCTGCGAGGCCGCACCTGCCTCCCTACTGCGAATTTTCTTGCGCCCCGTCGAGTTCCAGGCTCCAAACGCAGAAGAGAGCTCTGCGCTCTGGAATAGATAGGGATCCTCAGCGTCGCTGTTCTGGCAGCTACTTTAGAGTTACCGCCCCTAATCTATCCCTGCTGGTGCTGTACCTTCTTATACCGGTGGTTTCATTATCATTTCCCTTCTTGTAGTTGAGAGCTTAATATGGGATTATCCACCACTTTCACATAAGTAAAAAGCGCGTCTATAGTTAGAGGTGGATTAAACAATACGATTAGGGGTCTAGTCTTAACTACTGGAGGTCCGCTCCACATCAGCAACAAGCATGTTATTGTCAAAACGATCGCGCAATTGAAAAGGTGGGGTTTCGTGGAAGTACGGATCTGAGGCACTACTTGCATCGACGTACTCTTTATCCGGCTTGCCAACCACAACTGTCATAGCCTTATCCAATTTCCGCCCAAAGTCGCTTGGCAGAGAAAATGAATTGTGCAAGGGTCAAGGGGTCGCCCGACGAGGGGTTAGTAGTACCAGTTGTAACTTACTACGAAAGGGAAACGAGAAATATATAGAGCTGCCTACGAAAACGCACTCCCACTCACATGTCAAATATCTATCAAAATTGAAAGGTAGTTGCTGAACGTGCAGACGTCAGAAACGTGCACAATGCTTTTATACGGGTTCCCATAAACAGAGATGCTTGCTGCTGAGCATGGTACTGCGCCCATTGTGTTCCAGCGACAGGAACCCGCCGATCTTGAAAACGTGTTGTACCCCCAACAATCTGCTGCAAGCTGTAAGGAAGTGGCGAGCATAATCGAAGATTTGGAAACCCACAAGGTCAAAGCTGAGCATGCCACGAATGAGCTCGCCTCGCACCGGGAGACACTTCAATAGGTCTGAGCTTGGCCATGGAACGTGTACGTAGATGCCGCAGCGCACTTTCATACCGGTTCGTCGGCCGCCGTTCCCGCCTGAACTATTGCTCGTCGCACCCTGCTGGCTTCCAGCACTGTTATTGCCCTGTCGATCATTAGATTGAGAAAACGTGCTTGATGTTGACGAGCAGGTTTCACATTCAGAAATACCTTGAATGATGCATTAAGACTCGGTCATGTGCACCATACGCATAGACAGTTTGAGATAAAGTTAGAACGACGACCAGGTCTACGTCTACTTGTGTCGGAGAATCGATGAGGTATAGTATGGTAGCCTTAACCCCACCACCGGGCAAATATTGCCGCATGTCGCCCTGTTCCCTTCCGCCATTACCAGACACACCCAGAGACCGACGCGCGAAAGCGTGATGCTGGACGTAGCGCCCAAGCATCAGAAGCTGCCAGTCTTGCGACCAGACGATATCGCCAGTGTGAATCAGTCCACTGCGCATGATCGTCTCTGCATACTTCTCATTCGCACTCTTGTATGCGCGCCAATCTTCTTGCTGGAAATCTTTCACCTGAAGGGCGAGGAACAAACGGAGGTAATAGGTCCGAATTATAACTTTCTATTTTTACAAATCATGTCAAAATTCTGGACAGAAGGAACTTTTCAAATTCAAAGTCACACTTGCAGAAAGTGCACTTGTAGTTCTACACTACTTCAGAAGTAGGTCTGAAGACGGGGAAAATATCAAAAAGCACCTGCTGTCCCATATGTGTTGCTGACTGTGGCATGAAGATGGAGAAGTTGTGTGTAATTGGCCAAAGGTAGAGGTAGCAGAAGTTTTGGAAACTCTCCCAAAGTGTTTGCTCTAAAAACACCGGAATGCAGTCCTGCTCTAGCAGAAGCCCTGTTAAGTTATCCTTTTGCTGGGCAGTGATTAGAGTTCGCAATATTTAACCCATACACTTCGGAGACCAGCTGCATCTTGCTGAGAGTGCGTTTACTTATATGGGGGCCTTAAAGTGAGCTCGCTGATTTGCTCGTTCCTTTCGTCGAAGATTTTTGGAGCACCGACGAAGTAAAGCCTGTATTGTTTCACGAATTCTTTCCGGATCTTATAGAGCGCGAAGATCATCGAGTCATTCTCCTCAGGCAAAGGCACGAGCAGTGGAGTCCCGCACTCGTAATGCACCCCCAAAGGCAGACAATGCGCACAGAAAAATTAGGGCTGCTCTAATTGATAATTCCCAAAGAGGAACTCAAACACAAGAATGAAGACCACTTACAGCGAGTTGCAGTTGTAGAATGAGCTGTTTTTTTTTGTGAAAATGAATGATCTAGTTGAACACGAAGAAAATCAGCATATTATGATAATATTAGGCTTAGAGAAACACACTCTTGATTGCGCCTGTCGAATTCGAGGCACTCGGTGCTGAGGTGGCGGAGTTCAGCTTCGCCAGTTGAGACAGCGCAGTCTCCTTGTAGGTGGGGTCCAGCTGCAACTGCTTGTGGAGTGCGGCTTCGTCCTGTTCCTCTTGCTGATGCGACGCTACCAGAGTTTCTAACAATACCTGATGTTCTTGCGAAGAAGTAGCAGTATTTGAGAAAGGACAATATTTGCATACTTAGGTTAGTAACGAGATGTAGAGCATGCTCCTAAACAACCTTGTCATTGTTTGATTGTTGTTGCTACTCGGACGAAGGCTTACCTCGTCCCGATTTTCTCCTGATCCTAAGCACGTCCTGGATAAGCCGCCGTCGTCTTCTTGTGTCATCTCTAGGCCGGTCGGGACGATTCGGTAGTTATCGGGGCGCAGCCATCGCAGGGCGATTGGCGTATCTACCTTGTTCGGCGTCGATCCTCCAGGCTTGTAGTCCAAAATCTCTCTTGAAGAGTCATGGTGGTCAGGTGGGACCTTGATTGTGACATCCTTTCCAGTTTTGGCTCCGAACGATTTTAGAAGAGGAGATTGCGAATGAAGATGAATATTGAATACAGCGTAAGCGAGCTTTATTTTTAGCTTCCCAGGATACGTCCTCTGGTGCGGAACCGGCGTTGCTTTAATATTGATTCATTGAAAAACTGCTTCCTGTTCCTCATCCTCGACGAGTAGTTCCTTAATAAGGAATCTGCTGCATAGCATAGAACAAAGACAAGTAGCAGCTAAAGGAATCTCACTTACTAGATTAAAAACAAGAACAATAAGAAAAGCGATCAACAACTTCAACTGTCTACATCCTCAGTGTCAGTATTCTTAACGTTTCTAGTTGTTGTTCTTTTCGTTTTTTCGCCTCCTGTTCGAGTTTCGCAACCGTCATAGTTAGTCCCGAATCTTGAGGGTTGCTACCATCGCCACGTCCCTTTGTCCTTCCTGAACTAGACGACGAGCCGCCGGTTGCAGTTGACCCACCTGCCACGCTTCCCTCGTCAGTCTTTGACTTATCCACATGTTTTGGACGGTTTGTTTCTCCTAACGCCTTGTTTCGCTCATCCAACAGGTCTGCCCAGTCTTGAGGCCGGCCCCGCAGCGTGCCCGCAGGAGTCGAGGTTGTTGGGGTGTTCAGCGTGGTCTCTTGGTCGCGAACCTCACGCACGAAGTAGTTGTATTCCACTTATATCATGAACAAGACATGATCGCCATCGGGTGGTTTTGGCTAAGGGAAATAAAACACGATAAGGACGACATCTATGTCATTTATATCCTCCTCGATCTTTATATTCGTGACCCAACATGATAGACATGGCGAGCTGCCAGGTCCGTTTCTCTACGTTTTACTCTACTTTCTTAGTCTTGCGTGAACATGCAAGTACATACTGCATCTAACATGAAAAAAGGGAAATTCGTTCATATTTTTCTTCAACGGCAGAGAGACCGGACATGCCTCGTCCGTCGCCCAAAGACAGGGGTTTACCTCGTTTTGGACCAACTGCACAGCTGCTGAAGGTTCCCAGCAACCAATTGTGGGGTGCGACCCGCAGACAAAGACAGCCTTGCCGAGTCCCAAGGGTTGATCTGCTTGAAGGTTCCCGAAATCCAACCTAGACCTAATTCGCATCTAAACTAAAACTTCTTTTTAGGTGTACTCAGGACTCTGGGTATCAAAACTTCTTGATTCTGAAGATCTTCATTCACAGAGAGGAGGAAGACCTTCACCTGCTATGAAATGATGCTCAACCAGGCTACACGGGACGGATTTCTGGGAGCCTTAATCTACAGCCACTCGAAATGTTACTCGTGTCAAAAGTGCCGCACCACCCGCACTTAACGGACTGCCTGCGGCATCGTGATGCGCAGCACTGCGCGGCGACGAAGTGTGGACAGTCGTCATCATAATGCTATTGGAGATGTCGGGAGCTTCATTCTTCAGAGGCCTTGTTAGCCATACTTCGCGTCGTCGTCGGTTCTTGTGTACAACTAGCACATGATCCTGAATGTCTAAATGACAGTCTTCTATGCCGGGCTCACCCTGCTTTGCTTACATACAACCGGCAAAGAAGGATGGAAGTCAACGACGGAAAATAAAGGAGGTTTATCTATGTGCTTGTAGATACATCATAAAAATGTTAATGATGTTAATTACTAAAAACAAGAATTTGCCACCCCTTGTTGCCTTGCTCGTTCTAAGGAGCTGCCGGAAGTGCACTTCTCAGCCATGAAATCAGATCGCGTGGTGGGCGTGGTGCCTTGATCTCCTTAGTAGTGGCTGAGGGGAAGTTGTAGGATAGTATACAGACAGATAGTATGCAACTACGCTACGAGCAGGGCCAGGGCCAGAACATAACAAGTAAACCCTTATGGTCTTACCACAGGAGAAGGGTTCGATTTTATCTTCGCATATAATCAGGCATCGTGGACAAGGTGAAGTGCAAGTAGTTGTAGGTGGCATTCACACTCACTGAATTTGGTAAGTATCCTCACAGAAAACTCTTCGTATCTATACTTTTCGTTGTAGTTCTTGTACTGAGATAAAGCCGGCATTTTCACTGTAGAAGTCAGCTTCACAATGTTCGTTATGCCTTGGGACAGCCAGCTCCTGCAAGTGCTGGCCGTTTCTCTAGGGAAAGGTTCTGCATTTGGGAGAGGCGAAATCCACTGGCAATCCCCTGCGGAATGTTGAACTTGCATGTCAATCGCAGCTGATCAGTTCGCTCAATGACATTTATCATCCCACCAACGCGCTTCTGCTTCTCCAACAGTCGCGAGACCGCATCAAGGTCTAGATGAAGATCCACCGTCTCGAACAGCTCCTTTCGAATAGCTTGATGATTTAAACCCACCTCCGCATTTTCCTCGGGAGTGCGAAACATTAGGGGCCCTCGGAGAGCACGGAAGCGAATTTCACTGGAAATTACCTCAACATCTGGAGCTGATGTGCCGTCAGGCTTGCTAGTTCTTGTTGAGGAGGCATTCCCATCGGGTCTGGATGTTGGCTGAGCATCTGCATCTTGTGTTGACCACGTGCTACCAGTGCTACTAGTGGCACCATCATCCTTTTTAGTAGAAATTGTAGACGAAGAAGCCGACTTTGCTTTTGCTTCTTGTTCTTCATCCCTGATGTCTTTTGTTGGTTTTTTGTTTTGATCATTCTGAGAATCCGCGGACTTCAACTTCTCCTCATGCTCTAGGTCTTTCACCTCATACTTTTGGACTTGAAAAGAGATTGGCCCGAGCTTGAAGGTCCATGATTTAGAAGCTCCATCCGAAGGTAAGTCTGCTTCTTGATCTCCGTGTTTTGGAGGTCGTGTATTTATTTTTCCGTCCGATTTTGTGGTACTCCTATCTTCACTTCCTGAAGGACCATCACTATCGCTATCCTCGCTGGAGGGTGATTTGCGTCGACTACCAGAACCTCTTTCTGGTCTTCCTGCTACGCTAGATCGCTCCTTCTCTAAGTTTTTCAACAAGCGTTTCACCAGTTCCGGAGATTTTTCTCCGAAACCAAAGATCTTTTCCACAAAAATTTCAGGCTTTGCCGTAGATGTAGACCATGGCACTTCAGCTCTGTCCTCAAAGTCTGCTTCATTTGCTTTCCGCATTTCACGTAGTAGAAACAGGTTCACGTCCGTCAGACCCAACGAGACATCACGAGCAGCGCCATTATCATATATTTTCTCATCTTCATCCTGGCTGCGAGAACCCTCTCCTGCATCCATCCCTTGCTTTCCACCAGTACCAGTGGTCGCTGTTGATGTTGTAGACGTAAACGTAGACGCAGACGATTTAGGACAGTCAGAATGTGCTTTCCTGGTAGCGTTCATCGAAAAATGTTGAGTTTCCATCTCCTGCGTTACCAAATCGTACACGTTCGCGAAGTCCTGTTCATACAGCCGTCGTAACAACTCCCGGTAAGCCTGATTGCAATGCGACATCAAGTCAGGGACACTGTACCACTCCTCGAAAAACCCGATACGGCCTTGGCTTAGAAGAGACGCGCGTTCTCTTGTGAGGTCCATATTTAGTAGAGCGAGCAACATTCTGACTGTTTCTAGCAAAAAAATTTGTACATGATCTTCCTGATCACGATATCGATCAAGATTGCAAAAATGAATGTGAGGACAATAATAATGGATAACGAGGAGCTGCCAGAAGGTCAAATCTTATAAATATAGATACTCATCATGATCATTAACATTCATTAGGCATTAGCGCTACTATCTAACGAATAATTTTTTGTGCCTCAACTGTTCTTCGGATCGTTCCCGAAAAAAGAATCGCATGATTTTCACCAGGAAGGACTTGAAGAAGGTGCGTGCTGTGATCGCAGAATCAACCTGCCAGACTACAGTTTGGTGGGGTCGCATCTTCTCATTCCATGTTTCAGCACCGCTGGCGAAATGATGCACTGCCCAAAGACTCTTGAAATGCTCATTCTTCACCTCCTCCCGCAGTGCAGCGACATCCGCCTCACTGAAGCCGTTATTGCCTTGTTGTTCGGGTTCGTTACTAGGATCTTCTCCCTTAGAGTTTGATGTAGATGATGATGAATGCACTTCGGAATTTCGTATATGGTGGTCTCCAGCTCCGTTGCTCGTTGCATCATTCAATTTTTCTTGTCCCTCTTTCGCATTTTTGACGTTGTGATTCTTCTGTTCCTGATTGTCGCTAAAATTCAAGCTTGACGATGTAGAAGATTTAGATGAAGAACCAGACTCCGAATCCGACTCAGTAGTTTTCGAAATAACTCTTGCTGAAGTTGTTCTATCGCCGCCGTCCAGGTCGTCCTGCGCGCTTTTGACCGTCACTTTTGGTCTTTCAATTTTCTTCGAAAACGCCTCATGCGTCTCATCCAAGAAGAAATCTAGCTCTAATTCGTTCTTTTTGCTAAACTCGGTGGAGCTCTCGAGAGTAGAACTAGAAGTTTGTGAAGCTGTTGCGCTGCTGCTGCTGCTGCTGCTGCTGCTGCTGGCACTCGTCGAGATCGACGATGTCGGGATAGATGAATTTCCAGAAACCTTATTTTGGTCAATGTCCGTGCGGTTTTCCGTTGAAGCGGAAGATGAAGTCGGGGAAGCGGAAAATGAACTCGCTGCAGTCCTCGAACTGCTGCTAGACGATGATGAAGTTGAAAAATATCGATCCCTAGTGCCACCGAGTATTCCGGTCGAGCTGCCATAATTTCGCTCATGATACAACGAAGGACTACCTACAACTAGCCGTGCGGTTCGTGTCTGTGATGCTGTGTTTTCGAGTACACTACGAGACGACTCGCGTGATAGCCGGGCTCTTCCCTGCAGCTGAAAGCTAGCAGGAAAACCTGGGGCACAGTGACCCCAGGAACGGGAGCAGTTGCGGATTGTGAGCGTTTTCATCCTTTAGTGGTAGGCTCGTACCAGTTATTTCTACATCTACTGGTAAGTAGAAGTTGTAACAAGTGGAAGAGCATGTAGTTGTAGTAGGTAGTGCTACTGCTAGTGGTCTCTACAACTAATAAATGTTAAATGATTTCATCGTTGTAAAATACCTTCATTGGAGGTGTATTGTACCTCGTCCGCACCAGAACTAGAAAAGTAAAGAACCTCTTGTTCGGAAGAGCATTTATTCTTTGCAATAAAGGTCTAAGTTGTTACTAACCCTAAGTAAGAGCAGGCCCGCCTTGTTCTAAGTAGTTTCTTGAACCACAATTTCTTGTGTCTTTTCATTTGTTGAAAAACCGCTGCAACTCTTTTCCTCATTCTCGTTGAATCTGCGTAAAGCTGTTAATACGAATACCAGACACAACGCATTAAGTATGTTCAAGATCCTAGACAGGCACCGAAGCTGAAGATCCCAATAGCATGATCAATATATCTCTTTCACAGTCACCGAGAGAACTAACCGTGCATCCGGTAGAGCATTGGCGTAGCATCTACAGCAGTTATAGCGATTCTTTTCTTTATGAACTATCGAAAAAATATAAATAAGCTGGCTGCAACATGTAAGCGTGCAGATGACAATGTACATGTTGTAGAGAAAATCTACTAAGCAGCGACTGCCCTCATCCTTCATCCTTTATTTGTAATGGTGAGGGACGAGTGCCTTCACATCCGTGATAAGGTCCTCCACAGTTGGTGCAGTGACACCACAACGAACGACATCGCAATTGCAGGCAGTCCTAGGGATTGGTTCGCTTTTGTAATCGAGATCAACTTTGTTCATCATCATCCTTTCCATTTTCTTCACTGGTGCGAGTTTCGAACGCGTGCTAAAAAGCTGCTTCGAAATATAAGCGTGAAGCGCGTAGACTACTACTTCATTAGTTCCTTTGCTAGCATTGGTGCTACCGCAGCTCGTGCTCCCACCGAAAGGATAATGTCCGTCATCCGTCACATCCAGATGCAGTTTGACTTTGTGTGTGGTGGCGATCTTGTCGACACTAACAGCACGGACACAGGCTGTTGAACTATTCGTATTTGATGCATGACTAATATTAGCCCCTTTGCCGTTCGAAGCCCCATCTCCTGGGGAGCCTGTTGTTGCAGGTGCTTTGCCGGATGGGGTGCTGTTAGTGGTCCCCTTGATGTTAGCGCTAGCTTTCGCAGCAAGATTCTTCGGTGGAACTGGAAGGGCTTCCCGACTAGGGCGTCGTCTGTTGCCCTTTCCTGACATGCTTGTCGCGTCGGAAGCACTTATCTTCTGCTCTTCACCCAGTGGTTTTATCGCTTCTAGACATCTACTTGTACTTGTTGAATCTGATTTCCTTGTATTGTTGTTGTTCCAGTATCAGCAGAAATACTAGTATTTTTCTGTCCATCACCAGCAATGGTTCTCGTACTTGCCAAGCTAGCCAGCGCGTGGTGGCGATGGTGTGAACAGACTTGCCATCATTGTACAGTGAACAAACGGGCAAGCGCGAGGCCTAGCATGGCTAGCAGGTGGCCCTCTAAGGGTTCGATTGCGTCCTCCGTCAGGCGAGCGCCTTTCGTTCCGGTGTCACCCTTCCAGTCGGAATAGAGTTTCACTGGTTAAAGCGGAGAAAGCTGGAGCCAAAGGGCTCGAAGAAAAGTGCTCATCCGGAGATAGTACTAGGCCTTTGGCCTTCTAAAGTCGCATTTTCCAACCTATCGACGCGAATGTTCTTCCACCAATAGTGGAGCGGAGGTGGTAGAAGCGCGAACCACAGGAGTAGAAGAGCTTGGCGATTCGGATTCTACTTGTCGTGGCTCTTTCTCTTGAACTCGATCATTCACCGGTTTCCATCCACTTCCCAGAACACCTAGGCTGCTGCCAAGTTTCTCCTTCAAATAGACGTCGTTCTGTAGAAAACTCCCTAGAGCCTCCAACCGCAGCAGAGACGCGCTCTTCACGAGTAGAAACGTGGTCTGGTCAGCTCCGTTTGTACGTGAACGCATATTAAAGCGATCATGAAACCAGTTCTTGACGTGATCCCTCGCACCTGTATGCGCCTCTTCTGACGCTCCCAGCGCGACAAGCGTAATACAGTGCTCGGCCTCTGGGAAATAGCGCAGATTGACCAGCCTGGGACTCTTCAAAGTCACAGTTGTGCTAGCAGGTACGCCGCGTGTACCATCTTTATCAGACTCAGAACTACTTACTCGTATCCCCATCAACTTCGCCCTTTTGTTCTAGGACAAGGTGCGTATAGCGGTTGTTATCCCGCAACAGCCATCGCGCACGTCGGTCGGCGTGATCTCCCTGTTTCGGTACGAAATACAGCATTGCATCTTTCAAACAAGTCAGCAGCTCAGCAAATTGATTTCATCCGCATCCCCTTCTTCTACTTGCATTTTCTCTACAACTTCCGTTTCCGTTTCTGCATGATCTGCTTCTTTTGCTGTCATCGCCTTTAGTATTAGTGCGAGAAGCTTTTCTAGTTGTTTCCACTCTCGTAGATAGTGATAGTCGCGCACAGAACGTAGAGTGTTGGAAGTCTCGAAGGAGGACCAAACCGGGCTACAGGTTTCGTAGAACAGCAGCGAACGATTCATCTCGGCCTGTAGTGGGTGTTCGTAGAATGCGCGGGAGTTGGAGCACGTGGCGGCGACGAGTTCGCTTTTCTCCTTCGTTCCCCGTAGAGCAGTGTGCCCGGAGACAAACTTGTCGATCGCCGCAATTAACGTGGCCTCGGACCACGTAGACGCGGCTGGGTTCGTCAAAGACCCTGTTTCTGTGGTAGCAGGTGGTCGCCAAAATGCGGAGTGGAGATAGTCGACGGCGCTTAGTTTTCCTGGTCGCACAACGGTAGGCCGGAAAAAGCTCTCCCGCTGCATGTAAACCCGCCCACACTGGTCAAAAATCGAGTAAAGAGACTCACCGACCTTTTCAGGCCATCAAGACGAGCACTAGGTCACCTCTCCTTTCCGTATCCTACTTGAGAAGTCCGGCGAGCCACGAGCGGGCAAAGTAATCAGCGCTAAACACGCTACCGTGCTTGTATTCAAATGATGCACTTGATCCAAGCATTGCTGGACCCTCCTGCTGTATTAATTGTTGCTGCAGCTGCTTGTTTTTTGTTCTCCGCTTTTGTCTTTGTTCCTGGTCCTGCTCCTTCGGAATCTTTATTGTTGTGACGCAGTGTTTCGAAGCACGATTCTTCCTTCTCCCAAGTTGTTTGAGCAGTGTACGGCTTGTAACTTACCTTTACTTAGGCGACGCCGGCCTCTGGCGTAGTATTTGCAGCTGAAGAAGACAAAGATGCAGCTTTTGCTCCAGTCCTCGTTGTGCTGTTATTCCTACCTGCATGATTCTTCGAACGCGAAGTGGATGTAGAAGTAGATGTTGTTGAGTTTGTTGAAATTATACTGCTATTCATTGGAACCTGACCGATTTGCAAGGGGATAGATTCCAGAAGAAACAGGTCCCGCATTCCTCGTTCCGCCTCCTCTCGAGGGCACCCGCGCAGTATTCTGAGCCACTGCACCACGGAGAGCAGCCGCCGCACTTCCGGCAGCTGATTTTGAAGTTGCAGATTGTGTTCCGATAAGGTTGCTGTTAGTAGTTGTCGTAATGGACCCCTGCATCGTGCTGGTAGCTGCCTCTTCATCATTGGTTGAGCTTCGCACTCCTGGCGTAATGTTTGTATCGTACTGCTGCTTTTTCTTCTTCGAGAGCACTACACGTTCGCTCTCTTGTTTGATCGCTCTCTCAATGGTGACGTCGACAGTGACTGCAAGCCAGTGTTGCTGGCCTCGACATCCAGCCGCCGGAAGACCACTCAAGTATGTCATGAGCTTTTCGCGACTTGTAAAGGTCTCCTCATATTCGACGATTTTTGCACCGAATTCCGCACACGAGATGGCAGGCAACCACCGCTTGACATCGTCGAAATACAGCCTAGTCTGGAAGGCATCTGCACTCGCGAAAGCGTTCCTCATTTCGACTGATAGATTTTCTTGACGAACAAGTCTTCAAGTCCAACCACTCTAATTCAGGAAGAATAGGATCACGCCGTAGCTGTAGATGCTAGAAGCAACTAATTGCTAAAATATGCAAGTGGCTACTTCAACTTCTACTTGACTTTGTCTGTCAGGACACGTAACAGCCTTTGCGTTTGCCACCTTCAGAGTTACTGCACTTGAGAGTACAGAGGGAAAAGGAATGTCTTTGGGTTTAGCAACCATACCTGCTTCTGGCATTCTCCAGATGCTAAAGTGAATGGAACAGCGTATAGTTACACTTCGACTTCTTTTCCTTTTGGCATACAGTGCAATTCCACCTTTTTTCTGTGAACACCGACTAGCCTACTCAGATGAACGCGCCAGCGTTTCTGATGTTCTTGTAGAATAACTACATGGATGATGCTCCGTAGTACAGCTGCCACCGCGAATGGGAATGCTTCTGATCTTAATAATGGTGTTGTCTAAAGTCTATGCTACCTGCGTAAAACGCAGGCGCATCATGTAAGTCGTTGTTTAATATTGACGTTGCTGGTGGAGCTCATGCTCATGGTTGTTATTCTCGTATGTTGCTTCCCAGTAAGTATTAACAAGTAGCCTTGTTAAAATCATATCCTGATGCGCGTTGTCGAAAAAAAAGTTTGCGACGAGAGGCTTATCTTCATGCTTCGGCTGTGCTGCTGCTGCTGCAAGCTTTCCGGTTCACCCCATAATACCTGGATAGTATCCGATGTTGGCGCGCGCATCCGGGTCAAGAATGCGAAGAATCCGATCCGTGTCAGGGCTTGAGTTGTAGTTCACCGTCAACCTGAGTAAGAGTATGATCATCTTCATCTCCAAGAAAAAGAAAAAGACGAGTGGTCCTCCGTTCTTGTCTAAAAGTGTAAACAGCACCACACTGCAGTTAACAGTATACGTGCTGTCAACAGCTCCAAATGGGCCTAAGAAAATTCTAATTATTCACCTTGTTGAGCTTGACCTTGATAAAACAAATATATACAAAAATCACATCAATGCATATTCAATTTTGTATTGCTGGACGAGCTAAGTATAAAGTACCAATATGCGATGGGGACCGTCGTGACGCCAATGCAAGCGAGGTTCCAGTTGTAAAATTTTATTCGGTCTTCCTCCATCATGTTTGTCATCTATGAAGGAAATATTTATTATAGATACAGAGATATGAGAATGAGATAGAAGGGTGTAATTTGACGTAAACGAAAGAGCGGTTTGCAAATCGGTGTAACGGTGACAATGACATTGAAATGAAAATCCAAAGCCGCATGACAACAATCATGTCAAAATATATTCATCACGCCTTCTTCAACTTTTTGACTTTGTATGCGTATCTGATACCTTCAAGCTATCAACAGAAGATGAGGAAGAGCTAAGTTCGTACCCTTCTCGAGGCTTTCCCCTTTGCGAACTGGATATCGTTCGGCAGCGTTAGCCGCATTGCGCGCGTCCTTCGAAGAAGGCCCTGTCCCAACATCCTTTGTTACACAAAGATGAAGCAACCTTGTTTACTTGTTTCCTGATAAGCACGCCCCTTTCCCTTTGTCTTTGAAGAACAAGGCAAAAAACCTAAAACATAAGAGATGAAACGGTATTACATAGCACGAATAAAAGCCCACTCATCGACGTTAACACGAGAGGTTGCAGTACGTACGCAAGATGAACAATAGAAGAGTTCGCAATTGTACTTGATGACATAAAAAAAAAACGGAAAGAAACTGAGTGTAAATGTTATAGTTACACGGCTACGAACAAGATGAATGTCTAACTCACGTGTATTGACAAGTGGGGGCGTGATTGAGCGGCTTCTACATCAACAAAATCAATGCTACTTTGTTATTGTTTCTCCCTCTCTGTCGCTTACCCTCATGCATCTTTTGCATAACGCACGGTTCTCTCCTAGGAAAAAACTCCTTTTGGGCTCTCAGGAAATTGAGGCAAAAGGAACAAACGCGTATGCTGTGGGCATGGACTCACATTCTTTACGACGTCGTGACCCTGACCACCATGGCTTTCTTTAAGAAAGTTCGTCGATCATGTTCATGGTCATGATCCTGTCATGGTCATGATCCGGTCATGGTCATGATCCGGTCATGGTCATGATCCGGTCATGGTCATGATCCGGTCATGGTCATGATCCGGTCATGGTCATGATCTCTTTTAGTCTGAAGGTCGGAGTCGGTAATTCTCAAGTAAGAATAATGTAAAATGTCCTGCTCAGGAGTATCGGTGTTCAACGTCAATGCCCAGCAACAATTCATGTATCTTCTTTTCTTTGTAAGATAGTGATAGAGAAGAAGAAGAACAAGATAGATACATCTAGAACTACTACTACTACTAGTACTGATACAAAATCGGAATTGCAAAAATATGAGTTCTAGGAACTACAAGTATACGAGCATCTTCCTGTAGACATAGCTCCTCTACTAGGACTAATCGGTACTACCTTCAGTTCATTCATCATGTTCAAGGCACGAATACGGTATATGTTTTTTCCCCGCCCGCCGTCGTGTTCTCATGTTTGTAGAACTATGGCAGCTCTTCACTAGAGCATGAGGTAGAGGTTGTGCGTATGCGTATGAACCACCAGTCATCATCTTGAATAATGCAGTTGCTGATGCAGAAAGAAGCGAGTATCACACGATAGATTGTTGTGTCCGGTCTGTTTTGTTTATTCAAAAAAAAGCTCATGAAGTCCCCTTACGCAAAATTCAACCTCCGTGTCTTCGACTAGAAACGTCATGTTCACTTTCGACGCTCCATGCGAGAGCATCTGGATTTGGATTCCGTGTTTGCGGAAAAATTGGAATGCGAGAAGCAGGATCTCGGTTCCTCCGCAACAGGATCTAGATGTAGATGTTGAATCTGTAGTTGCCTGACTGTTCCCCGCCATTGTCGGAGTCGGCTGAGGTGGTGGTATGATCAATGTCACTAAGGCCGCATTGCGTTTGACTGAGACGTACGCGATGCGTCTCAGGTCGTCCTCCAATCTGGCTAACGTGCTTTCCGAAAAAGAACCCTGATCCAGTGACAAAGCAATCGCGGTGTCCGCTGTGGTGATCGTATCGACGCCAACCCCGAACCGTTTGAACCGGTCGAAAACCTGCGCACAGAAGCCCACAGCACCCAACATTCGAGGCGTACTGACCTCGATCACGGTGACGTCACGCTTACAAGAAATCGCACGGATTTTAGCGGGGCTGCCTCCGCTGCTCCTGCTGCTCGTCGTTAGCATTTTCAAGTCAGTATCCGAGCTCGGCGTTGACGACGTCGTAATTAGCGTCCCTGGTGTTTCCGGACTTAGTGCGTTGCAGACTTCCATCGGGATGCCTCGTGTCCAAATTGGCAGAATGGAAGACGGATGCACTACTTTAGCACCAAAATAAGCCAGTTCCGCTGCTTCTGCGTAGGTCAGACGCGGAACTGGCTGAGCCATCGACACCATCCTCGGGTCCGCTGTTAAGACGCCATCGACGTCCTTGTAGATGCGCACTAGCTTAGACTGTAGAGCGGCACCGACAATAGCGGCAGTGAGATCGGAACCGTCACGCCCGAGCGTCGTCACCTTTTTCGATAAGCGATCCCGCGCGATGAAACCAGTGATGATCGGCACTATTGGAAGATTATCGACTTCTGAATCTGTTGAGGTCCTATTACTACTTGTACAAGAAGAAGAAGAAGTAGTACTGGCTACGATGCAATTTCGGCACTGCATTTCAATCGCGTGTCGGATGCTCACATAAGATCCTTCGTGAATCACATGACTGGAGTGCGAATTTTTCTCGGTCGGATCAGCTTTTTTCTCTGTTCTGTGCTGCTGCGCGAAGCTGATAGCCTCTTCACCATCTGCAGAGGACGAGGAAGAAGACGCTGACGTTGATGACGAGAATGATCGAGCTTCTGCAGAAGCCTTGCTAGGTGAACAATGACCACTTTGACCGGATGTTAATGCGTCAGCAGGCAACAAAGGGCTTGAAAAGGCGCTGTGGCTATCCATGTCTGACAGAGGTTGTTCTGCAACTCCACCAGGCGCCGGAACTCCACAAGAGGAAGTCTGATTTGCATTATCGGCAATCTGTATAGTTTCGAATCCTACATCCCAAGAATCGAGAGCTTTCGCGTTCACCGAGTAAAGCTCTTTCAGGACCATGGCCATGAAGCGAATGCTCAGCCGTTCACCGAAACTGACGACTAAGTCTGTCGATGCAGCGGACTGAACGACTCCGGTATTGCGGAGCAAGCAAATTCCTCTAAGGACTAACTCGAGTTCTTCGAATAATGGGTCAATCTTCTCCTCAAGGAAGTGGCCCCTTCGTTTGGAATGGGAATGACTTGTTCTAATATCGTCCACCTCGCGAGGACGAGGACGGCCATGCTCATCGTGCATCAACATCAGGTCTTCGAAAATCCGATAATGGTATTGGCGAATTGGTTCGATGTCGACTTTTCCGGCTTCCTCCACACGCGCTAAACCTTCTAGCAGCATGTTGGTCGTTTTGCCCATGGCAGAGCATATCACCGCAACGCGATTTCGAGACGAGCCTGCTGTAGCGTCGTTAGTTCTGTCATCCTCCATTCTCGTCGACTGCACGATCCGGCCAGTGGTCGCATCGTCCATTGATTCCTGGTCCTGCACGACTTGCTTGCTAAGCAGACTTCTAGCCCCATCCGTAGCCGTACGTGAGGAAGCAGTCCGCTGTATGATTCCCGCCACTCGATGCAAGCAGGTCGCATTCTGGAGCGAGGACCCACCAAATTTCAACGTAATCCAGTCAGATGAAGTGGATGACCCCGCACCTTCGGAAATCCTAACTGCTGTTGCTGATGACGGTGAAGATGACATTCTGTCAGAAGTTCCTTTTGATCTTGACGTATGCGTATGCGGTGCAAACCACGCAACAAGCATAGAAAGTGTAGCTTTAGCTGGATGGTAAGATTCTAAAAATCGTTGCCCTAAGACTTCCAAAGGACTACTTCTGCTTTTCATTTGAACTTATTCAGTTTTGCTAGTACATTTTGTGATAGCAGCCACGGCGTGGCACACGAGATCGCTGGGGGGACACCGACACAACATCTCTCTGGAAAATACCATCTCTTGCGGGCTCCATGACTAACACGATTTTCAAAAAGAAAGTTCACGACCGAAGCACGGAAAGAACAGCGAAATGGTACAGTTAGAAGATGAGGATATTTTTTTGTATCCACCGAAAAGCCATACATCAGAACTACAGCGAACAGATTCTGAATCGGAATACGAATTGGATTCGAATATCTTCTAGAAAAGACATATCTATGATTGCTTCGATTTGTTCATGTGCATTCTCAACCCATGTTGATCTCTCGGCTCTACTTATGCTCGTAACGCCTTGTCGCAAGATATTGATATTGCTTAAAACACGACATTGACCGACGTTCCTTTACAAACACGTAAAGCATCTCCACCTCGATGTGAGTTTGGCTGCGAGTTTATAATCGGCTGCAAAGGCGGTGGCGGAGAGCCAGAGTCTCTATCTCTTCACCGTGTCGGTCTTCGGTCGCTGACCACCTTGTCGGACACGAAAAGGAGAAAAGGGGAGGGGCCATGCTTTCCTTACGGTTGACACGAACAGAGCTGTGCGGCTCGTACTCAGATATTTCAGTATCGGGGCTACATAATCTCGATTGAGAAAGTCAAAGTTCCTGATTCAAAATATTACAGCCGCCAAGGCTTGAATTCCCCACGTCCCCCCGACGCTCACGATCATGTCTGTGAGCATCACAAGCGCGAGTTTAACCTTCAACGCTTCATGCGCCTCACTGCTAATGCTGGGTGATACAGAAAGTTGTGAGGTATGCGGACGAGAGGTGCTGGTGGGTGAAGGGGGAGTGATAGGACTACTTGCTCCTGCTACTTCGGTCGGCTCTAGTGAAGGGTCTTCTGTGGTGTAGAGGCCTAGGAGGTAGCTGACGCCTGGAACTACCTCAAACAAGAGGACGAAGATGAGAATGAAATAACCGAGCCACATTCTGAAGAGCGGTTTGTTGTTCCGAAAAGGAATGAGGAATGGCCGGCCGGCATAATTTGCCAGAAAATTTGACAGTTGATTAATCTGCACGGCGAAAAAAAGAGCGGTGCCGCGCAATGTCGGCACGAAGTCGAATTCCGAATAGGTTAACCGCAGATGTCGCGTCTCAACCTGGTAGATGTCTGCTTCTCCTGAAGCAGAGGTGGCCGCGGCTTTTGTGATTTGATGCTCTTCTTGTGCTTCCCCAACGGCATCGAGCATGGCTCGCAGACAGGCCAAATGTGTTGTGATCTGCAAAATCATGCTCCCCAGACAGCTGAAGCTGAAAAGCGAGGCAACAGGGCGTTGTCGGCTCAGCTTCTCGACTTTACTGCGGCTGATGAGAAAAAAGAGCGCGCTTATTGCCATAGACTCCACTAACGCCTGTGCTTCCCCCGTCCTTGTTCCATCCAAGGTGACTACGAAAAGCCCGCATGCTAAAACGATGCTGTTGACGCCCATAATCTTGTACATCTGCAGTGTCACGCAAACAGCCCCGCGACCAGCCTGCAAAAGTTTGGGTACACACTTGACACTCTCTCCGCGATACGTGAATGGACTGGCAATCGAGGCTTCTCCCAACTCTGCGGTTCCCCGTCGTTCCCTCTGGTGCGGGTCTCTTGAACCTTCGGAGTCTTCCATTAAGTCTAGCTCCTCTTCATCCTCCTGCTGATCCTTGTGCTTGTCCCGTGCTCCACTTTTCTTACTCCTGGCTGGATTCGAAGTCTTCACATCAGACGATGCTGAATCCAGCTTGTCTCTTCTCAACGCCCTTGATGATGAGCTACTGCTTTTCGACGCAGTCGCTCCTAGTAGTGCAGCCGTATGAGTGTTATTTGATGACGTTGTAGTTGTAGAGCTTGAGGATGTCGATGTTCCCAATAGAGAAATGCCGACATGGGCGCGTTTCAATGCGCCCACATCATTCAAGCCGTCTCCGATCATCAAAGTGGTCTCGCCACATTCGTCTTTCAATGTGTCTAGAATAGTCTTCTTCTCGTCAGGCGATGTGCGGGCAAACACCGTTACATGTTGCACCAGTTTTTTCCACAGAGCTCCGTTCTCGGCTTTTCGTACTGCTGAACTGGTAACTTCCGCAAACGAGACGCAGAACGCATAAGGGGCCCTACCTGCCTCATTATTATCGTTCTCCCCTTGGCGTTGGCCTTCTCCTCGCCGCTGCTCCCAGGAACGACAATCAGAATTCAAAGAAGAACAATGACTCTGTTCGATCGTATCGAAGGGCAAACAGGGCTCCTCCTGCTCCTCTCCTAGCCCTCCCTCTGAGGAAGATATGAGCCCTAAACTGTTTGTTCCAGGAACAAAAGAGCTGGCTTCCCGCCGCCAGACAAATGTATTCCCTTTGGCTACAAGTACTAGCATCTCCGCAGCCGCGTTAGCGAGGCCAGCCTCCTTCGCAACGTGACAAGCTGTGGCGCAAGCATCGCCTGTTATCATCACACAGCGATGCCCGGTTTGTCTGAGCTCTCGAATAGTTTCGCTCGTACGTGGTTTCAAGTGTGATTTCAAAGCCAGGAAACCTGCGAAAATTAAGCCAGATTCGCAATCTTCTCGAGATAGTGGGCCTGATGACGTCCCAGAAGGTGTAGTCGAGGGAGGAAACTCTTTGTAAGCCAGCGCAAGGACCCGTAAGCCCTTTCGCGCCAGCTTCTGTGCCTTATTCTCAAAGGCTTTTTCCGCATCTTTGCTGACAAACTCGATGCGCCCCTTTAGCATTTCTGGCGACCCTTTCACGAGACTCAGCAGGCGCCCTGTAGAGGAGTCGTTCTTGCTGAATATTCTATTCTTAAAATTGTTGGAATGATCGTCACGGTCACCGCGACGTTTGTTGTTAATATTCTTCGTTTTGGTCTTTGACGCACCTGACGCATTTTTATCAGAAGCTTGCCGAAGATTAGTTTCCATCTGGTCTATGGATGTTTTGATTACCTCAACGAGGACTGACATGCGTTGTAGCTCTGACCGGAATGGGTGCTGGGTAATTTTGCGAATGGTGCGAGATGTTAAAGCTACTGAAACTGATGGGTCAGCTTGTGTTGATGAAGTAGAGACGGCAGAGCTAGTAGTAGATGAGGATGCAAGGGGCGCAAAAAGCCCCCCGAGTCTCAAAGCTCCTCCGACTGCAGCATCTATGCGGTCCCTCGTCACTTGCGAAAATGAAGATGTTGTTGACGTTCCTGCGGTCGAAATGCAATCTTCATTCGCCTTCTCCTTCTGAATCTGATCATGACCAGTCATGCTTGTAGTCGCTGGTTCGTTGTCACTACTTCCACAACTTCGACCAGTTCTGCTCACGCCCGTCTCTGTGATGACACCACCGAGTCCTATCTTCCAGCCAGCATGCGACAAAGCGGCCGCCTCTGCAGGATCTCCGACAATTTCACCACCAACGTACACAAGCGAGTTACATCCACCTAGAACGAGCTGGGCCATCTGCGAATCCCCGATTACTGTAGTTGGGTTTTTGGTGTTAGAATTATCTTTGCTCTCCACCTGCTGATTCTTAAGTACAGTCTGAGATTCTACTTTCTCGTCCATGTCGTTCACTTCGGGTGTTTCCACAAGTTGCTCAGCCACAACAGTATCCTTGCTGCGACTCTTTTTCACTTTTACGTCGCTCACCACGTCCGCCACAGTGTAATCGGAGCTGCTAAGAGTTCCCGTCTTATCGAAGCAGCACGTCGTGACGCCTCCTGCGTACTGGAACCTGTGTGCTTCGGTACAGAAAATGCGCAACTTGTGCAACGCAACGAGGAAGAGGCTCGTGACGAAGGACAAAGTAGTCGGAAATTCAGGTGGTACAGCAGAGGTGATCACGTGTGACACAGACAAAAACAGGCGCCACTGAGACCGAGGCTGGGATCGGTGAAGCATGTCTAATAGCAAAGCGAAATGGTTGTCGTCAGTACTGTTGATCGAGCTCGACGCCTCCGCTGAAGATGATATGGAGGACGCGTCGCCATCGCCGTTGCACAGGCTCCGCAGCTGGCGGTGCGTCTCAGTAAGGTGGAGAGTTCGGTGCTGCTCGAGCCGCGATGGCGTGGTTGTTGTCGTAGTTGTTGAGGACGAAGCAGACGTTGACGCCCATAGCTCCTCTACCTCTACTCCTTGCACAACTTGCTGCTGGTGCTGGTCCTCCAGTGCTGCTGCTGCTGCTGCTGCTTTCGTACTATTGAACGCAACATGCCCAGATCCAGGAGGCAGAGGCTTTTTCTCATTGATCCTGGTCCGGAGGGCACGATGCAACACGGATCGAGCCTGCTCGAGTCCTCCTTCGACGTCTAGTCCTGTTGAACTTGAACCTATTTCTGCAACAGGACCGCCACAGCCCTGTTCCTTCCACCACTTCTCCAAAGCTGCGTTCGCCGTCTTACTGTGATTTTCCGGGTACCATACGAGCCCGTCCCAGAGGAGGAAACAACAGGAGCAAATTCCGAATACCAAAAGTATCGCAAGGAAGTAGTAGAGCTCTGACTGTGACGTTTCAAGGGTCGCCCGCTCCGCGTTGGAGACTATGGTCCGGATGAGGGACCCCTGCTTCGTGTCGTAGCTCGTATGCAAGACCATACCCAGAGCGTATGCCTCATCTTCTTTTGCCTGTCCTGGTGTTCCTCTCATGGATGCAGCAGTGGAGGAAAGGCCCTCTTGATGCTCTTGCTCTGCCGTTATGGTTTGTCCATTAAGATACAAATCCCTCTCATGAGCAGGAACTGGTAACCCTATAACATGGTCGAATTCAATGGCTGCAGCTCGTCGCTGCATCCTCTCAACCTCCTCCAGCTGAGCCGTCAATGCGTGCAGTCTTTTAAGAAGATGTTCTGGGGGTAAATGTACACCAGCGGGTTGTCGACCTTGTTCAGCTCCGCTTAGTACGTGCACAATCTTTGTGCCCGAATAGACAATGTGCCCTTTTCCGAAAACCGAATCTGGATCAGCTGACTTTTTCTCCTGAAGAATGTCTCCTGTGTCAGCCTTGTGCTCATTCTTCAGCGGGAGGTACAAACTCTCGAATCTGGTATGAAAGTCATCGCGGTAATTGAGGTTTTGACGATCGCCTACGTTTGATGGAGTGGGAGATTCTCGTTGCTCTTGTTGTAATTCTCCCACGTTTATTGTTGAGTTTCCGGTATAGCTCGTTTTTGCTTGCGGAAGTGTTTCCCCGGTCAGCATACTCTCGTCGCAAAGACATGCTGATTCTTGTAACAGCAACACATCAGCTTGTTGTGGAGCAGTCTTGTTTGCCAGCAGTACAGTAATGTAACCCGGTAGGAGTGCCCGACTGCTCGTCAATTGCCAGGATCCGGACGACGAGCCACTCCCAGTTATTACGGAATTTGGAATATAGACTAGGACTGGGCGCTCTGGGAAGACCATCTGTTCACGCAGGAGCGCCATATCGTCGACCCGCCTTGCCGCGAACTGCACTTCCAGAAGCACTAGCATCGCGAAGGTGAAAAGCGAGTAATACCAGTAAGAGTCGAGCATCCAGAGGAGCGTGCAGGTGATCTGGAAAATGAAGAACGGGCTCGTAAAGTTTTCAATCGTCGCATTCGTCAAGTCGGGGGCCGCAATATCGAAGGCATTCGTACCAGCTAGCAAACGCAGACGGTCAGGTTCGGCAGGAGCTGTAGTTGACAAAGTAGAAGACCCTGAAGAGGAGCTACTTCCGCCAAATGTTTCACCATGACTCGTGTTGCTTTTGAGCAGAGATTCCAGATTCCTTACTTTCACCTCAACAAATCGCTGACTCGGTGAATCCCATAGGTGTCGCGTTCGATCTATTTCGATCATATAATACGATACCAGAAGGGACGACGACGAGGGCGAAGCCGGTTTCTGATGTTGTGCAGATGAAGGAACTGTTTTGTCCTCTTCGATTACCAGTGGTCTCAAGGACGTAGAGCCAGACTCTCGCCACCCAGTACAGAGAAAATGCGGGTGCCACACGCCTCCAAAAAGCTTTTCTAGCATGTTCCCAGGTTGCGTTAACACGGAAAACAGGCCATGGACTTCACAGGGCTCGAATACGAAGCCACAGGAGTCACTCTTCCTACCACTCAACATCTCTGTAGGTGGACTGCTTCGTCCTGTTCTGAAAGTAGTAGGATGATCTTTTGCGAGAGTGACCTCCAGAACAGTATCCAGCAGCATCTGCAACGCATCTAGCTTACCTCGGAAGCCACTTTTGCTACTTGTTTTTGGACCTTCTTGTGGACAAGGCTGCATGAGCCGAGACGAAGCAGGACTGTAATCGTTTGGTCTTACATCTCTAGTGGCAATTTTCTCAGAAACTGCGGGCCGAAACGCAAACCTGTATCGCTTCTCGCCGCTACTAGAAGAAGTTGCTGTTACTCCTCCTGTGCTTTTAGCTTGACGTCCGCTGTTTGAGCGAGAAGCTGTAACTGCCGTACCCGAGGCACCACCATGGCGTCTCCTAACTCCATTCTCAGTATCTGATGCAGGTACCGATATTATATCTCCCACATTGCTTCCCACTTCCAGTTCGGTCTCCGCAATTTGCGTTGATGAAATCGAACGCTGCAGGGCCATTTCCACAATTGGGAACAGCTGTGCCTGTGAGGCTGGTCTTGATGAGTTCTCCTCTTCGCTGGCATTTTTCTGCTCCTGCAGACCACTAGTTGGTGCACCAAGATCGTGAATTTTTTCAGTTCTTGTCGCGGCGTCAGCTTCAGCATACGGAAATCTGATAAGCGCGTGGGTTGCTTCCTCAATTGTCTGAACCTCTCGAAACCGCAAGAACAAGCGAAGACGGAGACTCCACTTGGTGCTCAGCACAAGCAAGCACTGGATATAGACGGGGAAAAAAATCAGAATCTTCAAAAATGCAAAATGTTCCTCTAACGCCTCATCTTCCTGATTGCCAATCGATGCTGGGCCTGAAAATTGTTCTTGAGTGTGTTCTAGGCCATCATCTCCAAAGAAGCTTTCTGCTAGTGAGCGAAGCTCTGCTATGAGTCCAAAAATGTCGTAAGTTTCCGGGTCCCACCAATCTACGCGCGCAACGGAGATGGCATGCGTGACTGTGAAGAGATGGACGACGCAGAAACACAGTCCGTCCCAGCCACGAAATTGCCTATATTCCTGGTAGAACTTCGTCATCCTCTTGCTCTTTGGATTGGTGCGACTAGTACTGCTGCAGCTCTAATGAATCATGAATTCATAGTTTCAATTTCTTGTATGTGTATCATTCAAATCAAAATCATCTTCATTGACCCAGAAGCCGCACTCCACCACATAATCAGAATCGTAATGATAAGATGAATAAGTCAACCTCTTTTTCTATTAAGCAATACAACTGATACTGACCTTCCCGACGTAGAATTCTATGGGTTCCTCCATTCTAAATTCAATTTCAAGATCTTGTTGATAATATATCACCAGGGCAATCGTGATGGAACGACGTTGACATCGAATCTATACAACATCAGTGTAGGGATTCGTTGTTGGCTGTAAGAACGAGAACCCAGCTCAGGATCCATCTTGTGTCTTGGAAAAAACCGACGAAGTCTGCCGATTCACCCGCTAGCATCATCTTATTCAGGCTTTTCGTAGTATCTATTGGGGAAGAAAGCAACACCCATTATTCAACATCCTGCTTGTGCTTGTCTGTAGTACTTTCATTCAGGAGAAGATGATAATTCAAGAAAAAAGTACATCTGTAATAGTTGGCCCTTCTAGAAGTCGCTGGGGAGAGATCAATTTTTTGGTTAATGCAACTTCCTTTTACATGTACATTTGATTTTATGAGTAAAACATGCCCATCTTGATCAACAATAACATCGTGCAAGCAGAACTATGAACCCGCTCGATAGCGCCCCAACTATTTCTATGGTCACTCAGCATATGATGTATGGTCTCTGATATTAATATTACTGTGTTTGCGTTGGTTAGTGTTCTGGGTTCAGCATGGATATTCTAAGGTTACTCGCGCACTATGACAATGCCTGCATCGGCAAAAGAAGCTTCATCATCATTGCGTCTCAAATGATTGTGCAGAATCATCGCCAAGACCAAACATTTCCTGCGACGGTAAAAAAACACGACTTCCTCTTGTTCCTGACTAAAGCAAAAGCTAAACTACTGTTTATTACTTATACTGGGACTTCTCTCTCTCTCATTCTCTCTCTCACTGACCGCCACTAGTAGTTTGCGGGAGCGTGATCAATCGGACACGGCAATGCGCGATGCGCCGAACGTCGGATTTGCTTTCGTCCACCACGTCCTCTGAGGAGAGGTGGTAGTTTGGGTGATTATCGGGCTTCAGCTCGGAGTTATCCGATGATGAGCTGCATAGGTGTTGCATGATTACCATGATTCCCCTGGAATACGAGATACCAATACCTACGCAATGATGGAATTCCGACGAGATTTCTCATTTGATAAATCTTCAATGATGCTCGCTCGATAAAATGAATTTTTCAGGTGCAGCGGCACGTCGTATGCAAAGAGGAAATGTAATTTAGGGGTGCTTATGCTTCTCTACTGACGAAAACTTCTATCTAGGCAATCCACTTCCACTAACACTACGAAACGAGAATCTACGTTGACAACTTTATTTCCGCGTCAATGTAGTGGTTCAGTTCTTCACTTCAAGTTTGTGAAAATGATTTCCGATCATCATGCACAGCGTGTAAAGGAGCGACTGAAGAGACCTTTGGAGACAGTTCGTTGTAGAGTAGAGTTACTGACAATAAGAGAGGAAAGAAGGAAGAGCTTAGATGAGGCTGGCATCATGTTAGTCATGTATCACCAGTGAAAGTTTGACCCGAAAAATGTTTGCGCAGCGAATCCCAGACATGCTCCGAACTGACTACGCGTGAATAACGAAAAGAAAAGGAGAGCACGGATGTCCTACTGTTCCAGGGCTTCCGGATAGTAGTCTCGATAGTGTGAGGGATTCAAATGCAGCTGCTCGAAAACTGCGTTTGCCGCAAATTTGTCACGGAAACAGCTCTGAATGCCTGACGAACCCGGTTCACCAAACCGGCAACCAGTTCCGTTACCTGCCAAGACCGGGTCTGACTTGCGCATAAGCGCTCTCTTCCAGTATTTGTAGTGTTCTGCGGCGGTCAAATTATCGTAGAGCTTCGATTTGGATTTGCTTGGACTATCACGAGGTACGTCAGTGGTTGATGTCGTTACGGTTCTGCCGAAGGCAGCGAGACCCCCGACCGCCATGGCAATCGCAGAAACGGGTGAGCGCCACGAAGGTGACACAGGTGAAGACGACTTTTGTTCACCATAATGACCTCCGGTCGCAGAAGGTGATGCGCCTGCACCCGATGCTGAAGAAGACTGATGATCATGTAGTTGTTGACAGGTGCTGCTGGATTTGTTGCTGCGTTGTAGTTCGCGAGCTTTCTGCAGATCGAATTGCGGCCGGAGCCATTCAGCAAGATCAATGCGCGCAAAACTGCCTGAAGCATCGTCCTCCTGCTTTGAGGAAGGATAAGATGATGGTGCATGCCAAAAAACCCCACCAGCAGGTCCAGGCGATGGACTACTCCTGGCACTGGAGGATGACACAGACTTGGACCACGTGCTAAAAGCTTGAAAGTTCTCTAAAGCGCAGCTCGTCGTAATCGCATCCAAAAATTTTTGCAGTGGATCATCTTCAGTTTCAGAAGGCATCTTCTTGTTCTTGTTCAATATCGTTTCTACTTTGATGAGAATAGCGTCATTCCCAGTTTGTTTGAGTTTTTCATCCGACTCGGAGTCTAAGATAACTCCGCATCCTCCAAACGCCACATCGCAGGCATCGAAGACTTGCTCGTGTGCGACGTCATTCTCCTTCTCACTATGAGAGGGAAAGTTCTTCTCACGGCGTCGCAGGAATGCTTGCCGTCTTTCCTCCAATTGAGTTAGCGAGTCGTCCACTGCTACTTGGAATAGCGTTCGTTCGATATCTGGGCTAAGCTTCCGAGGAAGCTTATATTCAGCATTGTCATCCTGTTTCATTGGTCCTTGTTCTCGAGGCGAAGCACCGCCAACTATGGTTTTTCTTCGTCCACCACGTGTTCCTTGTCCTCGAGGATCACTCTGACTACTGCCTGCCCGCAATCGCGCCAATGTCTTGGCTAACCCTGGTCGACCTACAAGTGATTTTGAGACTATGCCCTTGAGAGTTTCGGTTCGAGTACTTTTTTGGAGCTGCGTGTACTGTTCTTGAATCTCATCTGAGAGTGCAGATACGCCAGAAGGTGCGTGGGTCAATGGTGAATCACCACCTGCTCCATCATCGCGTTGCCAGCCATTGACATTGCATAGAAAAGTTGCTGTGAGCTGCTGTCGAACTGCATGTGCCTCAACTAAAAGGCTGAAACATTCCAAAAAAGTTTTAACACAGATGTATTTCCGAGGTGGCCGTCTCGGTCTCAGCACAACAAGGGGAGTCGAAGACGGAAGTCCGAGGGAACCTGAAGAGCTTATATTTAGTCTGGGAGTTTGACGATATCGAGGATTTGTAATTGTATTTCCATCTATTTATCTATTTCATCCTGGAAGTATAATTACTTAAATACAGGTGAAAAGAGATTTTCAAGTCGATGTTTGTGCGCGCAGACGAGAGGATCATGTTCATGATCAACTGGTTCTGGTCATAGTGAGTCTACTACAAGACTACATGATAAGATGAAGCGCAAGTCCGAACCTTTGATACCACTGGCAGTTGCCACATTTGCCGCCGTGAGCGCTCGCTTTAGCGGCGCCTCGTCCTCGCTCGATGAAGACGCGCCCTGCATCCCCATGGTTTTTTGGAGGAATAGCCAGGCTCGCGCATCCATACTTTCTATCTGAGAAGACGGAAATCCGAAGTCCTCGCCACCACGTCGACGAGACGGAGAGACGCCGGCCACGACAAGCGCCTGGTCCGCTCTCGGTTCCAGAAAGCTCGCCGTCCCTGTGGCTGCGCTGAATACGGTGGCGCTTAGTTCGCGCGCCTTCACGGCAGATGGTAGCTTTACCGGGGATACACTGCTGTTGCGGCGGGTAACGGTGCATGCCGCGCTGCCTCCGGCGCTTGACGCGTGGTGAACAGTGAGCAACGGGTCAATGTCGCGGCCGCTGCTGCGGCGTCTACTTTGCAGCCCAGCTCCGCTGACTCTCGGCACAGTCAGCAGTCGTCCACTTCCTCTTCTAGTCGTCTCATGAGGCATTGGGCTGAACCGAGGATCTGCCATTCTTCCAGGAGCGGGGGACCTGAGCATTATCGAAGACGGTGAGCCTCCAAAACTAACTCCGGGAACGTCCAAAAAACTTCCACCCTGGTAGCTCTGACTGGCATCGACATCGTTGGGGCCGCTGGTCTCATAGAACTGCGCGGCCAATTCGTAGCCGTACGCTCGAACCATCTGCATGAGCGATCCCTCACGGTCGAGATCTACCTCCCCGGGAATCGTTGAGGACCCGCCCAACAAAGTCGTAGCTCGTGTTTTCACGCGCCGATCCTTCAACACCGTCTCGTAGTGGGACAAACCACTGGCAGGGTCCTCAATCGCCGCTGTGTGCACTCTACGTATACAGTCGTCTACGACAACTCGGTCGAGGGCATCTGACGCATGAAGATTGCGTTCTTCATTGCTGTTCAGCTGCTCCAAAAGCGTAGAAATCCAACTGGTCAGAATCAAGGCGTTTCCCCCACGTCCCTGCAAGGACGTGCTCTCGTCTAAACTCGCCGCAAATCTAGTCAGTTTAGTCGCCTCCTTGCTAGAAGTTTCTCCATGTTGATCTGTCTCAGTTTCATCACCCGCAGCGGCGTCACCTGCACCACGTTGGTCGGAGTCATCATTGGCGTTGTGCCCCGCAATTACTCTATCGAGACGTCTCTCCTTCTCCTCGTCTGAGAATATTGGCTTCTCCGCTGAGAAAAATGCGCCTTTCCCAGGACTCGACATAGCTGACTGCATTCTCGCTTCTTTCATTGGCGTTTCTCCCATCATCGCGATGATACGTCGTGAAACTTCCTCTGGATCTGTAGCTTCTGTAGCTACAGGCTGGCCAGATTGAACAGCCGCAGCGCTAGGATCGCCAGAAGTATACCATCCCTCGGATTCCGAAGTAGACTCCGGTGGAAGCATTTGAGTCGCTGCGGCTTCGCGTTCGCCAGCCTTTTTCCCACTCCGTGCACTGGTGCAACGGCTGCTACTGCTAGGACTAGGAGTGGGTCGCAGGTTTGGCACGATGCTGCTGGTCATGGTCGAATGCACGCGCTCTTTTCGTCGTCGCTCAGCCTCTTCCACGGCGATCCCCTCTCCTTGTCGTTGTCCTTGTAGTCCAGCTATTGCGTTATGATTTCTTTCCATTTCCAGTTCGTACGGATGTGGCGGATTACTCGAAGCAGGGGACTCTTTAACCATCGATCGCGGTGTCCTGTACCGCTGACCTGAACCAAATTGTTTTTCGAGATGACCTTGAGGATGCGCACTGAACGTTTTTGGCTGTTGCGTGCAAGGAGGTAACGCATCTTTGATCTCGTTACTTTTGCCATCTTTTGCGCCTCTCGTTTCACTTTGATGCTGCTGGCCGACTTTGGTTGTTTGGTCCTCTTCGCAGCTTGTCGCTGATTTTGAAGATTCTAAATTCAATCCCGCGCCGCCCGCTGTCGTCAGCGTTTCCGTCTCTGACGTTGAGGAGGGAAGGTCGGGAAGCGTATTAGTGAGTAAGCTAGCCGTCTCCATCTCACTGAGGTCTGCGTTAGCGTTCTTCTTCGCCACAGCATCTTCAGCGTTCGATGACTTCAGGCTTGCTTGATTCAAAAACAACCCATCAGCCGAATCCTCGTCTTCCTGCGAGATCAATTTGATCGGCGCGCGTTTATTCATCTGACTCCCAAGGTTCTGATTTACAATTCCCTTACTGTTCGACCGGTGTCTCTGCAACTGTCCTTCAGATGAATTCTTCGAGGCAACCGGATCTTGATCATCGTTTTCGCTGTCACTCTCACCCGTATTCCTTTTTCTTATCTTTTCTTGCTCTTTGAGGAACTGTGCCCTCAACTTCCGTATATCAGCTTCACGCGTCTCGTGATACAGTTTGCCCATCTGAGAAAGACCGGGTGGCGCAGCGGAGACTGACGGAGCTTCTGCTCCAGGTTTGAAAGAGGCAACATTCGAGGTGGATGATGTTGGTGCTGCCTTCATTTTTTTCGTCACGCTGCTTGAGTCGTGCTTTATGACGCTTTGATCTCTTACTTTTTCACCTGCCTTGGTCGTTTCAGTTGTCTCTTCATCGTTGTAGAACAAGACCAAATGAGGTGAAGGAAGACGATGGAGGGGGCTCTCAGGAGGTACGAGGTCTGTCAAACTGCCGCGCGGCAGCGCAAGGCCTTTGAGAGTGCCACCAAGAAAAGCACGATCAGCGTTAGTCTCCTCTTCGCTGCTCGTCAGAAAGCCGTGACTTCTGCGCAAGCCAAGCTCTGCTGTTTCGTTTTGTGCGATCAGTGATTTCGTTTGAACCTCGTCGATTCTAGTACCGATCGTAGAAGCTGGAAGAGATTCTAACAGGCGTCCTGCAGCCGCGCCACGGCGTGGCCGCGTCGATTTCCGCTGGTGCAGCAATGAAGAATTACTATTTTGGATACTCGATAAAGCGGGAGTTGGAACTGGAAGCTGCTGTCTCGTCATACTCTCCACCCCAAGAACGTCACTGGAAGACATTAAACCACTACCACGCTGGTCTCGTTTTCTCAGCTTGCGAAGAGACAAACTTGGGTCAAATGTCTGGGATGCGTTTCTATCGCCGTTCAAAAGTGCGTCTTGCCACTGCTCTATCTGTTGAAACCGCTCAAGATGGTCGTCCGGCAGTTGCGCCTCTGCAACGCCTCGTTGCCGCGAAGACAGCAATTGGCGGTGCTTCCGCTGCAAGGTTTTCGTGGGTCTATCAGAACTACGCTTGAACGTATTACTTCGGGTTTGGGCTGAAGCTGATGGGCCTTGTCCTAACGTCGTGTTTGAGACACCCTGTGGCTCTGCTGCTTTTTGTTCTCCCATCTGCTCTGGGACTGGAACTGTCGTCGCACTGTCAGTGAAAGTCCCCTCAACTCCAACAGCAAGTTCTGAGTTTGCAGGTGCGTCTGCGAAGGCATCTCGTTCTCCCGGCATAGGAAAATGATCCTCAATGACACTGGTGGAGCCACTCTTGCTACTTCCCTTGTTTTGTGCGACGCGCCTTCTAGGCGACGCAGAAGCTCTCATATAGTCAGCTCCATCCGTTGTTACTGGACGCTGGAAATTTACAGCCTTCTTTTTCGTTTCCTCCATGTAAGACAGGTCTGCGCCGCTTGGTCCGCGAGCCCCAGCGACAGAAATGATGGGCCCTCCTGTTGTGGACGAAGAGATAGACCAGGAATTCTCCATTTCTTCATCGTCGGATGTCCGCCTTGGAATTTGTGGGAAGAACGTTGCGTGACTCGTCCCCGGCCTCAGGATCTCGCCAAATGCAGTGAGCGTTTCACGAGCAGCAGCGTTCGACGAGGAGGATGCGGCAACGACAGAAGCTGCAGCTCGCGCACTTCGCTGAGGAGAGGCGGGCCCCAGCACGGTTCGTGCGTCTTTTTCCACGCGATCCCGGACTCTGTAGTTGGCGGTACTCGTACTACCAACAACAGTATTTGCGTTGTGTTCGTCTCCACTTCGCGAAGCCACGTCGACGGTCCAGGGTGGACTGCACGCCGAAGAGAAATACCCATCGCCACGTGAAGAGGCGGCCGATGAGGAAACGCGAGCACCACTACCTGCTGATGTAGTAGTCGACGTTGCACTCGCTGAAAACGGAGGTCGCGTCTCGCGACTTGAGATGTGACCCCGCGAACTCGAGCGCTTTCTCCACCCTTTTTCCTTTTCGGCGCTTGAAGGAGTTGCGCCTGCGCTCCTAGCCGAATGCCTCCTTGAAGACGCCAACGCCTTGGTGCTAACATTCTCGGTTTCACTAGACGACGACGGAGTATCTTGAGAGAGACTCGTCTTCGGTCTTTTTTTGGTTGAAGAATGCTCATGCCCGCTGCCTTCCTTCATCTTGCTCGCCCTAGAATCTCCGCGCGCAGATGTTGATCCTGCCGCTGGTGAATGATTTCCACCACGACGTCGGCTAGACGTTGTAGATGCTGCATCTTCGCGTTCTCGCGACATCGACGCTGTTGCAACCTTGTTGGTACTTTTCTTGCTCTTTCGACTTCCAGAACGCGACATCACTTGGCTTTTCCCTTCATCAACGTCGCGAATGAAATGTACTTCTGGCATGGAAGAGGGTCTATTCTTGCGCGAAGCTGATTGACTCGAAGCTGCTCTGCTTTCCATCAACTCATTCGGAAAGGCGTCTCCGGAATTAAAAACGCCAGTTCTAGAGTCCTGGCTGAGGCCTACTCGTCTTTGTTCGTCTGCTACGTGGTCAGCAAGGCTTAACAAAACTCGACTTTCTGTCGCAGATGCGGCTCGCTCCCTCTCACGACTTAGGCTTGTAGCCTTTTTCAAACGCGGTGGCGAAGTGCTGAATGTTGTAGTGACTGGACTTTTCCTCTCTTGCGATAAAGTTAAAGACCGCTTTGTCAGCTCGTGAAGCGCTCGAACCTCGTGTTCTGCCATATCAGCACTGAGCTCTGTCGAATCCTCATGTACTTCAACAGCATTGAGATCACGATCGAAGAGAATTCGTTTCCGAGGTGATCGTGACCGTCCTCTGCTTCCTGACCGAGAACTACTAGAAGGTACTAGAACGGTTGCCGCTTTTGACGTTGTCAAACTTGTTGTGGTTGCTTGCTTGCCTACTGCAAGAGCGACAACTTCCACATGTCCGGATTCTGTAGCTCCTGGCTCTTCATCATGCTGATGCGATGCAAATAGAGGAATGTCGTGATCAAAGCTACTACGGAGGGACAGCTCTTTCTGCAAACCAACGGCACTTTGAGATGCATCCGATACCTTCTCGGAACGAAAGGTCGGTGCTCGCGAGATCTCTTTGAGGCTGGTGAGCCAATCTGCGCGCGGTGCTGGCGGAGAAAAGCGTCGCTGTTTGCGAGTGGCATCTTGCACCCGCATTACAACTGTGCGATTCTTGCGATCGGTTGTGACACACCTCATTTTCCCAGGCGAGCTCTGCGCGCGACTCGACTTGGTGTTGGATGACGCTGAAGCTCCCAACAACACGTTTCCTCCGTGGTGTTTTTGACTTGATAGTTGCACAGCATGATGATGCTGCTTCGTGGAGAGGCTCCTTGATGCGGGTCTGTGATCTTCCTGGCCGACGACGCTAGGAAGCTTATCCTGCTGTTGTGCACTGGTCTCTAAATTGTCCAAGTCTACTTTCTTGTCGGAAAGAGTCAACGACAAGTTCGCCGCAATAAAGGACAAGCTCTCAATGCTCAAGCTACCAACGGTATCGTTAAGCAAAGAATTATGAGGCAGCAGGTAGCCAGCATTGTCATGTGACAGGGAGGACAGCGCTGAAGATACAACTGTTGATGCACGTTGTCCTTCTTGTCGTGGTAGTTCATCATATTTGTTCTTTAGTTTCCTTGATGACGATGTTGATGAACCAACACTCGTTATACTCGGTAACAATGTTGATAGTGAGTTCGGTTGTCCGCTAGGCACGACTGCGCTTGTCGAGAGCAAGAATTCAATCTGTGAACCCGCACTCTCTCCTGCATGAGCATTGCGGCTAGTCTCGGCCACAGAAAAAGTTGAGAGTGGCAGCTTTTTCCTGCCATTTTCAGAGGTACTCACTGCAGCACCAGAAACAGACTTTCTCATCATCAATGACTTCGAGTCGGCTAGCAGACTCGTGGAAGTGACAGCGCCGCCGTCGCAACTGCTGCGCGTAGCCGGTGCCTGCGTGGACGGGAGCTCAAGCGAAAGTGGTTGCACAAGCGAGTTTTCTCCGTCAAGGAAAGTGGTGGTATTTATCGAAGAGGCTGTTGACAATGAAGCTCCAAAATGGGCGACGCCGTCCAAGAGACTCTGATCCGCAGCTCGACCAGGCCTTTCTACACTGGTCTGGAGGCTTGCTTGATGTTTCCTGTTTTGGCGGTGAAGACTAGCGGTCGACGACGACAAAGCACCGCGATCTCTTCTGTTTTTGCGTTGGTCGCCTTTGCTAAAAGCGCCACTTCGCGTGTAACGCTGACGGTCAGGCGGCGATTGAAACGCGGGGAAGTCAGAGTCGAACTTTTGTCCTAGCATCGACCGATTCGGATCTTTATGGGCTGGCAGGAGAGCGGGGGTGGGTGCTCGATCGCGTTCTTTCCTTTTCTCTCTCCATGCTGCAGCTGCCACTGCCTGCCTCCGCTTCTTCTTGGTACTATTTCTTTCTCTTCCACTACGTGAACGAGAGCCATCAGCTGTGCCCGGAGGAGACTGGCTATGCAGTTCCGCGTGACCCAACGACGAATCAGCTCCCGTGTCGAACGACTCGTCACGGTTGGGAAAAGGACTCACCTGCAACCCGCCAAGTGCTTCCACTGTGGTCGGTGCAGTACTCATTCTTCTTCTTGTTGTTCTTGGACTAGTCTCTTCTCGCGTAGTGCGATTACTTCGCTCCTCAGCACGACTACATGGTCTTGATGACGTTGTGAATCCTGCGAAGTCCGGATCTTGGCCACCCTGTTCTTTCGCGCTCCCGCAAGGCCGAGCTGTTCTCTTATCGCGAGTCAGCATCAAAGAAGAGTTGCTAACTCCTTGAAACTGACTCATCCCGATAATGGAGCTGGGCACTAAGAGACTGGTGCTTGTTAGAGAAATGTCGCGTACAAACCCTCCACCAGCGCCACGGAATCCTCGCGGAGAATCACGGTGCTGCATGTGTTCAACATGCTGATGTTCTTCCGCAAGTTTTCTGCGATAGCGTGCGTCGTCTTCTTGTTCAACACCCTCACTTGCAACTGCAAGTACATCAGAGGTGGAAAATAGATCTGACATAGTGCCAGGGCGCAGCCGGCTCATCCGCTCCCGAACCAGTTGCTGGTGATCCATTTTTGAGGTATTCCGGTGCCGTCCTCCATGAAACTGAAAGTGGCCTTCAGCTTCAGATGTGATACTGTCATCTTCAAAAGACCCTGCCTCAACACCGGTAAAATCGTCGTGCTGGTGATGTCCTGATCGTCCACCTTCGCGTCCTGAGGTTGGGGATGGTTCCTCGATTACGTCGAACAAGCTGTAGTCATCCCACCTAGAAAAGTCGATTTTCGGCGAGAACGGACGACTCTTGAAAGGAACTACAACAGGCTGGTGGTGGTGGTGCCCGCCACCTTCGATGTCGGCTCCAGTGCTTCCCCCTGACGGCAGCAACAGCGAAGATTGCTCTTCGTCGAAAAGCGTGCTTCGGCTAGGCGCCAACAGCTCGCTGAGCGTGATATTTGCTGTAGGATGATGGTTGCCTGGGCCTTCACTTCGGCTTCCACCGAGAATGGCCTTGCTCTGTTCCGCGTCATTGGCTGCTGTTCGAAGACTTCCTTGCTGCGATGACGCTCGCACTCCCAATCCTCCTGTCCTATTGTTGGTCGAATTCTTGCTAGTGTTTTTCTCTCCAACTGTTCTTTTATTTTGTGCACCGTTTCCGCCTGGGATCCCTGCGGTCTTCACACTTCGGAGCTTCTTCCTCTGTGGTCCCGAGCTGCCTGCATTGCCGCCCTCCTCGCCCTCGGTTCGCCGCAACAGCTGCCGGCGAGCACCTTGATGTGGCATAAACATGTTCACACTAGCGGTAGCGCGTCCGACAGGCTGCTAATTGACACTGGCAGTGGTGCTGGTGGATCCGCCTGGTGTTATGAGAACCATTGTTCCAGTTGAGCTTTCCGACATCACGTTTCGTTTCTATGCAACAAGAACCCCCAGGACCGATGATTGATGTTGAATTACAATTAACAAGTGCACTCGGTCTACCTCTACATCTACTGCTCCTTCATGACTCTGCGTGGCCTTGCTTGGGGATGGTCAATTGCCATTGGTGTATGTTAGTGCTCAACAAAGACGCCCGGGCCCGCTGAGCTCCAGCTATTAAGAAAAACAAGAAGATAAAACTGACGTCATCCTCATCGTTACCATCCAAGTTAAACAACATCAATCTTCGCACAGAAGGGGAGGTTGCTGAGGCATCATTCTCATAGGTAGAATCAACTGGGTACGGGTAGAGCACTAGATGATATCTGCTACTTTTCTTTGTGAAAAGCCCTCATTTTGAAAGGTGTTCAGCCGCGTAAATTCTCGATGTCGACAATGTGAAGACCGATACGAGAAATACAGAAAGTTAGAAGCCGTTGAAGTTGATGCTCTTGCCCCATCCGATATTGACACGGGACAGACCAAAACCGAGGAGAAGATGATTGTTTCTGTACTTGTTGTTCAGGAATCCACATAATAGAGCAAGATATTTTACGCACAGATACATCGTCACTTTGATTGAATCCCCGTGGTCCACCCAGAGCGAAATACTCTACAACGAACCTGTTCATCAAGATTCGGATCTCCAGTAGTATCCAGTCTAAAAATGGCCGCCATCGAGTCTAAGAACTGTGAAACCTGCGTTATCCAAACGGACAACTGGTCGTTGGAGCGAAAAAGTAGACGACGTAAGAGCTAGTATATTGAGAACGAATTGCGTACAATCAATCAGTAGTTCTAAATTGTATCATATGATCTTTCTCACCAGTCTTTGTCTATTCAGCCCGTCATGCATGCGCTTACGGTACATGCGGGATATCAGTCACGGGACCGGCTAGAGGAAAAGGAGGATCCGAATAGTGTCGATCATGAATTTCAAGGGTCAGGGGCTTCTAGAAGGCGACCACATTAACTTTAAGAACAAAATAAAGATTTTTATTAATCATTAACATATTTTTGTTGTTGTATCTTCATCTAGTATGCACTATTAGATTTTTTTCGCAATCAAAAAAATAACCTTTCAAAGAAGGACAAGAACTTTTGAAGCTCCGTCACAGTTCAGGCTTGATTTGTTCCATGTACTCTTCTATGCGAGCGACTAGTTCAGCTTTTTTGCCTGAGACGTTGAGGCGCCTCGACTTGAGGAAGGCTTTCAAGTCGGGCACTTTCTCGTTGGCCAATCGTCCTTGCTGCATCAGCTTGACTATGTCGTCCTCTGTCAAGGCGTCTTTCGGACTCGCGGCTGTCTTGGGTCGCTTAGCGCCTCCCTCATCACCATCCATGAGTGGTGCGGCATTATCGACACCGCCAGTACCAGTAGCAGTAGGTGCTTTCCGCTTTCTCCCGCCTCCTCCTCCAGCAGGAGCGTCGAGTGGTAGCACACCCCCACCCATCAAAGCGCCACCGTTCAAAACCTCGATGGGCGGTTTGCTGTCCTGAATCGTCTGCACTAAATCCGTGAAGTCGGTCGTGTTGAAATACCCTTGGTCGGGCTCGGTCTCGTCCTCGATCGCTTCCGGTGCTTGCTCCCCCAAAGCAAGGCACTGAATCGCAGCGTAATGCTTCTGGAGCGCGTGGTTCGCGACATTAGTCGGATGAAATCCCACCACTTCCACCTGGTTCAGCAGCAACGCCATGCCTTCGCAAGTAGGAGCCGCATCTAGCATCGGGTGTCGAATGGTGTCGACTACTTTGACGCTCTGCTCGTTTCGGTAGTCCTCCAAATGAGGCAGCAAAATCAACGTCAGTATCTCATTATCCTCATCCACGCTAGTCGGGAACAAGGGGGTATTCGTAGCAGCAGCAGAAGTAGCTGCACTACTACTAGAAGAACCTGCAACCATCCCGCCTCCAATGTTCGCTTGATTCATGTAGGAGGTATGGGTATGATCGCCTTGTGAGCCCAAAGGTTCCCCCGCTCCACCGTTTGCGGAAGATGAAGTGGATCCAGCTAGAAAGAGAGGGTCAAACTTATTCGGAAGCAATGCTGAGAAGCGTGGCTCAGCGTTCTGCCGTTCCCTAAACCAAACCAGCATAATCAGATTTTTCGTTCGCATTTCTTGCAACAACGTTTTGTAGAGCATGGCGGAACCAATGATCCGCGACTCTTGCGGGTACACGGCATATGAGTGCCGTTTGTGGTGATAGGGCTTCAGTTTGTCACGCGAAATGAAGCCAATGAGCTCTAGGCAAGGCTCCTTGCCCTTATTTCGTAGGGTGTTCATCTCGGAATCGGTAAAAGGGATCTGCTCGCCAGCAAACTGAAGGAAGGATGAACAGTCTGTGCGGTCGTAATAACCCATTGCATCGTTCACCTTCTTGCCTTTTGCTCCTCCCACGGCTGCTGCTGCAGTACCATCTTCAGCAGCACCAGATTGGTCGTTGTTATTGTTCTCATCTTGTTCGTCCTCCCCGTTCATCGGCGCCGGTGGTAAAGGAATGTAATTTGGGTTAGGTCTCTCGACTAGTTCATTTTTCGCCAGCACGATTTCGTTATCGATTTCGTGTAGCCTGATTTTTGCCTCTGGCTTTGTCGGAAGGATGTTGATGAAGATGCCCACAGACAGGGCAATATCAGGGTCGCGCTGGAGATAGAGAGGACAACGCGCTAAAGCCCGCTTTTTAAACAGGCGCTTTCGAATGCGACTTTCTAGACTCTTGAAGTTCTGACTTTCCTCCAGCATGCTCTCGTCAGCTATTAGCGTGGTATTCATCTTGCTTCCTCCGGCATTTGACATGAAGGACAAACTGTTAGAGCTATCTATCAGAAATCCACTTCCCTCCTGAGGAGCATGAGTGACCTATGGAATGCGATCGTCGTTATCGATTGGAAAGACGAGAGCGACAACGAACATTCATGTTTTCCCCTGGCCGAGACGGATTTCCGGAAAAGTCTTAACATTTGTCGCGCCATTTCCTCCTGTGGTTCCGACAGGCATGCTATTGTCCTTCTCGTCTTCAATGTTTTCAGAAAAGATCACCCTCAGCCAGAAGAGATCCATGTCGAACGGACGCCGCATTACTGAGCCTCCGCTGTTCGAGAGAACAGGGTAAAACTCCAGCTCTATCCCCTGTTCGCGGCAATCATTGACACGCGTCAGGCAGATATCGAGATCGGTCTGCTGTTGCTCCGACAATTTCAAAGGGGAAAGGACATGACCCATCGGAGATGCCGCGAAATTCTTTTTAGCGCTGTCCCTTTAACTACTATTTTTTACCCTATGCCTATCGGTCATGGGGCGTAATATTTTTATTCTCTTCGCAACGTTTCCTTGTTCGTTGAATGGAAAAAATTTATGAAATAACAAGAAGAGCCAAGAATGGATAAAAAGTGGAAGTCGTGCTGCTTAGTAAATATAAATGATGGTAACGTAATGATCTTGTAGGGCCTTAATCTTTTTATTGGGAGTTGGCGTTCCGCCTCTGGTTCCTCCTTTCAAGGATGCCTCGACGCCGCGAAAGTGCAATGGGTCGTCATTCGAAGAGAAAATCATCACTCGCTTTTTGTACGTTAGTGACGATCTTCCGAGCTGCAGTCGGAACATCTGAGCAGCATTCCAGAACACTTCTGCCATTACTGCGCCGGTCCCACTCGTGCCTGGTTGCTCCCTCGCCCTTTTCGCCGTGCGTTCGTTACGCACAGCGCGCACGAGGTGGGTGCCGGGGTCCACGAAATGCTCCAAGACAGTGTAGATACCGGGAAACGAGCTGTAATTTTTAGCATTCTTCGTGTTGTACTTCACAATGGACAGCTTGTCGTCGCACGCAGCAATAATCTTGTGCCGCACAAAGCTCTCGATGGAGAGAAAGACCTCCTCATACCTGACGAAGATGATGTTCGTGCTGTTTTAATAGGACTACAACGAACAATGTTACAACAACTTTGAATCAACACCTCGTCCATGCTCAATTTCAATATCATCGACTTTATCCCAACATAGTCACATTTTCGTTTTTCATGTCCGTGATCGTGTTTAGCACTGCAGGAGAAAAATCAAGAAGTACAACTAGACCCAATAAATATAGAAGTACAATTCCGGGTTATGTTCTAGATCCGCGTCAATGAGGAGGATTGTGGCTTCTCTACTTGGTTCGTATTTCTCCTCGAAGATCATCTGTTCGAGTTCGCCTTCCTCCAGCTGCTCAGCTCCCGTATCTCCGAGGCCAAAGATGTCCTCTTCATCGCTGCCGAAACCAGCATCATTTTCGTCGTTGTTAAAAAACTCCATCTTGTACTACTTGATGTTCGTTGTAGTTGCTTCAAAACTGGAAAAATCGAAATGATGGCTTACTATCACTTACGTAGCTTACAATCAGAAGAACAAGGATGAGGAGGAAGATGTATGACAATGAAATTGAAAATCTACGACCAATAAATGAAAAAAAGAACGATGTTGCTACAAGAAATGATCAAAAGCCGGGCTACAGGACAACCGTCAAATTCATCAGATGCACATCCAGCACTCCACCAACGGTGCTACCGCTATCATTCGTGTTCTATAACGGAAGGGCCATCCTAATCCTGCTCGAGTAGGGATGTTAGGAAACTGCTGGTATAACTTGTCTTGGTCTTCTCTTTGTCAGCGTCAAGTGAGATGTTGATACTTGATATTGACACATTATGATCGTCAAATCTGCACCGTTGTGGGATGGATACTGATGACAGTGCGCATGTCTAATCTTCACTGAAGTGCCCCCATCAATGAAAGGGACAACTACTTACTCATGAAAAACGCGAATATTCTGGAATTGACTCATTATCCTTGAAGCAGCAACTTCATCGCTCAGTTTGACCGTCCAGACAGAGACAGTGTCACTGGCACACGGGTAGTGTCGATAAGAGAATATGAACATTCCTCCATGGTGAAGTCGTGCAGAACCTTGATCAACAGAGGCCCAGGTAGACGACGCGCTTTATTTTGATACAGCCATAGTATACTTTTTTTTTTACTTTGTTTTATTCCTCTACCTTGCTTTTTCATGGAAATTACAAAAAGTGACTCCTGCTAGTCCGTCCAGGTTATCCATTCTCTGATATTGGACCCCATGATGGGGGAAACAAATGAAGCTGCGTTGGTTCATCTTGAAAAGATCAAGATCTTGTTAATCTTTATGATAGATAATGCGGATGATTGAAACTAACATTTACATTACATTTGGAGTATTCTTCTGATGTGTAATAAAGCTGATGTACAGAGGATGATACGGGAAATCACAAGGGGGCCTCACCAGACTCAGTACTCTTTGCGGGATAGAGTCGTGATCAAACTTCGAGTTCTGAGATAGCGCATGTACAAGAACAACGTGTTGATCGTTACGTTCTAAAGTCAGACGGGCTTCTGGGAAAGCAGCTGATCATCGTGATCCTCAATTGGCGCTATTGGCACCCACAATAACTATGGCAGATATTGTTCAAGGTCCGTTGCAACGCTGTTGTTCCTGTTGGTGTTGTTAGTATCCCACTTCGGTCTACAACAAGAGTAAGAGAGAGATGATGTTGAAGGCGAACGGCCACTCCTGCTCCTCTTCCTCTCCTCTTAGAGCAGTACCAAACCCACGGAGCTTGCAGGGAGTTTCGGCATGCGATAGTTGAAAACGTAGTACTGCAGGTAGCCATCACCCATTCCAAATTTCAGGTCTTTCAAAAATTCTTCGTTTTCCATCACGTCGAGAGCGTTAAAGACGTCGAAATCGTTGTCTCGCGCGTGGATCAAAGCCTCGTACATCAAGTCCTTCCATAAAACAGTCTGAGCCACGTTCAAATACGAATAAGCGGCGCTCAGCAGATTGTACCTTAATATGATCATGTTCCTTCGATAATGCTCAGAATAGAGATGGGAAGCAAGACGGGCTTTGCATTTCCATTTGTCTTTGTGAGATTAGTTGACGTAATTAGTCTTGATGTGTTTCAAGGTTTTGACTTTGAACGTAGTACGCATAACAATAAAACCTCGGCGTCAGGACAGAGACAGTAACCGAGTTCAATAGAACTCTTGCGCCTTGATCGAATCCAAATCCATTTCCAAGCATTTACAGTCTTTGAAGAAAATAGTTCAAGTACTTTTCATTTCCGAGTATTTTGCTTGGCAATCGGTAGAAGCTGAAGACATCTGTGATCTTTCCTGGCTTTTCTTCTCGCACCATTGCGTAAATGACGTCTTTCCTCGGGAGCACCCAGTGTCGGACTTCGTCCTTCGACATGATGGGGCGCAGCAAATATTTTTGCAGGAAGTTGTTCAGTAGATCCGTAACCTGCGGAATATCACGTTCCTCCATAATTCGGAAACCAGGAGTCTGTGCTGTCGCGGGAAGCTGATACAGCTTCACTGTGCGTGACATGGTCATGCGCGGTTGTAAATGGCTAAACCCAATCTCGATTAGCTTGCGCGGATTTATAGACCGGTGCCAATACCTGCAGACAAAGGAAGGGTTGTATAGACAACGTGCCATACCGGAAAGGGAGAAAGGGAAATTCCAAAATTGAATTATGATCTGTTCTTGGGAGGTTTCTTTATGAAATGTCATCCTCTAATCCTGAAAATCAAAAACGTTTCCTACTAAGGTCCACGCAGAAGATCGAGCTAGTACATCAAATATCAGAATAGTTTATATTAAGGTTTGGCAGCTCGCATGGCATGGGGTGCATGGATCGCATGGAGCAAGTGCCCCATGCGTTCCATTCGTGAATATTTTTTCGGTGCGCCCTTCGGGCGCCCCTCCGTCAGAGCTCACACGCCTACAGCTCGGCACCCCAGGCGGGAACGTCAAGCATCCAGACCGCCAGCATCCGAGCCAACTGCTACATCTCCGAGCCCACTCACTCGCGGGCCGGGGCCTTGGGGCGCGCAACAAATCAGCATGCTGCAGCGCCGCCAGTTACATCACGCCTCCGCATTACACATAAGGCAGCGCTCCCGCGGCGTCAGTCTAGCCGATCAACCCGCAACAAATCAGCATGCTGCAGCGCCGCCAGTTACATCACGCCTCCGCATTACACACAAGGCAGCGCTCCCGCGGCGTCAGTCTAGCCGATCAACCGACCCCGACTTCTACAGCCCCATGCACTCCATGCGTGGCGATGCTGCGTCTGCTCCATGCACTCCATGCTACTCCATGCACCATGCGTGCTACAAACTACTCTGAAGTATGGTTTTTACCGACACTGAGCAACTGGCTTCGGCAGTACGATGCCCGCGGTATAAACTGCTTGCCATATACCCTCACAGTTTATTCTTCGGGTTACCTCCTTGATCAGCACGGGCGCAAGGCGTTTTGACCGCAATTTCTTGTGAATGCACAAGTAATTTATCTCCGCGACCTGTTGTAGCAGTTCACCAGTAGGTATATCGTTCGTCTTGAATGATTGAAGCTGAAGAGTAAAAAACCGGACACTTTTTTACAGTGAATTTACTTGCAACTTCGATAGGTCTCGGTTTCTAAAATCAACTTTACTCCGGTATTAGTGAAAACTACGTTCAAAATTTCTAAAATCGAAATACATGAAGATCCTTTCCGCAAATGTGCATGTGTGCTGGGATGCCGGAAATGAATGCGACAAATTTGTGGTTGCTCTTTACCCGAACGCCAACATGCCAGTGCTTTCTGTATCCCGGTGGGCATAGTGCCCAGTCCAGAAACTCTTTGCTGTACTCAAAACGAAACATATCGCGATGAAAAGGTACTAGATCGTAATCAAAATACCCTTGCGTTGGTCCCAAAACCAGAAATCATGCTTCTAGCAGCTAAGTACACAAAAAAATTGGTTTTGGGATCAGCCATTGGTTATTACGGCGTAGCAAATTGTCATAATTATCATCGTCTTCCACGTAGTTTTCCGACAACAATGCATAAACGGCTTCGCGCTGTTATGTGAAGTAGAGAGTATTATATGAGCAAGAGGATGAGTCAGAGATGATGAAATTTATACTTGCACTATTTCTTGTGGGCAATAGATATAGCGGGCTTGTCCTTATCACCCTAGATCAAAATCAATATCAACTGAGTGAAAATTTACTTCTGAAAACTTGCATTTGCACCTCGTGTAGTGAATCCTGTGTTGAAGGAAAGCAGGGAATATTTCAGTTATAGTTATATATCTACTCTAGTACTACTAGAAAGGATCATAAATTATACCTCCTCATCGTTCTTGATATCTAGGACGAACCACTCAAAGGCGTCTGGAAGGGGATAAGGCTCTTTTCTCACGTCGTCTAGCGTCTTAATCTCCATAGGACCAGCATCTTGGTCAGTGTCTAAATGCGCTTCCGTCATTTTAGGTACCTGGCAGTGGCACCGAAAGGAGATTATGAATCTCTTGAGACTCAAAATGTGTAGAAGGCATGTGAAAGTTTGGCACTACCTTTACAACTGGTACTAGGAATCTACTGGTCCTAGTGGTCCTACTAGTACTATCCGTATCCCGTAGTTCAATAAAATTCCGAAGCCAGCAGCAGCACGTTGATATTGTTCAGAAATACTGGTTGGGTGTCCCAAAAGGCGTGTGGTTTGTCAGCCGGCGCCAACCGACTCTCAGCGCATACTCGCGTCTTCTGCTGCTTTAACATATCTCCCAAGAGGCTCATTACTGCGTTTGATGATTTTTCTCCCCCTGCGGCGCCATCTGTTGTGGGAGCCGCGCTGTTTGCCGGTACTACCGCAGCATTCTCACCTGCTGTTGTTGAGGAGGAAAGGGTTTTCCAAGAACAAGTAGCTGCTGACGGGGAAAATTAATTGGAAAATTATAGAATATTGGAAAATCGATGGACATCATACTGAGAAAAATCGACAGTCTCATGATAACAGTTCTTTCGATATTTCCACAGATGTTGAATCACAAATTTAAGAGCGGACAACTAATCACAGGAGCATCTACTGTACTCTTGTACAAAACTTATCACGGCAGCTGGTGCTACAAGATGAATAGCATCATAGTAGCTGCTACAAGTATAGTATCGTATATATGCTGACGATTAGCAGTACCCTCAGGTGGGGAGGTCGCGCTCGCGGCCGGATCCTTTGTTGTATCTTCCGGCATAACTTCAGATGCGGATGATGGCGATGCGGCAGCTTTTTTTTCTGGCGACCGGGATTTACTCTTAGGCATTTAGCGATCACAGACAGGAAAAGTTCAAAATCAAGGTGGCAGCCGTATTTTTTGGACATGGACGTCGACGTATGTACTCATGTATTGGGTAAAGCGACAGTTGAGTCAGTCTTTCCGGATGGAAAATTGTCAGCGGTAGGAGGTCTGATCCGTATATGGATAAGGGTACCACAATAATTCAAACCTTCCACATATAACTACCACGACCTGATGCAGGCAAGTTTCCTTTTTCAATGAATAGAATGCGTTCAAAAAAAATCAGAAGAACTACATCGGAATCTGCGTATCAGACTGACTACAGGAGGACTCTCTATTTTTACATCATGTATCCGCTTTGTTGCACACACGGGTATCCACTATGCATCAAATTGCCAGAACATGGAAAGAGCAAGAAAAAACAATCTATACGTGAATCAGAATTCAGAAATTAGCAGATAAATGCGAGCAGAAACTTGATCCTTTAAATGCATGCGTAAGCACAGTACAGCTGACGTCACTAGTCGCCGCAGACACAAACACGGCAGAGTGACTATAACACATTTCAACATTTATCATTCATCTATCTCTAGTGCAAACAAATTTGAACAGCAAAATCGTGATAATTTCTTATTCCGACTGTTCGCTCGGCCTCGGTGGGTTATGTTTGGAAAAGAAGTTGCGGTTACCATTTTGTTCTTCGTTAAATCATTTCAGAAAAATTCTGTCAGAATGATGTCATTGTCATTGACAGGTTCCTAACGTTTAGTATTTGTCTGGTGATCCGACGACTGACAAGATCTTATTAGCCAGTTGTAACATGGTTAAAGCAAAATAAAGGATGAACGTGAGTTGTGTGTGCGTACTTGTCGTGCATCGCTGTAGCTGTAGTTTCATACCGATTGACATTTTCAATTTCACCAGAACACGAATAACTGGAACAGAAGTGGAAGACCCAGCTACTTTATGGGAGACGCTATTAAAGAACCATTAGTAATAAGGAGTTCTTGTTGATTCCAGTTCCTGATCGCGAGAGTTAGTCTGTTCTTCCTGGAAGGGTCAACATCACGGGGCGCGCGGCAATATCGCAGCACAAGCAAAGTGCGTCGTAGAGAGGGGGAGTTCATTCTTGTTGTCGTCTACGGGAACGACCAGCGAACTGAGGTCAGGGTGACCGTGTCGCGTGAATGTCTTTTTTCACTCGAAAAAGGCTGAAGAAGTAGTAACACAGTAAACTTGAAAACCTGGAACTTTTCTTTGTTTCATATGTAGCAGTAGTTTCTCTGTCTAAATGCGGGTGCCTGTTTCAGTTTCTAGTAGTGACAGTTTCGCAATCCCGGTTCAAAAAACCTTTGCAGCTCTAAGCTCTCGATCACATCAAAAAACACAAAACCGCGCGAGAGCCTGACTACGTAGAAATAAGCATTGACAAAACGGAAGAGTAGATGAATGCAGGCGTCCTGAATAAGCAAAAAATGAAAATGTTATAAGGAATGAGGCATAGAAGGAAGTGGAGACCGAGGCATTTGCGTAAATCTAGACACTATAAGCAAGCTCATATAACTGCAATCAGCGCGCAAGCGCATAATTGTAATCACGATAGAAGATAGAACCCTAGCTGGATGTTGACGTTGTAGTGATAAAAATAAAACTTGGTCTAGTAAATGTAAAACCACTGTTGCAATAGGAATACATCATAGGAGAAAGGCGTGCACGCTTACTGGCTTCCACCAACAGCGGCGTCTACCGTGGCCTCGATTTCCGCCACCGCTGCATCGACATTGCCGTTTTCGAGTGGCATCGGCTGAGCCTCCTGTGATCCTTCCGCACCCTGAGATTGGTCGCCGAAGGAGATCTTAGAGCAGATTGTATGCGAGACTGATGTCTCTATGATGTCTTCTCCTTCGGGGTTATTTTCAACAAGTTTTATCCCTCCTTGCATTTGCAGCAACAGCAAAGGGAGAAAGAAGGCGATAACACTATACTACAAGGACTATCTAGATGAGATGTTGATGACGCCAAAGCACGCGCGTGCGTCTAAATACATCCAGATCCACTGTCGATATAATTTAACTTTATCCTTGTCCTTCTGCTTCTCCTCCATCAAATACAAATTACAAAAACTGGTGGATGAAGAAGAAGATGCACAGCGATGTCATAAGATTTGTATTCCCTTTGCGGTGATTTCTGTCCTCGTCGATGCGATCTTTCTGTCCTTGGTCCATGAACCTGTAGTTCAGCGGCTTCGTATCTTGCACCCTGTCTTCGTACACATGCTGATGTTAGACCTTACTTATAAATATTCATCTTGGAAAGCTGCATCTTTGGCACGTGTTCCCCTTAAATAAGAGGCCAAAGATGCTTCTTAAAAAGATAAATTAGACTGTAAGCCTTAACGATATGTGCTCCTGTCTTGATAGCCCGTTGGAACGAACTCCCACTCCTCGTCTAGGTATGGTTCTATATTTTCGATGTTTTCGCGCACTAGGTCCGACATTTCTATCAACCGATCTTGCCGGTTCACAGTGAGGTCTTGCAACGTAAAAACCATATGCCGCAAGTCGTCGAGCTGCTCCTGCAAGTCCTGAAACTCCGGAATTAGAATTCATAAGCCTGCGATTGTGATTGCGATGAAGTAGAAGTTGAGGTTCTTACATTTTTTTTACCACTACAAGTACATGATGATCATGTTGATAAAACAGAAAGCTTGTGGTAGTTGTTGTCGTACACGACAACGCGATAAAATTACTTGGTATTGGAATTGGATCTGTTAAATCAATTATGTGTAGGGAATAGCAGTCGTGCCAATAGCAATTACATCTAGATCTACCTCTTGAACAAAATCCAAATCATGATAAGGAGGTTATGTCCATAAGAAGCGCATGGTGTAGGCCAGAAACTGTTCCGGTTCTAGGGTCTTGGCATCGTCTAGCGACTCCTGGATGCACTTCGAGATAAGATAGATCGCCTGATGTACGTCAGTGCCACCTGGCAGTTGAGGTTCGTTGAAAGGCACTGCAACATCTTGCGCAGGTATCAATTTGTAGTTTTTCTTGCTAAGGGATGGCGCTTTTGCTCAATGTCAGTACGAAGATCATATTTGTCCAAGAAGGAGACCTCTGGCTCTGCCTACTGATAAACCAATGAAGAAATAGGAGCTATTCGTACATTTCTCCACTAAGAAATCTCGTGTAATTGCGGAATTCGCGAAGTGGCCTTCAAAGACTTGCTCTATGCTTGTTATTGCCCACTCGGAATCGTTCTTGGTGCTCCGCGCTCTTGCTAGCTTTAATCGGATGGCTTTTCTTAGAGGCAGCAGCGGCACCTCTACCTCTTGTTCATAAAATGCAGAATTCTTCAACAGAAAATAATCTGCTACTGATACAATCAGACGTACTAATAGATTTTAACTTTTCTGATCAACGATTAGAGGTCGCTGAAGCTTAACTTGAGGTCTGGATCTATTGGCTCCTCGCCGTTTTTTATAAATTCGACGTTCTCCTCATCGATTTTCTGGTTCTCTGCAATCACCTCATCCCTGTCCACATATTCCTTCATCGTTTCGTATATTCTGAGGACATCGAGGAGAAGAATGAATGGGACCCTTGGGTAGTCGTAATGCAAGTTCTTTACGAGGAAACAGAACCAGAAGCAGAAGTTCTTGTCAAAATAACAAGAAAGTTACTCTTATTCATTGAACAATGGAGTTCCAGATCTAGTACAACGGACATAATTGTGAAATAGAAGAAGACCACTCAACTACACGTACTTCTACTTACTTAGTTGTATAAAGAAATTCAATGATTAAATCAGTACGCTTCATAGTCGATGGTCCTAGGCTTTCCGGTTGCTCGATCTACGTCTTGAGACTGGGACATTAGTGTGTCTGCTACTATCGACTTCACCTGTTCCCACATGGTCTTCGCACCACGATAATTCGTACTGTGCATTACACCCATGTACTTGTCGTAGACCAAAGCGGTGAGCAAATTCAGCACGAGGAATAAGCAGATCACTATGTAGGAGTAGAACCTGGTGGACGAGAGGAGATTGATCTCAAAATCATCGTGGGCCTCTGCAGAAGATGCTTTGATCATTTCATGTTACAGATAGTAGGACTATCACAAGCACCAGAAACAGAAGGAAGAAATCATAGGAAGAAATAGTAGTTCTAGTTCTTGCACACCAGCCGAGAATCAATTAGAAGTCGTTCAACAACATAATCTAACGGCACAAGAGCCATGAACATTAAAAAATACCACAAAACCGCAATGACTGGCGATGTGGCGTATATTCTATCGAAGTCGAAGTCTCCGAAAATGACCTTGAGCGTAACACCAATAGACCGCAGCAATGTGTTCCACTCCTCTAACTGTGGTCCAAAAAGAATCCACCCACCTATCGAGTAGTTCACGTACACCAGAAAGAAAATGATCAAGAAATGCAGCATGTCGTACATGGCACTTACCTGGATGTTTATGGGAAAGGAGATGGTGAACGTGAAACTGAAGAAATGTTCTTTAGCCGTAAAGACAAAGAGACTCGCTAAGACTGAAGAGCAGCACCATTCGTCTTCCTCAATAGCGATAAAGATGAGTAGATAGAGTATCCGTTTCTGTCTCCTCAAGTATATGATGAACGTGAAGCACAAGCATCCACAAACACAATCTTCACGTTATGTTTCTTACCAACGACAACCCCATGATCGCTATTCTCGGCTGTCCTCGGAATCCCTTGAAGAACCTTAAAATGATGAGCATGGAGTAGATGAATCCCAGCAGCTGCACCGTTTTTCGCTTGTCATTGATGTCGTCCAGGAGCTTGAGAATCTCCAGATTCGATTGATAATAGTCACTTAGACCTCGACCAACACTCCCGAATTGTCCTGTTCCTGCTGCTGTAGTGATCGCGGACGGCCCTATGTTCTTGAACATTTGAACGAGGTCCGATAACAGCGACTGCAAAGCCATGATCTCGAATACGAATCCAAAACCTGGTGGAAGTTGGAAAATTGTGTTGATCTGGACAAAGAGTTCCGTTGTGATGTATCAAAACAAGAATGCAACCAGTACTGTTGAAAACAAGTGATGCATACCGCGGCTCATTGAAAATTTCACTTCTATTTCTGTAGCAGGCATGCACAAATTAACTTTCTAATGAACTCGATTGTGAACGAGAATCTGGATCTGGAAGAATGCTTGATAAAAAATGCTTGAATAGCGCGCTTCTCTTGCAAATAATTCCTCAAGTCATAAGCAAGTAGAACACAACATGTGGATAGACGTGAAATACCAAGTCCAACGCTGAGCCAATCTATCAAGTTCCATATGTCCTGCCAGTACTCCCTCAGGTACTCCCAATAAGCCCAGTTCCACGCCTTCATAGCCATCAAATCCATACTCCCTTGCACTAGCTTCATCTGTTGCACCTCCACGAACATCAATATGCCGACGAGAATAAGCTGACGAGTTCGAAGATAAAAGCATTGGATCATGGGAGAGGGGAGGAGAAGACGACGATGAGAAAGAGAATGTAGAGTGGTCATCAACATACTATGACAGTATTTCGTACTTTGAAAATGAAATAGTACCCATATAATGTCGTATATAATGGCCATGCCGTCTTCGTAGAGGTCACTTGTCTCCGCGTGTATGTCCAGCTTTTTTTCTATCCAACCGCCCCGATGAAAAACGAACTCTAACTTCGCATTTATATAGACCTTCGTTTCTGGATTGTATGCAAACTTAGAAGAGAAGAATCAAAGAGATAGAGACGATTATCGGCAAATTTGGTCGGGAAACATTTTTCGTTTTGAGTCTTCACCATTCCTGCAGTACGGATATATCAAATTAACATGGATCTGTGAGAGTCTACTCCTCGCGCTCTTCTTGATGCTCATCTACATCTTGCAGTTGATGTTATAAACCATGAGCAGCATGAAGACCATGCAAGTTAGTGCATCAATTTCAATCATCATGCCAAGACTGAGAAGTACTAGAAGTCCCCAAACATAACAAAAAAGCGCAGCTGTAAGTCGATGCTCGCCGTATCGATCCATTCTCTTTGCATGAGCGTCCGATAGTACGACGACTGTTGCTGCCTGACCGTTTCTGCCAAAGCCGTGTTTGGCTGCGAGAGCAAACTAGGATTGTTCTCGTCCCAGAAATTGAGGAAGGCGTAGTACCGAAACTCCTCTGCTGCTTCTGAACTCAGGCCGTACCTGTGAATAAATTCGGGACCGAGCAAGCCAAAATTGTCGCTCAGGGGTTGATCCACCGGAAAACATGGCGCATTGCCGTAAAACGCCTTTAACCCATCGTCCACTCCACAACTTGTCTTCTTCGCACGGCTCTGCGACAACACAACAGACCCACCAAGCCGGTTATACACTTTGATAGCCTGTAGTAGTATTTGGATTTGGCTTTTGGTTTTGGAAGTAGAGGATAATATACTCGAGGAAGTAGGACCAAATGCATGTTCATGAAAACCGACTAAATACTGAGCCATTTATTCTGGGCAAAAATCCGTCCGTGATCCACAGATGAAGGTCGTCGCGAGTAGCCAGTTTGTAGATATCCAGTGGTTGCGCTGTTTCGTTCTGGGATCGAACGATCTCTATTCGCTCCACATCCTCCAAAACGCCAGTGCGTGTTAGGTACACAGCTGCGATGTTACTGTGTGAGATAATGACCAGCATAAACATGACCCAGAGTAGACAGGAAGTTAGAGCGATATCGTGGACCGCGAGAAGATACGGACCACGTTCTCAGGATTCTTTGAGTGAAAGTTGAAAAAAGACATTCATAAGCTTCAGGACTGTAAGGAAGGCAAAGATGCTAATATTTGATAAGTAGCTAGTTATAGCGCTCGGTATATGAACCTTGAGTAGTCCCATCCTCGCTGTCTTTTTGTTTCATAATGTGAAGGGTATGGTAAGGCAGTTGTCCTTCTGAATGACCTGGCGTCGACAGTATTCCATGAAGACATGGTTCGTGATTTTTTCTTTTTGTTTTCTTGCTACGTCTGTTCGATGCTGCTCCACTTGTTCCTGCGTTGGTGCGTGGGAAACCTCACGCACGTCTCCGGCCGACGTCTTCTTGCCACCCTTCGTGGCATTGAGCGCGTAATCATCATCTTTGGTAACGGCTTCGAGTTGCTGCATGCGCAGCCGCTCCACTGTCTGCAGATATTTGACCTGCGCATTTTTCGTATGCTGCCGTATACCAGTAACAGCTTTCTTGAAAGCGCTACTGCTTAGAAGAGGTGGAAGACGTTGAGGTAGATGCAAGAGGCGTAGTCGAAGTCGTTGTATGTGTGTATCCCTGATGATGCCGAAGTCGTTCTTGAGTTGGTACTATTACTAAAAATATCACTAGGCGGGTCAGGCTGTGCAACAGCACTTTCCATTTCAGTTGCTTTTTTCAGGAACGAGACGCAGATGCATTTTTGGAAAAGTACGCCTATCAGCAACTTTTTTCAGGAACGAGACGCAGATGCATTTTTGGAAAAGTACGCCTATCAGCAAGTTCTAGCCTTAATTCCTTCTTGCTCTTTTGCTCCAAGCGGGCAAAGCGTTCCCGGTTTGCAGCCTTGATTTTCTCGCGTGCTGCGTTCATTTTCTAGTGGTACTTCCTGCAGTTGTCCTCCAGCTGCACCGGCAGCACTAGATCTAGGGCGTCTAGGTTTATGTACAACTCCTACCAGAACAAGATCGTCACAAACATCTTTGAAGATTTGGCACTACTTCATAAAAGGAGTAGTCTAGTAGCTCGTGGCGTCAGTGTGTTCTCGGGATAAGAGGATTTCGAGGAGGATATCGCTTGCTTCTTTTCTTCATCTGCTTCTGTTAGTACTCTTTGGAAGAATTAGTTGTACTACTCCTACTCCATCAACTCCTTGTAGCTGCTTGGACCACGTTGCGAAGACCAGGCTATGATCTCGAAGAGGGGGGTTTCTCCTTGGTAGGCGTTCTTGCGGACAACTTCAGCTACACAGGGACAGCCGGTCTAGCTCTCCTCCGTTGAGCCAAGAACTATTACATGTGATGAGTAGTGTGTTCTGTGGCGTGCACGTTCTAGTTCTTGCGAATATAAGTTCGACCCAGCCGTTCTGGTTCGCTCCTTCTGTATTCTTGCAATCACGTCGTAAGCGTGACTGTAAGTCGTTGTTCTTGTTTGCGTAGTTTTTTCTCTGGTTACTTCTAATTTGTTATCCTCTGTCTTCGTTGAAGAAGATTAGATGAGTGTTCTTGTTACGATAACTCCTGCTCGCAGTCGAAGTTGATGTTGGAGTTGAAGAATAATTGCTACTAAATTTCATCAAAAATCGGTATTTTGTGCTACCACTTTCACTTTGAGGATGTTCTTCAGGCTTGTTTTTTGGTGCCCTCGCGACGGAGTAGAGGTGGATGCACAATCACGTTCACGTTCTACATGATTGTCCAAAATAGTACCTGCCGCTAGCATCATTCCTGCGGAAGACGGCGCCATGATTTTTTTCGCGTCGTTCTTAGATAGTGCAGCCGGCAAAGAATTGCGAAACAGGTTATAGAAAAAGATACAACACGAACAACGGAAGACAACCTATTTCTCGTTATAAACTAAACAGCCACTAATTTTGGCACGAGTTTTCAGCCGCCTTTTATTTCTTCCAATTTGCTCATTTCGCAACAGGGCTACTACAACGAGGTCCTGGGAGGATTTTTGGGACAGATGCGGGAAAAAGTGTAATTGAGAATCAAGTCATCTCAGATATCTCTTCGCACTCGCTCCGCTTAAACTCGGGTACATTCATGATTCATTTATGGTTTCGACGGATTTGTAAACCAGATTTTCAAGTTTCTCCGTGTGCGTGTGTGTCTTCTCAAAGACGTTTGGTTCACCTTCACAGATGTGTCGTCGTCTTTTGCCTTTGTTTTGTCCTCTCTACGCTCGACACATACCAGCAATTATGTCTTTTTTTTGGGATTTTGTGTACTTTCTCACGTGTACTCGCCGGCAACAGAGAGAAAGAGACACTTACGACTGAAAGCTTTGCGTGGTAATTGCAGTCTACCACAAGAGCACATGAGGCGAGTCCGAATTTCAATGGAACATCTAACTTTATTCATAGCCGGCTACATGGGTATCCTCTTCTTCTTCTTCTTCTTCTTCTTCTTCTTCTTCTTCTTCTTCTTCTTCTTGTTATCACGTTTTTGATTGAACCCGTTGTCAATCTTAAAAGTACTTCGTCCAATAGAAAGATGAGACGGAAATCATACATACAATGTTGATCATATTACAGTCGTACTAGTAGTTTTCGTCGAGCATATTGTATCCAACAACGTAAGTTGTACATGAATCATCATAATACAAGATCATACCATTCCCACATAGAGCAGAACAACGAACAAAAGAACAAGATCAGGTGGTGAAGATGGGATTAGAAGTACTATGTATAATAGAACAGTTTATAAGGGCTCCCAACATGGCTGGGCTGGGCACGCTGGGCACACTGGGTCGCTGGGCGACCCAAATGTGCCAGATCTGCCGAATTCTGCGCCCAGCGTCACGCTGGGCACCTCCCATTGCGGGGCGCCCTTCGGGCGCCCGCTTTAGAACCCCACCAGCGGCGCTAGTCTAGCTCTAGCGTAAGCCAAGGCCAACGACGCTGGCGAGCTTACCGTTGTGCACAGGAGCGGCGCAGCATTGCACGCATCGAGCAGCGCGACGCAGTGCAAACCTGAACAGAGCAGGCGCCGCGCAGCCCGCTACTGCGCAAACTGGCGCAGCACTGCCCTGAAACTTGAGGGCGGCGCGCCGCCTTTGTTTGTCCTCAAGGGACGCGCTGCACCGCCAGCGCGTCCCCAAGGCGCAAGTAAATCCAGCGGCCGCGCAGGATCGGCATGCCCAATGTGTCACCCTCAAGTCCGCTAAGTGCTATCCAAGCGCCCGCCCAGCGTGCCCAGCGTTGCCGCCCAGCGTGCCCCGCGTTGCCGCCCAGCGAGGCCGCCCAGCCACCCAGCGTCTATAAACTACTCTAGTATAAGAATTTTGATGTTGTTGTTCGTCCACGTCTTCGTCTTGGACATCTGCAAGAACAACAACCAGCTGTGAAAGACCAGTGAGTATGATCCATCTTTTACCAGCATAGACTTGGAGTGCTAGCTACAGCAACGGGAACAGCGCAAGCCCGTGAATGAAAAAGGTCAAAGCACATGCTAGCACGCCACCAAGGTGGAATTATCATTAAGCGAAGCAGAATCTACGGACCTAAGTACTTACTCAAACCAAGAGGGTGTCAGCTCTTTCTCTATTATAATTTTTCTGCCTCTTCTTAGTCTTACATTACTTCGATACAGTATCAGTATACACAGTTCGATTTTATCGACGAAGCTACGCCGGATAACATTCGTACGTACAACACAGCTGTTTTTCTCAAGTCGAGCATTCATCCTGATGCACCATGATGCTGTTGGTGTTGACTTTGGTTATGGTGGACTTTCACACTCAAGTTTTATGCGCGAGAAAAAATAGATCATCGTACAAATCTAGAGGCCCCGGGAAAACATCCAAATGATTAGGAAAATTCGTGAGAAGTTTACACTGACGGGAACATTAGGCCAAGTCACTTGCTCTTCAACTTCGACGTACCGCGCCCCGTTGACGATGCTCGCGATTTTTTCCTTGCAGATCCACTTGCTTTTTTGGTACCCTGGTGGATGCAGCCAGAAGTCGAAACCAGAAGCGATCCGCCGACACCAAGGAAAAGCGGAGGCGGTGGGCGGTGCTTAGACTACATTACCCAAATTCATTTGAAAGCGCATCTTCGACCTTTTTCGCCTTGCAAGTATTTCGCACTAACTACTGAAACATGTTAACAACATATTACCACTAGTAACAGTATCTTCTTTTGTCACATCATAATTAGAATTACTGTGTCACATTCACAGTAGCTACATACTGCAGTGAGCAAGAAAAACAAATAATAATATTAATAAGGTGCCTATCTTTTTCTAAAAAGAATCGGTGGAAGCCTTAACGTGCTGTAGTACAACAGTGTGGAAGACTGCGAAACAAAGCAATGCCAGCGAAAGAACCGCATTCGCCAATAATACGCGCTTCATCACTTCCGTCTCGTGTTCTTCTGGCTCTCGGTATGAAGACTTGCCAGGAAGAGGAGGTTGAAGTTTAAGTTAAGTAATAACGAGTGGTACTGTACTACAGCGACATTACGCGTACAACAAGTCGAAAGAACAAGGTTGTAAATGCATTCTGCAACTACAAATAGATGAAAATCTTATACAGTTTCAGTTGTTAGAACCAACTAAGTTATTTTAATATTTTCTTTTCAATTTGTTCATCATCTTCACGTACAACTCAACGAGAAAATGCTGCTGCAGTCTTTCATAGGTACGCGTGCATCTTCAGTAAATTATGCGACACTATCACTATGAGTTCTTTCAGAATTATCGGAGGTTCGTTCACGCATATTTTTTGTAATCATTTGACATCTCAATCTCATGATCAGCAAAAATCCTTTTTCTCCTGCTCATTCTCATCGCATAAAGTGATGGTTCCTCCGCAAAGGAAGAGAATCATGCCGAGTCCGCAGAACATGGCACCGTTGATGTCGCCCCAACCTCTTGCCGTGGTAATCACATCGTTCGGTGTCGAGTTGCCGATCGATAATGGCACACCAATTTCGGGGGCCAGCCAGAGTACCGACCAGACCATAACCCCGAGGCCCACATATATCGCACCTGCGATGCGCAGCGAAATTTGAGGACGCATTTTTTTTCTTGACCTCGAGAGTATAACTGTATTGTTAAGATTTGTAGATCTAGTCCTTGTCCTGTAGTACCATTGTTGTACATGTGCGTCGTGTAAAGGTTTTGCTTTTATTTGCGTAGTACAACTTGTAAATGCAACTGCTTCTTCTATTTTTCTTGCGGTTTTATTCGTCTACATGTCTCTCCTTTCGATTTCGTTTTTCGGCATTAATTTGATGATGATGTTAGTCGATTCGGCATTAAGTAATCTACAACTTAAATAAGAGTTTCTTCACCCGAAGTGTGCGCACGAGATCGCGAGTCACGCTCTGGCACTCAAACTCAATTCGCACACCTTCAAATAACACCGAACAGGAGTGGCTCCAGTGGCTCCAAAGACCGAACTCGTCCCGACAACGTCCTGCAACAGCTTTTTAAGTATAAGTTTGTGTCATTCATGATTTACTTTTACTTTTGGTTTTCCTTTTCGTTTTTCTTTCAAATTCTTGTCGTGACATTCAGATAAATAATATGAATATGTCGGCAGTTCTTTTTCTGCCATCAGGGTAATCCTACCTATTGTCTGTCAACCTTCTATCGCGACTCCAACTAGCGATAAATAGATACAACTAGACTCACAGCAGAATAATCTACATGGTTTGCCCGGTCGCATGGCATGGAGATCATGGATCGCATGGAGTTGCATGAAGCTAAAGGGGGCGCTTCTTGCGTCCCTTATGGATCTGCGCTCCATGCCCTCCATGCTACTCCATGCGGCATGCGTGCTATAAACTACTCTGTTACAGTTGTTCATTTGAAATATGTACACGCGCTAGACTATCAGACGTCGAAAACAAGTCTAATTTCCATCGCATTCTCATACAACAATGCTAGAATAATCCAATGTTTTGCGGGAGCAAATATTCAATATATACATGATGAAATCGAAGATATACATGGTCTCGGAAACAACTTCTACGCGTTGCTTTAGGTTGCTGTTGCACGAATCGATCCACATATTCTTTGAGTCGTATTCTTATACTGATTCATTGCAGAGGAACCTTGAAGGTTTGCCAGCTCGCATGGCATCGAGTGCATGGATCGCATGGAGCTAAAGGGCGCGCTTCTTGCGTCCCTGAGAGATCTGCGCTCCATGCCCTCCATGCTACTCCGTGCACTCTATGCACCATGCGTGCTATAAACTGCTCTGTTATTTGTTATTCTAAAATAAATCGTAAAACTAGTACAACTTCAACTAGCTACTAGGAAATTTTAGGATTAATATGGTACTGAGTACTAAAAACAAATAAATATGATTCTAATAAGCTTATGGTAAGTAAGTACTAGTATTTCACATCCCTAGTCCCAGACTCTTCAGCGTCTTTGTGATTTCCTTCTCCTCTCGGATCTTGCGTCGATTTTCTTTTCGCATCTGCCTCTGCTGCTCTAGAAGCTTTCGCTCAAAAGACGCTTTAATTCGTTGTATTAGATGAGGTTACATGTTTATATCTATCTTGAAAAGCATGAGCATCTTTCATCTTCATGTGTTTTCTAATTTAAAAAGGAGCCAAAGAAAGATAAAGATGCTAGCTTCTTCAGATGAATTACTGTAAGGAGCCTTAATTGTAGCTGCTCTGCTTGGCCTTGATCAAGCACTGAGCGCGGATCTATCAGCGGCCCGCTTTTGCCGGGTAAGTGCACTGTTCGTCGCGTGGCGGCTCTCGCTGTGATTGACATTGAGTGAAGCAAGGTCGTGTAACAGAATTGACAAAAGCTCAGGAAGAAGTTCGAACTACAGGTACAGAAGAACCAAAGATCCTATTCTGAGATTGCGATCCACGTCGCTGGTGCACTCGAGAGCACTCTGCTTCTGATAGTTACTTTAGTTCCGATGTGCTGCTTGAAGTTGAACTTTCATCTCGAAACAAGAAACTTCGATTAGATTATAATATAGAGCTAGCTTCTTGTCGGCAGAACATATACATAGGATCCTTAAACTTTATAAGTTTACCGTACTCGTTCTCGTCATAGATGAAATTACCCAAAAATATCACATGACAAACAGGTACCTTCAACCCTCTCGCTCCCGGTAGGACTTTCGCTTCGCGAAAGAGGTACACGAGCTTGCCACCGCAGGACATCTCTAGGATCCCTCGTATCTACCACGTACATTGGATGCCACAGTGTGCTTGGCATAGTACCTTTGCGCCATTCCTTGACTAGACGAATGCCGCGGCTGTCGTAGAGATCTCGACTGTCTTCATGGGAGCGCTTCGGTGGCGATGTGGTTGCCATTGTCGTCCACCACTTCTTCTCTTGTGGAAGCTGCTCCTCGGCAGTGGTGCTGTTGGTCCCGACAGCACCACGAGCTCCTCCTCCTGTTGCAGAAATTATAAGATCTGGATCTACAACTTCTGCGTCGTGATTTCTAGTACTGCATTTTCCGAGATGAAGTTCTTGTCGGGGAAGTGGAGGTGGTGATGGTGTACTAGTATTACTAGTAGTATGTTGTATTTTTCTAGGTGTACCTCGTCCACCTGTTTGTGTTCGTGATTCTGATGTTGTAGTCCTCAGCTGCACCTTCTTTGTAGGAGTGGTGTTCTTTTCCGCTTCATCCAGTGCCTTTTTCTCTGCTTGCGCCTGTAAATTGCTGACTGACGCGTAGCCCTTGGGTCGGATCGAAAGCGTTTGGCGCTTGGGTGCTGCACTAGCCGCCTTCGCTGCGCGAGCTTTATCCTCCAGAGTTGTGTTGTAGTTGTACCGCGTATGCCCGCGAGACACGTACTTAGCTGTAAGGGCTTTCTTGTCGGACTGATACCGCGTCGGCATGATGAACTTGACGCAGTGCTCAGCGCGCTGAGGACTGTAAGTCGCGGCTCGATAGTAGGTGGTGGAGAAAACGCTGCACTTCTTATTGTGCAGATTCTGGTAGCGGTCGGCTTCATCACTGAGATACTTATTCATGATGTTGGTCTCAGCCGCTAGCTCCACTCTCTTGGTGTCCCAATTTGTGGGCTGCTCGCTGCCTCGAAAGGCAGCATGGTGCAATCCATTGTTTGCTCCAACGCGATACATCTTGTTTGTATTCTTGACGGCGACAAGCTGCAACTAGTACTACTTCTTCTATATTTTTTAGTAGAACTTGTAACTAGTTGTTGCAATACCTGCTGTAGCCGTACCAGTACAACGTATTTTGACTAGTATAGTGTTGGCTGTAGCGCTGTACCTGTTGTACTAGAGGTAGCTACTACCCCGAGGAGTGTTGGAAATGGACAGCGTATGCTGATTCGAGAATCTTGCCGCTGTTTTTAGAAAGTGGCAAAGCGAGAAAAAATAGTACTAGCTTTAAATCTTATTGCTAGTACTAGTTGTATCTATTTGACGGTCAGTTGTTGAAGAATGTAGTTGCCGGGTGGAAACTTCGAACTCAAGTAAAAATGCAGTTACTGAAACCCTTGCTTGTTGTTCACAGGTTTTGCAGATCACGCTTCGAATGCTTGGGCGTTTTCAACTTGTGTTCTTAGACGGGATTTTTTACAGGTAGAGAAGATACTGGCTCCTAGACCTTCACCGATCGACCACATGTCATATCCCTCAAACCTCACAATGGAGCGAGCAATGTACTAGATCAACTTCAGTTCTCTTCCGAGACATGATCATCCACCTTTCAGATTCAAACATCAACCGGTCTTCACAAGGATTTCTGGACTAAACCGATAATATCCTCTTTTCCAAACTGAATCATGATGATCATGACCGAATTCACATACCGTCTTCGATTTCCCGCTTACATCGCGAGGTCATTGTTCGAAAAGATGCAGGACCAGATGTGACCTGTGCCCGTGCCATAGGTCACTGTCTTCATCAGCTTGATCCATCGTGCTACGCTGTAGGAGAACACGGGTAACAAGTGTAAACAGAATAGAATCAACCACGAAATGAAGATTCCACCAACAAGCAGTTTCATGATTTCACTGCAGAAATTTCGAAGGGACTTTATGATGAATATTAAGAGCTCGAAAAGCACTTTCGTAGCCACACCTAATAACTCGTAAACTGCGCGCTTTTTCTCGAACAAAAGAGTTTTGCACAAAGTAATTCTAAGCTTTTTACGTGCATGGCCATATTATTTTTGATCAAGATCCTTCATCTAGTTCTTCTTGTTGCAAGAACGGAAAATTCAAAAAGATTAAGATACGCTACTTGCTCCTTTTGTCTTGCACTAACCAGGGATACTTCACCCACGCGAGTCTTGAAGAAGAAATCGAGCAAGAGCGTCGTTCTTATTGGGATCGGCAACGGCATCTCCTGCTCGTTAATTTTATTTAGTCAAGCTTAATACAACAATTACGTAAATGGAATCCGCCCCGGGACCGGGCTCGGCATCAAATAATTTATGACTAAGTATCTAGGAATGATCGGTGAGGCGGCGACGCAAGGCCTCCCCAAGTCGCGAAACTCGCGTTCTTTGATTGCTAAGCTCTAGTCTTGGTCCCCACCAGGCATTGAGCGCGACTTCGCTGTCACCGTCCTCGAACATGAGTTGGACGCTGTTTTTTCGTATTGACGAAGCCGCATCGCTGTCGTCTCCATGATCATTTGCCAGCTGATGTGCGACCATTGAAGATGTGTGAAGACAACGTAGTTCTAAATCCTGCCCGCCATCCGTTCCTTCGTCGAAATTGCAGCTTCCTTCGGCACGAGGCCGTCCGAAAAGCAGAGATGATCTTGTGGATGGGCGTCTTTTCTGTTCTTGTTGCCCTGCTTCTATTCCCAGCTGGTGTGCTACCCCTTGGTCCTTCTCCTGAATCGCTGAAGGCCCAAATAGAAAAAAGGTATGCTCCTGATCTACTGCATTCGCTGTTGATTTCAAATCCGGTGGGGGCAACGCCTGAAACTGTAATTTTACTTCGACAGGCGAGAAAGTGATGAGGGAAGAAAAATCTGAAGCAGGCTGCTGTATATTTATCGAATATTTTCTACTGCTATTCTTGCGGCTCGGTGCCGGCGTAGCTGAAGAAGCACCTCCATCGGTCTTCGATGATGCGTCGTTTCCTGATGTTGTAGTTTCTTTATTTGCAAGAACGCACGATCGCATGAGCATGTTTGATAGCATCGACCACTCCCGGAAAATGTGCCCGGGCGGCAGGGTGTGGACGGGTGTGAGAATGCTTGATGATGTGTAATTTCTTTTCATGAGGGAAGAGGACGATAGGGACATCTGGCTAGGTTTTTCTCCTCGGCTTGGGCTTCCATCGACACCTTGCTGCGTATTTTTCAAGACAAATCGTCGAGAAGTCGTTCTAGTTCCTCGCGTAGGAGTTGTATCGCGACGAGTGCTAGTACTAGTAGAGCGTGATAGAAGATGGCGTTGTTCTACCTGTTGTCCATGTGCATGTCCTCGACGTGCCCCTTCAACATACTCGCTCGTCCCTGCTTGCTCCACATCGCTTTCGCTACTGCTAGAAGTACTGGTGTTGAACTCTACTAATTTTACACTTGTTTTTGAATTTGATGACGCACGCGACAAATTATTCTCATAAAAGTAATCAGCTGATGACATCAACTCTCCTTCACCTCTAGGTTTTTTCAGTGACGAGGAGCCACGCCATCTTCTTGACGATTTCTTTTTACCACTAGAGTAAAAATTTCCACTGTTGACCAAGGCTGGATTTTGGAGGCCATGATCACTTTTCAATGCGTCTCGGGACGAAACCCGAGGCGCAGGCGCTTCGGTCCGATGCGATGCCTCAGCGTACTTTTGTTTCTTCTTCGATGATGAATCCGACGACCGCGTCGAAGACGACGCACCAGTTGTCGACGTGACTACGCTGGCCCCACTTCCACCCCTTTTTTTTGCGTCTCCCTTGAAGGCCATGGACGACGCTGTGGACGCAGAAGAAGACCCTGATTTTTTACCCAGAGTGCGGGAATTTCTGCCTACGACAGAAGGTGGAGAGGAGTTTCCTGAGCCACCAGCGTTGGGATATGCTTGCATCTTCATTACGTGCTTCTCTTCTCGCTGAGGTTCGACGCTGGCAGCGCGCGCGTTCAAAAACTGCGTGTACGCTTGATGGAACGCATACTTACCGTCAACCTGCTGGTCAAGGTCACTACCACCAGGACCAGCCACATGATTTTCCTCGTCTGAGGAAGACGAGCCGCTACTACTGTTATCACTCTTGTTGGCACCATCCTCGTTCGTCTTGTCGGCTTGAAGCACATAGTTCGAGCCAACTAGATTTAGGTCCACCTTCCGCGGATCTGCTGCGTCAGTATCTGTATTTGGTCCAACTTTATTTCTATACTTCGGAGACTTGGATGAAGTGGAAGGGGAAGTAGCGCCATCTATTTTAGTCGAAGACGACTTTGACCTATTTATATTTGCTGACGATGATGAGCTCGACGAGGATGAACTGGAGCTGCTGCTCGATGACGCGTCCAAAGATTTAGTAGCTGCTGGCGGGGCTTCGGCAATCACTGGCATACCTTTGACCCAGAACGGATTCACGTGTCGGCGCGCCATGCCTCGCGGGCCCTTCTTACGCAGGCTTCCACGACCTTCCACCGTCTGATCCGTTTTGCGCATATGCTTCTTGTACGCTTTCAGCGCATCCTCATCCGGTGCTTCCTCTGATTTGAAAATGCGCTTCAGGTCGTCGTCATGCAGCAGGAAAATCGCATCGGCGACGGCCTCGGCTTTGCTGCCGTAGCGCCGACCCCAGTCACGAGCGCGCTTGCCATCTTCATCCCTAGAACACGACGACGAAGAACTCGAAACAGACGAGCTTTTCTTTGGACGGGCAAGCGGAGGTTGTTGCGTTGCATCACCATCAAGATCCAAGTCAGTCGCCTTGTCTTCTTCGTTGTCGACTAAGCCCTGTTTATAGCGTTCTTCGGCTTCCTGAGCAGCGAGGGCCTCGGCTTCTGCTTTTACTGTCGCGTTATCGGCAAGCTGTTCGAATCCCGTACGACATCGTGATCTAGCTAGCAAACTCTCAATTTTTTCAGCGAATTTATCGATTGTTCCCGCATCAACTGGTGCCTCGACCAAAACTGGGATAGGTTCCGTAAACGTGTTCTTGCTATCTCCTTTCCCCGGGTCCGTAACGTTGGTTAAGGCCTCTGTTGCGCCATCCTCTTCAATCACGACAGTCTCAATCGCATCAGGAGGGGCTACCTCACCTTCAGCTTCTTGAGGCGCCGCATCATTTGTTTTGGCAGCATTTTCTTGCGCAGGTTCCTCTGCAGCAGCAGATGTCTTTCCTCCACAACAACAAGCAAACAAACCTCCACTTTTCTTCTTGTTTTCTTTAGAATCCTCTGCCTTTTTTGGTTTTGCGTCCATTTTCACCTCACCTGCTGCGCCAACATCTTCTGCGCCAGTCTTTGTTTTGTCCTCGACAGGTGCTTCAGCATCAGGAATTATCTGCACCCCGCGACCTCCAGCCTCTTCAACATCGGGCAGCTTGTCGGATTTGTTTGTTGCATCATTCTCCGGTACATCTGTTTTCGTCTCAGCAGATACTGGCGCGTCCACCACGGGAGGTGCACTAGTGGAGGTTGCCTCCGCTCTGTGTTTCCCAACACGCCAGAACATCAGCCTCATCTTTTTCTTTATCTTTGATTTCGTGGAATAAAAGTCATCTAATTCAGATATTATAGGTAGAAGAGTAGAGGCTGCACTTCACGAGAAGAAAACAATTTCAATTTGAAGAAAACAAATCTTTCAACACTTCAAATTCAGATGAATACAACTACAACATCTACATATGATGTTCTTGCGATAAATCAGTATACCTTGTAAAAATCAAGACAGTCTACGTAAATTCAAGGCTTCGTTGATTTGAACGGAGTTGGAGTTGGTGATCGTGATGCGTAACTAATAATGTTGCGCTTCTTGGTGCATGAGCACACGACGACGGGGAAGGGTAGACCATCCTACTTGGTACATATTCGATATCGAAACACTATGCGTCTGCGTGGGGCCCTGGAAAATTAATATAATATATAGAGAAGATACAGATAGTACTTCCTCGGTCCAATATATTTTTCAGGAAATTTGATTTTCATTATAGTCGTCGCTACCAGTAGACGAACATAGATAGCAATACAATACAATACAATTAATCTCGCTTTTTTGTATCGCGAGCGAGTTCCGTGAAGAACCTGCCTACATATTTTCCTCGCACAAAGTTCAGTGCAGACTGCCTTAAGAGCGTCATAGATGGTATACACGATGGATCTCACGCAATAAAATATAAGACAACATGAATCATGCGAAGACGATATCCTCAAACATGCCAACTCAGACAGAGTTGTACCTTCACTTTCTCGCTCTCCTCCATCATAGAACAGATGCGTAGCATACCAAGTACGCTCTTATCTTCTCTCCGACCGACAAAAGCAATACCACTAAAAATGAACTCTCCGACAAGCAAGTCCCCGATAGCTACTCTAAGGACCAGATCAGAAAACTGCGGAGACGCCACACACAGGTGAACATGATCATCACTCTGTACCTATAGCACACTTTCTCTCGAGTAGACTTGATGTATGTGTCCCTAAATCGTGATCTCCCTATGGCTATGACTAGTGGATTATAATCATAATTCATACACTCCCAAAAACATCACATTCACAGTTCTCATCATGTGTACAATTAGCGTCGGACATATTTTTTGTTGTTGTTGTTCACTCGTCTCACGAGTCAAGTTTTACTTGATATATCAAAATTCTACGCGTCCAAAAAACGATCGAAATCTATACTTTCTATTTCAACTCTATGAACATGAACAACCAAGCGCAAGCATGAGAGGCACAACAAGACAGCAAGGAAAACTTCTCTGTTGCATAGTGAGCCTTCCCGGATGAGAGCTTGGCTTGCCCAGATAAGTCTTCATTTCAGGAGTGCATTTACCAAAAATAGCGACAAGTGGCCGTCTTTCTCGTCGTGTGCATTATGCTGTTGTCTGCCTGCTTGATGGATTAGCAGGTGCCGTTGAAGCGGATGTGTATCAACGAGAACGATCTCTGTCACTATTACTTACTAACAGCTCCGCATTTTGCTGCTCTCGGACTTGTTCTATTCTGCTTACACGACGACTTTATCTGGCAGAAATTGTTGCCGACCTTGACCTACTCAGCCTCAGTAAAATCGCAAATATTATGGAGGGGGTAACAGAAACAGAATGAGTGGAAACTCATGCCTGTTGGTTGTCATTTTGTTCGCGACTTCAAATCCTCGATAATAAACTGCCATCTCCATTATAATAACGGGGGATCCAGACGTCAAATCCGTAAACTCTCTTGATAGCGGTCTGCGTCTGTCACTGTAGCTATCGATAACAATATTCCTATTGATGACGGTGACGGTTGTATTTAATTTTGGGTTCATTCATGACGGAGCAGCTAGTGTTAAAAATGACGGTCTTTACGCTTAATGTTAATATTACGTGCAGAGACAATCGCAATGGCAATCTTGATGAATGTGAAGGTAGTTGTTGTAGTTTTGATTGTCTTGTTAGTGTTGTTTATCATGCGTTTTATTATATGGGTTGGTCATGGTGGTCAACTTACTTGGCTAATAGAGGTACGTTTTTCTTGACTGCTGTTTTAGGCTGTAGTTCCCTAACTTGTGAGGCCTCACCTTTTTGTTCGGAGTAGATATTCTAGAAGAAGTGAGGATGGTAATGGTACCCGCAAAAAATGATGTACATTCTGTGTCAATAACCTGATTTGGGTTTCTAGAATGCGCTGAGCATAGATTTAGATGTTGGTGTTGAAGAGCGGCGGAATACTAGACTTAGAAACGTAGCAACTTTTATCATGTGCTGAAAACCATCACAAAGGAATACATCATCACAAAGGTGGAATAGGAGGCTTCGAGAACTTGACACGTAAACGAGCAACTGGAGGAGTCCCCGTTTCGCATTTACTTGAAAAATGTTGGAATAGGAATAGTCAGTGTAGTAATCAGATTTGTTTTTGTTTTTTAGGATTGATCTTGAATACATGTTCATGCTTGATGCTTTATTCAATGGAATGGGAATACGAATAGTGGGATCGAACGATCGTCGACCGAGGTCAAAAACTTGTTATTCCCACAACCCTCTGCTATATGGTCGTACTGCCGATTGGCGGTCGTTGGATATTTTCCATCAATTTATTCGCACTTGATTCCGTAATTCGACTTGGCTGGTCGAGCTTGTTCGGCTCGTCCGGCAGGAACATATGCTGGTGGATTTTGATTTCGATGCGGGGGATGAAGTCACTTGTTTTAGTATTTGTATTACTAGTAGATGATGAATGTTAAAAATAAAGTTGATGTTCACGACGAAATTCCATCGATCCGATACAGCCAACCGACGTAACAACAGAAACAAGCTAAAAAAATCTTCTTACATACTTTAGTACTTAGATAGTACATTTTGCATATGCTCCGTATAGTTCCGCTTGAACTGCTCGAACCGATGGGCGATCGCCTCGTCTATCGCACGCGGCGGCGTGTCAATGTAATCCCTAAGGACTGTCCGATCTCTGGGCGTTGGCGGCAAACGGAGCTGGATGTCTCTTCGATAGCGATTACTGTATGCATGTAAACATTGCGTATTTAAAGTGGGCATGCTGGGGGTACATGACAAAAAGATGAATCATGAAGATCATGTTAGCCTTGACGATTCTATTCACTCAATTGTCAGCCTGTGCCTGTGCCTGTTCCTGTTGTAGTTATTGAGTTTAGTTAGATCGAGAAATTAATGTAAGTAGATGAAATTATCAATATTCACAACATAGTCTTCATCTCCTTGTCCTTGTCCTTCGTCTGTTTATTCTAACTTTTCTTCTGCAGCTGCGTGGCCAGTCCAAGATGAAAGTTAAGTGCTTCTTACAACACTTCGACAAATGAACCAATGACAATAATTTAGAACTAGAAGATACCTATTCTCTCCCATTTCTCGGAGAAGCATTTGCCTTTTCCTCTCCTTTTTCCGCAAGAAATCTGGATCGTCTACTGTGCCTTTACACCTTTCTAGTCGCCGAAGAATTAGAGTCAGATTTCAAAAACAAACCAAGGGGACCTACCGAGAGGATTACACTCTAGTCGCCGAGAGAATTACGGAACTCACTCGGCCTCCACCTTTCTCGTCGCCGAAAAACTAGTAGCTTATCCATGAAGGCTGAGTGAGTTCCTGTATTTCTTTCTTTCCCCTTGATTTCTTTTTGAAATCAAGGGGGACCGCACTCAGATACAACAAGATAGTCTGCACGAGATAATGACTTTTCATTTGATTTCACCGTAAAAGAAGTAGCCTATTCTCCATCGTTATCCTATCCAGTTCTCGCGTCTGTATCTGCGCGTGCAGAGACTTCTCTGCTTTTATCGGCTGTTTCGCCATCGGCGGCCTGTAGATATGTAAATTGATAGTTTTTATACATTTCTCTGCTTTACCTGCTCTACATGTGGCGTCTATCTGATGGTGGTGCAGATATACTTTCATTCTGTGTTGATCATGTTGAATAAATTGCGGTATTTGCTGCATATGGTGCAGTTGATGAGAAGTGGTCAATGTTTTGAGCGAGATAGAAGCGAACGAACCATGTTGTAGTATTTATCATGAGCAGTTGTTCTTGTATCTTCTATGTCCTCTAGCACTGATACCGGAACAGTTTTAATCGTTCGAAGAGAAAAGCGAATGCATCGATATATTTATAAGTGTATGTGATTTACCTCGCATCTATTTCGAGCATTTTCTGAAGCAGCAATCGATTCTCGAGTTGTATTTCGTTTGCTCTGTTGCGCTGTAGTTCCCTTGTGTTTGTCCTGTACTTCAAAAATGCGAATTTCTTCGGTTCCGTAGTGTCGACACACGGCTGTTGGGAGGAGTGGTACATAAAGTAGGCAGCTTTAATATCTTCATGTTCATCGTCGAAAAAGTAAAAGTCTAAATGATTTTTAATGATCCAGATATTAAAATATAATCATGAACAAGACCAAACAAAGTAAGACTTTCTACTGTGTCGAAACTAACAAAAAACAAGAACTACCTTCATCGTGGCAAGCTCCCTGAGATGCCTGTCGTGCCTTTTTTGATCCTCATATTTCTTAGTGCTTGCCCAAACAATTCATCTTTTCATCTGAAGAGCAGTTGCAGTCATCTTCGAGTTCGACGTTGGTCTTGGTATTTCCCCTACTGTTATCGGTTATCATAAAGTTAAAAATACTGTGTACAGAAATTAGTAACGAGTACGAGTCTACAGATAATGCTCCTTCCCAAGATGAATGAGGGCAAGCCGTAAATTTGCCCAGGATCCGGCTACACGTTATCGTATTCCACAGGTTTGCGTTCCTCATGTTCGCTAGCTTGCAACGTAAAGCTAGGATATTTATACGCGTTGTAGTCAACCTATTCGGCAACGCTGAGAACCCAACGAAGTAAGTACGTCCTCCTCGCGCCTAGGAGCTATTTTGACAAGCTTCGTCAACCTCACGCCTAGGAGCTATTGTGAGCGTTGGCAGGTTTCTTGTTCTTCTCAGAGACCATTTTTACTTGTCGTCAGCTGCCGAAGAACAACTCCTTAACGTCTCAAGATCGACTAGAGGATCTAGAAACGGAGGAGCCCAAGCGAAACCGAAGCTGAGAAAGGAAGCGGGGCAGCGGATGCTCCAACTCGTCGGTCCTGGTGCTTCAGATCTTTGTGAGTTGATGAAGTTCTTTTGTATTTCTTCTTCTCCTTGTTCCTCCTGTCGTATGCACTTTTCCGGAAAGGATCCACGAACGTGGCACAGTGAAATTCTTGCTCACTGGTTCGTTGGTTGTGTACCCATGCTGGGCAAATGAGCGTTCAAGAAGCAGAAGCAGGCGAGCACGCTGATATTGATAAAAGCAAAGCCGTTGCGGCAAGCGACGGCTGGAGCAAGAAACGCGTCTGTGATAGCAGCTCCTGCAACAATCTAGCAGTGATGGTGCTTCGCGTCGGACTACGAAGAAGATCGGCACAACAACCTCGTACAACTAGCTCTCCCTACCACACTCAGCCATTGCCATTGTTTGATTGAGCACTAGTACGAGAGAAGAACGGTGTGTCTCATTGCTAGTGTTGTAGGTTTTCACTGTCACCCGTGCCTGCTTTCCTTGTTGGCGAGATCGAGGTCCAAGCTACAAACTCCGTCTACCGACCTCGTCGTCCTCGGCCGACCGCGTCGCCGAAATATCTATATCGCGTAGTATTGACTTTTTCTACACCAACGTCTACTTCGGCTACTAGTACTACTTACATAAGTATTACAACGTCTACCCCAAGCTCAACCACGGCCTAGTATCAATGCGATGATAAAGAAAGGCGCACATCAAGGTCATACATCTTCGTCCAAAAAAGTATAAGTACTTCTCCGCGGAGACCACCACACGAAGAAGAAATTGGCGCGAAGAGAATTACGAAGACGACGCGGAATCGGAAAACGACGAAGCTATGAAAAATGTAGAGCTATTCCTTTTGTGTCTCTTTCGCGTCATTCAGAATTTCGAATTTTGTAAGTTGTCGTTACCATCCTCTAGTATTTCTCATCAAAAGTAACCGAAACCGAGAAATCATTTTTAGCAGCGTCCTATAACAATAGCGACCACTTCGAAATCTATAGCGCTTCACACATATCGCTGCTCGAAGTCTGTTTCAGCACTCAGTCAGACAAGAAGAACTCACACTTGTAATACGCCATCACCATGGATGTAGTCTTGACACCGAAAAGCATGGTTGTAGTCTCGACACAGAATAAAATCTCTCTTTCTTGTTCTCTGCTCTATGATTTTCTGACCAATCTTCGACATTCTTTCATACTAGAGATGCACGATAAAAAGGACGAAGAAGACTACATGGAAAAACTAGTCACACCTCAGACATCAGGGGGCGAGTGTGATATGAAAAGGAGGGCCAAGTCACGCACGTCGAGATCAGGAAGAGATACCTAACCACAAAACGGCCGCGCGCGAGAGGACTTACAACTTATTTGGATGTTACTGCCTCCACTAGCACTACGATATTTTTCTGGCGTTTGATCGTCATGATCATGCAGGTCGGCGATCATCATCACACGAGCTTCGAATCCTTCTCCTCTACGACCGCTAGGTCTGGCTCTGGGTGGTGCCGTCGTGGAATAAAAAACAAAATAAAGCGCCGAACATGTACAACGTCAACGATCATCTCTATTACTTCGTAGATGAATTGGGTCTTGTGCTAGATTGATGAATCGAGCAGCAGCGCAATCATTTTCCGTGCAATTATCTCAATAAAAATAATTTTTCGCTACAAGAAGTTAGTTATTATGCAAAGATATCGGTTATATTGAAGGACGAAGTTCACATTCGATTTCGATGGCAACATAGCCGGCGTGACTTTTTTACCGTTGCTTGCCTTGTCACTATCCGCGAAAAAAACGAAGGCATATAAAATCTTCCATTTAGGGTGGTGCTATCTTTTTAGGTACGGCGAGTGAAAATACCGGAGGAGGACCTGTTCTTGTTGACAATGACTACATTAACATCGAATTCAGAAAATAGTCGTGGACAAAAATCCTAACAAAACTAACAATGGTACTGTTAGAACTAGAAGAACTACAAGGAGTTGTATGACTACATACTGTAAGCGAAAGTTACTAGAACATCAGTACGGACAGGCTTGAATCACTTTAAGCTGACGTACTTACGAAAGAAAAACGGAAGAAAATGAAAACTACACTCCCTCTCCTTCAATCTGAATATCATCATGTGGTTGCCATTTGAAGTGGCACTCTCAAACGTTGTCTTCTTCCAATTCGTCGACCGTGCTTGTCCTCTGCTTCGAAGAGAACTGCTATCACGTCGCTTTCAGTAAGAAATTTGTCTTGGATATCTTTCGTAAAATCGCTCGCCCGACAGCTCCAGCAAGTCACCGTCTCTCGCTTTTGCTCTTCGATATTGTTAGAACTACGATCATCACGATCACCATCAGTATCAGCAGAACTCTTAGGCAGAACTAAAGCTATTAAAAATCATACTATTAGTATAAGCCCGAGCCCGTAAGCATCAAAATGTCCAAAATACTGCATGAGCAGGCATAGAATACGTGGTAGGATTATATGAACCCAAGAACTGGTTAGACAATGAATGGCTTCGACGGTCGTAGTAGTTGTTGTCGTCTTTATAAAAGATCATCCTTTTATAATAGCTGATATGACAACAGCCAGTGTTCTTGTATTTGAAATGACTGACGAGCGACGAAAATGTCGAATAAAGTTGCGGAAAACTGAAATTCGACAGTTGTGAATACATAGAAAGGATGGATATCATGCTGACGAGGATCGACACGGATACCTTTAGCCTTAACATTGAACTCCGTGGCCTCGACTGTGAATGGAAGTTCGAGATTTTCGTCCACCACCAACGCGATCCTGTAGACATGAACTGGGAAAATGTCTTCCACTGTTTGCCCTGGTCTTAGAGCTACCGCTTTGCCATCTTTACAAGCATCTTTCTCTTTGCCTTGCTCAATTTGATTTTCATCATCGTCATGATTTTTGCGCCTCAGAGAGTTCTTTTGTTTTCAGCTATCAGCAGGATAATCAAAACAGTTTCTAATTGTCAAGTGCTAGATGAAGAAATAGAAATGATGTTCTTTATGTTGTACTCGTAAAACGTTTATTTTGTTGCAACAAAATCGAAAAACTACAACATTCGCATTCCTCCATTTAAGTATTCATTCTACCAATGGTTGTGATTGATCATAATGCTGCTGGTTGTGGTAGCTGCCACTCCAGACGAAGCAAGACGTCCCCGTCGCCGAGAGTTCGTACCTCGTAGCGGACATTCAATGTCAAGTTCATCATCACCGCTTGCTGCTGAAGGAAGACGTTGGCGCTGTTCATATTGCTCATGTTCTTTGTCATCATGTTTATACGGGGCTGCGGCTGGTGGAAGTTGTTCGGTGATGGTCCTGGTAATCCAGCGCTAGCAGACGTAAAATTGATGTCGTTGATATTGTTGACATATTGACCGAAGCTGTGGCTGTTGCCATTCATCATGTTTATGTTGCTAAAAAAACCGGCCGCTGCAGCAGCTGCGTGCTGTGCCGCGTGTATTTGATGAAGCCCTAATGAAGATCCGGGTTGTGAGTGTGCTACTGGCACCCCCCCTGGTACTATATGTCCAGTTGGGGCTGATGTATGGTGGAAATAATGTTGAACATTTGAGGTACTACTTCTACTAGAATTATTTGCAACTACCGCACAGTTGTCGAGCCTCTCGCGATATTTCTCCAGCTGCTTGATGCGCTCTGGGGCTAGGTCTGGGAGCTTGCGCCGCAGCATATCTGGGTGCATCATCGCGGTTGCCTTCCGGACATCTGACGACGTGGCCGTGCCACAACGCGCGGCGAGACAAACGGATTCGATGTGCAACACCATCTGACGCCAAGCCTCGTCAACATCCTGTGGCGCCGGTTGTTGATTGTTTCTGTTGTGGCTGTCGTACACATTCTTGGATGTAGCAGAAGTACTGGCTGACGCTGAAGATGGGAAAATCGACGAAGCTGGACCAGTCTGCTTCAAAGGAGACAGGAAGGGATGCTGCCATGATGAGGTGCTTTGGTGATGTTGGTGCGTGTCTTGGTGGGCACTCGTGTGTTCAACACCATACGCGATGTCCTGCTTGTTACCTCTATTTTCCGCGGCGCCATTTTGGTCCTGTTCGCTCCTCGAGGTGGAATACGCTCCTCCTGCCTTTACCTTATCCGATGACGGCCGTGGCCGACCCAGGTACTCACGCGCATGCGCCGCATGGGGCTTTGACGCGTACGTTGAGGTTGAAGATGAGGACGAAGCTGCGGGAGCTGCTGGCAGTGTTTGATGCGATTGAGGCGGAAGCACAGGTCCCTTGGGCGGAATACTTCCAGCGATGCCTGCACTCGGGCTCTTACGAGGACTCAGCATTTCTTCGCCCTCTGAAGAAGAAGACGACCTCTCAATTTCGACTTCGCTGGCAGCTACAGGAACTTCGCTTTCGCAGTGCTTGCTTCTGGTCGATGCAGTAGATTGCATTTTCGAGGGAGCTACGTCCCTGCTATGTATCCTCTTCGACGAGGTTGCTGAGCTCATTTTCATGTCATAAGATGATGTTTTGTCGTTCTTCTCGGTATCCTCCACGATTATTTCCCTGGCATAATGTTGCTCTCCCTCTCCACCATCCCGACTCGATGCTGCTCTTGTTTTCGTGCTCGCCATGCGCTGCTCAAAAATCATTTGCTGTTTGGCTTTGCGTACAGGCGCAGCATCAGCGTCGTCCTCGTCTGTACTATTGATGTCTTCATGATGGCTCCCGTTCTCCTCCTCCTCTTCTTCAACTGATTTCTTGGTGTTCGCCTGCTCTGCGTCTTCCATGTCCATCCTTCTTCTACGAGTTGTAACACGCTTCCTGTTCCTGCCCTGTTCCCGCTTCTGCCTAAAAATACCTTTCGTCTCAGAGTTGTCTTTTGCCGCCGCACCCTCGTCGCCTTTAACAGAAGCACGCTGTTCTTTCGTTACCTGGTTTGTAGCTTCTTCCTGAAGAGAAATTTTGCTCCGTAAATTGCGATTGTCTTGCTTGGTGGGTTTTCCTGGCATGCTCGCGCCATTCGTTTTGACTGTGACTTGGGAGCTCTCCCGCTCTTGTACTTTGGAAAAGTCTGCGAGCAGCGAGTTTAGTTTCTCCTTATCCGCAGCCTCGAGGTTCTCCGAGAGAAATAACGCAACGGGACGCAACGCGGTCCGAATTAGAAGGCACAATCAAAATCCATGTCCATCTTCATACAAAGACACATACTATTCCTCCTGCTTTTCACAGAACATGTAATCTTCAAACTCGTCTAAGATCTATCATGCTTCAACCACGATATTGATTGGGAGAAGCCTTAAGACAAGCCTGTCGGCAGGCAGATTTTCGACGTACTGCCGAAAGGCATCAACAAAATGCTCTGTCAATTCCACTCGACAGTTGAGGAGTTCTTTGTTTCCTTTTCTTTTGTCTTCGTCAACATCGTCGTCTTGATCTGCTTCATCCACTTCCCGTTTGTTGGGATCTTCGCCACGATCCACGCTTCTCCCACCACAAGACGAACGAGGATCGGCAGCACGTGGTCCTTCTCCTTGTCTATCTTCTACATCCGCTTGCAGTTTTGCACCGGCGTGCTGTTTCTCCCTGTTAACGTTCTCCTGTAGTTTCGAACGCTCTCTAGCCCTACTTCTACTTCGTTTCCTTCGACCCTGCAGAGTGGGGGGATTTCGCCCGTCGGAGGGCTTGCCGGAGTGGCTTCTGCTCGAACGCGAGGGCGAGGGCTGATCGTGTGGAAGAGCGCGCGCGTAATGGCCTCTGGCGAGCAGTGTTTGATGTTTTTTTACGTGGGCTTGTTCCGTCCCATCACTGTTTTTAGCCTGTATTGCTTCATCATCTTCATGATCGATCTCCATTCCACTGCAACTGCTCACGCCAGAATCTCCGAGTTTTTCTTGGACACCGGATGAAACGGAGATGTCCCCATCTTCTTCCTGCTTTTGCATTTGCAACTGGTCTTGCGCATGTGCTTGTGCTTGCTGGTCGAACTCGAAGAACGACGGACCTCCTCCCGCATAGAAGTGCTGCAAGATATGCTCGTTCCGTAAGGACGACTTTTTTTCGAGAATAGCCCTCTGACGACGCGTCAGTTTGGGAGCAAACTCATGTACTGGCGGCTGCTCCAGGGGATGCATCATCGAAACCGTGTCAATTCCTTGTCCTAGTTGACCACATGATTCTTCCTCCTCGGGATGTCGCACCTCCCGCTGCTGGACCAGGTGTTGGCTTTCTCCGACAACGTGTGATTTCGGTTTCTCCTCCACCTCGATGAAGCTAGGGCCGTTATGCGACTCCTCCATCCCAAAAACAGTTGCTGAGGCCGCCTTCGACATTTGATTTTTCGTGCTTGACGATTGTTCCCGTTTTCTTGTCGAGGATGTCGTTGTCGACCCACTTCCCATAGAATGAGCAGTTGGTGTAGTGGTAGAGTTAGTGTTGTTGGAAGTGCCAGTTTGTAGACTTTTACCTACTCTGGCTCTCGCTGAGGAAACTACACGATGATCGTTTACTGATGATGAAGAAGCTCGGTTGCTTGAATTGTTCACAGCGTCTTCTTCACGATACCCAAGCAGCGTCTTTGCCTCAGCCTCAGCGGTATTTTTCAATTTCATCTGCGTCGCATGACTACTAGCCTGCTTGCTCCCACCTTGTTCGTTTTTCTGGACCTGATTGCGCATTTTCCGGTTCTGGATGGAGAGGCCGTTTTGTCCAAAGGATAAGTCAAATACCACGCCTGAAGTTTTAGAGGTAAGGATTAACGATAGATTCATCTTCTAACCTAATGATCTTAATCTTCTAAAACTTTTGTTTATATTAAAATAGAGGTAGAAAATTTAAGCGTACAAACGATAAAAGACGATAGCCCACAGCTTATAATTATAACGAGAGAGATGAGCTGTTGGTGTAGCTCGAAAGGTGTATTATCGAGAGTAAGCCTTAAATGTTTCGTACCCAGGTCTAAGTGTTCTCCTCGTCAGTGGAGCAACTGCAGCCTTTGGCTCATCGTTTGTGGAAGCGCTGCCTTCTGCAGCGCCAGGCCCCATCGTGGAAGAAGAAGATGATGCAGCGCGGAAGGCTGTTGTACCAGCTCTAGGACGACCGTAGCTCTTTTTATCAACATGAAGAGCATCTCCTGTAGTACTACCTCTACTCTGATTAGTACGGCCAAGATCTGCGGGTCGTGATCCCTTCTGGTCAATAGAAATTCTAGCTTCATTCTCGGCATCGTCACTAGAGCTTCTTGTTCTTCCACCTGTGGTCTGTTCAATACCACGACGAGCCGCGCGACCCTTTTCATAAGGTTCTTCTTGCTTGTCATTTTTGTTGTTGCCTTGGTGGCTGTTGTGGGATATCAAAGTGCTTCTTTCTGTTGCTACTTCTTCAACTTCGCCAAGACCAACTCCTGCTCCTCTTACCTGTAGTGCTACTTGCAGGCTTGCTTGACTTATATTTGTACTATATGTAGTGCCATCCTCCTCATCCTCGGCTGGAGCAACTGTAGCGAGACGAGGACTCGTCTCTCTTTTAGCATTCTCTTCCTCATCCTCGTCGATTGGTGACATAATTTGCATTCCGCGACCAATTCCCGTATGATGCGCCGCATATTGTTCGGATTCTCCTTGTTCTAGTACCTGCTCACGAACCTGCTCTTCACCTACTTGTTCTACCCGCTCGCGACGTGGGTGTGGAAGAAGATGGCCCTCTTCGTATTCCCGGACTGGGCCGCTTCGAAGACGGATCCTGCCTCGCGACCGCTCCATGATTCTCGTGGCGATGGATGAAGTCGCGGAGTGCATGGAGATATTAGAGGCTGAAGCTTGACCTTTTCCTCTCGCATACCTATGAATTTCCTAAGTACCTGAAAAGTCAAGGATATGCGCGTAAAAAGGTCAACTTTATTCATTCCTTAAAGATAGGAGCTGAGGCAGATGCAGCAGGTGGCTCCTCCAAACGAGATATTGATTTTGATATACCGTCAACATCTTGATGTTCTCCTGCTACTTGTTGTTGGTTCTGCTGGTCTCCGTGTTTTTCGACAAGAACAGTTTTCTGATCCGCTTCCCCGTCTCCGCTTTGAGCACCATGCCGCGATACTCTTTTTTGCTGTAGTTTTTCGTGCTCTATTTGTTCTATAATTCTAGCAGTCGGTAACGGTAGCGTGGTGGTGACACTTCTAGGCGGACCAGGTGTTCCCTCAAAATAATCGAATTCGCGACCTGCAGTCTCTTGTTGTTGTACTTGTATCTGTTGAAACGAGGAGAATAAGGACTCAGAAAATCCTACCTCGTGCTCAGCTTGATGATCCCGAGGATTTCGCGCTCGAGGGTGACCCACAGGATATTTCCGCGGTCGGCCTCGACGTTTTGGTTGACCTTGAATGTTCGTGGAGCTCGAACTGCCTGGAGTTTCCGGACCAGTATTTTCCTCATACACTGTGGCATTTCCGAGAACATTCATCTCCTGCCGATAATTTCCCATCGTTTCATCTGAGCCACCTGAAGGCGATCTTATCGTGTTGGCGACACCACGAGCCGAACCATCTTCTTGTCCCCTTCCGTTAATGTTCCCAGTCAATCCTTCTAGGGAAGGCGGCGCAGACGGCATGGCGGAATCCTTACTCGCTTTTTTGTTCATCTTGCTGGTAGTTCTGGATTTAAGCGCAGCTCCCCCTGCTGATCTTGTATTTTTCTTGCTTGTCTTAGAGATGGAGTCAGAAATAATTGTTGCCAATTAGGAAGTCAAAGTCTATTCTTTTGAGTCAACTTGCATCATAGTGCCTTTGATAGTAACTGTAGGTGATGGTGAAACGATCGTGCTGCTACATTAACACTTTCATATCTTTTGTCGAACAAGTAGATTATTACAGGTCTTAACTCTGTTCGCGGCTTTGCGTTTTCTCCTTTGCTTTTCAGTTTCGTCGACGTAACTTGAATCCGAATCTGACTCCTGCCCAGCTTCGACAGCTTGACTGGTGAAGATGCTCTGATAGATACTCTCAAGCTCAGACCCGGTTCGCTGTCTCTTGCTATATAGACCAGCACTTGCTTTTGCTTTTCCATTTCTTTCCATGTTTGTGGTCACCTGCGAAGAAGAAGATGGAGAGACGCCCGTTTGTAGCTCCTCCATGTACGATGTGGATGTTTGGTGCTCTTTCACGTCATGTGAAGATTGAAGACGTTGTGCATTTGGATGCGTACCAGATGCTGTACCCGGATAGCCAGGCATCCAACTCCAAGCCTGCTCCCGATTCGCGTGCTGTCCTAGAAACCCCGATCTTGGATGGCCTACAACAGCAGCAAACGCGTGCTGATCGAGATTTCCGCCCCTCCTTGTATCGATGAAAGTGGATAATTGGGGATGAGGTTGGGACTCTAGCACGACTTGCACGACAAAGACAATAACAATAACTACTTAAAGTAGCTTGCAACAAATAACGATTGCAACACCATCCAAGAACAACTCTATTAGAGATCTACTACATCGTGATCGTATAGACCGAGACCCTATACTATGATATTGTTATCGTTATGGGAAATATAATCCACTTCTGCAACAACTACAGCAGGATTCAAACAAGCTTAAAAAATCATCAATGCAGCTTTCGTTTCAATCGAAAACCCAGAAAAGTATGCTACAAAACTTTGATGTTTCATTTTTTCCCGATCATAAGTTGAAGGTCAAGTTGATTCACCGAGGGGGTAGCTCCCGCGGCGGCGAAGTTGTCATGATTCCTCGAAAGCATTTTTGGTCTAACTCTAACGCGCAACGCAGAAGCACTCGCAACACACGAAACTACGGACGCTCAATGTCGTTCTTGTTTCCCCGTTAGCATTGCCGTTGACAAGAGAAGCACAGCTGATCAGCCTCGCCTCGCATGCGACATTGTGATTTTGAAGAAAGTTTCACTTCCTTGTCATACAACCCAGCCTTTTCAACTTCATTATTCATTTCCAGGTTCAAAATAATAAACCAAATGAATCATGAAACTCAGGATAAACGCCAGATTAATAATTACTAGATTAAGTAAGTCATCATGATCATGTTCATGATCATACTTACTACGTAATTGATTTTGCTCATTCTTCACTATTCCCGTTTACACATACTAAAACTCAATAATCCTACTCAGAAGCGGGCGCATACATAGAATCCACCAGACGGCATTGGGTTATGGAGGGAATCCAGGAAGGGTGAGCGTGAGGAGGCAGGTTGTCTCTGTCAGAGTCGAGTCATTTACGTTTCAAGTCGTTACAAAGATAGAGAGAAGGAGCTATGATTCAATGAAACCGATGACCTGCCGCGTCGTCGCAGGCAGAGGCTTGCGACGCATGTGCATCATGTTGACGAGGTAGTTTAAGTAGAAGCAAGCCCCCTGCGCTAGCTGTAGAACACCAGGCCCACTTCTTCATCTAGAATTTCACTTGAATTAAGTCACACAAAAGACAAAATCAAATTGAACTCAGGAGACATCATTCCAGCTTAATCAAGGTGCAACGCGCTGACAACGCTGACCAGCACCAGCAAGTATCACTTTGTTTTCTGCTAAGTAATTCTTAAACAACTTCTCATCTACCCAACACAATTCTCTTTTGGCCTGCAATATACCACTTTCTTTTCGCTCGCAGGTTCTTGACAAGTAGACCCTTTCGACAAAATTATGGACAGGCAAGAAACACGATGAGCCTTCATCGACCATCCTGGCAGTCGCGGTGTAGCTGCTGGTGGATATGATCAACATTTTTTGCGATAATACATCAGGATCAGAACGATGGGATTTTATCGGAGAATACTGTTGGGGGTGAGGCGATGGGTGAGGTCTTCATGTATTAATTCGTTCACGAAATCATAAGTCTTTAAGTAGGTGTGGGGACAGTGACAGAGAGAGAGTCATACAATCATCGTCAATTCTAATTTCTTTGTGCGTATCATTTTCCCTGGGTTGTATTGAGATGCATATCGGCAGAGCGACGACCTCAAAGACAAGCTTGATGAGAGAAAAATGTGTTGTGAAGCGACAACACTTGCTATTCTCAATATATATTAGGTTTAGAGAGCGCGTTTTTGTCATCAAATTTGTAGATAGCGCACACCAAATGCCAGAATGCTAGACACCGTGACATGATCATGGTTAGCGGTCCTCCACGTCTCAGAATTTTTTCTGATATGACTCTCCTCCTCCTGAGTAGATGATATAGTACCTCTTGACTAATACTATACCTACGGTAGAAGATGAACATGAAGTCCTTTTTTATCTTCTGTAGAAACATACATCGCATCTACTTACATTACCACCACGCGATGAGGTATTTCATGTAGTTGAAGCAATCATCATCGCTTCCCAACAGTTCTACTTATTTGGGATGTACTCAAGTGATCTTCAGATGAAAATTAGAGGAGATGAACAAGACGCTAGTCATTCGACAACGACATCGCTACAACTTGAAGCGCGAATGAACTTCTCGAGTCCAGCTCCCTAAAAGGCTGGCAGATGTTTACGCCGTCGCCGCTGCCGCAGACGCGGCTGCAGCGGCCACCCTGTTTTTTGGCACTGCTCGGATCATCATATCCGAGTCCTCCAGCGCGTGCACCTCTACGCCGGTTTCTTGGAGCTTTATTCGGTATGGGAAGGAACGTGCAAAACCCGTGTCTGCACTCAGATCATGCTCCCATAGGCCGGTCACCTTGCCTTTGCGCCAGAATCTGCGCACTTTTGCTTCCACATCATCGCCGATGGAGAATCGAAGACTGGTGGGCGCAATACATGCGCGCAAACCCCGCATCAGAGTTTCGCGGTTCAAATTTATCCCAATGAAAACGACGCGAGAAACACCTTTTGTGTGGGTTGTTGATATAGGTCGTTCTGGTAGGTGAATACTACTTTGACCAAAGTGGTGATAAAAAAATGAAGACCAGAAAGAGAAACAGAAAGGAAGAATTCCGTAAGTATGAATAACTATGTTGAAAAAGACTGGTCATCTTCATATTACTTGAGCAAGTCGTGTTCAACGACAACGAGTTGTCAATCCTGATAAGGTAAAATTCAGAAAAGAAAATAGTACGTTCCTCCTCCGGCTCTTCCCATTCCCCAAAGAAATTTCCGTCAAAGAGCATGTGCACGCCGTGGAAAACGAATTTTTGGTCGAATCCTTTGACTGAGAGCACACCCTTGAAGCGCAGCAGTCGCTGACCCTCCTTCTGCAGCAATGAGCCGATCCATTCCTCCAATCTTGTGAGGAAAAGAGTCTCCCCCGGTGCGAGAGAGATGCCGATGGAGTGTACTTGAAGTTTCTGGTCACCTTTCTTCTCCTGTATTCGATTGCGCAGCTTTTCCTTCTCCGTTTCCTGCTTTGGCAGTTTGAAGAACGCCGCGGCACTTTCTTGTTGCCCGAACGGATTCTCATCTTTGCCGCCAGTCTTCTGTCTCTTAGCACCGGGCTCATCCGCGAAATCCAAAGCCTCACCGCCTTGTTGTTCGCCTTCCTTCTTTTCCGCCTGGCCCTCGAACGGATTATCACCGACTTGATCTTTCCTCTTTACGGTCACGTCACTATTCTTGTTCTTCTTTGCCTCATCTTCATCCCCTTCTTCATCCTGCGGGTTCTCATCAATATTATCATTTAATGCAGCTTCACTCTGCAGGAATTCTGGACTGAAGTCCAAAGCGTTTTCCAGCGTAAACTGCGAAATATTCAGCAGCAAATCCGGATTCACCTTGCTGTGCTTGCACTGAATCACTTCTGCAACCTGGTGGTTGGTGAACGATGATGTTGAGTAGGAATAGAATAAACTTGTCGATCATAGTACATGAATCAATGGGAGAGCTGTTTTTAGCACGAATCACTACAGGCCGAGAGAGAGAGAGAGAGTAGAGACCAGAAACTTAGATCAAAATCAAGTCAAAAGAGAACTCCTAATTCATTCTATCTGAACAATGTAAATCTCAATGAATGTTGTCTACAATAAAACGGTTTACGTAAAGCACCTTATTGATTCCCTTGAGCTCCTTGACGAGTTCCATAATATCTTCTTCTTTTTCTAGAAGGTCGATCTTGTTTAGAAGAATTCTGTCCGCAAAACCGATCTGCTGCATCGTTTCATTGACGCGTTGACCCTCCTCCTTTTCTCGGCCGGCGCCATACGGACCGTCCGGAACCTCGCCGTCCTCCAAAGCGAGCACGGCGCCTCCGGATCCCGCCTTAGCCGCTTCCTCATCATCGTCGAGATCATCCCCGTCTTGCAACATGAAGACATCATCTTCGTCCTTGTTGGCATCTTCCTCGCCACCCTTTTTGGTGGTTTTGAGCTGTCTGCGCTTCTCCTGGCGTTTTTTCTGACGGCGAATAGCAGTTTCGACGTCGCTACGGTCCGCGTACATGTGCTCCAGCACGTGCTTGGCGTTCACAACCGTCAAGATACCGTCAACGCGGCACCGCCGGCGCAGATCTTCATCGTGGAAGAACGTCGCCACCACTGGCGCCGGATCCGCGATGCCCGTGGTCTCGATGAAGATGCCGTCCAAGCGTGGATGCAACCGCAGGATTTCTTTCACACTGGCGATCAAATCCTCGCGGATTGTGCAGCAAAGGCAACCGTTCTCCAGAGCCATAATCTCTTCGGCTGACTCAACCTTATGCGTGATGAGATCCGGATCGACCGCAACGTCGCCGAATTCGTTCTCGATCACCGCGTACTTTTTTCCGTGATTGTTCAACAGTATATGGTTCAGCAAGGTGGTCTTGCCGCTGCCCAAAAACCCGGTGACTACGGTCACAGGAATCTTCAGGGCGTCGGAAACCTCAAACCATTCCTTCGGATAGGCTGTACCACCCTGGAGCACCTCAGCTGCCTTTTGTACCTGCACACTGGCCTGCGCGGCGGCCCCCGCAACACCCATAAACCCCGCCATTTTGTTCGCGGTTATGAAAGAAAAGGAGAGGAACAGTCGATGTTAATTATGACAAGCTAACCTAGGAGATGATGAAAGACCAAGTTTAGTTATTTTTTTTGTTTATGTTGCGATACTTTAGCTTTACCGAATGCAACAATAATACTCCAAAAATACTTACAAAGACGACCAATACACGATTTATTGCTGTGGACAGACTACCCTTCCTAAAATGTCCTGCCTGATGTTGATCGACGTCAAGAAAATGAGGATGAAATCGTAATCGATGTGGCGCTCATTTTCATTCTCCATTCTTGAATCTGACTGAATGAGAAGATACCTACAATAAAACAAGCAACGTACTCTGGACAAGTCGATCAAATATCGATGTGGTCGTGGTGTGATGAAGTCTACTTATTATAGAAGATCGTGACTACATTATTGCTTAGTTTCATTTGCGCCATACAGAAGCTTCTGCTCTGCAGTTCCAGTTTGGTAGCATTTAAAGAGTATGGTCGTTGTTCACAGAGACGAGCAGAAAAAAAATTATGATTGAACCATTTCTTTTTCTTTTCTTGTACTTATGTGAAAGCTATAGTTATTCTCATTCGACGATGAGTCGTGGAAGTGATAAAGTGGGGGAAATTCGAATTCGCAAACTGATTTAGAAGCCTCGTACGATTTGCTTTCATCGCGAGGACAACTTCATGTTCATATTCATTTTCGGAGGAATATTAGTACCCGAAGTAGCAGATCCACATGGACGTCCAGAACTCTTCAGCAATGCAATTTTGGATTTGGAACCGGACAACCGGGACCACAAGAACGATTGGAAAGTGGCTACGAGGAAAAACATCCAGAAAAATGCCTCTAGAAGAGCACAAGATGAAGATCATCAAACATCAACAGGGAGGCAACATCTTTTTGAAGGATACGGATCGAAGGAGTCAAATAATGGCTGTGATTGTGTTCCCACTGGTGAACACGGTAATTGCGAGATAACTGTTGATAAAAATCGCCTGGAAGGATTATCCGTTCGCGTTCGTCCATTCGAGGCTGTGGAGGATGAGGAGAACAACTAGTACTAGAAGCAAAAACCGTTTCGATTTTCATTTGCGAAGAACGCGTCCGACGCTTGTGCAACATGATGCCTTCTTTACTTCCTTACCAACTTCTTGGTGCTAATGCAGGTGCTGACAAAAACAAACAATTCGAGCGGGTGGAAGTGTATCTTCAACCACCTGCAAGTGAGGAACGCTTATCAGAGGAACATGGTCAAGTGAAGTGTCTTAATCCGTTGAACATGATCAAGAAAAACTCAACATACCCGAGATGCCGTACTACGGCTCCGGCAATTTTACGAAATCCGGAAGAATCTACTTCTGCATCTGGGTAGTACTACACGCTGGACCTTGCATTACTATGCTCTGCTTTGCGTTTGCCCCAAAGATTTCAAGTTAAACTCTAGCTCTTTATCTTCTACACCTACATCTCCTACTATTCAATTTGTCTTTATCGGGTACCTTTCCATATTTTGAAATAATAACAAGTACTGGTATTACTTTTTTACTGCTTACTTTTGACTTTCTAGCACCCTATCGCTATTCTGCTCAAAGTTCTTGTAGCAAAATTCAACACCTACTTCTAAACAACGAACATACAAGAAGACGAACCCACTGCCGCGGCTCACAATTTCTATGGCCGTAGCCGTACTAATCCAAATTACTCTCAGGCTTCCACATCCATGACTATTCGATCGCTACCGCCACTTGCTGTATAGTCTTTTTGTTCCAGAGCCACGCACTCGTTGATCAAATCATGCCGCTCACGCAGCTTTTGTTAGAGCTCGCCCTTATCCATCTCGAGATAGTACATCCTGGAGGGTCCCTCTCTCCCTTGAAAAGTCACTCTCCTAGGATGACTTCTCTGAAGATCGATCATTAGGGGAAGCCTTAATTTCGCATGTAATTCTGCAGCTGTTCCAACTCCGCCTTCTTCTCATCCAGACATTCTGCGTGAGTTCGGTAATCCTCGCTCAGTTGGTCCACAGTGTCATGCACAGCTTCCAGTAATTTGCGTTTTTCAACAACCAACAGAGAGATTAGAACGACGAAATTATGTACTTAGATGAAGTTCTTGACTTCTACAGGGATTTTTCTGATTATTGTGACGTAGACGGGGGGGGTCGAGTTCTACTTACCTTCGTCATTTGCTTTCCTAGTTCCACGTTGCAATTGCTAGAGGGTGAAACTGAAAGTGCTCATACATTCTAATAAACAACTAAGTACCAAATGAAGTACTTCTTGTATCAAAAAGACATGTATTCATAAGTACTGTTCGCGATCTCGCAGGTGGCATCGAAATGCTGCTCGTTCCTCGTTGATGCCGCGTACAGATCCACCGTAAAAGTTCAGCTTGTCTTCTTCTGGTACAACTATGCCCAACTGTTGATGACACAACGACAACATTTCCTCGCGTTCTGCTAGCAATTGCTCCTTTAGCAGCTGTTCGAGCTGTGCCCGCCAATGCTGTTCCAGGAGAGCGTAGTACGCGTCTCTCTCACGCAGTCGGTCCCGGAATCGCGCTTCCTGTTGCAACAGGCGGTGCTCTGCCCCGTGAATCAATTCACGCGTCTGACCTTCACACTGCTCCCAATGCCCGACTTGGAACAGCAAATCACGGATCTCCTGTACGTAGGATCCGTCTTGATCTTGTTTCTCGAGACCTTGCATGGAAGAAGATAACATATATGATGTTGTGGCGGTTGAGGTGGACATCGATATGATGTTGAGCAATGGGCCCGAAGACGGAGATGTTGAAGATTTTTCTTGTCTATATTTTTCATGCTCGCTACAACAGCTCTTGTTCTTGTCCTCGTGTTTCCTGATCTCTCGTTCTTCGCGGTCCTCGAAGTCGTCGTTCATGGAAACTGTTGACGTCGAATGTGGACTATGTGAAAATACGGTCGAGTCGGAGGAACTAGAGCTTTCACTTAGTTGGTCCGAAGATGACTCTTCGTGTTCGTCTTCGTCGTGGACGTGGTCAACAACAACCTGATGATCTATTCGTGCTGCATGAGGAGGGCGTCTAGAAGTATACGACGATTCCAAATTTTCGACCCTATCCAGCTCGTACTGAAGCTCTTGTATTCGTTGCTTCTCCGAACCAAGACGTTGTTTCAGCCGCTCGAGACGGAAAAAGGCATCTGATCGTAAGTTTGTGTTACATGTGATGACTCGGCGACGCCGGGTTTCTCGAAACTGCTGCTGAGTATACAAGATACGTCCAGCCAAATTCTCAATAGTCTTGTGCTGCTGAGACGCTTTCTCCTGTTGATGTGCTATATTGCCAGGCATTAGAAGTTCAAGTTCTCCTCGAAGGCCAGCTCTTGCAACATCGCCGTATGTACCGCCGCCAGAAGCAGAGCTATTGTTGGCACCATAAAGCGAATCAGCTTCACGCGCGTATGTGTTGTACTCGTCGACTCCGCCATCAAGTAACAAAAACAAGCCGTGTTCCAGTGAATCCTCGCCTACACCTCGCAATGTTGCATTGGAAAATCCTGAATGACCAAGACGAGCAACAGATTGGTTATCACACGCAAAACTCTCTTTCTTAGGAAGTGTAAGAAGTCCCATTGCGCTTGCTGCAGCAGCACCAGCACTGGCACCTTCCAAAACTGTACTGGAGCAGATCCACTTTCCAGAAATGGGTAAAGAGCGCACATTTCCCACGTGCCAAAAGTAGAAGGGTGGTATCGAAGCACCGAATATGTTCCCAAACGCCATGCGATCTTGAAGGGCCCTATCAACTGTCCCACGCCAAACACGAAACAAGGGTGAATCAAAAACAATACTTCTCTTCATCAATACCATGCGCTCCTGGTTCTTGTTATCGATTTTGATTTGCTCTTCACGACCACGATTATCGAGTATGCCCCCACTGGCGTTGTTGACCTTGCGGTTGTGTTGTTGATGCTCTGGTACAACTCGACCAGATTTTGCTCCTGCGTTATTTTTTCGTAGATTGCCAGTGTCAGCATATTTTCCACCACCCGCTATTTCGTAGTTCTGGTGCTCGCAACTCGAGGTATGGACAACTTCTCCTTTTTGCAGATGAACCTCACCCGAAACGAAATGACGGACAATCGCCATTAATATTGGGCACCTATGCGCAAGAACTTGGAGACTGTAATGTTGCTCCAGGGTAGAGAGTTCGAGACTCTTATCCGGTCCCGCGGGTGGGAGTAGATTGACCCACGGGACACTGAAACCGGCAGCATCGCGCCTCTCCTTCCGCAACACGTCAGCATCGAACGGCTTCGGCGCGGCTGTCGCTGATGTCATTGTTGATGGACCAGTGGATCTTGCTTCTTGCTTGGTTGATATATTGCTGATCGAAGAGCCATGAACAACATCTTCAAGACCACGATCTGCTCGGCTACTTGGCGCTGGCAAAGCGTCCCTTAATTGCGCAGATTTGTGATCGTGCCTACCGTCCAGATATGAAGCATCACTGTCATCGATCGTGGAAACGGAAAGAGCATCCTCATCTTCTTGATGCTTTTCGCGGCTTTCGTGAGGACCAAGAACTACGTCATGTGCATCATTGAAATCGACATGAAATGAGCAATTATACCTTGACACGCCGTTCCCTCCGGAAGTAGTCTCGCTGTCATGATCATAGCTTTGTCTTCTTGCGCTTGTTTTGGCTGAAGAGACCTGCTTACGTCGTAACATCTGCAGCTGAAGCTTTGACTTTCTGTCTATATTGTTGTGCTGGACTGGCATTGAGGCCAATTTCGCAACAGGAGCTGCAATGCCTTGACGTACTGGATCGGTCCCAGCAGTGCCAGTCATGCCTCCAGCTCCACTCAAAGTTGTATCGACTTTGATCGCAGAGGATGAGGACATCGCGTTTGGAATTACGCCACCCGCGGAAGCTCCTTCCGATCCTCCCGCTGCTCCCGCACCAGCCCCTGACGCAGAAGTAGATGAAGATTGAGCAATGAAGGACGAAAATCGTTCTCTGTCTTGACTCACCTGAGCTGCCAAGACTAGGGCGAAAAGTGCCGACACCGACGCTGCATGCCGAAAGCCAATAACACAGTTTGCTGTCGCACTAACGCCACCACTCGAATATTCCAAAGCATCTGCCGGACAACGCTCTGCACCCACTGCCTGCGTTGGATCAAAAAGTGCTGGAGGTATTAAAGATGTACTTGCATTGACTGATCCACTAGCACCTAGAATTGTTGCTGTGGCTGTTCCTGTTGCATGTTTGCTATGCGGAATTCCACTAGAAGATGATCCAGTCATCTGTGCTACAGCTACTGGCACTGTTGCTTTGTAGTTAATAGGACCCCTGCTTTTTACATCATGATTGTCACCTTTATGCTGATCGCGGCCATTGACGGGTTTGCCTTTCCCTTCAGATCCAGGTATGGGCTCATGGGTCGTGCTTTTCCTTTTAGATGCAGCACTCTTCCTAGGATATGCTGCAGCCGCGTGGGCGTTTATCATCGCCATGTAGTCAGACGAGACAAGTGGTAAGGAGAAGAGATAGGGATCCGCTTGCGCTGGTGTCTGAAATTGTACACTGCGCTCACTGATGTACCCCACGTCGCCCAAGATGAGGCAAAGCTGAAGAAACGGCCGATGTAGTGAGAGGTCTCTCAGCCTGCTTTCACTCTTGTCACAACTATTTATATTTTCATGCTGACGAGAATGAGCACAGAACTTCCCAAGCAGAGAATTTAATATTTGGTCGACTATTCTGGACCGTCGAATCTTGTAGAAGGTAGAGCATGAATCGACATGATCTCGTTCGGCTCCAGCTTCGGTTGAAGGAGGATCTTGTTGGTCTTGGTCTAGTTCTTGCTCTTGGTCTCGTTGTAGTACTGACAGTACTGCGTCATCAGCCTCCAAAGCACGACTCCCAAACTTCTCATTCTGGTCAGCTCCATATTGACGCAAGTCATGCTTCATCCTCGTCGGAGGCTGTGTCTGCTGCCTTCCCGCAACCATCCTCCTGTCAAGCATCAAAGCTTCTGGCAGAAAGGGAGGTAAAATTATTGGAGCAGTCGTACCACTTTTCAATTTGGTGTTGGTTTGACTGGTTTGTTGATCTTTTTTAGATTTGTCAGCACCCCGCAGAGCAGTAGGCGTCGATGAAGACTGGTCCCCCAACCAGTTTTTTCTTTTGAAATCAGCATCCGGTGAAGAGGCTGCTCCACAGAGAGCAACCACATGTAGAAGGTCGCTACAACAGGGCGAACCACTCTCAAAAATTTTCCTTTGTTGAATGACAAGTCCGAGTTGGAGTTGCTCGATGACTGCATTTTCGGCGCCATCAAAAACTGCATCCGCGTAGCAAGACACCGATGTCAGCCCGCCTGCTCCACCTGTGGAATCAATTCATTACAAACTGATGTACAAGAATTTAATCGCAAGCAGATTGATAATAGAGTTAGGTTTTTTTTGGCCCATATCGGGTCGGGTTGCTCGGGTTGCTCGAGTTGCCAACCCAAATTTTTTGCGCGGCGCCCTTCGGGCGCAGATTTATGACCCTACGAGAGATCTTAACAGGAGCGCACGACACGACCACGCGCCGCGCCGTAGTTGCATACTGATGGCGGCGCGCTCGTGTATAATTCCAATACCAATTTAGCAACCTCCTCCAGTATACTTACTGCTATACCCAAGACTGGACACGTCGCCCGCTGAAGCCAGCAGGCGGAGACTCGCTCTCAGCCCCCAAGTAGATTGGCCACGCTCGCACCCGAAGAAAAATAAATGGGAGAGATCGCCAACGACTCGGAGACGACAAACAACAGCGCCACTCACCTCAAAGAAAAACAACAGAGAGCAGGGGCCTGCGCTCCTTGTTTTCGCTTCAAACACGCGCCCGCACGCTACAAAAGAAGAGCCCGAAAGCCTGCAGAGCCCTCCAAACGTGGCTGCCCCTTTCATGAGCAACAACAACAAAAAAGAAACTGCGCTCTTCTCCATTTCTTCACTTAGAGCGCACGGACGCCCCTCCATACCGCCCGGCTTCGCCCCATTTTGCTGGGTCAGGATTCTCCTGGCAACCCATGGCAACCCGTTCCAGATTTGGAACCCCTGCGCTTCGGCAACCCGAGCAACCCGCTGCAACTCGAGCAACCCGAAACCCGTTATTTACCTTACTCTATGATAAATGTATCCACCTCAAAAAGTCGACACAGATTTGAATCTTCCTTCGTAATCAGAACCACATTAGCAAACTTACATTTTGAAGAAGGGAACACGACGATAGAGATAGTGATAGAGATATTGTTGCACGAGATAGGCCTAATTTTGTAGAGGTGAAAACTAACCGCTTGCTTTACTTAATGCTTTGACCGTCGCGGGACCTAAACCTTCACCTAAAGGGTGAAAGCCAGTCAAGATTTGCAGCAGCACCAGCAGATAGTGATAAAGATAGTAACGAAAAAACTAAATATTAGTACTTACTTGGTTGAGTGGTCAAGTTGGGCGCAACTGCGCGTCCTCGATGTAGTGCGCGGATAGCTTCTTCCGCTAGAAATTTCAATACTTCATCTTGCGTCTTCTCAGTCGTTTTTCCTCTTGCTATTGACGCGCTCGTCGACGTGGCAACGTCGGAGGAGGTGACTCTTGCCTTGCTCTTCCTGCCAGCGGCGTCAAGAATAGCCAAAAAAAGACGGCCAACTGCCTCTAACAATGGTACTGCTTGCGTCAGTAGCTTTCGCGTGCACCGAGCCTGCATCCAGTGTGCGTCATGTGGAGCAAGATAGTGCGTCGTTGGCGGCACACGAGGCGGTGCTGGGCCACTAGCAGTAACAGAGCTCGTTGTAAAAGCTCCCGCCACATTCTTGGCGCCTCCGATCGTGCTCGTTGTAGAGCCTGTTGCTCCTGCTCCGATAGCTGAGGACGCGGGCAGGGGTGGTCCATTGCTTGAAGAAGCACTGTTCGTGGTCTCTCCTCCGGAAATGGTTGGGTTTTTACGCACAAGATTGTGGAGAAAACGTAGGAGCTCTAGCAGAAGAACTACCTCAGTAATTGCGTCACCCAGGACTGGTAACATTCTCTCTTGCGCGAGAAAAAGCGAATGATCTCTGCTCCTGTAGCGCATGTCATTGTCGCACTCATCGATCTGGTCACTGGTTGCATCGACGATTTCTTTATCTAAGTCTTGTTTTTGACATATTTGTGCTGCAGCCTGCTTGTGGTCGTCCTCGCTGTAGTTCCTTGAGACTGATACTTGATCATGATCTTGCTCGTTGTATTGGTATTGCTCCTCATCTTCGTCTTCATCCGATACTAGTCCCTCTCGAGTAGAGTTGTAGCTTTCCCTTCCTATTAAAGCAGATGTGGTACCATCTCCGCCTCTAGTGCAGCTGTTGGCACTAGAGTCGTTCTCGTTCGGTTTCCGTGTATTCCCACAAGAAATAGAAAGAGGGTGGTCATTAATATCAAGCAGAGTCACTCGATTGAGCTCGCGCAAGAGCTGGCGGAGAACAATTGCAAGGTGTTTCGGCAAGTAGCCCTCAGACACCAATTCTGAGATCAGAGTACGCACACGAGTAGCCATGGCTGTAGTTGTCTACTCTATTACATGTACAACTCTCTTCGCTCATTTAATGACTCACTCGCTCACTAATCAGCTACATGTTTACATTAGCTTCAAACGTTGAAAGTCTGTTTACATCACTAGCTTCAAAGGTTGAAAGTCCTTGTACTTGACCACCCAAGAACTACTTCTATGTATCCCATTCGCTGTCATTCACTTCATCAATAACTCCGGTTGATGTCCCAGTGCATCTATGGAATGATTTTTGGAACGTTCTGGAATATTGAATTTTTTTGAACCTTATAATATGGTACCCTAGCAAGTAGCAAGAGGATACTGGCCTTGCGGGAACATCAATCCACGTCCATCATCTGCGCAATGAATATTATTCGGGAGGACATTGTCTTGCTCGCCGATTCGGAAATCACTCGTTGAGCGATCTTCGTCGATGGAGAATCCACGCGTCAAGAGACATCGAATACTGGAATATCCACCCTATGTCCTAGTCGAGTCTTCGTGTTCGTCCCGATATCATCTAACGAAAAATGATGGTTTCTCGTTCCGCCATAGTATCCTGTCCAACAAGTGTCGTATAGATTTGCTCTCGTCGTAGTAAGTTCTTCCCTAGGTGCATTTTGACTTTCCTACATCAGGTCCAGCAACACACGGATGAGTTCAACACCGATATTGCTCCTGGTGCATTCGTTTCATGACTCTTTCACGACTACATCCATTGATGTAGAAGAGGCAGTAAAGTTTCCTTTGTGCATTTCCTTTTTGCCGAGTCGGTTCATGACCCCCAGGTGAGTCAATTTATGGATGCGATGTACGTGAATCAATGTGAACATGATGGTTAGAATCATCGATACTAGGTGGAATAAAATGAATCTTGTATATAATCAATCAATATAGAGTGGATGACTAATGCCGTGGCAGTTGGATTACAAAAAGTAGTTTTCCTATATCTATGCTTCTTGCCTGCTTGATGAGATTCTTGTGCTGGGAACGCGAGGACGAATGACCATCACGAAAATCTATGACATATCCACATGTAAATGTATTTCTTCATCTTGATACAGAGAATCCGCGCATTGCTATGACTATGTCATCCATGATCTTAGTTAGACTTAGAGAATAGGTGTCTAGTAAATAAACTGAGCTTGAATTATAGATGGAAGAGTCGAAGGATGAACATCAACACGAAGCGATCGACAATAAATTCAGACCTTCTTCAGATTCATACGAATGTGGATGTGCTTCGTTAAGCAGAGGCGCAATAGCTCCATAAACCGTTTTTTGAAAAATTCGACGTGTTCTACTTGATGTGTTATGGTGTCGGTAAATACACGGGTCAAGTTCAACAGTTGCATTTAAGCTCTTCATTAGCATCAATTCTTATGGATATGCATAAGTATGCGCATTTATCACTACAGGGCTCTACATATTAGGAGCTGTGGCATCATCTTCTGCGAGTGCGGGCGAAGTAATTTGATTACTAAGACCAATTAAACCTATAGATACTTCTTCTATGTCGTGGTCGTGCTCGTGTCTATGAATGTGTATGAAAATCAAAATACTCATGAATATTAAAGTATTCGATTCAAATGATCTACCTTCTACTTGTTCATTATCAACGCATCGAGCTCCATAGACATATTTTTATTCTCCACCGTCCTTGTAAATAATAGCACAACTACTACCTCACATGATCTACAAAGACATTGCCGAAGGAAACTCCGCAAATCGTATCTATACCTACTGGATTGCGAAACGTCTTCTATTGACTTCATCCGATATGCGTGCTTGCTGGTTCTTCAATTGCTGCCGATTCGCGTACTCCTGCGCTTGCTCTGGACGCATCTCGCGGGCTGAAAAGTTCTTAGAAATGTGAGTGGGGTAAAGGGGTCAGTGCTGTGGGAAAGGAAACTGTCTGGTAAAATTATAAATCACATTTGTAGTATATACATGGAACATCGAGACCCACGCCAATTTCTGGGACGACGACCCGCCCGAGTCCGAGCTGCGAGCGACCTGAAGGATGGGCCCCTTTGGGACCGATCCAGGAAAAGATCCCAAAAATTTGTGTGGATCTCGATGTAGTAGTTTCGGTTATATAATACTAGTAGTAGTGCTCCGGTGCAGAAATTAATAGTATATGGTGGGTACAATTTACAGACATGATCATTCCTCGCCGACATCTTGATCAATCTGCAGTTGTAGTTCTACGATCATCTATATTAAAAACAGCCAAGAGCAGAATGAAAGGAATTGTAGCTGCTGCATCATCTTCGAGATCGAGGTGTATCTATAATACAAGAATACTGACGAGACACAATGAAGAAGCAAGAAAAACTTCTACGTGTTCGATCACGTGCTTCTTATATCACAAGAAGTCCATGAAGATTGATTTTAACTTCTGAGTTGTACTCAGATTAACCATTGATGCCGCCGTTTGATCCATAAACTTGCTTGAAATCTTTTTTGCTGTAGCCGCCCTTCAAGGCTTGTTTAGAGCACAACGCACCAGCCTGCACGATACAGAGAACGATACATTGCAGCACTCCCTGGATGAGGAAGAAAGAGAACGCCACCGGATCGACCCATCCGAATCCGGCTACAAAGCACCATATGCAGCTTTGCGTCAGTGCCAGAACATTGTACAGCAACGTGGGAGAAGTTAGAAGAAGAAAAGAAACGAAATAACCTACGACCACGAGGATGAAGATAATAAAAATTTAAGACAATAGTAATATAAATATACTGACTTACTCAAAAATATCATAAAACACATTTCTTGAGAACTAGAAGGCTCCATCTCTGTATAAAACACATTTCTTGATGACGAGTAGAACTAGAAGGCTCCATCTCTGTATATTAGCTGTGTTGCTCCTGTTGTATCATCGATCTATACTGTATACTTTCTAGTGAGTCACAAGAACAAGAAGAACAAGAATCTGGGTCATGCCTTAAATAACAGGGAATATTCTTGCAAGTTTTCGCGGCCCTGAACACGATCAGGAGCGGGCTCAACTGCTGCAGCACCATCACAATGGTCATGCACACCCTAGCGAAGATTTTTAAGATGGATTGTGTAGTAGATAACTGAGACCGAGGAGATGAACTGTAAGTAGACAAGACCAAGAAGAGGATGAAAGGTACGAAAACTGAAAAGGAACATCAAATATTACAAGTAAAGCAAGAACAATTGAGTAATAGTAATTCGGATCATTGAAGATGAGGCTGCTACAGATGAAGAAGATCAAGAAGATCGATAGTTTTATCTTTTGCTACAACCACTGTAGGTACGTGAAGATTTTCCTCGACAAAATAATGTGACCACAACTAATTCCGATTATTGAAAAAGAGGCTGCTACAGATGAAAAGTACCCGAGTGTTAAGGTCATGCGGAATCCCAGGAAGAAGAGGTAGATGCAGAGCAAGAAGATGCTTGAGGCCAACTGACATTGATACTGCGTCTTGTACAACTGCGCCACCATAACTTTTTTACCATAGTACACAACGTAGAATATGGCGAGAACGAGTCCGAGCACGGAAACGCTCAAGGGGTAAACCCACTGTTAAAGATTAAGATGGTCGTGAAGGTGATAGTAATCTTTATGTTTGTTTGTCCTCGTCGCGGCTCTTGATCATGAAGATGACTCGTCAACAAATCATAACAGGTAGAGCGCTCCTATCACAATAAATTATGATTATCTTTCCACGAGTTTCTCAATACACAAGTAGTTCTACTAGTACGCGTAAAGCCGTTACTAACTCGTGTGCTTTGATGATTGCGTTAAGGGCGGTACGATTATGATATTTGTACTATACATTTATTACTAACACGTCTTCTTTGAAGATGGCCATGATATTTATAGTATACACGAAAGGAAATGGAAAGCGTCGTCCTTTTCGATGTCGATTTCATCGTTGTACTAGTATTGTTCATTGATTTATATTATTCCGCTAATCGATACATAGTACCATCCCTCCAAGCTGTGCCCAATCGGTCCACATGTGAATCGTAAAGTAAAAGGTCCAGCTTGCACTCGCAAGCAGCATGCTTGTTACTCCATCTGGCGGCATGTCGTTCTGAAGTATTCAGATAACAAAGTAATTTACAAGGTTCGCCAGCTCGCATAGCATGGAGTGCGCGGATCGCACGGAGTTGCATGGAGCTAAAGGGGGCGCCTCTTGCGTCCCTTATGGGTCTCCGCTCCATGCGCTCCATGCTACTCCATGCACCATGCGTGCTATAAACTGCTCTGATTATAATTCGATATTGTTCCTGATCCTGATGCTGATATATTATAACAATAATTGTTACTAACATGAAATTGAAGAACGTGGTGTAGAAGTACAACAATCATACATAAAGATGCTCTCATTATCACAAAGATCAAGATAAAGATATTTATGCACTGGAGGAGCTTGCGGGGGAAGTGATTATACTAACTGGTGAGTTAACTTAGGTGAGAGAAAAGATACGCTCTCTGGAAGGTTCCTGGACGACAGTCGACAAAAAATGTCGGCTGAGGGACCAACTAGGGAGAGGGTTGGGGGCAACGGGCCCCGCGAACCCCGTCGTGTGCGGTGCGAAAAATGCACTCACGCGCGACGCCGCCGGTCGATGCAATGGCGCATCTCGGCGAAGGCGAACCACGGTTCGCGCCTCCACGGAGGCTCGGGTGCGGTCGGGTGAGAGCGTTAATGCTACACCCACGGGGCGGAGTTCACATGCAGAGCGGAGCAGAGCGGAGCGGAGCGGAGCGGGCTGCCGGCGCACGGGCCAAAGCGCTCGTGCGTAGGCCGCGGGAGGGCCAACGCGCCCTCCGGCGGTGCGGTGGGCAGGCGCGTGGCGCCCAGTGGGGGGTGCTGGGGAGCTCGTAAAAATCGAGTTCCGCCGCGCGCGCGGCGCGCCATCCCCTCGCGGGGCAAAAATCGCCGCGAGGGTTTGGCGCTTGTGGCAGCACATTTTCGTAACCTCAAGCTGAAAGCTAGCTTGGGCAGGTCTAAAAACTTTTCTTTTTCCCAAAAATCCAGGGACTTTCTGTGCGCGTATAATCGCAATCTAGAAACTAGTGACTAGTAGTGCCCCCGCACTCTGGTTTTCAGCAAAACAAAAAACAAAATGACCTCCCTGAAAAGCGTCGGAGACCTCGTCATCCACACAGGCAAAAATCCTGTGGGGAGCGAGGACGTCGACGAGAAGGGCAAAGCCCTTCTGAAACTGATCGACGGATCACTGTTTCACCCCTCCATGGCGGAGGCCATGGAGGCGCTGCAAAAGCAGCTGGAGGAGAAGACGCAGTATGAGGATAAACTCATCTTCTGCGCAAACATCCAGGACTGGATTGCAGCACTCCGACAGATGGTCGGTGAACTTCCGGAAACGGAATTCATCGACACGGTCAAAAAAGACCTGGAGGACCCGCGCTTCGTGGGGGAAGGTGGAACCCTAACCGAACAGGGCACCACCTTGATGTGGTTCCACTTGTGGTTGGGCGCATACCACGAGGAACTAACGGCCGAACCCTGGGCCTCGAAGTCTCTGATTAAAAAAGAGACTTTTGAAGCCGGCGCGAAGCTCGCCGAAAAACGAAAGTTTCGGGAGGAAAACCCGCAGCTGAACCTGGCGGAAGTCCCGGCGCAGACCGCCAAAAAGGAGGTGATAGTCCGCTACCTGATCGAGCGCACCAACAAAGAGGTGCTCAACGACTGGGACGCGAAGCCGGCCAAGACGCCGTGGACGTCGGTCCGCAAGGCGCACGAGGAGGAGGACCGAAAGCTCCTCGAAGAAGAGGAGAAGCAGCGCAAGGCGGAGCTCGAAGCCAAAAAGAAAGAGGAGGAGGACTCCGTGGACTTCGCCGACAAAAGCGAAGAGTCCTCCGAGGAGCCGCCGGAGACGGCAGCTCTGTTCAAAACGTTCGCGAAGAAGACCGCAAAGGCCATCGCAACGGCTTTGAACAGCAGCGGAGAGGACAAAATCCTCTCCTATGACGACACGCGCCCGGCTAGCGAAGGAGAAAAATTCTTCGTCTACCGACGCGTAAACGGCGTCGAGAAGAAAACAGAGGTGAAAGTCGTCTGGCCTTCCGTCTTAACTCCGGGCGAGGAAGTCGCAGACGCACAGGAGCAGTATAAAAACTGCTTCTTCACGAACGGAGAAAAAGCCTCTAAGCAGGCGAACCACGTGCTCACCGCGTTATTAAAACACGTGGAAAAGCACGGCCTCCGCTCCGTTTTCGACGTGGACGAAAACAGCGTCCTGAACACGACGGCAGGCCAACGCCTCAACCAAAAGGCGCTGGCGCTGCTCTTCGGAGCATACGCGGCCGCAGGCATCTGGGGCGAAGCCCAGGTGGGAAAAAACCAACCCAAGGTCTCAAACTGCGCCATCGCAGGCTTTAACGGAGACAACCTGCAGCGCACAAACAGCGCGTTCCAGAACCTGGTCCGGAAACAGGTCGTCGCCAGCGTCCCGGCTGACTACTGGGACAGATGCAACCTGGACCAGTGCTGGGAGACGCTGCGCCGCGTGGAAAGCGCCATCAACGGCGCCACCGACCTGCAGCCCTTCGACTTCATGACCGAGTTCAACGAGAACTTCCCAGAAATCGCCATCAAAAAAATGATGGTGTTCTTGGGATTCATGAAGGAAGGCTCCCGCAGCCTCGACGCGCTCCAGCAGAAGATGAAGCGCTGGGAGACCGGGCTGGTGAACAGATACATGTTCAACCTGCTGGCCTGGTACAACCACTTCGGTCTCCACCTCATCGACGAGGCGCGCTACACGGACGAGGAAGACGGGGGAAAAATCAAACCGCCCGTCCAAAAAGCGTTCTTCAAGGAGAACATGGAGGAAATCAAAAATGAAATGTTCTCCATGCGAGACGCCGAGGCGAGCTTAGGCAAGCCGAGAAGCGAACGTGTGACAGTCACACTGCGCTCTCGTAGCCACAGCCGCCGCCGCAGCGAATCGCGAGAGCGATCGGCGAGCGAAGGCCCGCAAAACCCGTTCGGCAGCGACGCCGACAGCGGCGGGGACGACGACACGGGCACAACCATGCCGAGCGACACTTGGTTGGAGAGTTTGGATCTGGAAAAAACAGATTTCAACCCGGCCATGGACCCAGTCCACAACCGCCGCCTCGACAAACGTGTCGACGTGGTGCTAGCCGAGCGCCGAAACGCGAAGGGAGGAACACGCACCACATACTACGTGTACTTCCCTCAAACCGGCTTAGTGGAGCCGTCCGCATTGAAGTCCCTGAAAAATATGGGACTCATGCTTCCGCCGGCGGTATGCCACTGGTTCCACGCGCACAAAGCGCATGCGGTGCAGTCAGGCTGTCGCAACGACGCTCAACACCTGGAATGCACACACCACCACCTCATCGACCGCAACCGTCCTCCCCCAGACATCACTATCGCCAAGAGAACGTGGGCAGAAGTGATCCGCTCGCAAAAAGAGCTGGCCGAAGTCCTCTTCTCGGCCCGGTTGGCAGGGCGAAACATCAACCAGCAGCCAACCGGCACAGCGGCAAAACGAGCGGCAGCGAAGGACAAGGAAGCAATCCGCCACCCGAAAGACTTCGTAAAACCGAAAGTCCAGCCGATGAAGGCGATGAAGGCCAAAAACGGCCGAACACGCCGCCAACCGAAAGGACCCCAGCGAAGCGACGCAAACGCGGTTCCGCTGGGACAACGGCATCGCAACGACAGTCGCGAAAAAGACAATCGTGGCCGCAACAAATCGAAGCGATCGAACGAGCGCAAAAACAGCCGCTCACGCGATCGACGCCGATAAATCGAGAGTGATGGAGGGAAAAATCCTCTTGGGGAGAGACGTGAAGGAGCACGTTGGGAGCAAACGCTCCCTCGCGGTGTGGTGGAAGGAGCCACGCACAAGCTAGAACGCGACTAGCTGGAAGAAAAAGGCTACCGGCCTCGAGGACAACAAATCCTCGAAAAACAGAATGCAAAAGCATTCGCCATAAGCCCTCTGGTCAAATTACCAGGGGCACCGGACCATTATTAAGTTAGTGGCGGAACAATAAATTCGTCCTTTTTGACAGAGTAAAAAACACTCTAGTTGAGAGGGAGGAAACAAATCAAACCACCAGTGACGACTGGTGGCCGAAAGGGAAAACGCGGCGGCGGCGGCGCAGTGTTCGAGGGAGTGACGTGTTACATCTCGTCAAGCTAAAAAGAGGGAAAACAGAGTGGGAAGGAGTTACGAGTAAGTAAAGAAGCTAGGCTGGGGAGACCACTTCATGAGATACGGCAGGAGGCCAAGATCCATGGTGGAGGTTCGCCTAAGCAGCCGCACGAACCAGCCTAGACAAAAAAGTAAGTAAGGACGAGAGAACAAACTAACTAAATAAAAACTAAAAAGAACGTTAGAGGGAACAACAGCGAGAGATAAATAAAAAAGTAACATTAAATAAATGTCGAAGCGGGCGGACGCACTGCGCAAAGCTGTCGATCTAAACGACGACGAGCTGCGCGCCATGGGAGAAGCCGACTCCACGACTAGAAACAAAAAGTCGCGAGTCGCCTTCTTCCTCGACTGGCTAGCGGCCAAGGGTGAAAAGCTACCCGTGAGGCCGGAGGCGGTGCAAAGATTCGCCGCCTTCCTAGTGTTCAATGAATACACCTCAGTCGCGCAGTACACATCCAGCATCATCATGTGGCTGGTAGAACCGCCACCCGCGGATGGCCCGCAGCGGCTAGTCGAAAGCCCCGCCATTCTCCGAAACATCGGGGACGTGGAAAAGGCAATTGAACGAACAATCCAAGACCACAACCCGAGGAAAGCAAAGCCTTTCCTACCGGGTACGAAGCTCGAGGCGCTAAAGGCAAAAGACCAAAAAATGGTCCTCCTTTGGGCGCTATCGGGATTGCGGGGCGACAGCATCGCGGCGGTGGACGACACGGACATCTCCAAAAAAGGAGACGTGTGGCGCATCCACATATCCGAAGACAAAATCCGCAAACAACGCGGTAGGATAATAGAAATCCACTGCAATTGCGACACCAACGCAAAAACAGCTGGTGCACGAAGTCGCTTTTGCCCGATGCACGGCGAAGGCGCTGTTATGAGATCTGATTTCCCATTAGGCAAGGCCAGGATAAGTAGCTTGGCGAAGGGAATTAGCGGCACGCTGCACAGCTGCAGGAGAGGACTCGCATTGGCAACGCGACGCGAGTGGGAGCAAGGGAAAATCTCCGTGAAGGAGGATGAATTCCTCACCCACATGGGCTGGGAACAGTCCAGCAAAATGTGGGACGAGTACACAGCCGACCACAAAACGTGGGAGGCTTCGGAATTCATCCCGCTGCACGGATTGCGCAGGCGGTGGCCCTCGGGGGGGGGTCCACCCCCGCGCGTCTTCGTGCAGCCCAAGGCGGTCCAAGAGGACACCTTGGTCAAGCGGACGATCAAGATCACCCCCAAGCAGAAGCTACAGAAGAAAGGGCGGATTCAACAGAATACCGTTACCAAAAAGGTGACGGCCCTAGCGCCAAAGAGCGCCAGTAGCAGCGGCTCAGGGGCACTCAAAGCAGTACCGGGTACAAAAAACGTACGCACCTGGCGGTTCTGAACCTCCAGTCGTCGGGAAAAGGATGGAAGGCGCACCAAGGAGGCGTCGAGAAAGGATGGCCCAAAGGGCTGGAGGTTCAAAGTGACCTTGTCCCCCAGCGGGGGGACAACGCCTGCTACTGCCGAGGGATTAGCCGCGCACCCGGGCCAAAGCGCCCCGGACCAAAGCGTCCGACGCGAAGAGCGAGCACCCGAAACCTCGCGGGTGCCGGTTGATTGACTCGTAGGGCGACGGTGCACGAACACCGGCCGAGCCGCGAGAGGGGTTACGACACCCGGACGTTGGTGTGCAACTCTCTCTGGGGAGGTAAAGGCCTCCCGCCACGCTCCGTGGCAAATTTATGGGCCGTAGGTGCAACGACCGGCGCCGGCAAAGACCTGGGTCTGCCGAGCCAGCCTACCGTGCTGCCACAGCACTAAAAAGTATAACTCACCAGTAGATTTAGGATCCCCGGGGGTTAAGTCTCCAGTTTGTATAGACAAGGATGCGTTTAGTAGTTGTATTAGTAGTTTGACATGTGGACTTCTATTCGGCGTGCTCCTGAATATTATGAATGCTAAGGTGACTGTTGAGATGAGAATATTATTATTACAAGCGTATGATTAGCAATTAAGAAGTGTAAGTGTTACGAGTACTACTAATAAATAGATACCTTTTGGTCTTTCGCGTCTGCAACAAGTGGGCGGTTTTCTTCATCTTCCTCGTCTGAGCCTTGATCTCTACTCAGTCTTTTCGCATTGAATTCGGTGATGCCCAAAGCAAACTTGAATCCCAAGAGCGAGAGAAGCGGCAGTAGGTACACGAGGAATTGCGCCACGCATAATATGATGCCCCATAGCATTAGAAGATGAAGAACAAGACGAACTACAGTACGAGAACAGAACTAGGCCTAGGTGAAGGTGTAGGTCTGATGAAGGAAAAAATTAACACATTGAGAATCAAGTGCGAGCTGTAGTACATCAAAATAAAAATATTTGGCAAGGTGAATAATATTTCTTTTATTACCACAGAATTCCAACCATTTGATGTTGAAGTTGATGTTGAAGAAGAATAAGTTTAAGTACTACACATTGTGCGTTGATATATTAATGATCCTGCTCATCTCTAATGTCCTGCTTTTATGACCACTACGTATACGCATCCGACACCGACTCCGACGTGCAGCTCTAGTTCCTACTTACTCTTACAACTACTTACAACAGAAGTGAAGATTGTAATGTATTTGTTTCCGCTGACATGAATCATATTGAAGAAGAGCAAGCACATGCACAGTAAAGCCTTAAAGTTATCTGAGTGGTTCCTCGATGATGGACATCCAGCACCCGCGGACCTTTCGGATTGTTCATGTCGAAAACCGAGTACTGCTTCCCAGAGCTAGCGCCGGAGGTCTTAATGGCAGTTTTGGGGGATTGGGCAGCTGCAGCAGTGGCTACTCCAGCTTCAGCGGCTGGGGCGGCTCCGGCTGCTCCAACAGCAAGAACTGCTGCAGCAAAACGGATAAGCTGCGCCCACATCTTCAATTGATTGCTGGGTAAGACCAGCAGGTAGACCACAGGCTCAGATGAAACTAGGTTTAGGTAGAGGGAGGATGAGCCCTTTTCGAGGATAGCTGATGGATTGCTGGAGTGTTTGGCTTGTACTTGCTATGCTTGTTCTTCTGGTAGGTCGTATCGTTGTACTTCGAGCAATCATGAACCCCACTAGTCAAAAGTCGAGCTACTCCTACTCGTCGTACTCGTTCGTCCGCCTCAAATAAAAACTTGATGATCCGTTATTCTTACTGCCCACGGTACGTCGCTGTATCTCTAGCCGCCACAAATGGAAGCGAAAGAAGGGGGAAACGGACTTGATGTTTTCCCTTTCGAGAAAGCTGCGCATGCGGTAACTCTTAAGCCGTTCTTCACTATGTCGAGTCTGACACGGATGCAGATCGAAGTGCTACGACGAGGCAATGGTAATGTGTCTTCCTTTATCAAAACTACTTGTTAGTTCAACCATGATGTGAAATCTTCATGCATCAAAAATTGAAGTTCAAAACGACGGATCTACTGCAAGCATTATAGTGTCGGAAAGTGCGGCTCTCTAATCCAGTCCCGAAAGGGGAACAAGAGGACCTAGATTCCTTAAATATAATACTCAACGACTACATTTTCTCTCTCTGATTCTCCACAAAACTGACAGCTTTTCATTGGAACAAAGGGCGACGTTACCTAGACCATATTAGAATTGATAACGATCATAACACTAGAAAGAGAGAATACATGGAGAGAATGAGAAAGCTAGACAGGGAAATAATGTTGTATGCAGCTGGCGTTGGTCCAGCAATTGATATGATTTTTTACACAAGTATGACGTCAACAAGAGGAAGAGCACGCTCCGAGACAAAGTTATGACAGATAATTACGAAATCTTGACAAGATTCTAAACAGTTTCCACTACTTCAATCATCATAATACGCATTATAATTATTCATCGGAACTTCTCCAACGATAATCAATCACTTTTTAACGCTTGATATTCCTTGAATTATCTTTAATTATTAGCATGTACAACGAGCATTCAAACGAACGATATCGATTTGTTCAAGTTCATTAGGTCTTAAAAGACATAGGGGTACGTTGCCGATTCATTGGCTGTAGGTCGTGCGCAGATCATGAGGAAGGTGAGTGAATGTGAAAGTTCGAGTTGAAGAGACAAGATGCACGATTATTTGACAAGAAGAATATTGATATTGTACGACGTGGCTCGTCGTACTACTGAGAAGCAAGAAGATCCATCTACTTATGCTAATCTGTGAACCTCTTCATACTGCGACCTCGACCACAAGTGGACCTCGCTCTTAGAAACAGAATTTCGCTTGTGATCTCTGAAACAGAATGTCGCATGGGATCTCTGCATGATGTATGTCACTGGTGTACAAATTCCTGGAAGAATCGACAGGGACAAACCTTTTTGACAGACAGTGAGAGGTCATGACAGAAATTTTCAGCGTGGTCATCAACACAAGAAGCCACAGCGATGCTGTCACTCAGCACATCAGCAACCGAGGATGAAGATGTTGATGTGATATATTCATTCATTCACTCACTCAAGCTGCCACCAGTGCGATTTTTTTGTTACCTGGGTCTACATCTACAATTCTCGTATACTATGTATTGTACTGTTGCGGAAGAGTACATGGACGTCTCAACAGCCACAACATGATGACTCTCTTACAGATGTCGAAGTGCTCAAGAATAAATTAGACTAGAAGCTGCTGCTCAAGACAAGGACTTCTCGGCGCGCAACATCTCCTATCCTGAACGCTTCCTCTCACTGAGAATGACGATAAGGGAATGTCGTTCCCAACTTGCCTTCTTGCTTAGGAACGACGTTCCTATATCTACTTCGTTCTCAATGACAATGAGTGACATCATACATATTGTTCAATGGTACAGATACTCTCTCGGTCGTGCATAACTACGTCTCTCACTCGTTACAGATGCTTCTCCTTCCTTATTCGCCTGAAGCTGCATCGGAGAGATGAAATTATCTTTGTTTGACAGAATGGAGGAGAAAAATCATATCATTGGTCGAATTAAGACGACTTCTCATACGAGAGGGCACAAGAACCCGCGGCTTCTCGCTCTATGTCCCCCATCTTGGTGCCGCGTCGTCGCACAGAGATGACTCAAACTCATATAGATACATATGCTTATCATCAATCCATTCGATTTCTGGGACAACATTGGCGTTGACATATTGATCATTCAGACAAAACGACAAGAGGAGTTTCATCAGTTTTCACAAAACAAAGGTTCTTTCAGCAAGGCATGAGAATTCATTGAATCATGCATTGTCCTTACATATTCGTTCTGTGTCGTTGCTGTCCTACGTCGCCATCGCGACTTGGTTCTGTTCTCGTTTCGTATTACGTTGAAGGGCCTGACTGTAACAACATCTTAAATCGGTAATATAGAAGGAAACAATCCTCCTTTTCGCACTGAATCACAGTGCGGATCCTAAGCATGACTGGATTTTAGAAAAACAAATTGAATAGGCCCGCAAGAGTGCCGGAGAACGTAACCAACAGATCACGTCGAACGGCACGGGACTCTTTGCTTTCTTCTAGTACTTCAACTTCGTGTTGTTCTCTCAAATTTCGGCAGAGGTGGTAGCTCAGATTATTCATGAACGATGAAGCATTGACATTCATTTTTCATCGAAAAACTTTTCACTTCAATTCTATCAATCTCTATGTATCAAAACTTGCTGGAGTTTCGTGCGGAAGCACCAAGAACAACCTGAAGAAAATTGAAATTCAAAAAATATCAATGAACAATAAGTCAACTACGACATAAACATCATTGACACAGATTTCATACAGAAATAGACGCTTGTAACAGTCTAAGTTCACTATCAAATCGAAATCCATCTTCTTGATTAATCAACGGGTTAAAAACAAACAGTAGTTCCTTTCGCGGACTTCCATAGGAAAACGAGCACAAGAATAACACATCCGCGAAGGGGTGCCACACTCGCACACACACTTTAGTCATCTAGTAGTTGAAAAACAACGATACTACGACGGTACACCAAGAAGCTTCATCTATCGACTTATCTACCTCGACTTTCTTCATCTGCCAACCCTTCGTAGGGGTTATCTACGTCCTTTGCGTTGCTCCTTCTTGTTCTTGTTGTGCCCCTGCGCTGCTGGGAGTCCTCGCGGCTGTCCTGTCCTCTGTGAGAGGAGTTCTTCTCGTCGCCGTGTCCTCGCTCTTCCCACTATCAGGTGGCAGAAGTTGCCGGCAGCAAAGCACAGACGCCATGTTCATGGCAGCCGAGGCAAGGTAGAAGTACGAAAATGCACTGACGGTAGCCCTCGTAGCTGCCGCTTCAGAAAGTCCACCAAGTCCGCGGTCACTACTGGACCCACCGTCGAGTAAACTAGAAAAGATCTTGATCATGAAGGTTGATGAGGATGATAGTAGCAAAGGCGATCCCTTCATCAAAGCCGTAGAAAGTTGGGTCGCCAAAAAGGGCCCCACCACAAATTTCGTGAGCATGTCCCCTTGACTTAGAAGGGCCAACGATTTTGCTTTCTGTTGCGTTGCGGGAACCGCAAGCACGAAGAGGACACCAACACTGCTCTGCATCAAAAGAAGCAGGGTCAACGTGGCAACCTGCCGTGCCACCTCTTTCAACTTAGAGCTGGACTCTACTTTTTTGTTCTGGTGTCCTCCTTCTAGAGTGTTTTTAGGATTGCGAGAACTAAAAATTTTTGTATTCGACGACGTTGCAGTCGCGATATTGGCTTTCTCGTTCGGTGTGTGGTCGTGGTGGTCATGATGGCGGTGCTGCTCCGCGTGTTCCGACTGCGATCCCGATGTAGACGTTCTTAGCTCTAACAATTCCGATTGTAGTTTCTTCAAGCGGGAAAACGCCGAAGAGGTTCCTCCTATAACGTCTTGTAATACCTGCTCAAGGGGAGCGATTCCCATTAGTTCGTCATCCTCATCGTCGAGCTCATCCTCGTCATCAATCAAATCCTCTATATCTACATCGGGGGATAGAGAATCATTTGCACTGGCACCCGCACGGTGAACCGTATCAACATCTTCACGAATCGCATCTTCATCCTCAACGCCAAAACGTTGATGCGATGGTAGCAGGTCTGCTCCTTGTTCTGTGGTAGCTGCTATCCTCCACAAACTGCGGCGACTCCGAAGAATATTCTTGATGTAAGATGAGGGCCTAAACGAGGTGGATGGAGTCGGAGTTGGCGCAGTAGTAGCGAGAGTTGCACGAGTCCGCGCGACTGGTTCTGCTCCTGCATAATCTGTCTGATGTTGCATGAGGTCCAAAATATCCTGCATCAACCTTGTCAAAGGCGCATCGTCATCAGCAATAAGACCCAGCTCACCCTTCCTGATTTTGCCATTGCCTGGCTTAATGAGTTCAGCCATGACAACATTCCGGAAGTAGAGTTTTCTCTTTTTGCGGTTGCTGAGCACTTGCGCTTTTGAGGAGTCTTCTACTACTGACGATAGATCCTGCTCTGCCAAATGGAGATTACTCATTCGATTTACCATGTCGTCTACGCCCTCGTCATTGTTGTCCACCAAAGTTTCTATCACTTGTTGAAGACGCGATGCAGTAAAAGCGCCAGAAGAAGTAAAACCTGCTTTATTATGCTTAATATCATCTGCTGCAAGAGGTAGATCTCTTAGGGCGTCCTCGACGATGGTCGCACCAGGGCGCTTTTGCATCATATTCGAAGATGGTCCTTCTGATTCTGTTACGCTCGCCTCGTCAAGGATTTTATCTTGTTCAGATCTGATTCCACCAGGCGCGCGCGCGCCACCTATTGCCGTCGCCATTTCTACATCAGTTCGCTGTCGATGCTCTGATGCCGGTAAAAGAGCTGGTACCCCGTGTAAGAACATTTGCGTGCAAAGGAACATGAGAAACTGAGGCAGTGCCATGAGCAACGTCCGTTCCCTGCCTGCTGTAATGCCTTTTCGCGGTCTCCGGTCAGTTGCCCTAGACCTAGTTGAAGCGGTTGAGCTTCCATGCGTCGTAGAGCCATTCCGAGGACCGTCTTGGTGCGAAGTGGAAGAACATCCTGCTTGATGCCCTCGTGCAGCTGCATGGCCAGCTCGAGCACTACTTGATTGAGAAGCAAGATTACGATCGTCACCATGTCCATGATCCTGTTTTCGGTTCTCGCGTTGACGCGCGCGCTCTATGTGTGCATAAAAGCGTGGCTGAAGGACTTGTTTGGCGAGAATCGCGCCGAGAAGAGGACCCATAGTAATCAGGGGGTCTGAAACGCCTTGCGGCACGATTGGCGCACAAACGTCACGTGCCGCTGCTGGACCCATAAAGCGGGACGCCGCAACGCCCATTCCAGTGATCATCCATTGAAGAACCACAAAAATTTGATCACGGCTGCAAGAAGCACAGTCACGACGACCACCTTCAAGCACTTCATCTTCATCGTCTCGTGCAACTCCTATTCCACTGCTTGCAGGAGGATGAGCTTCGGCAGAAGACGATTGCAGTTGCGATGAGGAAGTGACTCCTGCAGCTGGTGTTTGGGGAAGACGAAGACCTGTATGATCATCTCTTGCCACTTCTGTGCTGGCGCGAATAGTTGTACTTCCACCTTCAGTCATTTCTTCGTCCTCGCAGTTTTCTTCATCACGCAGTTGTGAAGCAACTGTGCCTCGTGCTCTGCCGAAGTTGAAGGCATCTCTGGAGGCCCGAAATCCGGGGCGACCAAAAAGTCTTCGACCGAGGACTTGCTTTCGGATAGCGTCTCTGATAACACCTCCACAGTCTCGCGTGGCAGAGTCTCTTTGCCTTCCTCGCCGGATGCCCCGAGTACGCGTTGCACTAGGTCCTCGTTGTCGCTCTGTGACTTCTTCATTGAGCGAAGATTCCAGAAAGGAGTCGCGATCGAGTGCTAGAGACGAGTGAAACGTGTTGTGACCACCTCCGAACGATCTCCCGAACATGCGATGGCTGCTGCCTCCCGTATCCGTGCTGCAAATGCTGTCGTGATGCACGAATGAGGCGCGTGTAGAAGGACTAGAGACAGAACTTGTAGTAGTGGTGGCGCCCCGAGCGCCAGCTCCACCTGAACCCGAAGAAATTTTCTTGCAGATCCTTATCTGTGTCGCTTTGTGCTTGTTGCTTCTTGTCGTGCCACCTGTGCCTGCATCTCCTTGCGAGGAAGACGAAGTCGTTCTCCGAAAATTCGTTGCGCCAGTGCTCTCTGCAATAGAAACCCGAGAACCTACGCCACGAGCTCCTGCTCCACGACCTCCAGACGATGAACAAGCCCCGGAAGGAGAAGCTACAGCTGAGGAAGAGTGGTCTCCGAGGACACTACCAGAAACGCCACCACTTCGGGATCGGTGGTACATGAGATGAAAGACTTCCCTTTCAAGAGCCTGGCGCCACCTCGTCAACGCCGCGGGATCCAGCGTGGCGCCGTCGATGGAAGACAGCTGTGCACTTGATCCGCCCATGGTGTCCGATGAGGTGCCATCAGTAGAGGACCGGGACGTGGTCCGACGGCGGGACGTCCTCGAAGATGAAGTCGTATCTTCTTGCGGCGAACGAGAGAGAGCCGAAATGCCGGAACCAGAGGAAGGAGAGCCGCAACTACGGAATTCTTCCTGTTCCGTCCGCGTGGATAATCGCTCTTCGCCACATGAAGGCGAGAGCAGATCTTCTGGAGACTGTCTAGCGGAATGAAATAATCCCGCAATCGAACCAACACCAGCTTCACAGTCCTCGTCTTCCGAGCAGCTCAAACTCATTGCTGCTGCCAGCCGCATCAAATTGTCCTCATCAATATCATCAAGAAGAGTGGATAATTCCTGGTGGCGGTGCTGTGGTTGTGGTCTATCAACATTCGTAGTCTCGTGTTTTATAGTCGTCGTGTTGGTCGTTTCCCCAACAGCGACTCCTCGTCTATCATACCTCCTACCTTGTCCGTCTTCGACGCTGTCCTCCATGAAAATGTCCTTTCCTCCGGTATCTTTATCTTCACGATGACCGCGAATCTTTGCAATTAGTTCCTCTTCGGTGTAGCGTTCTGTGTAATACCAATACTGCTGCCAGCCCCTTTCGAACTCTGCTCGCAGCTCTTCTGACGTTTCGTCTTCCATCTCTGCTGCCAGCACTGGAGGAACATCGTGTTGTGGTAGTAGTTCCGGCTCCGGCGTCTGTGCTCCGTCACCCACGATAGCTGCAGCTGATGCTGGTGGTGCGGCGGAAGTCGTTGGAGTATTCGGCGGAATGTTACCATTATACCCACCGGATGACTCGCCTTCCCTCTCCATCGAGTGATCGCGCTGTGCTTCGGCAGTGGCATCGATTTTTTCTTGCAAAGCATCGAGATTGCGACGCAAACGGTGCATCACATGATTGAAAGCGTCGCTTACGCTAGCTTGCAATTCTGCGGCATCTACCACTGCGGCAGCGGCCTTTCGACACGATGCGGGTGATGGTGGAGGCCACAATGCACGACGATCGCGGTGGTCCACGTCCTCGGTTTGATTTTGAGCCTGAGGATGGCATTTAATATCGCTGTATACTTCCAGCACTTGTGATATGGGCGCGCCATTTTTACACGATCCTGAACTTGATATTGCCCCAGCACAGGGGATAGGATCTTCATGCTGAACATCGTCGCCTTGACGTGGAAGGTCTTCAACGCTTGAAGAAGGTCTCATCTGAGTTTCATTCATCTGCGCGTTTGAGTGCTCTTGCTCGGTCGGATCCAGCAACCCAACATCTCGAAGTTGGCGACTCAGGATGACGTCATAGGCGGAGGAAAAAGCGCGTTCTTCATTCACAGCGTCTTCAACCACATCTTGAAACAAATGACGGTCCTCCGCTTCTTCATGGGTGCGTCCTGGAGAAAATAGAAGGCGATCGATGTTGTTCAGTGCTAGTAGGTCACGTGTAGCTTGACGCTGACCCCTTTCTCGTGATGTGCGACTTGGATCAAACGATCCAGTAGGAGCTGCAGCTTCAGCTGCAGAGACGCATGAAAGAGGTGTTACCACAGCTGATGTCGTGCCAGATCGACGTCCCTGCTCGGTTACAGCGTTCAGAGGACGCTCTTCTCCACGACCTCCTAGCAGTTCGTCCATCACAGAGCCTCCGAAACCGCACAGCGGTGTTGCACTCAGCGCTAGGAGGGCCACAGCGGTGATGCAAAGATTCACGATAGCAATATTCTGGGCCCACGTTTCTGGGTCACCGCGTGAGACAGCCAAATACTGGGCAAGACCCGGCACTGCGAAGAATCCAAACGGTATGCAGGACAAGGCAGACGCTTGAGCCGCATACTCCTTAGCCGCATCGACTTCGCGTGGGCACGAGATGGAGTCACGATTAGTTGATGTAGCAACATCAGCGGCTCCACCCAGATTTCCAGGTGGTCGATTCTGACCACCTGAGGCGGACGCAGATGCGCCTCCTGCTGCAGACTGGCGGCCCTGACCTTGCTTCGTTCTTGAGCGAGCACGAAGAAGCTGCCCTCGCCGTTGTCGCGCAGATTCTTCATCGTCATCCTCATCTAAGCGCAGACCGGAGGCCATATCTCTTTCCAACGTCAGGTCAATGTCCTCTTCCTCTTGAAGACGAGAAGAAGCCGCAGTAGTGGCAGTGGCAAATCCTCTGCCACTCGGATTCTCATGAGAAGGATTCATCTCGGATAGTCCGGCTTCCCGACCACGCTCCTGTACCTGTAGCTCTTCTTGTGCTCCACCACTTTCATCTTGCCTCTTTCGTGGCTTTTCGCGAACAAAAAGATGCTTGATAACGTGCTGAATAGCCGGGGTAAGAAAACCAAGAATGCCGTCCACAGTCCAAGCATTTGCCCAGAACAAGGCCATCATCCATTCTTGTTCACGCCTGCAAAATTCCTCATCCCTAGCGAAATGCGCGGACGTGCTGTCACCTGCAAAAGAGAAAGTACTTAATATTTGAGGATGGAGTAAGCGCGAAAAGAGGGTAAGTAGTTCTTCTAAGATGATGAAGTGAACAAAGCGGAAGAGCTAAATGATCAAAAGTCCTAGTTGTATACCACACTGGTGCTTCTCCATGCGTTTCTGTGCTATTTTCGATAATGCGGTGAGTGCAAACCCTGCACAAGCTGAGAAACACGCTATAGCGCGAACCAACTTGAGCTGCTTTCGCAATGGTAAAGGCTCTGCAAACCTGCCGTAGACGACGCTGGCAGCGATGCTCAACAAACCTGCGACCGAGTAGCGCCACCCCACCAGGAGAGCCGTCTGCGTTACAGGCTGTCCAGGCAAGGAAAACAAGTCTGTTGCCATCGTCGGAACCATCAATTGGTTCACTGTGTTGTCTTGGAGTGGCATGAGACTGAACAGCAAGGCCAGCAAAAGAACGAGTCGAGTTCGCTTCTTCCTCATCATAACCGCAGGATTCGGTGCCGTCAAAGATGCTCCCCTTGTTCTTGTGCTAGTTTGTTGAATCTCCGCGGAAGATGTCGGGTCTGTAGCAGTTGAAGTTGCATTCTCCTGCTCATTGGGACTCGTTCCACTCTGGTTTTCAACATCAACCTGACGTTGCTGTGCACTAACAGCAGGAAGAAGGGCCGGAGGTAGAATATTGGGCAGGTAGATTGGCGCCCGTATTGATCCCCGAGGTAGGAATGAACGAGGTTGAATGTTGTTTGTTGTACTTTGGTGGATATTCACAGCACTATCACTTGCAAGTCGCTGTTGTGGTTGTCCAGCTGTAGTAGCGGACGAGAATGTAGCAGACGCTCGAGAGGAAGTAGATGGTTCGCCTTGACCTGCTTCTCGATAACCTACACTGGAAGCGTGACCACTAGCACTGGCTGCAGATGATCCACTTCTTGTTTGTAGTGCCACTCTACGCGGAGGTTCCTGCACTGCAAGAACTCTTTGTGGTCGAGGACTGGACAACCCTGGAAACTCGAAAGGGGAAAGAACTCCGACTTCTTCATAGCTGGAACGCGGCTGAGAAACTTGTCGTCCTCGTCCTCTAATGCTGCTGTCGCTCACGCGATGTCTGCTGAATCTCAAAAAACCTCTGCCAGAGCCGAAGAAGCCTCCAGAAGACGTCGGACTCGGCGCAGCTGCTTCAGCATGGGATCTGGTAGTTGTGAGACCACTAGAAAGCGCTGACGCAAAGCTAGCGGAAGCTTGTCTTGTCACCAACGGCTGTGAAGATGGAGACGGGCTGCGGCTTGGTTTCAATTCGGGTGCCGGTTGGAGGCCTCGACCGCTGTACGAGGGCATCAAAGAGCCATCTGCATACTGATCAATAAACGGGCCTTCGACTTCTCTGTGAACCTGCGACCGTAATTCCGATGCACTTTTAGTTCTCCGCAATATGTAAACATCTAAAGATCGACCACCTGTTGCTCTCGTTTCTTCATGATTCCCATTGGTAGCGTGATTGCCTTCGTTTCCTACGCCCTGCCAAGTACCGGATGACGATGAACTAGAACTAGCACCATGGGCCTGTAGCTCATCTCCGTCGTATTGCGCTTGGGCGCGCTGTCCCTGATGCGCACTACCGCTTTGCGAGCTAGCCAGTCTTCGCTCAGCAGCCCGGATCTCTTTCCACTCTTGTCCCAGCAGATCCGCCGGCGGGAATGAAACCGGCACAGTCGCACCTAGTCCATAGTTCTGCCTCGTCACTCGAAATGCGGCGTCGACAGTTTGAGTTTGTTCTGTCGTGCCAGAGGTGCCAGCCGACGTCGGCATTGTCAAAAATGGGTCACTCATGGAACGAGTCAAAATTTCTCGCCCTTCACCAGTTGCTTCAGATCGACGGCACGATCCACCATCTTCACCACGGTGTTGGTGTTCTCCTTGTCCTCCCTGCGATGGTGCCCCCGACGTAAACAAGCCACTAGAGCTCGATGGAAACGAGCACGCTGAACTACCGTTAGACGAGATCGTCAACGCTCCTGCTACGGAACGAAGTTCATCTTCATCTACAGCTTGATGCCCTGGCGCTGGAAGTAGTTCACGTAGTTCCTGTTCTCCATCGGCCGTAAAATTGCGACCTTCGACCTCCAGAATTGGAGATGCTGTCGCAGCGTTCTCTCTTTCTTTACCCACTCCTACGGCCACGTCCAGTGCTGTTAAATTCTTCACCGAGGCATCGCTTTCAGAAGAGGAGAATGGATCCCTTTTCCATTTGTAAACACGAGGTTCTAGTCGCTGAGTGCCCTGTCTCATCCAACTTTGTGCGAAACGCTCATCCCGAGGACGAGCATCAAGAACGTCTTCCATCTCGTCCGAAGAATCAAAATCATGTCCCAGTCGAGGATTATGTGCGTTTCCTTGCAGCAAGCCAATCGTTGTATCGAGTACACCAGCGGCTTCTGGTGAACTCCCTGGTTCAGGTTCGGCAACTGTCGCTGGCATAGAAACGCCGTGCGCAAGCGAAGCTGGCATGGGAATGCCGCCGAGGACAGGATCTTGCCCAACATTGCTAGCAGATGCCGAAGAGCGAGAGCCCTCAAATGCATACGTATGATAAGTATTCTTGGGCACCATCTTCTTCGTCGATGGAGTCGATCCATCACCATCACCAACTTGTTGCTGCTGGAAGTACGAAGCGTCTCCTGCCAGTCGCTTCACTCGCGCTATCTCTTCGTGTTCGTCCGAATCTGAAGTCATTTCTTCCATAGGTAAAGCAATTCCATGATCTGCAGCTGTGCTAATCTTGTTCAACTTCATCGGGTCATTAATAGCCTTACTATTTCCAACTCCAACACTGTTCAATATTGGTGATGGTGACCAGTGTCCTGAGCTGGTTGACACTGTTCTACCGAGAGGAGAGACGGCCTGCAAAATGAGCGAGTCGGAGCTTGTAGTCGGCCACGGCAGTTGCGTCGACGCAGCGCTTTCCTCGAAACCTATCGATCGTAGCGAGACTCCACTCCGGCTCAAAAATGCCGCATCATGCAATGAAGAGGAGGAGTGTTGCAGCTTCTTCGTTATCGTTTGTTTAATCATCGTCGTGGGACTCTCCTCATCGTCAACTACATGTTGGAATCTATTTCCACCTGCGTCTTCACTTGAGTCACCAACACGATCTCCCGTCGGATCGTCTAAACGACGATCCACAGCAACTTCCCGGCCCTCTGCGATTACAGGGATAGAGGATGCATTAGGCATGCTATTGTTTCTCGAATCGGAATCCTCTGCATGTTCTTCTTCTTGCGCTCTTTCATCATCAAGAAGCACGTGCAAAACATCATCCTTGACAGCTTGGACGTCCACGTCTATTTCATCATGATGCTCTTGTCCGTGGTCATCTCGTCCTCCAGAAACTCGTTGTGTCAAACTCTGCGACGCTTCGGGCGAAGCACGACACGGCGCTTGCTCCATATCCACACTAGTAGCCCCCAAGGCCATATCGTCGTCGCCTCCCAATGCATCCTCTCTATCTTCGGATGAGTCCGAAAACGAAAGAGGTCCTACGAAAGCTGCATCAACTCTTGCCAGGATGAAGCAACTCAACGCTGACCAGATGAGAATGCCATAAACGCACGTGTACCCAAAGCAGGTCCGGTTTTGCATCCTAGTACGTCGATTGCCACGAGCTTGCTGGCGCTGGCGCACCGTTAAGCTCCCCATTATTCAATGAGGACGCTGCCGTGCCTTACCCGTGTCCGTTACCTCGTACGAAGAACCACCTCGTCGTGCCGCAAACCGGCAGACAAAATCGAAAACAAGACAAAAATTCCAAAATCAAAATACAAATTCACAAACGAAATAAGTAAACTTCAATTGAAACATGCATGTACTTACATGAAGATACATCAAGGGATAAATTTCAATTAAGCATTTAGATCATGAATATCGATATGCATACGACGCGCCATGAACCAGCGTGCTGCAAGTGCAACACGAAAAGAGTATAGGTTCTGTATGGATGCCAGACGCAAAAATAGCGTCGCAATACTGTATAGTAATCTCTTCTAGACAATGGAATTCGGTGCTGGCGAACTGATAGAGATAGAGATGGAGATAGAGATAGTATTGATTCTACTAACAAAATCTTCGCTTCTCTCGTTTAAGTATAAGTACCAGGTTCAAATATATGCTGTTGCTGCTCCGGTTTCCCTTGACGTCTCTTGCGCTTGCAGTTGATCTTTCACACGACAGATGATTGGGGTCTTGGTCCGTCCCTTCTTCAGGAAAGATCATCGGCGTTAGCGTTCGACTCCTCATGAAACTTGTTTTGCTGCTGCTCATAAGCTGATCTCTAACCCTTGTAACCAGCATAGCGCCGGCAATCGACCGACGACCGTAAAACACCATGACCGCATATCCAAGAACGCCGCGCAGTTGAACAACTTCAACTTTGCAACGATCTTCAGGAAAATCATTTCAGCTTGCAGCGAACATGAAACATTCGTAGTAACATCGGCAACTTCACCTAGGCCATGTCAATACAACTCATCTCAAGATGACGAAAACGTGTGACGTGTCGTTTTTCTGACATTCAGAGATATTATGTCGATGTTGTTACGCTAATCTTTTTCCCCTCCTCTCCAAGGACGAAAAGTGACTTGTTCTCAGTGCTTTTTCTTTTTTAGTGACGAATATAAAGCGGTTACTCGTCAAGGACGATCAGCATATTGCGTCCATGATGATATCGGCACAAAGAGTTTCTCCTTGCTCATCGTCGTCCTCTTCTTCGTCGACGAAACGGCACCGTACTTGCACCTCTCCCATGGGGACCAGACTTAGTGTGTGCCAGATTCCGGCTGAATCGAACTTCGTGCTTTGAAGCGCCGTCGCTGAAGGTGCTGCTGGTCGGGTCGCGGAGCTACCGCGTGGCTGCCCAGGCACCACTAGACCGTCCGAGGAACCACCAAGAGTCGTTTGGTTCAAGATTGCCGCCGCTCCCTCGTCGTCCTTTGCGAGCATATCGTTTATCATTCCCGCTGAGAGCTCCAGCCTCGCGATTTCGTCACCGAAAGCGGAGGCTGCGCCAAGGCCGACCGCGGCTCCGCCGACTACACCGGAAACCGGATAAAGGGGCAAAGCCGCGCTACCCATCATGGCACCTGCGGCTGGCAGTATCGACATCGCCGCGTCCTGCCCCACTACTTCCTGCCGTTGGACCGAGAGCAGCAATCGAAAAAGAAATGAAAAATGCAAGACATGATCAACAAGGTAGTGTTAGTTGTTAGTGTCATGATCTGTTCTTGCAGTACAACTCAATTCTAGTGCTGTTGTATTAAAATTGAGTCTAATTAGCGCAAGCACCCGCTGCGGCTATAATATCTGCTTCAAGTCCAGAATAGATTCGCACCCCTTTCCTACTTGTATGATCCCCATTTTGTTCGACTATGATTACAACCTTTCTTGGTTACCAGGTTTCCTACGTTAACAGAAATATTAGCCGGTCTGTCTTTATACTGTAAGTACGTAGAGGATAGTACTCACTACCCGTGCGTAAGTACAATTATTCTGTTTCAAGAACGATAGATCCCGTGCATACACTGTGCAGATCTTCCGGGTCGTAATTGAATTGGATCCTTTCCCTCACCAGATAGTCCTCCCCGGCAACGACCTCTTTCACTCGCGTGTTTCGTGCTTCGTTGTATTTGCCGCACTGGATATGGCAGAATCTGAAACCGTTGTTATTCGAGGACGTGGTCGCGGTAAAAATCTTCAGTGTAGAATAGATGCTGCAGAGGAAGAGGCTTGTGAAATACTATAATTCCGAAACAAGTGACATATATTGTAGAGGTGGCGGTTGCTGCAGTGGTGGCCATGCGGAGAAGCAACAATGCTGCAGCTTTGTAGGAGGGCAATCAATCGCATAGCAAATCCTAAAAATGCTTAGCTTTTTCTATCTATTCAAATTATTCCCCAAAGAAATAGCTCCTTTCGCACAGCACGGTGACGGTCATCAAACAAAGAGGAAGGCGAAGACCGAAAACATTACAAAATCAGCACGACTTGTAATTGTACAATGGCCTGCTTTTTGCTTGAAAGACGGTCGCGTTGGTCGGGAGATCGTTTATTTTGTGGATGCTAATCTCCACTGGTCGAAAGCGATGCATTGAGAAGCACGTGAAAAGGTCTTTGAACTCTGCGTTTACCAGTGGGTGATGTTCTAAGCCCACAAGCTTGATGATGTTATCCTTGTAGTTCAGCACTAAAAAAAGTCCTACTATTCCACCTACTGCTTGAAGGCCGGTGGATATGTTGCTGAGACTCAGCTCTGCGACGGCAACAAGCGCCCAAAAGACACTGTTTACAGAAACGTCATCCAACGAAGCAATGACGAGTCCTGAAGAGAAATATCATTTTGTTTACTGGACGTAGCCGGCACCTGCGATTTCGTCATAATGCTTCAATAAATATGGTGCAAAGATTCTTCCTTCGGTAGTTGCGAAAAAAATCAATCGAGAAGAAATGTTGGTCGACACGCAAGAGGAGATCAGAATGTGGAATGGAATTTCGCCTTCCTTATAGTTGGGTGTGACTGTAGTTAGAAAACATCAACAAGGATCAGCTTGAATACCAAACACGAAAAGATTGACGACTGCGAGAAGCAGGAATATCTGGCCCATGTGTCTTGAGACGAACTTCCCGAGTCCGCACAGTTTAAATCTCGCCAGGATCTTCGGAATGACGAACGAGAGACACATGGCGCCTATCGCGCCGATGAGGATGCCGTGTTGTCGAGTGTGCAGCTCCTGGAACCCTGTTAGCAAGCCAGGCTCTCTCGCAATCGTGTACGTGTTGGAGTAGTGGGCATCCTTCTGATCTATGGTTGTTGGGAGCGCGTGCGCAATAGGCAGCATCCCTGGCGCTGGTGTCGTGGCCATATATGAGGCCGGAAACGGGACCAGCGTCGTGGCTTGGTCATTCGTGATTGTGGGTAGCCTGAGGTAACCACTACCGACGACAGGGGCAGTACCTGATGAAGCCGTAGCACCTACTGGCGAAGCCATCCTGCTTTGATAGATAGTGCTGTTAGATCGAAAGTGGCTAAAAATGAAGATGTTTAGAAAACTACTCGCTCGTGTCGGCGCTGTGATGCTTCATATTACTTCATTAAATCGTTTTCTCAACAACTACAACACCTGCTCCTGATACAATGTGATGTCAATCTGTCTTTTTCACTTTACCTCGCCCAAAGTAAACGGCTAGAGTGCGTCACTCTCTTGTTTCATCTCTCTAAACACAGACTATCAACATCAAGAGTGTCCTTGTGATGCATTTTTCCGCTTTTGCCCCTTCTACTGGTTGATATCAACATGACCTCCATATCTTGGTTGAAATCACTTCCATATTTCTGCCGACCGCGCTTCTATGACCGATTTTCTATCTGGTTCGTTCCACTTCGAGATTTGCCATAGCGAGTTCCAGTCTGCACGACCTTCAAGTGTCAATTGTCTGGAACCAGAAGTCGGGCGATATGTACAAAGAAGTTGAAGAAGAAGATGTCGTCGTGCGAAGGAAAGAATATTAAGAGGACACCAAAAGATAAGTATATAATGACGTAACGTGGTGGTCGATTTCAGTTGAGTTTGAGTTTCACGTTGAATTTCTTCTATTTGAAAGGATAGGAGGTACACACAAGAAGAATTTGTGTACAGCTCGTTCTAAATAAATCGTACAAGAGCAGAAAAGCAATGGTAGAAGATAAGAAAAATGAGTAGATAAGAATGAGTAGAAGATCCCGTAGTACACCAAACAGCTTATTGTTTTCAACTGCATGATGCAGGAGGAGCTCTTGCATGTCGCTGCCTACAAAGATTTTTTCTGTTGACGGAAAACTGGGAAAGAAGCAGATTTCATCTTGATGATACTTACATTCTTTTCACTTGAGTCTTCATACTTATCGTAATTTATTACGTCTTAGAAGTCTCAGTGGTCAAATTATAACTCTGAGTTAAATTATATTCGCATCAAACTCAAAGTGAAATTTAGGATTTACCAAAAAAGTCGCAAGGATGGGGGATCCTTGCTCGTCTCGCGGTAATGGTAAATCAGCCCAAAAATAATGATTGAAAAAGGCAAGTCGTAGACCAACAGGATCGATCTCCATCTCGATCTCGATGAGAAAGATGTTTTATTTGCTTTTGGTTTCGGATTATTGCATCTTGAAGAGAAGGAACAGGTCGTGAGGCGTTTAGACGGTTTGTAATTAAATTATGTTAGTCCGAACTTATTCGATAGAGAAAATTGCTTCACCCCCTCAGCGCGACGTCGAACCGAAGCGAGATAGAAGATTCGTAGAGGCTGCCGCTGCGAGATTCCGGTCGCCACGTCGTCTCGCGCCTGGCCGGAATAGCGACGCAGGGTTGCTCAAAGAGCCAAGCAGCCCTTTAGGCGAAGCGGATGGCGTCGCCGACGGTGATGAGCGGGAACTGAAAGACCCCGCTGCTACGAGCGTATGCTCAGAGGAAACCGCGCCACCAGCATGCATCGGATGCTTCAAGTCGAGCTTCAGCCTTTTACTCGACGTCGACTCGTTCTGTTTAGTTGATTGTGTGTAGTGTACGAGCATTGAAGAGCCGTCTTCTGCCTGACCACCTAGCTCTTGTCCACGTGTTTCAGCTAAGCTGTCAGTTGATGCAGAAGCTAGATTGGCGGTCAATTTCGAAAAAAATGAAGACGAAGCGCCTCTCCTTTTTTCGGCCGCGCCCTGCTGGTGATACGCAACAAGTACGCCATCATTCGTCGTACACACCTGCTCTGAAACAGGATTCAGGACCTGTTTCTTCAACTTGCTCATAGGCGAGGGCGACTTCGCTACGTGATGAAGATGTTGGGCAGCAGTCGCAGATGGTGAGCGGAAGGCACCAAAACCTGTCGAGGACCCGCTGCTCGGTGGTGGTATCTGCACGTCTCCACCCAAGTTCTGCACTAGTTGTAAATTCCTCGCGATGCTTCCCTCGTTTAGCTGCTCTGCGCAGCGGTCGCGTTCCGCCAATATAGTCTTATTTTCGGCTTCCAAGCAGTTCACGGTTTGCTGCAGCTCCCGATTGCGTAGTACAAGCGCATTCTCCTCTCTTCGCTCTATCTCAGCCTCGAGACGTTTTGCACTATTTTCGAGGGAAATGATTGTGCCTTGCCGTGATTCTAGTTCGATCTCACACCGCAGGCGAGCGCGATGCTCGTCCTCTTTGCCCAACTTCAGTTTCTCAATGGCCTTTTCTGCAGCCTCGAGCTTGTTCTCCAGAGTCCGCTTCGCATGAAACAAAGTCTGCACAGTGCTGTCCATTCCGTCAGCGAGAAGAAAACTCGGCCCATTAGAAACTCCAGTGGTCGGCGGACCTGCAACTGACGATGAGGCTGGTGCTGGTCCGTGAGATGCTCTTGCTCCTACACCTGTCCCGGAGGCAACTATTGTACGTCTAGAAGATGAAACCGAGGAAGTAGATGCAGAACTAGAGTTAGCCGCTCCTGTGGAAGCATGTACATTCGCGGAGCTTGCGATTGCCTTTGCCAAATCGGGGTCTATATTTTTTTCTTCCAACGTTTTATCTGTGCTCGCCGAAGCGCCATTTTTATCCGCTTTGACTAGTGCAGTTTGTCCCTGCACGTCTGCGTCGTTCGTCTTGACGCTGTCAACAGCTGTAGTGGAAGAGCTTTCACCTCCCGAAGCAAGTTTCACCTTCTCAGGCGACTTGGTCCAGCCCTCACCTCTGGATTCTGGAGCTTCGACGTGGTTTTGTTGAGCGTACTTTCGCAATGTACTACTACTAGTTGTACTTTTATTATTCGCACTGCTGTCTACTTGCTTTACCAAGGCCCGCTTTTGTGTCCATTCTGCGTGCCGCCTCTCGCGCGCCGTTGCTGCTGGTGGCAGGTCTCGCGGAAACGTAAGAGGTGGCTCTGCGGTTTCTCCAACATTTCCTGCGAATGTCGATGAAGACGAAGCTGCAGCAGCGGTGGCCATTTGAATATTTCTACGCCTTTGGCGACTTCGCGTCCTGTATCGCCTCTTTTCGTCCATTCCATCCAATTCATCTCCTGCCGCCCCTGCTCCTGCAGCTGCAGTAGGCATGTTTGATGTACAAGTAGAAGTATTGCTATTTTTAAAAATCGCTGCGTTCCTTTTACAGGAAGACGAACTCGAGTTGCCTGCTTCGGACGCGCTTGGCCTTTCCCTTTTACGAGGATGATGTGCTGTCGTCTGAAAATGTCGATGATGTTGATTGCGCTGCTTGTCATTACTCTTGATGCATGTGGATGAACCACCCCTTGAAGGTGCAGCACCTTCACCAGGCCGTGACCTTGTTGCGCCGTTCTTGCGTCTGTTTGCAGATCTTGAAGGTCCCAAAGCCGCGGCTTTGGAGCAATGTGGCGTCATCTTTTCAGAAGATGTGATACTTGTGGATGGGCGCCCTGCTGCAAGCAGAAGCCGGTGATCTTGATGTAACTTGAGAATTTCGCGGAACCATGGCGAAGTCCTAGGATCTATTTCGAGCGTAGTCTTCCCCCCATCGTATTTGTTGCGCCACGAAACCCTCAACGGCTCAGCTTGCAGAAGAGGAAATAGCTGCGAGGACGCCAAATCGTTCTGCTTCATCCGCTGGTGATTAGAATTACTACGTTGTTGCGCATTGGACGTCGTCGAAGTTGACGATGTACTAGGTCCATTAGTGGACGATAATGATGCCGTCGGTTTGGTTTTCACTCCGTCTTGTAACTTCGTGGTTGAGGAAGTTGGCCTGTTGTTGTGCACAGCGTCTGGCACCTTCTTGCTTCTCGAACTGCATGGAGGTCGGGGTCGGGCACTTCCTGAACCTGAAGATGACACAGAAACGGACACGTTCGAGGAATCGCTTGTGCCCCCCAAAATCCTGTCCGAAACTGAGTCTGAAAGTCGTTCGCAACCACTAATTGCTGTTGCAGAAGCACCATTCCAGGAGAACGCTATCTCATGCCCACTTCTCTGCAATAGTGGACGCCGTTTTGCCAGTGGAAGATGAGGAGGTTTTGATTCTGAAGATGTTGATATTGATATTGCTGTTTTTCCACCACCACCTCCACCTACTTTATTTTGTATAATTTTGTTGTTGTTCATTATCGTGTCTTGTGCTTCATCCCCTTCTAACGGAATTGGCTCACGGAGTTGTATCTCCTGCGCAGGAGTGGTTGAACAACTGTTCTTCGTTACCTCATTAACTCCTTGAACGGCCACTTCTGAGGAGCCTTGTGGTGCCGCTTCGGCCGACGATACTGGTGCAACTGACGGGCCACCTTCTAATGATGCTACACCTACTTGAGATGTATCCTGCAGCGTCGCACAAGCATCGGGCTTTGTTACTTTGTCATCCGGTGTTGATGTTGCGAGCGCCCGGGCCGCAAAGCTCGTGGAGCAGGGTGCCACTTCTGGTGTGCCCGAACGCGGACAGACCGCTCCTCCTGAAGCTGCCCCTAAATGAGGGCTTTTCGAATGGCAAGTAACCATAGACGTTGCATCGTCGTTTGCCCCATTCTCTTTCTCCTGGAGTGGCTCGTCTGACGCTTCCGGTTGTGCATCTACTTCATGAGCATGACCCACATCAGGCTTAGGTAGTTGCCCGGCTCCGGTCCCTGCTGCTGACAAAGAAGGACTAGAAGTAGCAGAAGCTTCTCCCACTCCTTTTACCAAATTCACCGCATTGTTCTCCGTCTTCAAGGGTGCTGCTTCGTCAAGAGTGGAACAAGAAGCTGCGCTTTCCTTACTACTAGATGACGAGGAACCAGAGCTAGTCGCTGCCGGGCCACTGCTAGATACTGAAGTGCCAGCGGACCGCTCTTCAGGAGCTTGATCTTTTTCTGGTTGAGACATGTACATGTTGAAGATGTCCTCCGTGTTAGTACTGGTTGACACAGTAATTCGCTTTTCGCTAGCCTTTGCGAGCGTTTGTAGCTTATGCTCCAGAGTAAGATTTTGTTGTTTTAATGTTTCCTCGTCAGCTCTCAAGTGCTTTATCGTAGTTTCAGCCCGTGCCTGTGATGCAAGCAGCTGCTTGGTTCTCTCCTCAAATTCGTCTAGTTTAGCCGCATGCGCTTCTTCTTGGCGCTTGGCCGCTTCTTCTGCTTTACCCCTGCTCTCCAGTGCTTCCTGCTCAAGTCTTATCGTTCGGATTTCTAACTCTTCCCGCTCTGCGATATGCTGCTTCTGCAAGTCCGCTTTTACCTTTTCGCCTTCATCTTGCAGCCGCACAGCGATGGCCTGCCGAATGAGAACGACGAGACCACGACCGTGATCGCCAACAGCCTTCCGACCCTCCTTTGCCAAGCTCAACTCCTGTCGCACTGTCTCCATCTCCTCTGTGGTCACCCGAAGCTCCTCCCTCAGACGCTCTTCGCGAGCCTGCGAGCGTTCTGTCGCGGCCTGTAGGGCCCGTTCTTTCAGCACATTAACTTGCTTCACCGCCTTCTCCCGATCCATAGCGATGGTTAGACATGGACTGATGCTAAGCGCTCTAGCTTGTAATTGTATCGTTTTTTATTCTGTAATACTACTACAACTAAAAAATTATAATTCTATAAACAAATGTGGGGTCATACGGCGTCGCGAAGCGCTTCACTACTTTTCCGCAACAACGCATCCACCTGTTCCTGATGCGTTTTGCGTTGCTCTTCCCTCTCAGCTACTGCAGCATCGCGCTCGCGTCGTAGTCGCGCCACGAAGTCGCTGAATATCTGGCTTTCTCGTCTCATGCGATCGAAAGCCAACGCACTAGCACTCGGCTGTGAAAGGCGGCAATGAACGTCAACATGCGAGATAAGCGATGACTGAGAAAAACTTTGCTGGTGCTGTGCGACTACTCCCGTCGAGTTGGAGTTACCACCATCTTGTCGATGTGGTCGCTGCTCTCGCCTGGCGCTACAAGCTGATTTGGCGCTAGCTCGATTGGCGTTACCAGCTGTTGCACTAGTGCTTGCACTGGTCGAGTGAGTGGCTTCATAATTATGCCCTATGTTGACGTCCACTCCAGTCGTCTCTTGCTCATTTTCTTCGAGATCAACAGCACCACCAGCAGATGAATCACGATCGTGTTGATCTACTTCTTCTTGCTTCACGTCAGCACGGTTAGCCCCGATCTGTTTGGAATTGCCCTTGCTCCTCTTTGACGTTGGCGCCTTTATCTTTTTCCGCTTTTTAATTCGCAATTGTTCTTCCAGTTGCTTCCTTTTTTCTGCTAGTCGTGCCCGTGTTGTGGGCATCTTTTTCTGATGTTTCGTCTTCTCAGATTTCGGAACAATCGGTACGCCTTCATTTTCGTCAGCATCGTCATCATGCTCGTCTTCCTCAGGTTCATGTTCTCCATCACCCTCCTGATTTCCTCCATGTCTATCATCTCCATCATCGGCTTTTGCTGCCTGCTCCGATCTTTCCTGAAAGTCCTTCTCTTCGTCGGCATGGTTATTCGCTTCTTCGTCCTCATGCTCATGCTCCTCGTCATCAAAATATGCCTTTGACGCGTCACGAACTGGAATCTGCTCCGAGATGGACGAATCTTCATCTCCTTCTCGTCTCCTTCGTTTCCGCGGGACTACTCCATCATATCCTCCATGTTCACTTGATCCTGCGCCGTCTTCATCAGCACGTTTATCTATATTGGACACTACTGCTTGCTCGTCCTCTGCGTCTTCAAGCACCTCATTCTCTTCATCTTGATGCTCATCTCCTTTCGGTGCGCCGTGGTCGATTTGCCATTGCAAGGCGCGAAGATAGTCGGCTTTTGCATTGCGCGCCGCAAGTCTCAGTTCAGCGGTGGTAAAGTGCTCGTCAGGTGCCAACAGTTTTTCGAGACGCCCACTGGTGCTACGTCCAAAAATAGGGGCCCATTCTGCACCTAAAAGGCTATCGGCAGCGCGCACGAGCTTCTCCCCGAATGGACACTCGTACACGAGGGAATGCGTCCAAGTATCCAAATACATCATGCGTCGTCCCTGCTTGTCTGGATGGGCAAAAAACAACTCTACCTGAAGAAAGTGGAGGAGGTGGCTGCATAGAAGTTTTCATTTCTTTCAAAATGATCTTTGCACGGCGTAGTACGAAGAATACTTCTCAACAGCGGGCACTTCTAATCTCTCACTTCTAACAACTTTACCAACAAGAACATCCCAATCTTCACTGCCAGTATTTCAATGTACGTTACTACCATCCCTTGCAACGCGCGACATCTTTTTTGAGTTAGCTTGGGTTTCTTTCGTAGCTCAGCGTTAAGGTCCTCTAGTCGAGATAGATCTAGGCGCTCTACAACTTCAAGCACGGGCTCCGATTCATGCCCTTCGTCTAAGCTTGCTGCGCCGAAAAGCGAAAAAATGCCCAGATTAGAGCGTGACCACTCTTTGACTCATCTTTGTTCCGATACATATCTAAGATGAAAGGTAGTCTCTCTCATATTTATTTCAACATTCCATACAGATTTTTATTTGGAGTGAATCACATGGAAAAATCACAACGGCACAAGCGAGATTGGCAACCCTGCTTCTGAGGGTACGGCGGGATAACGATAAGAGTTAGAGTAAGACACCGGGTAATAGTTGTAATAACGGCTAGTTTACTAGTAAAAGTATGGGATAAAAATGAGAAAAGAATACTGCTACCATAACAAGACGATTTTTCGCGACATCGGCCAATCGTCTGCATAATTCGGTCTTTTCTTCCCTTGGGTCAACAGCAAGGCCGCCGCGTGTTAAGCTCGGATCAGGCGCTACATACAAATACCCAATAGGCCGCAAGCGTTGGCTGTCGGTTGCACTTGAAGACCAAGCGGTGATATATTCATCTTCGTCGACAACTCCATCTTCATCTTCTACCTCACCGTGATCGTTGCCGTAGTCGTGGACAGAACCTCTTGCACTTGCAGGAACGTGTGCTTTGCCAGTTTCCCTCGCCCTTTCCCGCGGTGCTTTTTTAAGGTCGTTCTTGTTGATTTCTATTCTTGATGTTCTGGAAGAGGAAGAAGAAGAAGCGGATGAACATGAAGCTTTACCTTTACTAGTACTTTCTACTGAAGGTAATTCCGACTGAGAACGCGATGAACCAGCCATACGCTGCGCGCCCGCCCTCGGCTTACGATCACCATTTTCGTCAGCGGTTGCTTCAACATCCCCTTGACGTTTCTTTGACTTTTTTACCTTAGCCATGATTCTTTATGTTGACACTTTATATATTCTTATTCGTCGACCGTAGCATCGAATTAGAAGTCTACTCTTGTTCCAAATAAAGACCGGACTGAGAAGTGCCACCAGCTTCTTTCCCCAGGAAAAACATATGCAACAGTATCGAGTAAAAGAAAAAATAGTCACCTTCGCCTGTGTCGTCGTCAGCACTCAATGCGATCGAAGAACGTTCGACAATAAGAAAAAAAATTGTGCGCGTCCGCCTACGTACTGGAGGAAGAAAGAATGACAAGCACAACGGACATGTTAAAAATTCTTCGCTGTTTACCTTTACGTTTAGATGCAAGAACAGTGTCGATTCTACCTCATTTTTTTCGTGGCTGGCAGACTAGGAGACTCGTTCTCCAATGGCAGGCAAAGACGTTTTCGTTATTTCCTATTCTGCATCATCATGAGGAGCAATGCCAAAGGATTTTAGCGGCTGAGTGGGCGTGCGCACACTTTAGTCGTCAAAATGATTCTTCCAAATTGTTTCTAAATAAGACAAGCCAGCTGTTGCAGTTCTTGCAAGGCTAGCTTACTAGATAGCACTCAGAAAACAACTTCTGACTTTTATGTTGAATGGACAAGGTCATGGATCGGGCAGAAGAACACGGAATCGGCATAAAAATGAGACCGAAGAAGTGGAAGTTGTACCACGCACTGATTCGCTTCTCGATTTGCCTTCCAGAAAAGGATATCACAAAGTCAACATCTCTTCGATCGTGATCATATAATAAATTACCACGACATGTATTAATAGTCTTCACAACATCAACACCATTCGATAAGTTGGTGAATAGAAGTATGGGACAGGAAGTGGACGAGCAGGAAGAGGATGGGTTACTTTGAAGAATCTGCAAAAATCTCGTTCGCAATGCTACAACAACATCGTTCGGTCAAAAACGCAACTAGCGAAGCCGAAGCATGCACATGCTGTTAAGTCTTGGTGTTCATGCTCGGCGTCGGCAGCGACAGAGGCACGAAAAAGGCTAGGATAGGAGTTGGCTCGCCTCGGGGAGGCGAGCATTCACGACTATGAAAACGCCGACATCAAAGAATCTACTTTACTAGACCGAGCTGCGCTTGAGCTGCACGCGAGGACCGACTCGCTTCTTGTATACCTTCCTGTTTCCAAACTAAAAGAACGATGATGATGGACCTACTTAAGTGAAGACAAAAGTTGCTATTTACAGTCAACGAACCACGCCAGCCTACGAGCTCTAACCGAGAAAAACGGAGAGTCATGCTTTGCTAGAAGCGCTCCTTAGCGTTGTAATCTGTACAAAATATAGCATTGTCTCATCGCTGCGGACACAAGAGCTATGATGCTAATCATTTTTCTAGAATTAATTGCTTAGAATTGTGAGTAAGTACATTTTTTCATTTTCGAACGGGAAAACCGCGGAAGGCAAACTACACATCAACATCTCAGCAACGAAAATGCAACGAAGAACTTTCTCACTTCTCAAACAAAAGAAGGAACACTGTAAATTCTTGAGAGATGACCTCTTCTAGTATCATCTAGCGCGACCACATCTGCTTTATGCAATACGACATCGACCTGCGTCGCTCCATTCTTTAGGTATTTGCGTCAGCATGTTTGATTGATGGCACGAAAAATCAATGAATGATGTTGAAAATTCTACGTCAAAACCTCAAAAAGTGTATCAATTATGTGAGCGTGAGGGTAGCTCTTCCAGGAGCACGTCGAATGTTCTCAGGATATGAAAATTTCGAGTACTCCTCGTAAGCATAGGCATATATAAGTCTCGAGGAGCGAGTCGTACACATGATGATGATACCACTATGGACATGATGGAGGTTAAGCAATATCTACTGCGGACATCAAATTAAATCGATTCCCCCATTCGACGTGGTCTCGTTCAACGAAGGAACTTCTTCGAAATGAAATTGTGAAGACATTACTATCCCTGTACTTGAAGAGCAAGACGGGTTGCTCAACGATTACTTTTCTTCGCACTCCGCTTGCTCGCACATCGCCAAGAGTCGGTCCAGCAGGACAAAGCCGTCATCCAACAGACCTGAGTGGTGGTATTCATTCGTGACCCACAGACGGATTCCCGGGATTTGCGCTGCCGTCTCCTCCGACAACTCGCGCTCTACGTACATATCGTCGTAGTAAACCACTGCAGCACAAGTCGGACAATGAGGTGGAGCTTTTATTTCACGTAGTGTCGTCCGTACTCTCTTCTTCACATCAGCCGCATGAGGATCTTCGCGAGAAGTTGACGACAGTAGAGGTGATTGTTGGGCGCTGTCCTGCTCAGAAAGCAGAGTAGGATGAACATGCTGACCGGTACTCTTGCAGGGTGAGTACAAAGACGCGGACGAACAGGACGTTTTCCCTGTTTTTAGTACCTCGCAGCCTGTCGTCCAAGTATTCTTTGCCTTCGTATCGACTACCGCTACACGCTGCGGAGAGGACCTAATGATGCCCGGTGTTACTTCGTCTTCTACGCAACTGTGGAACGACAACGAATCTCGTCGACCTGGTGTGCTGAGTGCTGATTGCGATTTCTCGATGCTGCTAGTACTCGCACTTGTTCCTCTAGCATGATTGGGATCGCCGGGTCGTAGAACAAGTTCGTCTGTGTAGTCCTCTTGCGACGTAAAAACGACGGCTTTCTCATTTTCCAAATACTGTGCGATCATTCGTTCTTCTGCATTCAGAAATGTCCGCAGGTTTGCGTGAAGCTGTTGGTACGAGGACAGGTCGTACATTTGTGGCCACTCTGTTTCCTTGTGTAATGCCATCATGCAGTCACGCAACGGTTGAAGGCCAATGAAATCTTTAGAAAACATCCAGGGAAACACCATCTCACTCGTGAAAAAAAGCGGTCGTCCGGAAAATTGCTCATCGTCCCACCACCGTAGAGGAAACTCAGGAGTGCTCTGCGACGCAAGCGTTCGTGGCGGCGCGGCGTTCCTGTGGTCGTATTGATTTCCATGTTGATGTTGCGTGGCTACTTCTGCAGGTTCGAGTGCTGCTGCACAGGCACAGCCGGTACTGTCAAACGCGCTTGCAGCGCAACCCGTACTATCGTACGCGCTTGGACTGCACGCTGCGGCACATGAAATGTCATCGTCATGAGCATGTTGATAATTCACCTTCATCGTAACGGTGGGATTCTCGGTGTTGGCGAGCAGGGGTGTACTAGTTACTACAAGGTTGGATGACGAGCCCACCTCCGTTGTGACATCTTCACTACAAGATCGCTTCAGCTCGTGATACCAAAAGTCTTCTCTGTGTTGCTCTGACGCAATCGTTCTCGCTGCTGACCATCCGGAGGAACACCCTGGCTCCGTCATGTAGATGCTTTCCTGCAGCAAGGCGTACAATGGCTGTGATTCAAACGGTTGCGCGTTACCCATTGCTGTAAGGAATGCGCGTGAAAGCTGTGCGCCGCCTCGCGGACCCAACAGGAGGGCAGGGTGGTTCATAATGCTCTCCTCAGAGGATAAGATTTCCGACGTTCTTGAAGGAGGAGGCATCAGGGATGCTGTACCTGGTGGCGCTGATACGAGGCTTCCGGCGCATCCAGGAGTACCGATCGCGCTCGCGGCTGTGGAAACCCTGTTTGGTTCGAGGTCAAGCGTACCAATCGGACCAGGTGGAGCCGTCGTAGATAAACGATCATGTACAGTAGATTGCGGAAGTGGCGGATTTAGTGGCGCTTGAGAATTTGGTTGTGCTTGATGTGGGCTTTGACAGGGTGTGCTTGACGATGTCGTAACAGAGGCGGCTGAAGAAAACACAGATGATGCGTTAGTCTGATCTTGCAGAACAGTATTAACGGACGAATGCTCGTGCTGTTGAAGAGGGGAAGATCTGAAGGATGTAGAGGAGGTGCTTGTGCCGGTGAACAAGTCGCGTGGAGTGCAAATGTTAGTACTTTTGGAGTGCTCCGCCTCGCCCTCCCAATGCTGCGATTGTACTTCAAGCGGTGCCTTACGCCTACGCTTCCCGATCTTCTTTGCGCCGACGTCCAACAATGCTTTCGCAGGAGTCGATTGAGTTGTACAACTAGTTCCGAGACCAACAAACTCTCTTCTTTCGTCAGAACTGTCTTCATTGTCGTCCTCATGCGAAGCCGGACGCTTCGGGCTCGATTTCGGTGTTTTCAGCAAGCCTCCTGCAGCTTCACCTGTAGCTGCCGAAGTGGATGCGTCGAATGCTCCATGCGCCGAGCAGGAGCAGGGTGTTAGTAGATATTGCGGAACACACCCGGGGAGAGCAGCTGACGATGAAACCTCATCAGGTTGCATCCTCACCTTCGGTTTTGGCGTGTTTTCTATATGATCCTGATCCACCTCTGGATATGTATTTTTGTTCACACTTTGGTCTTGATTCTGAAGTAGATCCGCAAGGTCTAGAACTGGAGGAGCATCCATAGACAGCTTGCCCCGGCGACGTCGACGCCGCCTTCGTCCACAGCCGTCGTCTCGCGGCCTTCCGTCGTCGTCGGATGATGTGTCAAAAGACGATGAACACGCATCAGAATAAACAGCACCTGCATCGGCATCTTCACAAACACCCCGTTTGTTGACGGAATCGCGACGCCTTCTCGTCGCTTTAGTTGATGCCGTTGAGCTTACTGGTTGTCGTTGTGCTTGAGCCTGTTCTTCCTTTTGCTGAAAATGAGACGACTCCACTACAGGTCGCTCGATAACCTGAGCCTGCGAACCTGTTCCTGCTCCACTAAGTACTTTAAGTTGAGCGGCAGCTGCTCTGAATTGGTCTCTTCTTTCCACAGTACCATAACTATCGGTGATATTTTTGGCCAAGGTCTCCGCTCGTTGCTGAATTTCACTCGCTGCCTGCATGGTTTGTCTCAAATAGACACTGCGAAAGGGCTCCTCAAAAGCGCTGCGCAGAACCGCGTGCATTGAGTGCAGTCCTGTCTGCGTCCCGAGACACAGGCCCAGCTGCAGAAAGCGACGCGGGGATAAGCGGCCACCGAAGGCGCCACCGATCGGCAGACGGATGTCGTGCAACTCCAGATACTTGCACAGGACTCGGACACGCCAAACGTCCTCAGGGTAACGAGAGTAGAACTCCCGATTCCGCTCACTGAGTCTACGGCAAGTCGCTGCGTACACGCGGTCGACCGGACACTGCATGGGCGGTGGCAGCCCGCCAGTAAAAAGAACGCGGTCTAATGCCTCTGGGTACTGCGAAAGGTACCGCACTCCGATGAAGCCGCCGTAGCTCTGACCTAGCACCGACCACCGACCACTCGCGCTTTCGCCTATGCCTTGGTGTTCTGAATTTTCAGGAGTAGATGCAAAGTAGAGTCTTCGGAAGCATTCGAGATCTTCAACAATGGAATCCGCCAGAAAATATTTGAGAAACTGTGCCTGCTCGGCTGGAGTGCGACTTCGCTTTGACACTACAGCAGATCTCTCAACTTTCGGCAGGTAGTGGTGGTGTGATCCTCCTCTCCCTGATGTCTGGCTCGGGCCTAGGAATGCTGAAGCTGAACCTCCTCTAGTACTATTTGATGCAGCTGCAGTACTTATATTCCTGTGGGAACTTGCCTCCTGCTGGGACGAGAGTGCAGCTGCAGATCGATCATCATGATCATCAGTTCTTGAGTGCACAACTGCGGTGGAAGTTGTTGTACACCCTTCTTTCAAAACTCCACGACCGCTCTGCGATGGAGCTGCCTTCGTCGTAGACGGACGAGCCGGTGTTGCGGACGGCGACAAATAGTGTCCACAGGAGCCTCGTCGCGGTCTCCCGCTCCTGCGCCTGCCCGTCACCCAAGACCTCGCTTCCCATGAGGCGCCATGCGAAGATGAGCAGGAGTCAGATTCCGCAGCTGTTCCTGAAAATGATGGGGCCCCTACCGAAGAAGCAACATCACGACTGTCGTCAACGTCGTCTGAAGATGTTCTGGACGGGGTGTTTCCGGATGCTGCCGTTGCTGGTGTTGCGGTTGTACAAGAATCGGTTGCATTTTTCGGCGCCGCATTCAAGCTCATGGAATTATTGGCAACATTAAAAGGTACCAAATGTTGATCGGCGCTCGTCAGATTGCAAGCACGGGGAGACCTCGAGCTCGAGGACGACAATGAAGTTCTTGACCTTGCTCGCGCAACATCGTGATAGCTGTAGTTCCCGGAAGCGTCGAGACACTCCTCAAGAATTGTTCCTGCAACGAGCGGCGTAGAGAAGCCCGAACCACGCTGATCCATGAGAAAAACGACATGATCTTTTAATGCCCGATGAAGCCAGCCGCATCTTGTCAGGTTGCGCGGACAATGGTATCCTGGCCCGCCTTCCAAGTAGACCAAAGCCTTTTTGCTTTTCCCCCCGCTTTTTGTATTGTTTGTAATTGTATCGACTCCTGAGTTTTGTTCGACCACGTTCTTGTTTGAGTCACACGAACCAGCAAAACCAGCGATGATTGGCGACTTTTCGTTCCGCGAAGACGAAGAACGTTCGGCTCCATCTCCACTCCGCCCACTTACTCGTCTCAAAGTAGAATTGTATTGTTTTTGGCCTGTTTTTGTAAAGAAACTCATGATCAAGATTCATGCAGCAGTTGGTGTTCTCACTAGAAGTACTAGTATGAAGTACTGCCGTACTACTTACATGGAAAGGTAGATGAAATCTTTGCAGCAACATTTGCAAAAATGATGAATATTATAACGATGCGAATGCATGATGTTCATGCAAAAGGCTAACAAAGACCTCGAAAATACCTTCGGCTGCTCGAACTTCACGCACGAAGACTTGGATCGTTTTGCTTGTTTCCGGGTTACTGTGATCAGCAGGTACAGTGAGCCAGTGGTCGCGAAGGATGAGCACAGCTCCATTCTCAAACACCGAAAACGCTTCACCCCTGGACAGGCTAGCCTTACTCGGCAACGTCGACATCCGTTCTGAACGCTCCTGCTCCTTTACTGACGGTAGGCGACCGAGAAACTACCGTTTGATCTTTTGCCAAAGAAGCGCAAATCGATCCGCTGTCACCGTCTTCAGCGAATGCTGCGTCTTTCGCTGTTTCCACCTTCACAAATTGAAAGATCTGCCCTTGCAACCAACTCATGTCATTCGCATGTTAGACCTACTCCTACAAGCTCCAGCTCTATTCTATTTTTTTGATTTTTCATCCACGGGTTCTTCCTAAAAAATGAACGAACAAGAAGGGCGTTTACATTTCAACTTTTTCTCCTAGTCTAGTGACCTACGTACAATCACGAATGAACCTGCTCCAAGGAAGACCGCAAAAAAAGTATGTCTGTAGAGTTTCAAAAGGGAGAAGACCGTTTCAGATAGTCGCTTGTAATAAGAGGAACGACGAACATGAGTGAAGATCCATCAAATGCAAAAAAAATGGAAACCCCAGGAAGTAGCCGGTAAATATTTAATAAAAAGTTCACAATTGCGATATTCATGCGTTTGGAGCAGTGACCAGAGTCACCGGTTTCTTTGCGATCGTTATTGCAACGTCACTCATAGATATGAACAAAAACAGAGGGTCCAATAGTTCACAAAATGCTGAACACTCTGATAACAATGAGCAGGACGCACGTGGTTATTTTTGCACATCAGACATCAGTGAGCTAGACATATGATAAAATCTATAAGGTATCCGTCATTGTCATATCATTGGCTCATTCTTTTCGATTATTTTGACTATCTCACTCTCAGAAAAATAACACTTTTCGCGGCCGTCCTCGATTAGCAAGGGGACAAGGTCACGGAGAACTACGTTGGTCTTCAGGAAGATAAAGTAGGGCGCGAAACGACCACTCTTCACCGCTAGTACCCACAAGAGGAAGGACAGAAAGGAGACACGACACGACTAGAAACTTACACTTTGCCAAAGAAAGTCGCTCAAACATGCCTTTGAATCCGACAATGATCGCAGTGAGTTTCTCGGTCCGATTCACTTAATATCTTTCTTCGCTTGTCGTCTCGCCTTCCTCTCAAGCACGGACCGAAAGGTATTCGTGAATATCGGTGCGGAATTATCTTCACTGCTTGGTACATCTCTCGCCCTCAAGACATCAGCACACACCTTTGCAGATTTTCTGTAGCAAGTCAAAATGATGTTGATGACAACAGCAAAACTTTTTTCAACCTCTCAAGTGCCCGACCAGGTAGTTACTCTTTTTAATAACCGAAATATGCAATCGCAATCACTCTCAACCTCGTTTGCTCAACAAGGTGACAAGAACTTAGAACCTCACTTCAAACACACGACCATCTCAATTCGCAAAAGAGGGATGACACACGACCATCAAGTAGAAACAGATTCTGCCGCGTGGGTGGCAGTCAAGAAAATCAATACTCAGTTTGCCAGCTTCTTGTAGCAAAAGTTCAAGTCGTTTTTACGACAAGTTGACATTACTAGGTAGGCTTTTAGTGTAAGTACTATAACAGACTCAGACATGAGCGACTCCGACATGAACAACGTAAGTATCCAGACAGAGACATTGTACGCTGCATATTAAGGACATGCTATTACACACTACAACAGCTACAGGAAATTACTCCAGGTACCTCACCTGTTCTTCCTCTCTACCTGTCCCTGTGGCCTCGCCTTTCTGATGCTCTGGGTCTTCCTCTTCCTGTACATCAATCATCTGCATCAAACCTGTACCTGTATCCTGTGAATTCTCTTGAGAAGACCCAGGAGACCTGTCAGACAATGCAACATCGCTCATCATGTCGTGGTCGTCGCCAAAAAAGCCAGATGTCGTCCCTTCTATCTTCTCCCGAGACGGCTGACTTGCTCCAGAAGCCACGGGAGTCGGCGGCCTAGAATCGTCTTGGAAGATGCGGGAGGGTTAGAGTCCCTCTCTATGAGTATGAGTCGTGTGAAAAAAGATAAAAGTTTTTGAGCGAAAAAAACAAGTGGCGCTTACTTCTTAGTATTAAATAATAGGTGAACTTGTAGCATCTTGTTAACAGTTTTTGTTTCCTGCTTCTAAGAAGAGATCCTGTAACGAAGTACATGTAGTACAACTAGCTTACTTCTAACGCCCCAGAAAGAAGAAGAACGTAACCAACAAGAACAACAACAAGTAGAAGTAGATGGTGAGTGACTATAATTCTTGGAACCAAATGACCTAACTATCGTCTTGGCTGATGTCCAACGCTGTGTCTCCTGACGGAAGTGTTCGCCCTCGTCTTGACGGTGAGTCGACCATTTCAATCGCACTATTAGAGCCATCCCTCGTCCATCCCTGTAGAGATCTACAACCAGATCCCCCAAGAAAAATAAGAATTAGAATTAATAATATCCACTTTATATATAGAATTGAGGAATCCACCCTATAGAGATGGACTAGGGCAAGCCTTAACACTAGTTCCTCCCCTCATCTCGCCTGTTCCTCCATGCGTTGGCGTTTTGCCATCCTCTCGCAAAGCAATGCTGTCGTGTACTGCGATCTGTGTGCTGGAACACTTGAAACGGAAGTTCTCTGCAGGTTGAAACAAATGCAATAGGCATAGAACAGTGAGGAAGAAAACGCTGTTGGGACCGCCTTCATCGAATACCCACAATAGCCACCAACGACGGTGAATGTCAACACCCAGATCGAGACAAAAATCGAAGAAAGTCAACAGCCCAACACCTATCATGAAGGGATCATAAAGGTGGTAATTCATCTACTTATGGTTGCAACAAGAGACGAGAAATAGAAGCTGCGAGCTAGAGCTAGTAAAGTGGCCTGGTCGCGCTTATTTCCAAATAGGAGGTGGGAGCCAAGACGAGCGAGACGGGTATCATACGAGATGAACTAGAGTGAAGTACTTCATCATGATACCAAGAGCCGCATAGTATATGATCGCGCCGAATGTAGAGACTTTTGCCAGTGACTCCACCTGCTTGACCTCGATCAAGCTCGATTTCAAGCGCCTGTAGGAAGAAATTCCATACTGTACGATAAACCCAAAGACAGCAGCCTCGGGGATAACTAAAAGTATCGTCCTGTACGAAGCACCGTCGTCGGTAGCGGCACGGACCGTGGATAGCTGTCCACGCGCTGAATCGTTTTTCACGAGCTGCTGCGCGTCTTCTGCATCTTCAACCAAAAATGCCCATAAACCGAAGGTACGAGCGAAAAAGGTCTGAAGAGGGAAAGCGAAGTGGCACTCAGTGGGATTGTTGATGCGCCGACCTGGTTGGCGGAAAAGCTGCTCATTGATCATGGTTAGATATCAAAATTCTTGTTACAGCGCTGAAAGGATCTTATCTATCACAAAGATGAAATGTCTTTTGTCTCTGTTATCAAACACAAGGCAGTACCCTGCCAATCGCGCAGGAGACATAGGCCGCTGCGTAGAAGAGCAATGCAGAAATTTTGGGGTCCTCTGCAATGGTTCCCGAACCCAGAGATATTGCAAGACAAACTACCAACCACAATGCAAACCGCACAGCAAGAGCAAGCTCGAGAAGAGACGCTCTGGTTTGTGCCGTGTCTCCCGGAACCGTCTCATGGTCATGATGGTCATGATGTACTTTCTGTTCTAATATTGAAGAGGGCAAGTCATTTGCGGAGCTGTAGAGGTTGTAGCGCATACAGGCAACAAGCCAAGTAAGCGCAAGGAGACCGGATAGTGCGAAATGCAAAGGGACCAACTCCGAGCGCCACTTTCTGCACAAGTAGCCCCACCAAGCGACGAAGGCAGTGGACAAAACCAGCATCCACGCGTTGAAAGTTAAAGCAGGCGCATCCACGGCAGGCAAATAACCGTGACTCGATCGCACCAGTATGCGACCGTGCACAACATTCTCATGGAGCATAAAGGACGATGCAGATGGTTCTAAATCCACTTGATTTTGGTGTGCGCCGCCGTCCTGCTTTTGCGCACCACTTCGAACAGGCAGAGTGTTGTCCTGGCCGCAATTTGCTATTCCTGCGTAATACATACCAGGTTCAGTGACACTGAATGCGGTGGGGGCTTGGTGAACCGTGTCCACGGCAGCTGCCAGTACAAAGGCGTCCTTTCCATGTGCGTATTTGATTCCGGAAACGTAGCTGGCAGTGCTTGTGCTCCTCGAGCGCTGCGGTGACATCTTTCCTGCTCCATCTCTCCTGTATTGGTCTTTATTGGCAAGATTCATTTCCTCGTCATCGTTGGGCTTCTCTCGCACATCCTTTATTTGCTCTCCTGCAGTGGAATCGCTCCCGTGCGACAACAAGCACCCATCGCGCTCCAGCTGTAACCTCTGCGCATCCGACCCCGGATGCAGCGGGCAGCAAAAGGCCTCTCTGTCTAACCGGTCAAAATCATCGGCCCTGATCAAAATCACCTGGACTAGCGATGAAGGAGCCGACGTTTGCAGTAGTGTCGACGCAACGTCGGGACCATGCTGATCCGATCTTCTGCTTTTCTGTGTTGTCTCAAGGTAGGAAGAACCTTCGGTACCTCTACTTCCTCGCTCTGTTGCCCGACCACTCGCTATGAAGGCATCCACACTGATTTCACCTGGTGCGGACGCAGAGGCGGTGACGGTTACTGAGTGCGATATCTCTAGTGTCCGAGACTCTGGCCGACGCACTCGAAACTCATGCACTTCAGCTTGAACGGCTTTCGGCACTACGTGGGAATAAAGCACCACAAGCAGAAGGGGCAACGTCCGTAGCGGCCGAGCGAGGATGCTACAACTGGACAAAGAAGATGCCCTTTTTTCTGCAGGGTTATGTAGCATTATGATGGTTGTCAGTTGTCACCCTTCGGCATAAGTTCTTTCTTATAAGTAATCTGTAGCCACCTCATCAAGCACGCAGTCGCAGGGATCCTCGCATCGTCCTTGGTAGATCTGATCACGATCTTGACGATGTGCGAAAACAGTTTCAGTTTTTTCGTACACAAACGTTTTTGGTTCTCGTTCTTTTTCTGTCAAAGCAATCGCGTTCAGGCACGTCACACTTTCCAATAGTTGACTTCCGATATGATCCACACCATGAAGAACGTCGACACCGTGGCGAGGTGCCGTTTAACGGCTGAAGTCGAAGCACAGCACCACATCGCTTTGTTTGTTTTGCTCGCTAAGGATTGATGCATGTTCCATTCGTGTCTTCGCCGACGTGTTGAAATTGGCCAGTGTACAATAGGAGTTCTTGAGACCACGAAGACAGTGGCGGTAACAAAAATTAGTCTTGAAGTACTTACGCAAGGACTCATTGCAACATAAACGCGAATATCTTGCTTGGTGAAATTGGGATTGGTTTATGAAGCCACTTCCAAGCTGACTTGCTTGTCACTATAATTGAAATACACCCTTACCCTTAGCAGGTGGCTATACTACAAAGCATGTGCAACGTGACCACGACATCAGTTATTTGCAATGCATGCACTAGCGCTGAAAGCTGCCAGCGTCATCGCAGCAAAGCTGCATGTTTATTACTTTAAGACACCGAGATTGCGAAGTATTTATCGAAAAGCCAATCAAAACAAAAACCTTGACCTTCGAAACGGAAACATCGGGAATAAATGCTCTCGTTATTGCAGTACATCTACAACTGGTTCTACTTTAGAGTAATGTCACCCAAAACTTTTGCTTGTCATCGTGATTGTCTATTGCTAATGATAACCAAGAGCGTGTTCTCTATCCATCTTCTTGGTTATTGACTGTGCATTTGCATCTTATTTTCATTCTAGAAGAGAATCTATCTATTGTTTCAATGCTGCGAAATTTCGTGAAGCAAACCTCAAACCAGGAATTGTCTCTCTATTTTGTCAAAACTCTTTCTAAATCTTTTCGTAGCACACGAGCTTGTTGTGGACTACGTGGAAGGGCTTCAAACCCCGTCGGTTTCTTGGCAGGCCGTCCGCCACCCGCGTCCGTTCCAACCGCCGTTGCGCTGTTGCCCACGCCAAATGCATATCCTGCAATCGTGGCAACCCCTGAAGAGTGTTGGTGAAGCGGGGTCTTGTTTCCACCTTCTGTTGCACCTGGCAACAAGGTTTCGCCAGTTCTCCGTGTACTTCCTGCTCTAGGTGGATGTGAGGGCGTTCGCGTTTTCTTTACTTGTCCTAATTTCTTAGGACTTTCCTTGAGCAGTAGCAGAAACGTAGACGATTTTGGCAAACCGTGGTTGTCTGCGCTAGGTTTCCAGGATGATTCGTCACGGCCACCTCCAGCACCAGCGAGACCACTTACACTTTTTGCTGGTGATATAAGTTCTTGTTGCTTGAGTAGCCTAGCTACATTATTCCCGCCTTGAGGAGCCTGGTGTCCTCTAGCACCAGAAGCTCCTCCAGTCATAGCACCAGGGTTAGCCGCTACTGTCGCGCGTCCATACAGCACTGCACTACGAGCCGTCTGCGGGTCTTCTCCTGCATAAGCGTGGACCAGCTGGCGTACATACCGGTCGCGGTCGCGCCCCTCAGCAATTTTTCCGCGGAGTTCTTCCTCCCGTCGTGCGTTCTGCGCAGCCTGAAAACGCACTCTGTCTCGGTATTCATCGTGCAAGTCCCGTTGACGAAGCCGCTCCTCCTCGTGGGCTTCCCGAAGTTCCTTGCGGCGCCATTCCTCATAGGCCTTCCTTTCTAGCAGTAAAGCCTTCCGCTCTTCTACTGCTGCCTGCCGCATGGCACCCGTGAAGGCATTTTGCGCCGAAGTAAACGCTGCGGGACCTGGATCGTCTAGTGCTGCACTGCTCCTTATCCTCTCTGAGGTGATGGTTTTGGCACTTCCATCAGGAAATCTTTGAGCTCTAGAACTTTCTTCAACATTCGTTCCCCCTGGATGAAGATGAGAGGTGCTCTTATTCCTAGTATCATTCTCGGATTTATTACTAGAAGAGGCATTCTGAGCGCCTACGACTACATGATGCAAATTCTGATTTTGCGGGTGAACAGTAGACGACGTCCTTCGTTCTTCTACCTCTCGGATAACGCCTGGCGCTTGCTGTTCTCCTTGCACCACACAATCGATTAAAGACAATCGCCGTCGAGGCCGTGCACCGCGAGATACTTGACAAGACCCTGTCGCATGGCTTCCTCCGGATAGATGAACGATCGATCCTCTCACTCCCGTAATAGTGCCACGACCCGGCGCTGGAGGTGTCTGCGCTCTTCTATTTACAAAAATAGCCCCTTGTGTCAGTACGCCTGCGTCCTCACTAGCTCCACCTGCAGCAGCAGACTCATCGAGGGTTTCTCCACCGGTTAAAGCCCTTTGTCGACAATTCCCTTCATCCAGGAAGTCGCGCTTAGTGGCTTCTTCAACAGAGAAGAAGTCCGCGGTGCCTTCGCTGAAATCTAGTTCATGACCCTCCAGGAGATGTTGGATCGAGTCACTTGCTACACTTCTCGGTGAAGGGGCTCCCTTCATAATACTGTTTGCTGTCACTAATCCTGCTCCCTTTTGGTGGTCCCCTCCAAGAACTCCTAGTCCAATCTTAGAATTTGATTTTCGATCATCAACAGCAGCCCGCGCCCTGGACATCCCAACTATCGCCGGGTCAGGACACGCATCAGAATTATCATCATCGTCCTTCTGCTCGTCCTGATCATGCGGCCTCCCGTTCTCACTTAAGTCGTGAGCAACACCATCTCTTGCAGTTGTCCCTTCCTCCCCAGCAATAAGAGCCTGTTCCGGGTCGAAAAAGCCTCCATAAAAAAACAAATCCTCTTCATCCACATGATCCCCACACAAGACGCGTCGTTTTCTGGCAGCTTGGTCAGCCGCAAGCTCGTTTTGCAATACTTGTCTGCGTGCTTCAAGTTCGCGCTTTCTAGTCCAGTGCTGTTCGGCAATGCGAATATTGCGCAAATCCGCTTGCACGTTGCGCGCCGCCCTTCTGTGACGTCGTGTCGCCAACTGTCCTTGCACAAATGCACGACGCCCAAGCTCCTCCTCAAGCCTATCCCGTCTCGCGCGTTCCAACTCAAAGCTCAACTTCCGTCTTTTCCAGTCAATTTCCTGCTTAACGAAAAACTTCTCCTCCAACGCGTTGTGACCCCTGAATGAAGGTGGAGGGTGAGAAAATTACCTCTACTCATTGCACACATTTAGACACGCAAGACCATCAACGATAAATATGAAAGCATTACTCCCCTGCGAAAAAAAACGTGTTTTACTCGCAGCTTCAGCTAGTCGTGTGGGAATAAAAGCGATTCGCACTATTTCTGACCAGAATACCGTGTCAGCCCGTCCCGTGTCGAATTCCGACTGGCTGTTTTTTCAGACGCTGTATCAGACGACCCGGATGCAGTGGACTCCCCAGCTGCACTGCGCGCATCTGTCTTTACATCAGAAAAGGCGGTGCGCCGATGCGGGACGCCACCATTTTGAAACAGCTGTCCGACCACCTGACAATCATTGTCAAATACATCCACGTCGCCTTCCGGCAGATGCTTTTCTGCGAAAGCAGTGCGTCGTAGTACCTCACTTGGCAAACTGTTATCGGCCTGCGTTCTTTCTGTCATCTCGAAAGAATCATTTGTAAACCTTCCTCTCTGCTGCAACCACCCTTCTTCAGTGGCCTGCGCTTCGAGTTCAGCAATGTCTTTCTGCAAGCTTTCAAAATTTTTCAAATCTGCCACTGATGCTTCTTTGGCTGAGGTCTCACCAGAAGTAGCTGGATTTTCCTTCTTTCCAGCTGGACGAGGAGCATGCAATTTTCTTCCGGCGTGTTCTTCGGCGTTGAGCAGCGTCGAAATGCTCTGGAACCGAGGGGGCGCTGGCGGCCGTAAAGGTGCGGCGACAAGAGCATCCTCGACACCAACGGTCGATAGGCGACGTCGGGATGTAGCGCTAGCATCTATGATGGCGTTTTCGGCGACCGCGTTATTCGTTCGGCGACAAAGCCATTGTAATCTCTGCTCTTTCGCAAGTTTAGCCGCTCGCTTCAATGCTTCTGGACTTCTTGACGTGCCACGCTGACCACCTAGATCATCAAGATGATTTGAAGACCTCCTGGGTCTACGATTCCCGTCTCCATCGATGTCATCGTCATCATCTTCTCCTGCTTCTTCATCGGACATAATGGAGCGCGTGCGGCCGATTGAGTGATAATCCTCTACACTGGATCGCGAACGGAAAAGGCTTTTCAGCTTATCAGAAAGCTCTTTTTTCCGATGACCCCCCTGTGCGAGCCTCGCAGGGGATGTCGGACTTTTACACCAGAGGAAGGGACCTATTTCCTCTTCATGATCTTGCTGCTTTTCTTGTAGTTCATCCCTGTGGTGCTGTCCATCGTCCTTATCTTCTTCTTCACTCGTCCCATTTACTTCGGCGACACGGGGAGTATCGTCCTCAATCGTGACTCGCAAACCGCCTTCGTCTTCGACTCTGCGACTGCGACAAGATCCACCACCTCCAAGGTCACCGGATGTTTTGCTCCACTGCAGCTTGGGTCGCTTTACAATCTCAGTGTCAGCACCCGCCAAAGTCCTACGACTCTTCGGAATCGCCGTATGTGTTTTAGGTGCAGCATCTTCATCTTCGGGGATCGTCTCTGGTAGGGCATCTCGACTCTTAGAAGATGCACCAAGAAGAATGGTTGTGGAGTGCTGGCCGACCAGTTCGTTCGTATTTTCTGTTGCAATCGTCTCTGCGGCAGTGTAGCTGTTTCTGAGAGATTCCTCTAGAGGTACTAGAAGCCCATCAGCAGTAACTGGAGCGATATCTCCGGATGCTTCGTCTTTTCCAAGCTGTCGCGACAACTCTGCCTCTGCGTCAGGTGCTGAACCAGGGCGATTAGGAATTCTCCTCCCTGAGCGTGGGTAGGCTACTGTGGTCCCTCGTGCTTTTCCCTTTTTGATGTTTACTTTTTCGACCCCTCGGACATGATCACCGCGCGGTGATAATGACAAGGACCTTGACACGTTACTTGTCGTTTTGATCTTTTGTGGTGCAAGTTTTGCTGGGTCGTCATCATGTCCTTGATGAGACCCTATGATGTGCTGTATCCGTCTCCTTTTGTTGGGACTAGTATTGGAGGTAGATGTAGCCGATGAAGGTCTACTTCTTGAAGAATTTGCCACCGCGGTATCGTTATTCAATGTTTTCGGACCGAAATCAAGTCCGAAGTTGCACTGTTCCTCGAGGACTCGCTTCCGAGATATCTGTTGCGCTCGCTCTGCCGCTCGCGCTTTTCTCACTTTCTCTTGTGCTTGCTCTGTCGCTGCGTTCCGCAACTGGGTTAGATTCTGGACAACTTCTGCTTTGTAACACTCATGCCGAGCCCGCATATCATCGATATTGCGCAGCAAGCTTTCGTAGAACACCCCGCGGCCGTCTATACTTCCGTAAAGTGGTTCGTTCAGCCGTCTTTTCTTTCCTTCGCCAAGGCCACCACGCGTCCATTTCAGTGGCGGCTCGGTTCCATACAATTTGTACTTGATTTCCCGTGTGTGCTTTCCGACCGGCTTCTGTGGACTGCACGAAACATCTCCTGATGGGCCAGTCGGAACAGCGTTTAAAAAACCTGTAGCCCCGATCATGTTCGAAGGCCCCTGTCCTCGTTCATGATCATCGAGATAGTAGGGATCTAGGTCCCTGTCTAGATTGCGTTGCATGTCACCTTGCTGAAGATCTTCCCTTCCAGCATAGTCTTCTTGGTTCGACTTTTTTATGCCTTGCTTCTCCTCTAGTATCGCGGCGCCGAAAGACGTCTCGAGTAAGTTTGGCGCTGGCGGCACCTCCTGCATCGGCATCTTCGTTACTGTAGCGCTCAGCTCTTCTGACGAGGCGGCAGAGTGCCCGCGCCAGGACGAGCCCATTTCCGAAAACCAAGAGCTAGCGTAGGACAAACGTGCCACTGGGCTTGCTGCGCAAGCCGTGCCTTGTCGCTGCTGTTCGAACGACCGAGAACTTGGCTGAAGAGGAATGATGTAAGGAATCTGCAGAAAAAGATGTCCATGTGGATAGAGTATCGGCGCATTCCGATCATGCCTTTCATCGGTGGCGTTGTGCGCTGGAAGAACAATGCTGTCCCTATAGGTACTGAACAACATTTCTCCATCGTTGGTGTCAGGTCGTCGACCCAACCCACAATGGTCATCAGTACTAAGCATTGTATTCTGATCGTCAGCGTCTCCCTTTTGATTTCCACCCTTCGCCGAAAAACGGCCTTTCTTTCGCAATTGCAGCGACACGAGTCCGACATTTTGTCCCTCACAGCTGTCTTCCTCCAGCATGTGTAGGGACGCGGTTGAGAGTGACGATTTCAGCTTTCCTCGCAATCCGCCACGAGATCGCCTACTTCCACCACTAGGAGACAGAGAAACCGATGCCGTGCTGAGTGATAGCCCTGCTGCGCCATGGGACCCTGATGAACCCGCATCTTCAAGAGGATCTAGTTTTTTCGCACTGGAGCGTCCGCCAAAAGCTGTCGTTGCCATGCGCTGTAGTCCTGCACGCTTATTTGGCCGAGTTCCCTCCGAGGGTCGGCTTTGCACACGACGAGTGGAGAGTGACCATGGTGCGGCGTGGATCGGCGAAGCGTTTAATGACGACGTCTTCGAAACCCCTAGTGGCGAAAGCGGTTGCGACTCACAACTCGTTTGGTAATTTCTCTTGTTCGAGAACCCGCCAGCTGCATCGAGCTCGTCGTCGTGATGCTTCGCAGACACTACACCTCCCGTTACGCGAGGTGATTTCGGTGTCCTTGTTATCGTGTTCAATTCCTCCCCCAACTCGCCACCATCAACATCGTCCATTCTTTTATATCCGCGCATCTGCTGCTCATATAGTGTTCGGTTATGGTGCTCTTGTCGTTGTTCTCTCTCCGCTATCAGCTTCTGCTGCATCGCGTGTTTCTTCGATCGGCACGCTGCAACCGCCTTGGCATCGTGGAGCCCGTACTGGTCCCATAGGTTCAGAGTCTCCACTGCTGTCTCGTTATCCGCGAGGTCTTTCCCGCTGAACATCCGCACATAGGTCGGGAAATAACACGTCAAGAGAGGCTCAGCGAGCGATGCGGCAAGCTCTTGTCGCGCACGTGGCGTAGTGACTCCATCACCACCTCCGCTCGAGTCTTGTGCCGCCATCGGTTTTGATGTGGGACCGCCACTGGTTTTAGATTGTTCCATATCGACGGAAGACAACGCTGCAGGTCTAAGAGACCAAGGCCGCCGATCCTGTGCATGAAGGGACGGAGGTGATACCGCACCAAAAGAGTTGCCAAGCATCTTCGCAAGCGCGCCCGAAAAAGCAGGATGCAACTCTGGCTTCTTCAGGTCATCCGCATTGACGGAACTGCTTATCAGGTCCGCATTGCTCCTGGTATCGATATCGTGGCCTGAACGTAATCTAGATGAAGACGAGAAAGTGAGCGCAGCCTCATCTGCCGTAACCCTCTCCGCCGATGGACTATGATGTTGCATGTCGTCGTTGTGTCCATTGCCATTTCGTGACTTCTGGTCCTCCACTCCTCCATCACGCTTATTCTCAATTCCTGTGATGGATAACAATCGTGAGTCGGCAACTCGCGGTGTGTGTTGCCTGGATGTCTGATGCACGTGGAATCCGCCTCGCCTCTCCTCGACGAAGAGTTTGTCCTTTTGTTCATCTTGGCCATTAAGCTTCGGATTGGGTACATACTTCGCGTGAATCGGCTTGAAAATCGTTCTCTTTTTCAAGCCAGTTTGCGGGTCACGTTCCATGCTGTCCATGCGTCCGACATCGCGCGCATAGTAGCACTTTCGACTACGCGCGTAATGGGTATTGTATGTGCTGAGAAACAGCAGTGTAGATGCTAGCCGAGCTGTCGCAAGGTCTGCAAAGCGTAACTCGAAAAAGCGAAGGGAGTGTCGCTGTGTGGCAAATTTCCCATACGCAGCCGACCGCGAAACTTGAGGCAAGGAAGCGAAATTACGGCGACAGAGGCGCAGGACGGCGTACAGATCAGCGGGGGCACGGACACGCTCAGCAACACTTGCACCAGAGCAGGATAAGTTACTTCTTCTTGATGACATTCCAGTAGAACGGAAGTCACCTCCAACGCGACCATCCCAATCGATAGAGATCCTGTAGTACTCCTCATCAAGCAAGTGCAAAATCAACGAAAGCAGACCGCAAGGAAGAGCCAGAGGCGCAGCAGCTGTGTTGCACCACAACACACTTCGCCTGGGCGCGACCTCTACTTCTTGATTCTCTTCTCCCTTACTTGTTGTATAGTGAGCTTGATGCAGCTTTTGCGATTGCCTTCTAGTTTCGTCGTCGTCCACAACAATCTGCGTTCTTGAAATATTTAGGCGAAACCGACGCTGGAGCCACAAAGGCAAAGCCTGGCGAGCGGAGTCACTTTGCATCTCGACTTGTTCAGAAACCGCGTAATTAGCCGTCGAGTTACGCTCCGGTCTACCGCTACTCCTACAAGTGGCAACATCCCCACGCGCACCATGGCCAAGGTAAGAACTAACAAGTTGTATTTTCAATTGCTGTAGACTCCTCTGTTGTATCTCTTTGGTGTAAGAAGCATGAAGATACCCTTGAGGAAGATCGTGATTCAAATACGCGTCTTCACTTCGAGTAGCCGCAAAGCCGTAGCACTGAGATCTGTAATCAACATCGGGTCCATCTGGACCGCAGTCCTGCCGACGATCATCTCGTCTCTCGCACGCGTTGTTTGCGCCTTCGTCTATTGAGAACGGACCACGTGATGCGCACCGCCAGCCTGGGACCAACCGCTCTTGAAGCTCTTCTGCTTCACAATCATAACTATCTAAAAATGTCCCACACCTAGATCGAATAGCACGGCCCGCAGATGAATTTCTCGTCCTACTACCTAGAGGAGCGCGGGCGCTACTCACTCTTGAGGATGAGGCGAAGCCACGACTACCTGGCAAGGCTGTGCTTGCTGCTGTTCTGGTTGCTGTGCCTCCCCCACACTCATTGATATGATCCAAGCTTAGGAGAACGTTTTCCTCCACGAAGAGGCGTGGTTCATGGATACTGTCGAGTAAGTGGCACAACCTCGTGAGCATAGACAAGCGTCGCTTGAGAAGGGACCATCGCCAACATCTCTGGATGCAGAAAATTGCACGACGGCGATGCACGATCGTAGAAAGGGAAGCACCGAACACCGCTTCTGATGTGCTCAAATGACGGCGACAGGCAGCTTGAATCTGACAAGCGGCCGCGGATTGGAGCGCCGTCTTTTTGCTTAGGAAAAAAACACACTTAAGATATCTTGTCGCAAACTCTGCAGGTGCCCGATTGAATTGGAGAAAGCCTACGACGTCTACAAAACGAGAAGACCTTCCAACACTAGCCCTTCTAGCGTTGAAGTGGTAAGTTTGATTTTCTTGGTTCTGACCTTTGACAGATGCCTCCGCTGCCCGAACACCCCCACTGCCCCTCAAAATATCAAGGAGAGACGGAGGCTGACGAACGAACCCAGACGGAAGCGATGTCGTATGCCAAGAGGACTCCGCAAAGAGGTCTCTCAAGCGTTGGTCTTCGAGGTCATCTTCTTGAAAACGGACCTGCATTGCTGACGCAGCTGAGACAAAAGGAGAAGCTCCTCCCGAGACGGTTTTGGTCACGCGATGATCATCATGGTTCTGGAGCTGGACGTCACGAGTTGCTGTAACAGTAGTTTGACGAACTACCTTGGTTCTTCTTGTCTGGCGTGCCGCCTCGCGTCTCATTTTGTTCTTCTGCAACTGTCGTCGCGTTTCTACAGGCGTCTTGGCGTGCGCAAAGACTTCAGCGATGACGTTCTTTGCCGCAGCAGCGAAAACATCGCACCATGATGGATCGGAAGCAATAGGTCCATCGCCGTCGTGGACACCATGATCATCTTCTCCATGATGATTATGGTCCTCATCTATGTCAGATCTCGAAGCTGTTGCGGACAAGGATCCCGACGAGCTTCTTGAAGCATTTGATGAAGAACTGCTGTCCCTCTCATCCTCAAACTGGCGACGTTTTCGGGCCCTTCGTCTTTGTCTTTCCATCTGCCGCTCTAATGCTTTCTCAGATCGCTCTTCCTCTAGAATTTGCCTCGTTGACGCCAGCAGCTGCGCCACTAGGAGTGCCACACGACTTCGATGACTAGGACGCAAAGCGTCTCGCTCTGCGTCTGTGAGGGCCAGTGAAATCAGGGACGCCAGACTCTCCACCGCCTCTTCATCTACGAAGACCGGAGTCCGTGCCGAGGACAATGAGACAAGGCCCGCACCAGGATCTCGCCAAACATGATACACCAGCAAACGGAGCATGTCCAGGGCACGGCCGAGCACGGGTGGACAATCGGTCACTTGTTGAAAAAGGCGACCAGCACTCTTGTTGCCGGGGAAAAGAGAGTGCTCGTGCGTTTTTGAGCTCGGTGATGTTGAATAAGGACCCTCGTTTTCATCTTCATCATGTCGCCTATCTCGAACACGATCAGGGGTTTGAACTTCAAGGTCTTGCAAGGTGTTTGCCATCGTGCAGCTTATCCTGCTGCGTGACATGCAGGCCCTCTTTTGCTGTTCCGAAAAGGAGAATGTAGTCGTGTCGAAGTTCTCGAGTGACAATAGGCTCAAAACTGAACCACAAGCAGCTTTCCAATCGCGGTCCGTCTCTAATCCGGTGCGTTGAATACGTGGCAACCAGTGTCGGAAAGCTAATCGAATTTTAGTTTGAAGTTTCAATGGATCATGCTTTTGCTCGTGCTCAGCCGAATGAGAATCAGTCGTGCCCCAAGAAGTCGAAATATGATGATGTGCTGAAGCGACAGCCGTGACTGTTGCCGAAGGCTGGCCCGTAGTAGAGGTGCGTGACACAAAACGTCGCTCTTCTTCTGCCCTTTTTATCACGTTTTCGGACGAACCCTCACTTGGCTTGATACTCCCCTGTTCCTGTCGACTTTCCTTAATGAAAGAGGGACCGACGTGTCCACGTCCTAGAGAAATGGACTCACCTGCGACACCGCCCGCACCGGCGAGTAGTAGCTTTGATATTGAGCTCCGCCTGCGTCCACCTGGCCTGCTCGTGGTGAGATCCTCCAAAGCCGACGGGGACGGCCATGCAGCTGCAGATGCTGATGCGTATGCGAGTCCTGCTTCTACGAGAGAACCCTGCTGGTGTTGCATCACAGACGCCAAACTGGATAACGCGCCAACTTCCTGACCGTTCGTTGTACTTGTAGTCCTGCCAACAACCGTACTTCGAGTGCCGCCCAATCGAAAATTGCTTCCCGCTGCTCCAAAGCTTGGCATTTTTCCGGTCGTGAAAGGACCCATGGCTAACTGCGATAGTTCAAGTGCAGTTGCGGCTTCTTCAAGTATTGACGCCCTTCGTTCCATCTCTGCTTTCAGAGCCTGCTCGTTTTCGGACCGCACCCGTTCCACCAGGTGCCAGAAACTCACACTCGCGTTGAGATCATGCAGTTTTTGGATCACGCGCAACACGAACCGCACACGAGGATGCGTCACAGGTAGTCGGCCTCGATCGTGGTCTCGCTGGCCTGGTAAAAAACCTTCATCTCCGCATTGCTCGTGGTTAGATCTCAGTGTTGGTGTCGTGGCTACTACTTGTTCGAGTTCATTTTCCTTCACCTCTTCCGCCTCCAGGATATCTAGCGGAAACCAGACGAGACGCTGTTCCAGGAACGTCGCCTTCTTGTAACATGGAAGAGTATGCTGCACGTTCTGGCTATCAAAGTAATTCACTGGAAAGCTACCGCAAATTTTTGCATTTTCTGCCTGCTGCAAAACGTCTAAACGCTCCGTTCCTAGGGAGCCCCTAGCTGCTTGCGAAAATTGCAGTAGAGTGCGGTCTTCGGCCTTGCTGGGGGTAAGATAGTTGCTAATTTTCGTCGGTTTCTGCGGATCATTTTTCTTGCGATTGCAGCTTTTGCTTTTAGTTCTTTTTCTACCATCCTGCTTCTTGTGTCTCAAGTCTTCGTCGATAAACCTTTCAGCCGCTCCAATAATCGCATGCTGGTGCTCCGCTTTCGTGGCTGCGATTCCACGAACGTTCAGCAAGTGCATGATTCTGTTAGTAGCTACGTGTTGGCCCTTTGCATCCTCACCTTCTTGCTCGTGCTTGTTCTTTAGGAGAGATGACTTGGAGTTGGAAGTATGTAGTTTGTTCTTTGTAGTAGTTGTGTTGAGTCGAAAAGGATCTACTAAGTGTCGCTGTCGACACGTCACTGAGACAAGAGACGATATGGAAGTCTGGACTATCTTCGACGCTGGTGGTGGTGGAAATGAAGCGTTGTTGTTAGGATTGAAGATCCCCAACAAGGCTGCAATTTTCGGGCGCAATACTTCTCGGTTCAAAAGCCGATGCGTCTTTAAAAGATTCACAGCCCATTTCACCTCCTGCTCGTCGGTCTCGAATGTTCGCGGCAAGCATACTATCGAAACGCCGCTCACCTGCTTCAGTGGCCCATGCTTGCTTGGCGATAGAGGATGTGACATTCCATATATTGTCGACGCTCCACCTTGAACTTGGTGAAGAAGCGGATCCTCGCGTTGTTCGGGAGACGAGAAAATAGACTTCATCTGTTGAGGCCGTCTCGAGGACTGCAGCATCGGATTCCCGGCCGAAGGCTCTAGTACTGTTACGGCATTATGCGTAGTAAGAAATGCGTTCATATCCAATTCGCCGCTCTCTAGCGCGTGAGGCTCTTCAGCGTCATTGCAGCTGAGAAGAAACGCCCGTCGCTCAACGTTGCGAACAGCATACTGTCGCCTCTTGAGATGCTTCGAACTTTCCTCAGCAGTGACTGTCAAACGATGAAGGGGACCATGCCAGGGCGTCGAAAGACCATCTCTCGTGGTCACAGTGTTTGTGTTGTTCGCGTTTGTTCTGCACTTCCGAATGAGAGCACTCCGTTGTAATGACAGAAAGTTTCCCACAAAATGTCGGTCACCGCACTGCGAAAATTGCGACGGGTCCTCTGGTGCGGGCAGTCGCACGCCACGCAATAAGTGATCTGCTGAGCAGGTATTTCTAGTCCTCGACGTCGTCTTGGTAGCAAGATTGATAGCATCGAGACCGACAGCAGGCAAACCAAACTCTTCCCTTGTAGCATTCACGATATGGCGGACTTCCCACCAGGCAGCCTCCGGAAAATAGATCCCTAATTCCGAAATCGGCACTGAATGTTCCTCGAAGCGGATTTCAGGAAACCCTGCTATCTTCATTCTCTCCAATTTCGAATCAGAATCAGTGGTCTCACCCTCAGCAGCCCCATGATCGCCATCACCATCAACTACATCTTCGTGTTCACCAATTGGGGCTAGAATAGACGTTGTATCACTTAACCCTGACTTGCCGCTCGATAACATATGTCCTGAACTGGTGTGGTGATGGCTAGGCCTCGTTCGCGATGCCTTCGATGTGCTTGTGCTCGTCCTTCGTGTGTTCGTGACCATGATGTTATCGCCATCAGGTATCGGGGGACTCGCGTTCGCTGATATTCGTAATGTCTCGCCTACAGCAGCCGTTTCTGAGGAAGTCGAGGACCTTTTTGTCTTCCCCCCCATACTGCGCCTCGTCTCAGTTTCACCAGAATCAAGACCTTCGAACTCTCTATCCGAGGATGCAACTGACGTTGTCCAACCTTCCTTGTTGCCGCTCTTGTTACCCATTGAACCAGCTCCACCAGCACCGCTGCTGTTCAACCCTCCAGGTTGTTTCCTTGCCCATTTGGAGACGTCCGCGTCCTTATTTGAAGCGAGAATGTCCAGAAGGTTCGTCTGTGCTGCGTCGTTCAGGTCGTTCTGCAACTGCTCTCCAGAAGTTGTCTCTGTCCCCTCTCTTGGCCTCACACTAGACGAACTACCCCTTGTGCCGACTCCTTTGCTGCTTTTCAACATCATGCCTGACGAGGTGTTCGATGCGACCGAAGAAACTGCTTCCACGACCTGCGCCATGCGAGCCCCGCGGGACTCGATGCTGCTACGACGTGACCACTGCGAATCCGAGAGCGTGCAATGAGCAGGGTCCTCAAAGCCGCTTTCCTCTCCCAATAAAGTGTCCTCAATCGTAGTTCTTGTTGTCCTGGACCTGGTATGGTGATCTGAGGCTGCCATATTTGCTTGCTGAGGACCGGACCTGTGGTTATGGAGGCCTCTCATCTTTTTCTCCCCGGCCAAAACTCGTGTCGTGCTCGCGTGGGCGGGTCCAATCCCTATCTCGCCACCTGCTTTGCCATTTGGAGCGCAATTACCCAGCTCATCGTCATCCAATCCAAAAAAGCTTGCACCATCTGATGTCGTCGCACTTCCTGAGTGCTGGACTCTCTTCTTCGCTTGCGATAATCGTTTCTGCAAGAACACACGCTTCCGTGCCAAATACGCTGCTTTGTCGTGTTCGACAGAAAAGAGTAGATCTAACTTTGCCATGTGCCGCTCCCGCCACCCCCGCCAACAACGTTGTATGATCAGCACAGCACGCGCTTGCAATCGACGCAAACAAACACGTCCTATCCAAGGTCGTGCGATCCTCTGGATGCTGCGCGCACTACGTTCACGGGTAGACAGTCGCCAACAGGGTTCCTCTACTGCCTGGCAGAGCTCGTGAAAGTGGCGCTGGACTTGTCGTTCCCACAGAAATCTTCGTATGCGTGCTTGCAATCTGACCAATCTGCGTAATAGCCGCGCCCGCGCTCGAAAAGCATGCGTTCCACGCCAATACCGCTGTATCTGACACACAGCTGAGCATCTGTTGGCAAGATGGCGTAGGTAATTTCGACTTTTTTCAAAACGATCAATGTAACGAGCAACGTCTGGATCAGCACTGGCAGAACCACTAGTCGAAGTCGTAGACGTACCACCAGGATACTTCCTCAAAAGGGTATCCGCATCCCCTACATGATCTTGATCTTCCCGCTCATCCCCGCCTCCCCTTCCTCGCTTCCCGATTTCATTCAATTTGGAAAGCAAAATTTCCTCTCGACTCTGCGGCTTGGCAAAAGTGCACGGGAATTCCGGCAGTTCAGTCCCCTTTCCCATCGCACGGTAGCGGTGAATGTAGACGCGCGGATCCAAAATGCGGGTTCTTTCGTGAACCTGAGCTTCTTCTCGTTCTCCTTGTTGGTCAACGAGATCAACATAGTCCTCTTGCTCAGCACCTCCAACAAACTTCCGTCTGCGTGAAGATGCAAACTTGCTCTTTTGTAAGCGGCGAGAACTTTGCTGAGCAGAAACCGGCATAGCCCGCGTATGATCTTCATGATCATCTGGATGTGCATCTTCGCCTGTTTTGATGCGGTCAAAATCGTCAAGATCAGCATCCTCTGGTGCCCTCGTCTCAGATCTTGTCCGAAGATCCCCATGCGCCGAGTTTAACCATTCCAAATCTACGCGCTCATCATCCGTGAGGACATTCCGATCGACCGCCAGCAGCTGCGGGTAGGACTCCGCCAGCCAGACGCGGTAGTTATGAGTTGTCCCCGTCCAGGCATTCCCTCCGATGGAAATCCAAACCACAAGCGTCGACATACGACAAGCGTTATGCACTGACTGCGCATCACGGAGGAGGTTGCCCTGATGGAAACAGAAATGAAGTTGAAGATGGATAGAGATGAAATTGGTACATATCTTGGTCTTGGTGGATTTGGAAATATTAGAGAGACGTCACGGAGTATGTGACATTAGCTTTCAATTAGGAAAGCGACAGTGAGTAAGTACATCAAGATGGCAAATCTTGAGTTGTGGCAAGACGATTGCAGGAATGCTGGGTAGTCGAGTGTAGCCGACATCTATGTATTCAATCTGCGGCGCTCTGCGTTCCAAATTTCGAAATAAAGGCTCGTAATGGTATGCTCCAGGCTGTGACAGGTCTACGCTGTGGCGCAGATTCAAGAATCGCAAGTGACGATACGAGCTTTGCAACAGCAGAAAATGCACACGCCGTGTCGCAGAACTGTAACTATTCCCATGTTGCTGATGCGACCAGCTGGAGGTTCGGCGCTCTTCCTCAAACCCGCCGTCAATAATACTCACAGCATCGGGAACGAAGGCCATTTTCTAGTTTTTAGTGTTCGAGGACTTCTACTTCATCTTCTTCTTCTGAAGATTCAGGATATATCTCTCATGCGCGTGGTCTTTCAAATAAACCCCCCCGTCCTATGGCGTCTTCTGGCAGTCGCAGTGTTGTTAAATAAGAGCAGTCAATATGTAATTGCCACTTATCGCCGTCCATCTCGATTCTTCTAAGTACCTACATGCAGAGGATGGTCGGCATCAAAAAATCTCAAATAGTTGCTGATTCGAATGTTAGCCACTTCCTTGGCTTCATCGAATTGCACGAAGAAAATGGATTTCATCTTCCCGAACTCTTCAACCACTCAACAGGTACATACTCGTGTGCTAATTCATGTACAATTCCACGTTTTACATGCTGATATTTCTTCATCCTTCAACGCGCAGCAGCAGTGCATAGTGCGTAGCAGCTTCTACGCTGCCTTCGCCATCTCGCTCACGGTCTTGGTGTCGGTTTTAACGTCTTTTTGCGGAGACCAACCAACGCGCAACAATTCCTCCTCGACTAATGAGCTGCAGTCATCGGCAGGAAAGAGCTCTCGAAATCGTTTTTGACGACGGGCGTGGACCCAATGATTGACTTCCCATATTTTCGCCAGTGGTTCTCGAGTCGGGCCTGGTTGGCAGGGTTGATAAGGTGGAGGCCCATGCTCGGCTATAAGGCAACTAGTAGCATCGCCCCGCGCCTTTTGCACCTGCCAGATAGCATCCCACCAGACCTCATGCGAGGAAACGTGACCGGACCACCTGTCGTGAGTTTCTGACTCTTGATGTAGAAAATGACGTAACAAGGTGTTCTTGGTTTTGTTTCAGAATGAGTAATCAGTACGGAGCTGCATACTACCTTTTTTCTTGAGAAGAAAGTATTATAATGTGAGTCTCATTCTCGATTTTCCTCGAAGAATTTCAGTACTCTTCCGTTCTCGGATCCGGCACCTGTGACCCTTGTTCGTGGCCAACGCGACAGTGCGTATGTATCACAAAAGGACACACTTCATGAATGGCCGCACACAGGTCCGCATCCATAGATTCGGCTGTGCAGACCCAATGCGAAAAGTCCGCGCACAACCTAATCCCAGGAACCCGCTTCATCAGATCGCGTGTCAACCAAGGAGAGTACAGAATGCGCGATCGGTGGGTCTCGTGACACAGCGGTACTTAGACAAGTAGTAGGGAACTAGAACTACTTACTACAACTACCTCCACTAGCTGTAAAATATCAATCCTTTGAAGGCTAAGTCCGCTACAGGGACCCATGTGGAAGTGGATGGAGTTGGGCAATGCGAGCCTTAATGTAAACGAGGGTATACTTTTTCTTCCTCGCCAGCCAGGGGTTGATTGTACCCACAGTGTCGCTCGATCGCTAAAGCTTCTGAGAAAAAAGTCTCCGCCATTTGCTGCGAAAAAAAGTCACGGCCCGAGTGGGAGTTTACGATATGCACAGGCAGCGCTATTTCTGGATGCATAGCCAATTTCGATATATCCTCCACTTGTTCGCGGAAGACAGCAACATGCTTGCTAACGAGCTCTTCCCCACTCAGTTTTACTGAATCTCCGGGTTGCGCAGGCGTCGAATACACCACGTCGCCACCCAGTGGCCTCGCATGTGGTCCTCCCCACAAAATCCCCGTTCCGGGACAGAGGACGTTGTCGGTCATAATCATCAGATTGATCTTCATTTGCTGCTCTTTCAACAGCTTGGCGACGCGCTCGACTCCGAGATGCAAAAAGAGTTTGTAGGGCAGCTCAATCCCGTCAAAACCGAGTCGTTTCAACAGAAGAACGGTTTCTTCAAGGGCTTTCGCAGGAGAGCGCGCACTTTCCCCGTCGCACTCGTCGATCACACCCCACAGCGTACGAAATTGCAACAACTTCATCCTGTTGACGATGAGGTAGGGGAAAGAAGAACCGAGAAATAAAGACTTCGACTTCCTACTGTCTAAAAAATTCTTAGGTATGCTTTATTGCAAGAACAATTCTCGAAGCACGGAAAATTGAAGTGTTCTTCTTCTAAATACCTCTCCCTGAACGCTGCTTAAACCTTTCAATTTTTTCTAATCTCATCCTGATCTAGACATGTGTTTTAATAACTTCAAGTTACTTCGAACAAGAAGTAGACGTCAACGAGATCCAACAAGAAGTACCCGTCATCGGATGAATACAAGACACTCAAATATGTTCAACTCATATTCTGTCCACGATGGCGGAACAACTTGAGGAGTGGGACGCGGTAATAGGCTGGCCCAGCACCTAAAAATGCAAATTCTTTCCCGAGTTAATACCATGTTGAACACGCAACAAGGCGCATCCGTGAGTCTTGGTTTCTTTAATAGAGTGTGTGTGCCAGCGCTGTAGCAAACACATGCGTAAGTCTTCGGAAGGGGATCCGATCGACGAGGATCGACGAGAAGCGTGGCCTCCAGGTTCATCGCGGTCACATGCGTTTTTTTCCACCCCAATGGTCACAGAAATAGCGACAAAACCCCCAAGACCTACCTAGTCACTCACAATCACGTTAGCAAACGGAGTACTTAGGTAGTCGCACTAACTAGTAGTTTGTTAAGCAGTGAGATTAGTCATTCAGTGTTTTTCATGCTTATTACTAGTTGCAACATCTTAGCACCGGTATTACGATCTCAATCTCACACTGTTCTTCATGGTATATCATCCAGTATGAGCGTTCGCAGGAACATCATGCCACAGGTCCGTGGTTCCCACCTGGTTGCATCATTTCGGCTCCCGGCGGCATCATCTGTCCACCTCCAGGCACGACGCCGTTGATAGTATGTTGTTGTCCACCTAGTCCCGCTCCTGGCGATGCCATCATATAGACGCCTCCCGGTGCTGCGCCGCCCCCTTGTGATGCTGCTTGAGCTTGATGAAAGCCGTGCGCTGCAAGTGATTCTATCATAAGACCTTTTTGCATGTCCTCTTTGGCTGACCGTTTCATGATTTCCGTCAGAGCCGCATGGCCTCCAACGGGCTCCGCATTTTTCACCTCGAATTTCACGCGTTCCGTGTCTTGGTACGAGTTTTGTTAGCGAGATGAATTTTGTGAATTATTAACATCTTCTTCATGTCGAACTTCTACAATTTATTGAACCCAAAGGAATAAATATACTTATTTACTTTTTCTTAACGCAGCGCCAGCGTCAACGCTGAAAATAGATTAGGAATACATTAAGGAGCCCCGCCCTGTGAAAAAAGAGGTACTACTTGCACGAAGCAGGAGATCCGGATCAACCTCTTCTGGACCTCCATCATCTTCACTCCTGCCCGTGCCAGTAATTCTAATTGATGAAATAGAAAGTCATTGATGAAGATAAAAAAAAAGAATTTAAATTTTACTTTTAGAGACTACAACAACAACTACACGAAATGTGTTCATAATCTTTCGAGGCCATCAATTTGACGTTGAACGTTTGCTCCATCAAGAAGTTGGTCCGTCCTCCACAGTTAAAGTCCTCCACCATGGCATTGCAGTACTCAGTGTCAGTTCGGGTCCAGTACCACACGTCGTTCGCTGGTACTCCGAATAGCTTTTGCCCCGCCTCGTCAAAGGTGGTGACAGTCAGCGAGCCAGAGGTGTCGTACAACTGCGGCTTCGCTATATATCGCGCGCAAGGCTGCGGCTGACCACTAGGCTGTTGTTCAATTTGAAAAGATGAAGAAATAGATGCTGATCTCGGAGTACGAGTAAGCGTAGACGTGCAGGTAAATGCTGTCTCAGTATCATCAAAAGTTGAAGGATCGCAAAGATGAAACCGTTGACACGGGCATCAAGAGTCGATGACTAATAATTCTGATGACTATGCCGGTGAAATCAGACAATAGAATGAATAAGAATAAGTAGCAGAATGTACATTCGATAACGATGTCACGTGGCCATCGGCACAGGCGAAATCGTCGCTATCCGCCTGCTGTTCGGCTTTCTTATTGCAGTCCTTTGCCGTAGGATTGCCCGTTTTCCAATCTGCACGCATCACTTTGTGCGTACAAGCAATGTAAAAAGGATCGCGATCTTGCGCATTCTCGCTTTTGAATTGCAAAATCCGGATGTTCTTCACATCGAACCACATTTTCTGATATTCAGTGTTGAAGATGAGTAGTGGAACAAGTGGAAACCGTAGAGTCAGCATTCATTCTTAATAGTCCCGATCTTCAGCAGGACCACTTTGGATTCATCGTATAATGAACAAATATCGAAAACGAGGGTGTTTCCAAATCATCAAGATCACGAAGAACATCTATTAAGAGGTAGACGAGCGGAAGCTGAAAGTACTTCTTCATCTACGTAGACAAGTGGTGAATACGACTACTTTCAAGAAGAACAATCTCGGAAATGTAAGTACGTCTTTTTTTTCGCTTCCATCTAGATTCGGGGTTGGATCTAAAAGAGCCTGCGCTTCCAGCTCGACTTCTTTCAATGTCTTGGGTGGAAAGCTTCCTGAAGGGCCTCCTCCGCTCTGACCGCTAAGTTTTTTCCATTGGAACCGATTCTCACCATTCTGCGTCCAAAATTCCAATAGCTGGTCTTGACGAGACTGGTCAACCATCTTCGTGTGCCCAAGGCCGTTCAGGGTAAGCTTCTTCCCTTGAAACTCGTCTACCTGGATGATGTGGATCGTGAAGTAGAAAAAAAATCATTCAATGTTACCTCGTCCTGCTCCTCGTGGTGTCATCTCATTGTAGTAGCTGCTGACAACTTCGTGCTGATTGCTAGGCACAGAAGTCATCTTCATAGATATTTGCCATTACAGGCGAGCATGTCGCATGTGTCTGAGTATCTTCTACTTAATTGATTCTTATGATCTATGTTGATGATCATTCCGCACGCGCACGGTGCCTGTATAATTACACAAGCGCTCCTGGGAAAAAAGGATGTAGCGAAGATATTCAACTGTCTACTTAAATAACAATTACCTTCGCATTCACGAGAATCACGAGGTCGCCGACTTGCAATGGCAAATGGTCAGCTTTTTCTCCCCATGCTGTGACGCTGATTATCGCCCCTCCGCTGGGTCCACTGTCGTCTGCAACTTGAAATTCACGAATGTGGTCCTTAGAGCTATTGATCATACCAAAAAAACGAAGTAGCCCTAAAAAAGAACCAACCGCCCTAGTAAAAGCTCAAAAAAATCTACCCGGTTCTTCTAAGGGCATCATGCTACGAATTTTAGCTTCACCTTCACAAACACAACTTTCGTTGCTAGTAGTGTTAGTACGAGAATAACATGGTTTCAGTACAAGTACCAAGTACGAGCCATAATTTTAGGTCCGTTCTTGGTAGATCTCTCTTGCACATCTCCGGTCTCGATTAAAACCCCGAAAACCTGATGCCAAATGCGAGAGCGAAACCATAGCCCAACTTAAGTGTGGCGTTCTTAGGTTACGGAAGAATGGATGCAGAAAAAAAAAATCCAAAGCAGGATGGCACACAGAAGATGAAGCCGTTCAATCGGGATCGTGAGAACCACATAAGCATAAGAGTAAGTAGATGTCGATGAACTATGAATATGCAAAATGTTACGTTCACTTGAGAGCCTTTTTCGGAAGTTTCTATGTTGGCGATAGGTGTAAAATCTACGCTCGGACCATATGGAATTATTTCGTCGTCGTCCTCGGGTACTGCCGTTATCTGCGTCTGGTTATTAAACTGGATTTCGTACCTTGTAGTTGAAAAGGAAGAGCGAAGATGGATGAGTATGTTGGAAATTGCATTTGCAGAAAAACGATATTCTTGAAAACAAGCATTAGAGCAGTGAGTCTGCGGGAAACAGCATCACATTTGCTCCACTACATTCACTTTCTCATCCACAACCACATGAAAGAGTGCGAACTACGAAAAAAACAAAGACTAAATTGCTGTTGTACTCTGCATTGGGATTATAGCGTTTGTTGGCGTTTTTCACTTGTCCTCCTTGAAACGTATAGACCTTGTGCTCCTGCACAAGATCTCCAAATTTCGCCACGAGTTCCGAAAACATGACGCAACGGATAGTATCCCTACCTCTATCGACGAGTTCGAGATTCATCCTGGCGGATTTATTTTGATTTCCTGAAGACGAGTATTTAAGTACATGTACAAGTACGGTACTTGACAATAAATCTGATCTGCAATAGCATGAATGTAGACATGCCATTTTTCACGTCATCTTTCTTGTTTGCAAAAAATCCAGTTGTCTATTAAGGCATTTGATGCAGGAGTATAAATAACCAGAGAGCATCATATTAAATATAAATACATAGCAGAAAAGCAGGACCCAGAAAAACGTTAACAACAAAATAAGATGAAGATCAGAACATCAAGTACAATTGTCCCTCGCCTCCGTTTTTGTTATTGAAAGTCCGCACCACCTTCGACGTTACTCTTGCCTTGATGATCCAGCGCGCAGCGTAGGGGGACAAAGCTGATATTGGCAAGAAATTCGGTGCGTTTCCTGCTCCACCGATTCTCTGTATTGGCCTCGATGAGCTACCTGCAGGCTGATAACCGGTCACTGATCCAAACGCAGGCGCGCGTTGTGCTTGTGCTCCAGCCGGTCCACCACCATAGGGTCCACCGCGTGACGCATTAGTGGATGGCATCCCTCCGCCTTGGGGCGGACCTGTCATAGGGCCTAGAGAGGGACCTGCTGCAGCACCTGCGCCACCGGTATTAAATGCCATACTATTGTTCGTGTTACCAGTAGGTGGCATCAAAGGATTTGTTCTTCCACCCTTTGCGGCCTGCTGTCCAGGATGACCAGGAGTTTGAAAAGATCCACCTGCGTTAAAAGCGCCACCAATCTGCCCGAATTGCGGCGCTGCTGCGGCTGATGTCGAGCCGTGACCTTGAGGTCGCTGCATAGTTTGCTGCTGCATATTACCAGTATTTCCCGTTCCTGCAGCTGGTGTTGCTGCTACATTACCTGTTGTAGCTCCGCCGGCTCCACCAGTGAAGGGGTTTAGAGGTCCTCCAGGGGTTAAATTGTGAAAGGGTGCGACCCCAGGAGGCGCACCTGCACCCATCGTCAGGCTGTCTTCTGGTCGCATCTGTCGGATCGGAAGCTGCTGCAAAAGATTGTCGGTTATTTGCACGACCCTTGTCGAGTCCTGAATCGGTTGACCCGACTGCGGTTGTTGTGGTTGTTGGCCACCGCCGCCTCCAAAGCTCATTTGGCGTTGCTGTCCGGGCATGCCTCCTGGCTGTTGTCCGGGCATCCCTCCTGGCTGCTGTCCGGGCATCCCTCCTGGTTGCTGTCCGGGCATGCCTCCTGGTTGCTGTCCGGGCATGCCTCCTGGTTGCTGCCCGCCCGGCAGGCCTCCTAGTTGCTGTCCGGGCATGCTCCCCTGTTGCTGGTGTCCGGTCGACATGCCCGTTGGATGACCCGGCTGCATGCCACCGGGTGCTTGTTGCCCGCTATTATGAAAGCCGCCCGCTGGCTGATTCTGTTCGAACCCGCCTCCAAAACTCGGCATCTGTTGATGACTACCATAGCCCATATTACCTTGCTGCTGTTGCGGCTGCATGTTGTTGCCAGGCATACTAGTATTCTGCGGAGGTGCATTGCCGCCTTGGTTCATCCCTGGTGGCATCCCCATCTGCACGAGAAATGTTGAGTAAAAAAAAATGATCATGGTGAAGCGCAAGCTGAGCCACACCTTATTTTTCCTACTACTACCAAAACCAATCCCACAACTCCTGAATTGATTCTTTTAGGAAAGCTTACACCATCAACTGTCACAATCACGCTATTTTTCGCCCAGGACTACGTTGAATCATAGTATTTTTACCTGCTGCGCGTGCTGATATGCATTTTGAAACTCGCCTTGTGGTTGCCCCTGCGCGCCAGATGCGTACGGATTGCTCGGGTAGTCGGCTCCGCCACCACCGCCGCCCAAGCTTCCAAAGGTATTCATGTTGTTGGATTCGATATCGATGATCGAGAAACATATAACACAATCTTGACAAGAATGTGCGTGGTCGGTTTGAAATAGCTATGATGCAAAAAAACAAGTCTTCGCAGGAAAAGAAATAAATGACAAATACAAGACAATACCAAAACCAGAAGCAAAACTTCTAAAGCAAACTTCATATCAAGACAACAGGACAGTCAACTGTTTTGAAATAAAGAATACAGCAACGCAGTCTGAAATTATGAAGAACGACCTTGACGAGGCGCGCGTAAAGATTTACAAGTACATAAAAACAGCTACAGAAGACCCTCCTTCTCAAAATTGAAGTCGCGCGTAACTCGTGTACTAGAGTATCGGTTGGATTATCATCGGTTGAATTATCCATAATACCGCGAAAGGGTCCGAGTCCAGTTATAAGGACACGGCGTCTATTATCAGGAAGGAAACTGAAACTCATTTCGTTCTTGGAACCGGCCATTGAACCAGCAAGATGCTGAGAATTTTCAGGTGATAACGAACCCATTCTTGTTTTTTTGTGACTTAAAGCAATTGGAGGAAACCCAAGCAATGCGATGTGAGAAGGAGAACTTGTTGTCTCCAAGCAATATGTAATGCTAAAAACGGGCACAGGTAGTTCTAAAGGCTACAAACTGCGTTAAACGCCGACAAAGATAATCGATACCTGTGCACTACCAACATCTAGTGATCGACGGGCAATCTTTTCTGGGGGCGATCCTGTAGGACCCCGCTCCTGCAACTCTGGTGATGCAAGAAGATTTTGGAAGAATCTGTATGGAACTTCAGATAGCTACGCGCTCATGTTGCAGATACTACCTTTCGCTCAGAGAAGAACCAACACTGACGTATATCTTGAGATACACAGCGCCTTTGCTCAGGTCAGTTCTTTCTCTTTACTGTCGAAATCTCGCACGAGTAATAGACTTTGGAATGGAGTCGATCCTTGAACCTCTACAGTCAGACGGACACGGAATCTCGCTCCTGTGCTAGTAAATTGATTGAGTTTAAGCTGTTTTGTTGTTTTTGGAAGTAGAATCACTGATATGCTGTTGTATTCAGTCAGTTTCTAGAGGATATGCTGTGTTAGTTGTTAACGAAGCTCGATAAGGATACAGGAATATGAGATCGAGACTAATTTCGGGCTTTTTAGCTCTTAAGCCTTTCCAAGCAAGTATGATAGAATATGCAGATGGAAGGAGTCGATGACTTTCTATTCTGATTTTGTACACTTGTGCTTGCTTTCTTTAGCTCTCGACAACACCAAAAAATATGTTTTCTTTTCATTGAAATGGCAAAGCATAAGCAAAGAGCTTCAACTAACCAATATTTGATGTTCATTACGGGACACTGTATTCCTAAGGTATGCAAACTATGCCTCCTAAGGTCAGCAACGACCTCACCGGATTTATGACAGTCACAGTTTGTATTGTTGTCCATTATTTCTTCCACGTGCCCTGACCTAACGTTGTATACTGCGTGTAATGGCCAGGTCCTGGCGCCTCCTGGTACGCCCTAGTCGCCTTATTTCGGACGTAGCCGCTCGTATAATGCGGATAGTTGTTGTTATTCGACTTCTTTACCACATCCTTCAAAGGATACACGGTTTCACGTACCTGAAAGGTTTCAGAAGAGAGGGCACTGAAAGGTCGTATGTAGTTGAGTAGGACAGATTGAGTCGACTCATTGATCAGGAACAGAGAAAAAGAGCAGAGGAAGGAGATAGAACTGTACGTCTCGTGTGAAGCTGAAGTTTCCACCTCGCTCTCGAAACTGTTGCCTATCAATATCCTCCTTCGCTGAAGGGAAATCACCCGCATGCTTGTACCTTTTAGAGGTGACGGAATGTGGATCCTAAGGACCAGCTATAAGACAGTTAGAAGATGGTTTGAAACACACCAGTCCTTTTCTTCGGACGAAAAGAACTTTGTCCCAAATAATATTTTTCAACAACCAAACTAATTACTTACTTACTTACTTACTTACTCGAGAGAACCATATCCATCAATCCAAATCTTCTATCGAACACGGAGTACGCTCCCGGTCCTGGCTGCCATTGTGTCGCTCGCATATGCTTCTGGATCCAGGTGTTCCTACTCTTTATCGTCCCCAACTCCGCACTCGGCTTCAGCTCAGTAAAAGCGTTGTGTGGACCATTGCGGTTGATAACTGAAGTGAGAGCTTGTTCGTACTCATCACAGATACATCACTTACTCCCACAGATACAAAGAATGTTAGGAGTTAACAGCGGAGGAGGACAGAATCGAGATTCTTCCGACACAAGACCACTTTTCTCGATACAGTTCTTCTACTTCTTCTTCTTATCTCAACAAATTGAAACTCAAACAATGTACCCGTCTGCAGTGCGTCTTTTCTGCCCAAAGTCGTCCATAGCGGAGCTTTTCTCTGGGTGTGCTCGTTTATCGTCCACCCTTGTCGCCATTCTTCCTTACCCGCCATCTTTTTGTATTCTCGGATGCAGATGAGTCTGACTGTTTACTGTACTATGTCAGTACTGTAACTGTATGAGCTAGATGAGCATGGTTGTAACTTTTGCACTTCTTCTGGTTTTTCTGTGCCATTTGTACTGCCTTACACAACGAAGACTTATAATGATTAAATAGTATGCCACGCATACTAGGGACGTCCTCGACAACGAAGCTGATGAAGCGACGGATAGGGCTCTCGAGGAGCCGACAAAGCTCTCAAGGTCATGATTGCTAATGCGACTTCGACTCCTGCCCCACTTTCGGACATAAATTTTGACACTTTCGATTGTGCGGTGAATAAAAATACCTCAACCGCATATAGCAATGGTTATCGATGGAAAAATTCCATCAATCGCGCGATATGCGAGCAAGCAAGTACGAAAAAAAAAAAGGTTGCGTTGAAAAAGTTGTCGCGGCGTTGTGTTAATTTGCTTGCAGGTTGATGTCTAGCAGAACAGCAAGGGTGTAGATCAAAAAAGCATAAACTCATATGCATATGTTGCCGGGGAGAAGAGTGGGGATAAAAATTCAAAAAGCCAATGTGGGGAAAAAGTGTGAAGATTCTTTAGCAAAATCATTTATGTTGTTGCTGCTCCCCTCCTCCTCCTCCGCCACGTGTAATATTCTTGTTTGTATGGTTGAGTGGAGGGAGATTTTTCTTTCGTCGGAAATGACTGAGAGGGCTCAGCTCTCGCCTCGGATCGTATCGTCTTGTCGGAGGACTGCAAGACAGACTGTCCAGAACGACTCGACCGCCTCGCTGGGAAGCGAGGCCACCGCCATGACTGGTTTTAGTATAAGAAAAGGGTATCAGGTGTAACGATAAAGAAAGTTTAAAGTCTTGAGTTCACTGTATAGGTCACTGGCGTTAGAATAGGCTGAAAGTTACTGACACTGGAGAAAAAGAATTTTTGTACAACAACCAAAGTCATACCTTCGCCTCAATGCTCTCGTACATGCTGCGAAGGTGCCAGCGTAGATACCCGGACTCCCGGACGGCGGATCCAATGTGAGCTGGGTGCCTGAAGCGGTGAAAATAACAGTCATACATGCTGAACTTATGAAAATACCCAAGTCTAACGCAGATTCATAACACAGAAGACAGGAGAGACAAAGAAAAAATGTAGGTTTAGGACTAGTCCATTATATATAGTCCCTGGTCAACAAGAAGCAGCAAGTTGGTAAAGGGCAGGTCGGATAGTTCTGGGTCAGACGAGACGCTAGCTCCAGTTCTACAAAAGATGCTTATAAGCTTGTGAAATGAGTCTAAATAGATACTAGCCACTTACCAGCTTCCAGCACGTCATCTAATGGGTCGGTCGCTTCTGGTGCGGCACATGTCTCCCCTAGGCCCTCTGCTTTCGCTTCTAAAATCCGTCCGATCGCATCAAGGAACGCCCTCGTCTGCCGTAGAGCTTCCAACGCAACATCGTGAATGTCGAAGGCTTCTGTCGTGGAAAGTTAGAAGTAGATGGAGTGTTGCATGAGCAGGTAGAGGTAGGTGAGAGGAGCAGAGCAAGTAGATTCTCAGAGAAGATAAAATTTTTTTCGATCACCATTACAAACACACGTCTTCTTCTCGAAATTTCTCAGTACCCTGTGGACTATCAATTCCTACGGCTATTTCCTCGAAACTTCAATGTTGAAACAAAAAACCTCCACTCCTTGTTGCGTTCTGGATATCTTCGGAGATTCGCTTTGCCGCAATTCTATAGATGAGGGCTACCACCCTCTTGCGGCGGCTGTCTCGTTGAGTCATATACTTTTGATGCAGCGGCCATGATTTTTCACCATTATTGACCTCCTGTCTTGGTATTGTTATCTTTGGCCTTTGCTTTCGTCTGCCACAGGTGTTTTGTCCTTTTTCTTAGTCTAAGTACTAGAGAGATGGTGCTCTTATTTGCGGGAGCAGGCACTGTAGTATCTAATCTCTCTACTCTTGTTTGAAATAAACTCTGGAACATGATAATGATGACGATGATGATATATACCCAGTCGTTGGACGTGTTTGCGAGTCCGCATTATTCTGTGAGTCCACTTGGGAGTACTGCTCATTTTCAACGTACATAATGAGTCGCGGTTTCAATTTTCTGGGTGCATTTTTCTTCATTTCTGTCACTTTTTCAGCTTTTTTTAGAGAGAAGCCTCTTTCTTTTTGTGCTACTCACTAAAGCCCAGAACCTAGATGCTTTGTAACCAAAAACGGAAACCACGTCAAGTCTTCTAAGCCGAGAAGACCACGGAGCTCCGTCGTAGATCCTTCAAAGCATTTCGTCCAGCAGCATTTACGCTGAGTCTGTGCAGTATGCAAAGAAATATCGATGCCGTGTACTCTCCGTAAATCAGTTGTTTCCTGTGGTACATACACTATGGATGCTCATCAAAATAGAAGACGCATTAGCTACTCGATCAATCTTAGTCTTCAACAAATCACTTGGATTATAGTTACCTGAGTACTTATATCGAATAGCTGAACGGGAAATCACTTGCAAGCAGAATATGCTAAGTCAAAGTCAATCAATTCAATACAAAAATTCTGTTTGAGATTCATGAACATGCGGTGACCATAGTTCTTTCATCAACAGGAAACCTAGTATGTTATATATAGAAAATCAAAATAGTATGATGAGAATAGCTGTCGTCTATGATGAGATATCGATATGCCTGACAACTAGTAAAGTCATCATCTCTTCTCCCCTCTCGGTTCTGGAAAACGCGGCTTCGGAAATCTGCGCGCCGTACCGAAAGAGAACTTAGGCGCGACCCTTCTGGCGCCATCGACAGGCGCTGATTTAGTCGGATCGTAAGTAACTGCTGACGGCCACTTTATTCGCTAATGTTAGAGGCAGAAGAGATTACTCATTCAGAATAGACACAACTGTAAGTTAGCAGGTCTACAACTTTACGTCTTCCTTGGGGAGAAGTGCGAATCGGAAAACCTCCTGACCTCAGTAGAAACACTCGAGTACTGGTAAGCAACAAAAATAACGATGATTTTAGTCGGTTCGGAATGGACCAACAAAAATAATATGCATGACCCAGCACACAAATCGCGACCAATCTTCATAATCTTTCTGCCCATGTTCTCCCTCTATCCTGGGACCAATGGTGAATGCAGGCACCATAAGCTCTCCACCTTTTTCATGCATTTTTCTTAGGTCACGCTGCGGCACCTTACCCGTACGATCCAAAGGTGGCGCGCCGACTAGAAGTATGAAGCAAGAGGGAAACAGAGGACATCAGTTATGAGGGGCCGCTTTATCATCTAGTCACAGGAAATCACGACCATTAGTCTTTAGTTTATTCATCTGTGCTCAGAAAAGACTCTTTTTGAGACTTGAGACAAATTTATCGATTTGGATTTTACTTTCTCCAAGCCACAAATTAAAGGTAAAAAAGAAAGAAAACAAGAAAAATCGTAGTGTTTGAATAAATCGTAGCGTTTGAAAGAAGCAGCAGGCCAGACGCCTAAGATTCAACGGGAAAACTACTGAGAGAGATCAAAGCGATGGATTTTTTTTGTAGGCTTTCAAAGGATACAATTTGTAGGCATCTGGGGATGACTTTTGTAGGATCTTGTAGTGGTCGATTTGTAAGGAATCGACCAAAATCCTTCCTATTGAAAAAATCGAACGCTTTGAATAAAATCGACCCCTTTGAAACAAAATCGACCCGTTTGAAAGAAAGCGAAGCCCCTGCACAAGCACCACCAGCCAAAACCGAGCCCCCGAGCAGCATACATAGCCGCCCCTTGCCACTCCAGATGAGAAAGCCGCAGCACGCATCTCGCCCCCCTTCTCTCAACCAAGCGCAGCCCGCTTCAATTTGCGACGCCACCCAGCTGCCCCGAGCGATCCACTCTAACCCAGCACACCTCCAGCCCGCTCTCCCCTCCGTCACTCATTCAAGCACGCTGCCGAGTCGAGACACACCCACGCCGCCACAATCTCGCGCCCCCGCTCTCTCAAGGCGGTCAGGCGGTTTCTGCAAGCCCCTAACCCAGGCGCAGCCTCATTCCTTCACCCTCGAGGCAGCGCGACCTGCGGCCCGGCAGCCCCCGCCCAAGGCTAAGACGTGCTCAGCTTCCGCCGCGCCCGCTTCATGTAATCGCAAGGAGGTCGGGCGGCAAGGGAGCACGCAAGCCCCAAGGCAACCCTGCGCGGCTTCGTTCTCATTCTGGGACAGCCCAGCAAGAGTCTCAGCCACTCCCGACCCAGCCAGCCCTGGCATGTTTCTTTGCAGCCACATGAACCCTGGCCCCACCTACTTGCCCCAAACTCACAAGGCACGCCTCGCGCTGACTCATCACAAGACGCGGCGCACAGCACTCACAAGACACAAGACAACCCGCACGCACCCGCAAGACGCAGCCCGCGCTCACAGTCACAAGGCACGAAGCAAACCCAAAAGACGCGAATCACACCCACAAGACGCGGCTCACACTCACACGACGCGACTCCCAACCACACAGCGCGACCACCTCTCTCACACTCCCAAGACGCGGCCCGTACTCAGAAGACGCGGCTCAGCTCACACTCAGAAGGCGCGGCTGGTACTCACGCGACACGACTCACACCCGCCAAGCGGGACCCCCTCACACTCACAAACCCATCCCACGCATTCGCGAGACGCGAGGGAGACGCACTCGCAGGAATCGACTCGCCCACGCTCCCACGACGTGGCTCGCATTCACACAACGCGGCTCACACTCGCAAGCTGCGGCCAGCTCGCATTTCTTCACAAGAGAAGACGCGGCCCACACTCAAAAGAGCAAGACCCGGCGCACACTCAGTCTCACGCGACGCGACTCACGTTCGAGAGAGTTTGGCTCGCTCTCCTTGGCGTGCCATCCGTGAGAGAGCACGACTCACGCACAGCTCGCAAGACGCGACGCGCAGCCACTCGCCTGACAGGACTCACACTCACAGGACGCGTCTCGCAGACTGCTCGCAAGACGCGGCCCACACTCGCAAGACGCGAACCGCACGCGCGAGAGGCGGCCCACACTCACAAGGAAGACGCAACGAACCCACACTCGCAAGACGCGGCTCACACTCACACGACGCGAGCGCCGCTCGCACTCACTAGATGCGGCGCATACTCACACGAAGCGACGGACTCACACCAACAAGACGCGGCGCCCGCGCACTCAAGAGACGCGGCACACACTCGCAAGACGTGGCCAATACTCACACGACACGGCTCACACTAGCCGGGCATGGCCCCTCGCTCACACTCACGAGACGCGGCCCACACTCACAAGACACGGCTCGCATTCACAAGAATAGGCGCAACGCGCTGCGCACTCACAAGACGCGACCCGAACTCACAAAACACAACCGCCCACACGCGCAGGGTGCGGCTCGCACTCCTCGCAAGCCAAGACGCACGCGCCCCACACTCGCAAAGGAGACAGGCCACAGACTCACACTGACAAGACGCGACCCCCCCACACTCGCAAGGCGCGACCCCCTCACACTCGCAAACTACCGCGGCGCGCGCTCACAAGTAGAGGCGGCCTATCCTCACAACCACAAGCAGACACGGCCCACGCTCAAAAGTAGACGCGGCCCACGCTCACAAGTGGACGCGCCTCACGCTCACAAGTGGACGCGGCTCGCTCACACTCGCAAGACGCGGCTCTCTCACACTCACGAAATGTGACTCACACACACACTTGCAAGATGCAGCCCAGACGCACATGACACGGCTCACACTCACAAGAGAAAACCAACGCGGCTCGCACTCGCAAAGGAAGAACCTGCCCGCACTCCCTCGCAAGACCGACGCGGCCCACGCTGACGCGCGCGGCGCGGCTCACACTCGCAGCACGCGGCCCACACTCGCAGCACGCGGCCCACACTCGCAGCACGCGACCTGCACGACACGACCCACGCGACGCGACTCACGCGACGCGACCCACACGACGCGACCCACACGACGCGACCCACACGACGCGACTCACACGACGCGGCTCGCACTCACAAGAGAAGGCAAGGCGCGGCCCACACTCGCAAGACGCGAACCACACTCGCAAGACGCGGCTCACACTCGCAAGGCGTGACTCGCTCACACTCGCAAGACGCAACGCGCAACCGCAAAGCAAGACGCGGCCCGCACTCACAAGACGCGACTCACAAGACGCAACGAACGCACAATCGCGGAACGCAACTCGCACTCGCAAGACGCGGCGCGCACGACTCGCAAGGCACGACCCACACTCACAAGAACAGAAGTGGCCCGCGCTCGCAAAACGCGACCCACAAGACCCACCCGCCCAGCTGGCACTCGCGAGACGCGACCCGCAAGACGCGGCTCGCACTCACAAGACGCGGCTCGCACTCGCAGGACGCGGCTCGCACTCGCACGACGCGGCTCGCACTCGCAAGGCGCAACTCGCACTCGCAAGACGAAACTCACACTCGCAAGACGAGACTCGCACTCGCAAGACGCGGCTCGCACTCGCAAGACGCGGCTCGCGCTCGCAAGACGCGGCTCGCACTCGCAAGACGCGGCTCGCACTCGCAAGACACGACCCGCACTCGCACTCGCACTCGCACTCGCACTCGCACTCGCGCTCGCAAGACGCACGCGACGCGCACTCGCAGGACGTGACTCACTCGCACCCGCAAGACGCGGCGCGCACTCACACGACGCGAATCACACCCACACGACGTGACTCACACCCACAAGACGCGGCTCCCTCACCCTCGCTAGACGCGGCCCACGCTCACAGGTGGACGAGGCTCGCACTCGCAAGGCGCGAACATCACTCGCACGACACGCACCACACCCACAAGGCGCCCGCGGCTCGCAATCGCAGGACGCGACTCACACTCGCAAGACGCGGCTCCGTCACACTCGCGGGACGCGACTCACATTCGCAAGACGCCGCTCTTATTCACAAGACGCGGCCCGCACTCGCAGGACGCGACTCGCGCCCGCACTCGCAGAGCGCGGCTCGCACCCACTCGCACGACGCGGATCACACTCGCACGACAAGGCTCGCACTCGCAAGACGCGGCCCGCGCTCGCACGACGCGGCTCGCACTCGCGAGACACGGCTCGCACTCGCAAGACGCGGCGCGACGCGACGCGACGCGACGCGAAGCGAAGCGACTCACACTCGCAAGACACGGCCCGCACTCGCAGCACGCGGCCCGCATTCGCAGCACGCGGCCCGCATTCACAGCACGCGGCCCACACTCGCAGCACGCGGGCCGCACTCGCAGCACGCGCATCACACTCACAAGATGCGGCTCACACTCACAAGACGCGGCCCGCACTTACAAGACACAACTCGCAGCACATGGCTCGCACTCGCAGCACGCGACCCGCACACGCACCCGCACCCGCAGCACGCGACTCGCACTCACAAGACGCGGCCCACACTCGCAAGACACGCCGCGCACTCGCAGAACGCGGCTCACACGGCGCGGCTCGCACTCACAGAGAGCGGCTCGCACTCACACGACGCCCGCGGGTCACACTCGCAAGACGCACGCGGCTCGCACTCACACGGCACGGCCCGCTCTCGCAGTTGCACCCACAACACGCCGCGGCTCGGCCTTGCACTCGCACGACGCGGCTCGCACTCGCATGACCCGACTCGCAAGACGCGGGCCCGACCGCCTTCGCAAGACGCGGCCCGCACTCGCAAGGCGCGACTCGCACTCGCAAGACGCGGCCCGAACTCGCAAGACGCAGCCACTCATACCCGCAAGACACGGCTCACACTCGCAACCGCACGACGCAGCTCGCACTCACAAGACGCGGCTCGCACTCGCAAGACGCGGCCCGCCCACATTCGCAAGGCGTGACGCGCAAGACGCGGCCCGCGCTCGCACGACGCGGCTCGCACTCGCAAGACGCGGCCCGCACTCGCACGACGCGGCTCGCACTCGCAAGACGCGGCCCACACTCGCAGGACGCGACTCACACCCGCAAGACGCGGCCCACACTCGCAAGACGCGCCTCGCACCCGCAGGACGCGCCTCGCACTCGCAAGAGCAAGGCGCGACTCGCCAAGACAAGGCCGCGCCCTACCTACGGCGCGCACTCGCAAGACGCGGCGCGCACTTGCAAGGCGCGGCCCTCTCTCGCAGGGCGCGGCTCGCTCTTGCAAGACCCGGCCATCTCCTTCCCCTCCTTGGTAACGCGGCAATTCAAACCCCCCTTTTTTTCAAACGCGCCGATTTTCAAACGACCCGATATTTGCGCGTCTTCCGTTTTTTTGTGTTGTGTTTTTTTTTTTGTATGCCTCTCTTATAAGTTGATAGATAAAAAACATAACAAAAAGAAAATCTATATTATTAATCTATATTATTAATCTATATTATTAATCTATATTATTAATCTATATTATTAATCTATATTATTAATCTCCGCCGCCATAAAACTCCCCGCCTAACCCACCGGAGATTAGTCGCCTCCTGCCGCGAAGGTATTGCCCATAGCCTCCTGCCCTTTCCCCTCACTCCTAAGCCCGATAGTCTCCGGCCGTTTTCTTGTTGGAGTTCACCTTTCGGCCCCGTGGCAGACTACCAGAAAAGAAGCCAGAAAAATGCCCGACGGGGGTAGGGGCGCAAGCTGGCGAGAGAAGTCCCAAGAGAAACAGCCGAAGAAAGACCTTCGACCAAAGACACCTGGACCCCAGACCTATGGACCTATGGCGATCTTTGGACCGAAGGCGACCTTCAGACTGAAGGCGATCTTTGGTCCGATCTTTGAACCAAAGGCGATCGTTGGACCTAGCTACCAGAGACGATCTTGGGACCAAAGACGATCGTTGGACCAGCGGCGATCTCTGGACCAAAGGCGACCTTTGGACCAGACGACCCCTGGACCCAAGACGACCTTTGGACCCAAGACGACCTTTGCTATTGCTGGACCCATGGCGACCTTTGGACCAAAGGCAACCTTTGGACCACCGGCGACCTTAACCTTTGGACCACATCCACCGGCGACCTTTGGACCACAGGCGACCTTTGGACCACACCAGACGACCGCTGGACCAAAGTAAGGCGACCTTTGGACCAAAGTAAGGCGACCTTTGGACCAAAGTACGACGACAAGTAGAGCGACCTCTGGACCAAAGTAAGGCGACCTCTGGACCAAAGTAAGGCGACCTCTGGACCAAAGTAGGCGACCTCTGGACCAAAGTAAGGCGACCTCTGGACCAAAGTGAGGCGACATTTGGACCAAAATAAGGCGACCTTTGGACCAAAGTAAGACGATCTTTGGACCGAAGGCGATCCTTGGACCAGAGACGACCTGTGGACCAAAGGCGACCTGTGGACCAAAGACGATCTTTGGACCAGAGGCGTTTTTTGGACCAGACACGACCTGTGGACCAAGGGCGACCTTTGGACCAAAGACGACCTTTGGACCACAGACGACCTTTGGACCACGGCAGACCTCTGGACCAAAGCCGACCTTTGGACCAAAGACGACCCTCAGACCAGAGGCAACCGCTGGACCACAGACGACCTGCAGACCACTCCACAGGCGACCTTTTAAGGCGACCTCTGGCCCAAAGTAAGCCGACCGCTGGACCAAAGTAAGGCGACCGCTGGAGCAAAGTAAGGCGACCTTTGGACCAAAGTAAGACGACCGCTGGACCAAAGTGCGACGACCTTTGGACAAAAGGCGACCCTTGGACCAAAGGCGACCGTTGGACCAACGGCGACCTTTGGGCGACCGCTGGACCAAAGACCTCCGACAAGACAAGAGACCCGCGACGGCAGACATCTGACGAACGACCTCTGCCAGAAAAACTGCCGCCCGACCTGTGGCGAGAAGCCCTACCTCGACGAAGATAGCGAAGACCTTTGACGAAGGACGCCAGTCCGACGAACGCGGTCAGTCTGGCGAAAAACGTCAGTCCGACGAAGGGGCAGAATCAATCTCACGAAGGAAAGACATCCGCAGCCCGAAGAAAGGCCCCACGCAGCTTGTTCCGCTTCCGACGCAAGGCAGACGCCTGGCGAAGCAGTGCGCCGGTCTGGCGAGGGGCGTCACCTGGCTGGTCAGTGCATCAGCCTGACGAACCAGCGGCGCCATGCTGAAGCAAGCCATCAACCTGACCAAAGGCGTGAGTCTTGGCCCGGCGAGGAATGTCAGCAAAGCGAGGCGCTTCAGTCTGACGAAAAGCGTCAGCCTGACGAGAGACGTCGCCCGACCCTGACGAAGGGCCTCAGCCTGGCCCACGACGTCCGCCGAAGGGCGCCGGCCTGTCGTCCGACGAAGGCCGCCAGCCTGGCGCAGCGCGTTGGTCTGACGAACGGCATCAGTCTGATGGAAGGCCTCAGTCTCCATCCTGGCGAAAGACGTCAGCCAGTCAAGAGGCTTCAGCCACAACCCGAAGCGCGACGCCCCACGCCCCCGCGAAGTGCGCCCGTCTGTTTCTGACGAGAGACATCTGACGAAACAAAGAAGCCCCGCCAGGTGTAAGCGCGTAGAGAGACCCGAGCAGCGCGGCCCTGCGTTGCTTATGCTTTGTCTTGTTTGGCCCGCTAAAGCCGCCGCCCGTTCTTGCCTGGCGCCACCGCGAGGCGTTTGCGTGCGTTGGGGCTTGCGGATTCTTGTGCGTGTCTGGTGGCCCTCTTCTGGTTTTTTCGTTGGACTGCCGTGGGGGTCTTGCAAATTCTTAAGAATTTGCATGACCCCCCCGGCAATCTCATAAAAAAACCGAAGGCAGCGCAATGCCCTGCACATGAGTCGACGCATCGACCTGAGTCGGCCACCGTCGGCGCTCGGCTCTTGTCGTAGTTAATTCGTAGGGTGCAACAGCTCACCCGCGGGCTGTCTCTACTCTAGCGGCTGTAGCCCGTGGGAGGCTGCAGAAAAGTGCTTAACTAACTTGAAGCCGGGCGAAGCTTGTGGAGGCTAGTTATACTTCCATCAAATTCAAACACCATCATCATAACATATTCCGTTCTCGACACCACACTCCACTTAGGATTTGCTATCAAAACACAGTCTTTCGCATCTGGAGGATATCGACCTGGGTCTAGACCTGGAGGCATATTCTTCACTCGTTTGTCCTGGATTCTGGGATTATAGTTGTTCAGCGTCGCTGTTGGTTCTCGGTGTATGAGCGGATGCTTCTGGTCGACTATCCCTATCTGGTTCGGACCGAGGCCCTGATGCATGTTGAGGTGGAGGGCCATAAATGAGAGAACGAAATGACGATGAAGGAGATTAAATGAGGGAAGGATGAAATCTAGTATAAAAATGCCTGCTACAAAGAACGAGTCGAGTACGAGTAGTATATGGTGTACAGGAGCAAGATCTATTTTTATTAACAAAAGTCACCACTATGAAAGAACAAAACAAACAAGTACCATAGACTTCTCCCCTACTCCTTTTTTTGGCTTGTTGAACCATGTTCTTTCGCCCAGATATTGCGCAAATTCTGGAGCTTTCTTCTTGTAAGTACTCGTCTCTACATAGTATTTTGGCCCTGGACTTCGCGCTGGCGGTTTCGCTTTCTCCAGCTTCGTGGCTATTGACCGACTGTTAGAGGTGGGAAGATAAGAAAGAAAGGCACGGCGTCTACGATATTGCCGCTAATAAAAAAAAATTCAAACGCTTCTCACCACAATACAACGACTCCCAATTTGTAAAAACAATATGTGTTCAGTAGTAAAAGTATTAGTCAGCAGCATACTCATGGGCGCACTAGAGTTCCAGCCATAAATATTGGTGCATTATGCAGCGTCAACTTTTCTCCCTTCTCGATATCGGCGAGAGATGATTGTCGTGGTGGATTCGGCGCCACTATCCATTTCATGGAATAGCGATCCGGATCGTTCTCGGGAGAAGGCATTTTTACTTGGGTGGTCGTGGTTCTTTATTGGGCGTAGCTTTACTTATTGCTAAAAGTCATGTTCCTTTTGCAGTGGTGCTTTTCGAGGTCTACAAAATTCTAACCGGTGTCTTGTTGAAGGAAGACGTTGATGAGGTGACTTTGTGCCCACCATCAATTTTTATCCGTGGCTTCTTTTCTGAATACGAAAACCGATAACAACAGGTAGAGCTGAATTACGATGCCCCTCCCTACTAGGGCCATTTCAGCAATAACGAACCGGCGAACGGACATCGCCTCTATGCTTTGATTCTCTTTTCTCTTCTTGTTCATGTTCGCATATGCGAGGACCACATGTTGTTTTACGATACGACCGACGTTTCTCCGGATAATTAAACATGAGAGAAAAAGATGGATAATATTAGTCGACAAGCTTCACGAGAAAGGACTATCTACCTAAAATTTGACTTTAACTCAATGTCATACTTCTGCTTCTAAGCAAGAGAACTAAGAAGGTAAAAACAAGAAACAATACTACTGCTACAAGAGTAAATAGATAGCAGCTACATACAAGGAATAGTGCAGGTGCCAAGAATGCCATCGATTTGTTCATCTACATTTATTAATGTTGATTTCGCAAGCAAGTATAGTTTCATACTCATACTTTTCACTGTCCAGCTCTACCCAGAGGCCCTATTTTCACAGTTCTGTAAGAACGTATAGTCGACCAGCTGCGTGGTTATTGTACTACTGCAGCTGCTAAAAAAAATCGAAATAGTGCACAACGGTTGCAAAAACTTACAATCTATCATAACTTCGTATTTGTATGCACGTTGTTTCATTATATATGAGTGTCATGTTATCCCGAAATAAAAAAAGTCATCAAATTTGTACTGTCAATAATTTTCATATTCTAGACTATAAATATCGTCAAAGTGTTGCTCTCTGGAGCAACACTTTGACGATTGGTGCTAATTGGTTGCCCCCCTCTAGTATGGTGCATACAACTACGCAGTGAGTTACTTTTTCATGATTTATTTAAGCATTTATCATGACAATAGAGATCTTCACAGCATATTGATAGCTGCTGTTGTTAGTTTTAACCAAGATAAGAAAACACTTAATTCGCTGAATATGATTCAGTGCGAGTCTTTCAACAAACTTTTCACCACCTTGACGTCTCTGAATCGGACGTCACTGACTAAGGCTGGTCTCCAGATGGTAGAGGGAGCTTTTCGTGCAGATCTCGAATTTCGTTAGCGATGCGCGTCTATCCAAAATCGTTCCCTACTAATCCACTTATACCCTCACCATCTTCATCCCTGCTCCGCTCGGGGCATAGAGCAGTAGATGGGGCAACTTTGTGGGCCTTTTCGCGTCCAGCACTATTTCTATTTCCATGAAATCTGAGCGCAAGTCCATTTTGTCGAGATAGAGTGGTCGACACTTTTCTACCCACAATTGAGAGGGCTTGTCGGCAGATGGTATATGCACGATCTTCCGCTTTTTGAGAACCAACTCTGGCGCACTAGAGGAAGCGTCAGCAGTAGAAGAAGAAGAAGAAGAAGGCGCTTGTTGCCGGCAAGACCAAAAAGACCACCCAACATCATCTTGTTGCTTGTTATTGTTTATTCTGGTAGGTACTTAGAAAACTTTAAAGAAGTTGTAGTTGCTCAGAATCATTCTTATATAATATTTTTTCAATGGGAGGGCTGACTATATGGAGACTCACTATGGTAAAAGAGAAGATGGTGGGGGTTGCGTACGGAGCAAGTGAAGATCTTGTTTTAGACAAGTACTTCCGGAGAGATAGTTCAAAGTGTTGTAATATCGGTATCATCAAATAAGGGCTATCAAGAGTTGTTTATCTTTGTGGTGCCTTCTTTTTTCCTACTACTAGTACTTGTCGGACAGGAGCTTTCTGGCTCGGTACTCGACCTCCGCAATGTCAATGAGTTGTCTACATAAAATAGAATCATGGTCAGAATTATCATGAGTCAACTCCTTGGCTGATTTAGACAAAATCTCAGTAGATGTTGAACACAGATCCAATTTGTACAAGCCTTTTTTATGATGTGCAGCAAGGCCGACAGGCTGATAGTAGATACATCAAAAGCCTCGTGACAATCAGAAAGCGAGTTATCAAAAGAAGAACTACAACGAAACATTGACATTCAAATGCCTTATGAGTGCGTCACCACATCACACAGTCGCGGTTGCCGTTATATATTTGTTCAGCTGCGGCCCCACAGTCTCGCAGTAACGAGGCAACCGTTTGCGAGCTGACATGTTGCTGAAAGTTTGCTATCAGTGCGTCACAAATCCGTTGTTCCTCCGGAGAGCAGGCATCAACTGTAAGCTGCCGGGGATCCGGAGCCCGAAAGGAAATGGCGCACGCCGAGTGCTCCCCTGGCGGTGCGTAGCCATCAAACGGTACACTTCCGAAAACGTCATTTTCAGGTAATATACCGTAAAGCTTCTCAAGACTACAACTCAAACTTCTACTTGTCGTACTGCTCCTACCTGTTGTACTTCGTCCCTGCTCTACACCCTTGCCCTTCTCCTCCTCGTCAATAAAGTAGTGCTTCACGTAGCCGGTTTTTTTCATTTCGCCGCCGGCGCGGACTCGGTTCACCAGTAGACCGAGTACAGGAACGCGCTCTTTCTCGAAGAATGCTTTCGCTTGTGCGTACGAATCGATACAGTCTCCGAGGCCCGCTTTTCCTACTACAAGTACCGGTGCACGACATAGTAAGGCAACTTTGGCATTCGAGACTCCACAGAGAGAGCCGACACCTGGATATCCGACACCGTCGATCACAAGGAGTTTAACCGTAGTACTCCGCTGCTTTGCTCCTTCTCCACATGCACCCGCAGCACGATAAGGACTGTCGTGTCCGTTGTATCTGTGAACCTTCTCCTCGTTTCCTTCGCCAACTTCATCCTCGTGTGCTGCCTTCGCTCTCTTTATGATGCTGTCTTTCCCGGTCCCGGTGGCATGATCTTCGGGATCGGTTGGTCTTGTATCTCCGCGTTCAGAATGAGACAACAATTCGTCAACAGCTTGTTCGACCATGCTTTGCAGCTTTTGCGCGTATTGCTTGGGATCGCTGCCGTATGTAGCGGCCGGAAGTTCGCCGGTGAGGAAGTGTTGTGTGAAGCCTCGAAAGAATACCACAGGACCCACATGGCGACACCGGATCCCAACACTTTTGCACCATTTCGCCACTAGAGTTTGTTGTATTCCTTGCGTGCACGGCTTGATGTACGCGAGCTCGTCTGCCCGGTAACGACCCTCGCGAAGTAACGACCCGAGAAGCCCCAACGCGACCGTACTCTTTCCGGCACCCGATCCAGACGCACCGGCAATGAAGAGCCTAAGAGGCCTCCGACTGTCCAGCTCAGAAGTAGGCCTGGAACCAGGACTACTCGATCGCCTTTTATTTGCCCCAACTGCGCCGCTGGTTGAAGTAGCTGCAGAAGTCGCCATCTTTCCTTTCTAGTCTATGAGTGTCGACGTGGTCCTCACGATTTTAAGGAATTATCAAGAATATTTTTTCTTGTTATACGTCAACGTCTCCAATTTTTCAACCGTACAACAGGCGGAGAATCATGCTAGATGCATAACTGTGTAAAAATTTTACGTTTTCGCACATCCATCAACTTGAGAAATCAAAGTTTTCTAAAAAGAGCTGCAGCCAGGATCCGGCTCTTCTCAAAATTTCTTTGTTATTATCAAATTGTGGTGGAGCCGACCTAACTAGAAAAAAGAAAGACCAGAGGAAGATAGAAAAGAGAAAAGGGTAATTATCTTTATCATCAAGTATCCTCCTATGTATCTGCTAAAACTAATCAAGCGCCGGCGCTATCGTCAACAGCAAGAAATAGATGAAGTAGTAGTTGCACCATCATCTAGTACCTTTTATATAGCATTCTCTCGGGGTTTGCAGAAAAAATGGCAACAAGCCATGATTGGCATTGGGTCGAATCGTGCAGAAAAACCTGGGTTTATGGTGCGCTATGACCTAAGTTCAGCATGCACCACGGCGAGGCGCACCTATTTTCGTATTATCAACTGGTTGCGTTGACGTTGCATGAAACACAGGCCTCTTTGGCATGACAGATCAAAGATATTCACCTCGTCAGAGCAAAAATGCCAAGTCGATGACCACCGCATGCGAGAAGCAGGCAACAGCAACGAGATCGGATGGCTCCGAATCAGCCTGGTCAATACCACAACGTCATCAAGGTAGAGATCAAACATAGATCTCGACATTTTTCAAGCTCAAAAACCACCTTGGAAATGTAGCGACCATGCAAGAAAGAGGAAAGAAAAGAACGCCATCAATCAAGCTACAGCTTTTCGTTTTCAGTCGGGACTACTCTTGTTCAACATATATTTTGATACATGCAAATCATTATGATTCGTCGAAAATACATGCTTTGCTGGTATGATGAAGTAAGAACCTGAAGCTGGACTCTACTAACTTGCTGCAACGCAACGCATTGTGATAAAAATCTTTGATCGTGACTCCAGCCCCAACCTAAGTACACTAAAAATGACAGGACGGCAGTCTCGGTTAAACCCATTGCTATTGCAAAATAAAGTGATACGAAGAACCATCTAAGTAAATCTCAGTGAGCCTGACGCTGACCGTCAACATCATATTAATAATATCGGGTCTGACCGTCACAAACATGAGTAATCCTTCTTCATTCGATTGAAAATCAAAATTGAGATAGAACAGAATCATGATATGACGACATTTCCGAGTCCCTCTCTCCCATAAAGATCCTGGAAAATTGCGATGATGAATTATTGATGTTGTTGCAATTACTTATTTTTATCCAAGGTGATTGAACCGACAAACAAAAATATTCATCATTTCGTACTTTTTTGACGTTTATCAATTCGAGCATATCCAGAGCATGAAGAGATCATCAAGAATGTATGTATGTATCGTTAGTAGTTGCCAAAAACCCCTAATCTTGACCTTATTCAGCAAGTTGACCAGGAGAGACCACAACTAGCTCACACGCATCTCTCATCTCTCAGGAAACGAATCGCAAGAGGACGAGGACGCCAACGGCGCAGCACAAGAAAGGCAAAGCAAGTGAACATATTAAGGCTTTAATCAAGAATAAAAAAATAAGTAAGGAGGTACAGGTAATATCTTCACAAGCTGCTTAAAAAGTACATATTCAGTTCACCCGCGACCACTGCTTCAGCATGCAAAGACAACGGCGTTGCAAGATAAATCTTCCACCACCACGTCCAAGAAAAAATCTCTTTCTCTCTTGAGATTCTGTCGGAAACAGCTCGAAGTGACCAAAGTGTAAGGTCTTGAAGGTGTTCCACTTCCCGACTTGGCGGCTTGAAGTGAATCAATCGGTGCACTTGAACACAACAAGGAAGAGCCAAAGAGCTCAAAGGTCAATCAACCTTGCTTATCATCTTGATGGTCCTGGATCCTTTAGGTAGGAGTAGTTTAACGTGAGTGCAGTTCGTGAGAGAGCATCAGCGTGACTGTGCTCGATTGAGTTGGATTCTAGTGGTGTTCAAACAAGAACTTCCTCCTTCGTTGTGGTTTGCCGTTCCTTGCTTGTCTTCCTCCGGCGGTACGACTTGGGCAAGAACTTCTACTGACCTTTCTACGGTTTGGCGAACCTTTTGGGCAGTTAGCAACCTACAGGAGAGCAACAACATCCAACAGATTCACGAACTTATCATTGATACGCCAAGGTTGTACGCATACTCCTCCCCAGAGCTCCAGATCGCGTCGGTGAGCGCCAACGCCCGAATGACTTGTTTTAAATCAGGCTGGGGTAATGAAGGCGACAGCGGTGTAGACGGAGGCGGAGGGGAGGGTTGAGACAGCTTCTTCTGCTGCGACCGCGAAGGTCCTCGATCGATCTACTTACTTCTGCCGATGGCGTTGATGTGTCGGCTTTCGATACGAGGAGTGTGCTGGGAGCACGAGGACTGATGCTGATCTTGCTCTACTTTCTCTTGTTGTTGTTAATCATTCTTCTACCAGACAAGAGTTTTTTTGTCCTGTGATATGATTCATCTCATTGCTCAATAATGCGTTCCCACTTCTACCGCTAGCAATCTAATGCCGAAGACAACTGACTTCCCTTGTCCGTTGTTATTTTGTCGGTATCGACTGTGCGTGTGCTTGAGCTTGTGGTAGGAGAAGAGGAAGCAGAGACCGATCCACTTCTGCCGTCGTTTTGGTACAAACACGCTATGCGTGATCGCACTCGTCGCTTCTCTAATTGATTCACGTCGTACTTCTTCTGCTTCACCCATCGATTTCTCCGAAGAATAATGTAGTTAGACAACGTCTTCGTATTCGTTACAATTAATATTACATCAGTTACTTCAACACAGGTAGATTCAAAATCAGATACGACAAATACAACAGAAACAGATGTAGCTAAGGAAATAGAATTATACATAGAAAGGGATTATACATTTACATACTTATTCAAATGTCACTTCTCACTTTCAGCGCTTTGCCTCGATGCCTCTTCTTGAGGTCGTGCACGAGTGGATTGATTAGCTTGCCCATCAACAAGAGGTGTTGAATGCGGTTGTGTACTCTCTACTGAGGGGTGAATGAGATACCACCTTTGTAGCGTGGGAAGCGAGCACACCTTTCTAACAGATCTTTGTTTATTTTCGTTTTGCTCCAGCTCCGGAAAATGATGATAAACAAGAACCGAATGATTATGATGTTGATGCATAGACTTTGATAAGTATTTGTATTACCGATAGTTGTGCTACGGCGAAATGTAGATGATGCCTGTGCGTCTGTTCTCTTTTCTCTCGTTGCAATATGGCCTCGACCACGTCCTATGTTGGTATCCGTCAGAAGACGAGAGACACAATCGTAGAGCAAGGTTCTTTTTGTTTTCCCTTCCATGTCTTCCTCCATTGAATCTTGTGCGAAATATTATTTGCTGGAGCACTATCAAAATAGTAATAACCGCGCTGCATTTGCTCCTCTAAATAAAAACAATTAAAAGTAAGTCGCTAAATTGAAATTAAACGGATCCAACACGATTCATATTCATGAGTCATTTTTGGTACGCGCAATTGCTACTGAATGACATAAGTAAGCTCCTGTTCCTGAGTCAAATCTCTAATAAAACACGAAGCATATTTATAATAAATATATTTACAAATATATATGGTTTGTTATAGACAAGAAGAAGCATCAAGTAGATGAGCTTGAACTACAAACAAGAATCATTATCAACGCACATACTGACGAGACTGAAACACGTGACAAAGACAACAACATCAAGACGATAAAAATTAAAAAACCAGCTCAAGGAGCATCTCTTCTTACTTTGAACGGAAAATGCAGGAAGCCGTTACAGAAGATGCATCCATCCCTCTCGTAAAGCCTCTGGAGAAGGACCTCACGACACTGATGCCGCAAATTTCCGAGCTTCTTATGCCAGTCGTGGCGAACGATAAGGCCTAGGGGTCCGGTGAAATATTTCGGATGAGCGAAGTGTACATTCTCCCGGTACCGTGGCATCATGCCCTCGTCGAAGCAGTAGTTGAGACCCTTGTGTCCCTTCTTCAGAAAAATGAAAGAAGAAGAGGATGAAAATCAATAGTTGTTCTAAACCTCAGATAATTAACTAGTCTCTAAAAAAAGCGCATCTCGTGAAGGTGATGGAATTGGACAAGGTAAAGGTGACATCACAAGTAAGAACTCACTACTGCTATTGATTTATTATTAGAATCACGTTCTTTTTTGCATGCTGTTTTTATCTCATTTGTGGAACAAACAAATAGCGTGATGTGGCTAGTGATAGTGTTGCGTTGCCTCATAAGATAGTATGTGAAATTTCGTGGTTCTCCGCCTGGTGTTGCAGGAGGACTGTCAAGCGGAACGTTGTACCAGTCGCGGAGCATCTGTAGGCCTAACTTGTCATTCTTGACTATCCAGAAGCCACCGTTGGCACTCGTTTCGTCGCGTCCGAATTCCTCGTAGTGGTACTCCAGTGAAAAAAGCATCCGCACTGACTTTTCCCTTCCCGGTGAGTTGTTCAGTGCTATACGCTTACCAGGCACAGGGTTGCGGGCAATTGCTTCTTCTAGAAGATCCACTGGCGCTGCAGAAGTTTGCGGTGTATTCAATATATTGTTCGTATCATTCTTTGCTCTACCAGAATCTTGCCACTCTGACCAAGACGATGGCACCACGTTACGAAAATTACTGTGTGGTCCCGGTTCCTGTAAAAAGCGGTCGCGCTGTGTTGCTTCCCAGGGATTGTCACGATGCAGGGGTTGCGGTTCCAAATTTGCGTCATACTCTAAGTGCTTCATCCCAGCTTGTGCATAAAGCTTCTCTGTAGGCCAAAATCGCTCATCTAGACGAACTTGATCTTGATGATCCTCATCCCCAATGGCAGCCTTGTCCGACTGATCATGTGATGCATTGTCGAAATAATGGGCAATAATATCCTCCAGCTTCTCGCTACTGCGAAAGTAGGCGTCCGTGTCGATGCTAACTCCGTAGGCGCATTTTTCGGGACCATACTCCCGCAACAGATTCTCTATGATCTTCACCTTGGCCCAGCCGACTTTACGGCCCGGGTAGTGCCGCTCTTCGTCGGGGACCACGAACTCTAGCCGGTAGCCATGCTGCTCTGCGTACATCGCATTTACTGCATAGGTGACAGAAATATAGCTCGCGTCCTCAACCACATCTAAAGTGTGCATGCGCTTTGGAGGCCGATTGTCAACCATAAAGATGCAGATAGGCGACGTTTTCAAGGACGAGGGGAGCGCAGGAGCCTGCATCGGAGAGGTTGGCCTCGACGTCCCTGACGTTACCAGGCTTTGCTCAAGCAGCAAAGGCACAGATGTTTTACCTTGCTGCGTTGCGACGTGTTTGTAACCAGTGTAGGCCTCGCGAATTTTTACCGCACCTGCCTGTTGCGGCTCAACCTGGCCTAAATACTGGGTCGGACTGCGCCGCCACACCAGACGCGTCTGTCGTATCTCTTTGACGAGGTCGTTGACAAGCGGCCTAATCAGGTTCAGGTTCTCAATTGCTTCCAAAACTAGTGCGTTATCACGTTCAGGAGCAACAGGAGGAGAAAGGTTTAAAATTTCCGTTGCGATAAAGTCCTGCCTAAGTTCAGCATACTGCGAAAGCGACAATGTGTTTCCTAGTGGAGATGAGAAGCTTTGCATTCCATCTAGGCTTGTTTGGACTTCCTCCACGATGCTGATAAGGCCTACTTTGAGCACACCTTTGACGCCATCAATTTCAGCTGGTAGCGGCTTCGGAAAGAGTCGCCGGCGTTGCTCTTGTCTAATCGGTTTGTATACGCGTCTGCAATCACATGTATATCTCGCTGGCGTGAGAAACTTTGCGTGGACTTTGTGGAACAAGCTATCACCCCGAGTCAGTGCATCAGCAATAGCCTTGGACAAAACTCTAACAGCACTCTGAACGACCTCCTGAGATCCACTATCTTCTTGAAGCTTCAACACCGAAGCACCACCAGAAGACTTGCTAGTAACAGCATCTCTAACTCCCTTCCGCAATTGAGACTCGGTGGGTCCGTTGAATGCACTGAGCTGAGACTTTTCTACGCCTCCTGCGGGACAATACACGAGCTGACATTCTTCCGGCAATACTGATGGATCGTAGTCGTCGACGACGTGCGCGACACGCATCTCGAGTCTTCCGGATTCGTCCTGTAGCGCGTCTGCTTGAAGCACTTCTACCTTCTTCTGTCGCCTATGAAACTCGTATGCAAGATGTTCGATCAGCAAAAAGATTGGATATCGGAAGAAAATCGTATTCGACATCGTGAATTGATACAGCTCCTGATACAACACCAAGTAGCTTTGCCCTACGCGCAGCCAGAAAAACATGACTTCCTCTGACTTCCCTTCGTCGACGAAGAGGAAGTAGGCCACAGCTAGTGATAAAAAGCTTGCTGCAAGAGGACACTTTAGATCGTGTGTTGCGGTGGAGCGCAGGCCCTCACGATGCAGCTTTCCGCTTTCGACCGGAGACGCCGCGGAGCACTTGCTTCCCTCTGCGGCATCGTCTTCGCATGAGAACCCCCACAATCCCAGAAATTCTAGCACCGCAACACCGCCAAAACGTCGAGTAAGCCTTTGATGTAAAGTAGAACCGCCATGAAAGAACGGTTCCTGCTTGTCAGAATCATAATTAGCAGAAGATGTCCCATCAGTTGAAGCTGAATCCCGTGGCTCTCGTGTGACGAGCACGCGCTTGAACGAACTGAGAAGAAGTTGCTTCCCATATTTCAGCAGAGCCTCAGATCGACGCATGGATGCCCACGCTGTTGTTGCTAAGCGAGTACGTTCGAGCGAATCACTATTCACATTTGCCAGTTCATCGCGAATGTTAGGCTTAGCCACCCCATGAAACCAGATGTCATTGAAGTCTGGCGGACCCTGTTCGACATCTATGGCGTCTAATGTAGCTAGTTGTTCATCCGTGAGCTGCATCATATCCTCAAGGATCTGGTCACGATCGCCGGGACTCAGCGCATAGAGAAAATCGACGTAACTGTCAACTGAATTGTTTGCGTGGGCTGGCAGTAAGTGACGCGATTTTCTCTTTCTTCGGTCGTCGAGATCACGACTCTGATACTTGCGATTTACCATCGTCGCCAGTGGCCCATCGGCTCGTGTAAACAGGGATACTAGTAATCCCTGCAAAACCCTCTCGAGGTCTACGCCATAGAAAAAACGACACGGAGCTTCCTCTTCCGTCTCGAGTATTCGTTCAGGCGACGAGGAATCTACCAACATCAACTTTTCCGGTGCATCGTGTGTTAGCCTTAGCTCTTTCCAGATGGATCGCTGTACATTGCCGCCGCTCTCGGTCTTCAACATTACAACTTGCATGTTCGTCAGATACGGATAAATGACTGCTGCCCAACCACTACGAATCTGCGTCTCCCACGTGCTGTCTAGCGTAAGCATATACCAATCGGTCAAGAAGTCCCCATGCTCCGAACGGTAAATTAGAATCAAAACTTCCACAACATTCGCTCACCCCCCGTACCGCTTGTTGTATTCTCTGGTGATATTTCTTAATGTGTGAGTATTATTTCGAATAAATCATGTTGGCAGAACTACAAGATCACTTTAACGGTAAAACCCTACAGCTTTGCACAAAGAAACTATGAGCATGAGTATTTAGCGACACGAGAGACAGGAGATAATTAGAGTTTGCGACGCTGAGCCTTAAATCAAACAACTTCGTCATCAAGTTGATCGGCGGTATCACAGCTAGCATCCAAAGTTTCGCAGCTACGAATCCGAGAGGACAATCGGTCACCTGCGTCATTCTGAATGAAGATGAGCCAGCATGATCGAATCTTTATCAATTCTAGTTCTACTGGAGGTACTGAGTCTTTCCTGGTATAATTTTTGTATGAATCCAGTAAGCTGAATTTGCCGTAAGTTTCTATCCGACCCGAAGTTGTTTGCCATCGCAGTAATCTTCCCTAGCGTTCGAAACAAGCGACTTTCTGGGTCTACGGGATAACTCGCCCAAAACAACACTCGCTTTGCTTGTCTCCAGTCCACAAGGAGGTCGGTCGAAAACATACAGCTCATGGCGTCAACAGCGTCAAAGTCACCTTTCCAACGCCACTGCCTAGCGCGATAACGCAAGCTATATTCTGGATGGTGTAGTGCCACTTCATCATGATTTTTGTGTCCACCCAGTAGTTCCACTTGTTCTGCTTTGGTTGTATCTCTGTCATCTCCAGAAGCAGAAGTTGTTAATGTTGAGGTCTCGGCTACAGGCCTACCAATCTTTATCTTACCACCATCAAGCGGAAAAAGGTTGTATGCCGGATTGACATTGCCGCTTTGATCGCTTGGTTCTTCTTCTAAGTGGAAGTACACGTCTGGATCGAAGGACATGCCTTCCCCAAACTGGTCCTTGATGAGGACATTTGACAGCACCAAATCTGGGTCCTTCTCTTCACCAACGTACTGTGGCCCGGGACCCGTATGCTTCAACTCCGATACATCCAACTTTACCTGCTGTGCCGCTACCCCGAGCAAACCAATGATCACTGCTGATGTCCTGGATCGTCGTGAATAAAAGGGAAACACGACGAACGTGTTGGTATTGCTGTCATAAGGGTAGTTGTTAACAAGATGGAGACCACTCGGAACATGAAATAGCCATCTTCGCAGAAGCTGCGACGTTGCTATCGCTTTGCCAATGACAAAAACGTACAACGAAAGTTGCAATCCTCTCAAATAGGCAAGACAGGACGCGGGCGAGTCACCACGTGAGGCAACGCTGATGCCATCTTTCTTGTCCCGCCAGCTCTGCCGCCTCGTGCTCGCAAGCGATGGCCGCATGATCGCGGAGAAGGGCGATCCTTATCCTACTACATACATTATCAATATCATGATGTTGCCTCTACTAACACATCATTTCCCATTCCCGCAGCAGGTCAACCTTCTACTTCTGGTTAAGTTAGGTTATGGATCCTTCAATTCTACTCGACGACAACGCTATAATGTAGCATTCGGTAATCTGCTTCCTTCGAGGCAGCTTGATGTCAAGGAAAAGGATGGCATAGAGCAAATCACACTACTTAATGGCACCTATCCCACGCACAACCACAAGCACTAGCCTAAGAACTGGCCGAATCTGTCTTCCTCGACCTGTCTGTTGGAACTCTACAACATTTCTGTTTCCTCCTCCGGGTGTAAACAACAGAACCTTATGAAGTATATTCATTGGAACAACAAGTACAAGAGACGGAAGTTGTAAGCGTCCAAAGAGGACTCTTGTGGAGGTAGAACCGGCAGGCACGACAAAAAAGCTTCTGCTCGTTACTCCATTATCTTATGTTTGTGGCTGTACCTTCTACGACCTAGGATAGGTCAATTGAATAGGAGGGATTCCGGACTCTATCGACGAATAGAGATGTTGACACATATCTGCTTGTGCCTTCGTTGCTTTGCTTCTTGGTCGCTTCACGCTGTCGTGGTCATGTCATCATTATATATCATCAACCTAAGATGGCAGACCTGCTACTTCTTATGGTTTTTATGATGTTCTTGACTAAAAATGACTGGTGAAGTTTCTGGTTCTGAGTCTGGTGCGTTTTACAGATAACAAAAAATAGATTTAGATACAAAAGACTACAATTATGATGTCAATTTATGGAGAGTCACATTATCATGAATTAATGCCAGCCACCTTCCCTCATATCAACAAAATTAAAAACTATATTACGAGACGAAATCAATCGCTTTTGTTCTCATTGTTCCCCTTGGTAAGATGTTATTCTTCCGACTTACATTTTCTACGCCCAACAGTAACTAGTACTCGCAATAGAAGCACGCTACAAATACTAGTTCTCGTAGATATTAGAAATTCAAGTCTTATTTTAGGTTTACGTAGCCATAGTCTCAGTAACACGACAAGGAGAAAAACTGCACGTCGTAACAACAGTGGTTGTTCCCACTGTACTCATATCCTCGCTACAACTGAAGCTTGTTTACCCTGCTACTAGTAAAATTCAAACCCTTGAATGTAACACGACATCCACATGCTCAGCAATATCAATCAGAATCATTTATGCTCATACTCCCTAAGTACACAAAAACACATCTCGGACACCAGAAAAAGATGAAAGTGAAAAAATTATATTTTCAAGATCTGAAAATGAAAATTGTTCTCTTTTTCAGTACTTCTAGATGATCACCTCACAATCATGGTCTCGCACATCCGCGGTGCATCCACGATCCAGGGCCAACGCCGTGCTATCCCTACTACCGGAGCGTGCAGCCTGCCACTGTTTGCTTTTCGGGCATGTCTTACAAGCGGCACGCGGAGCACACTCGAAGCAGACGTCCCAACCTACAGTCAGAGACATATTCAGTAAGTGCGGAGTCAACTGCCGAGGATGGCTTGACCTTGAGTACGTAGATCTTCATACTTATATATGACGCAGGGCCGGCTGTCCTCCCCTTGGGCCTCTCAGCGTGTTCCTACGGGACCTCCTGGCGTCTCCGGACCCTCGCCGGCGGGAGGTCTCCGGGGTAAAAGGCCGCCGAAAGCGGCCACGGCCGCAAGAGCAAGCAAGCCGATGACCAAGGGCCCGGAGGGTACAGGCTGCACAGCTCAGAGGGTCCAGCCCCTCGCCTCTTGAGGCCTTCCACCTACGTCGGAGGCCTCTAGGGGACAGCCAAGCAGCTGGAAGGAAGCGGAGGCGGCCCCTTGGCCCCCTCTTGAGGCCTTCCACCTACGTCGGAGGCCTCTAGGGGACAGCCAAGCACCTGGAAAGGGAGCAGACGCGGCCGCTTGAGGCCTTCCACCTGCGTCGGAGGCCTCTGTCTAGGGGACAGCCAAGCACCTGGAAGAGAGTGAAGGAGGGAGGCCACTTGGCCCCCTTTTGAGGCCTTCCACCCGCCCCGGCAGACGCCTTGAAAAGGGGCCCAGGGCGCACGGTACCCCCCCCCGCTGCCGCTAGGGGGCCGTCGCCCCGCGCCCTGGAACATATATAAATATCCATCAAGCCCTGTGATCATAATCAACATCCTAACATGAACACCAGTCAGAATTGACGATGAAGATCTGGTATTCTTGTTCACAACAATGAATCCTCCTGTGAAATAGTGAAGTAGGTCTACCTCTACTGAATTTTAGCGAGTTGTACCTACAGGTTCTGCAAAACCAAGGCCAAGATTCCAGCTCAGACGGGCCAGCCCCTGGGATAAAAACGCAGACTGCTGACAATTAAAGCAGTGGTAAAACGCGACTGGATACGTATTCTGCGATGCAGCTTTCTTCCGATGTCGGGGAACTTCTGTCTCCTGCAGAACAAGTCATTATTTTAGAAAATGAAAAACATCAAATATAAGAAGATAACTCTTGCCTCACATCATTGGACTAACTACAAGACGACTATGAGTTTACCCAATCCCAATGATGAAGAAGATCTTTTCGCTGTTACCAGAGCCAAGGATGTTAGAAGAGTTAAGACAACGACAAGAGCTATTCTAGATACTTCAACATCTCCCTCGCCATCAGGTCCCGGTCGCAGCTTGAGTGGCCCCTTTCCCTTAGCCGCCGGGTGCTCGTCACAATAACAGCTCATAGTTTGGTACGGGGAGTCTGCTTGAAAAGTTAGAGGGAAAGATGAACGTGCTGTAATGTTTCCTTGTTGTTCACGATATTCTAAAAGCCTCTCCATCAAATTGTTCATCAATTTCAGTTCATCCAGAGGACTGTTGTTTGTACTAAAAATCACTGTTGTTTGTACTAAAAATTTATCGAGTTATTTTTATCAAGAAGAATTATAATAGGCTGGTGTGACCTTAAACAGTAGAGTGAGAGGTGCTCGTTGCAGCGGGGGCACTTGATTTTCAGTTTCCCACTCATAGGCTCCACAGGCATCGTCTCTCCAGCCGGCTTTAGAGCTGTGCAAAAGTGTTGATCCTTCATGTGGCGTGTAACATACCTAAGAAATATATTACCCCCCCTCAGCAATCTGAATCATGCCCCTCACACTGAAACAGTGTGATTTCAGGGTAGTCTCATATGATACTAGATAAGAGGATGTAGATCTTCTATCTGAGCAGTTGCACCATAATTTTCGGGAATACCCTTCGCATCGTGGTCATCTAAAAACTAGTTCTATAATCCACTGGGTCGTCTTCTAGATGACTAGAAGTTAAAAATATAATTATCCAGGTTGATCATCTACAGCGTACTAGTAGAAGTTGTTCATCTAGATCTAGAACATGTATGTAAAGGGTGTTGTTAGCCAACCTGTATCATCTTGACCAAGAAGAGGACGTTGAACTCGAGAGGAAAAACAGACAGTACTTCGCTCACTCTCAACTCTCGTCACATCAAGGGAAGGACAAACTCGCAGAGAAGTAAACACTAGAAGTAAAAAAGCGTTGTTAAATCTAGATTAGAAGAAGGATGGTCTTAATGGTAAGTGCAATCCATTGGGACCGTGATTCTGCTTCTCATACTCCTGTCGTTTCCATTCTTGAAACTGCTCAGCTTCATCGGATGTCATGTATGGTGCACCTTTCGACGTCATAACGCCAGGGGTTGAAGATTTCTCAACTGGTGCGCCGGTGGATTTTTTTGATGATTCTGTATCTGTACCGGACGATCCACTAGTACCAGTTGTCCTTGCCGCAGCACTCGTGGTCACGCAGCTGCTGCTGGAAGCTGAACCAGCCCCTTGTTGATAGAAGCTATCGTCGTAGCATGCAGTCCCATTCTCATCGACATCAGCAGATGACTGCTTGATGTTTCCTGCAGCAGCAGCCTCAGTTTCATCCTGCTGGTGCCCCGGATTCGGACCACCATGCTGCAATGATGAAGATGCTCTCTCATCGGCATCGAATCCAAGCAGATCCACCGTGTCACTCTGGGGCACAGTAGTAGACACGTGGGAGACACCGGCCGAAGATACTGTCTGTAACGTCGCGGCTCCAGTCGCTGTGGATGGCGTGGAGGAAGAAGAACATGTTAGAAATAAGATGAAGATTCAAAAAGGCGTTTGGAAAACAGGAGTTGAACAGGACCAGATGAACTTCATTTGTGTTCACGACTACGTGAGCCCGTTTTCAACAGAAGTACTTAGTCTGTTGATCTACATCTCTCGTCCAATAATGTGAATCCAAGTACTTACAGTCCATAAAGGTGGATCCTGTTCTGGCATTCGTGATGCAGCGGTGGCGTCGACAAATGTGGAAGTGGACCCACCAATAGTGTGAGCTCCTCGCTCATCTGCGCCGGGCGGATGAGCGGCGCCTTTGCCAAAATTACGACGCGGAGGAGGATTGCGGTCCGAAGCCTTGAGCAACGGTGTTGTTGAAGACGCTTTTCTGCCACCATAACCGGAAGCGGCTACTCGACCAGACGCAATGCCAACATTGCCTCGAGTACCACCTTCTTCACCCTTATGCGTTGCAGCAGAAACGCTAGTACTCGTACTCCAATCTTCAGCTTTGTTGGAATCATCTTCGTCACGCGGCTGTGCACTTATTTTAGAGGTGGATCATGTACTCGAAAAAAGCGAACACAATACCTTATCACCGCTGCATCTTCCAGAATATCAATTATATTTATTGCCTGTTTCGATAGACGCGCATCCGCAACATCTTCAATGTTCATCATCTACTTAAAAACTTATAAATATATATATAGTTATAGAGAACTATGACGACTCTCACAGGAAAATGCGCGAGACCTTCAAGAACTATGACGACCCACGCAGGAAAGTGCGCTATTGTATCTGCTAGACCACGCCCATGGGCATGGATTCTACAACTCAGAATAGTTTCTAAGAGTTCCAGATCTCGAGTGGCATGGCACGAATGGCACGAATGGGAGGCACCCCATCCATGGCTTCGACTGGTCCCGCCATTCGTTCCATTCGTGGACCACCTAGACCTTCAAAAGCGAGGCGCCCTTCAGGCGCCCTGCTGTTGCGCTACCAGTCTTGATGTAGCGCCAGGCTACATCTACGATAACGCTCCGCACTCACCCGCGTCCACCCGCCGTATGGTCAGCACCTAGCCGGAGACCCTCACGCACGGGGCGCCCTTCAGGCGCCCCACTTTCGTGGACACCGGTTCCTGTTTAGGCGACCGCCGCCGATTGCGCCGGACAGCTACCTTCAGCTCCACCCTCGCGGCACGCCTGGCCATGAGCGGAGCGCTTGGCACGCTACCGTTGCGGGCCCAAGGCCAGACACGAAGATATTTCCCCTACCCTGCCCGGCAGCACGGCCAGGACCCGCAAGGGCGGGATGGCCTTGGGCCGCTTCACTTATGCCCGCACCGCTTGCGCTTACCCCACAGGCCCCCCCTCTTCCTTCACTGTGGTCCGGGCCTGTTCCCTCACGAGCCGGCCCGCCTATGGGCAATGGGTAGATTCCATGCGGGACGAGCGCCGGCGGACCTGGAACGCCAACAAGCGATCCCTGTTGAGCTTTTCCATTCGTGCTATAATTAAACGATAACAATATACGGCATATTGTCTTAACAATAATTGTCCCGCTTCCCGGTGTATCACTACTTACAGGCTGGCGTTTTACTGCAGTTGCGGCACCCGCTTCCTGCGTTGCTGGAAACGACGTAGGAAAGAAAGCAGTTGCTGGCGCTGGCGCGTATCCTCCGTGTGTCGGTGTGTCCTCGACTGATCCGGTTCGACTGATCGACGTGCTCGGACTCGCTGTTGAAGACGGGACAAAAGAAGATGAGTCCGCCGGACTCTGATGCTTAGAGCTACAGCTAGTTCTTGTACGCATCGAAGACCGTATTACTTTTCCATGTTCATCAGGTTCGCGTTCGTTCTCAACAGATAATAAATCTGCTGTCAACATCATCATCATGTTTAGTAAGTGATGTCTAATCAAGAAATTCCAAGTACCGCAGATGAAACTCAGATGAACACTTTCTTCGTTCCGTCGAGACAAAGACAATCTATTTTTTTCGAGAAGTTACAGCCTTAATCTGTGGAGCAAAGGTGGGCGTGAAGTTTGGCTCCCAGGGCGCTGCTCCTCCTGCAGCAGGAAATGGAGGTGCAAGGTAGCTCGTGTCAGGCTTGGGTTTCTGAGTCGCAAAAAGTGGACCCAATTCCTCTTCCAAAGACTTTTCACGAAAAACGTCGTGAAGCTGAGCGTTGTAGGTAGGACCCAGATCGATCAAGTCTAACCCACCAGGGTGTTCTGCTGCACCGGAGGCGTCAGGTTGTTGGGGAGCACTGCGAACCCGCTGAAGGCGCCGCACTCGGAAAAACGCCTCTGCTCCTGGAACTGTGTAATTCGTCGCCAACGCGACAACAAGAATCATGGAGCGGAGGCGTTGCAAGACGAACATCCTTCCAGAACAGGAGCAAGAGGAAGTAGAGCTGGACGGCGTCATAATCTGTTGTCGATTTTGACGAGATACAGGAATGGATGCGATCAGATTTTTGATCTGAGGTCTAATGGTCGTGCTCTCAAAGAACGACTTTTGTCTACAGTTGTCCACGATGAACCTCTTGTTCAAAAATGTTCTGCTCTGGAAAGATTACCATTATTGTAGATGAACTAATATAATGGACTCAGAGGAGCGCGTATCGGAATAGAACTCAAGATGCATGTACTTCGCCGACGAACACAAAATTATATCCACTACACGATCTCAGGTTAGAAGTCGTGTGTCAGCTCTAACTTTGACTTCCTTCTTCATGATCTACCGAATACTAAATATTGACAAAAGCGAACGATCATGTCTTTAAAATTAAAAGCTGTCTTCAGTCTTCAGAATCATTATCTACCATATGTTCGTGAAATTAGTAGGAAGAGAATTGAAACTTTACGAACTCCACCGTATCCCTTTTTCTTTTGTCGGTTTTTCTCATCAGTATTTTGCGTTCTTACTAACAAGTCGCGCACGAAGTCGAATCTTCTATGCAACATACATCTACTCTTCACCGGTGACGTCGACGCCCAACCTCCACATCTACATGTTTTTTAGATGGCTATGCTGGGTCACAACAAATATAGCTTCATCAAGCTGCGACGTTAGTCCGTGTTCACATGAGTTCTGCACCGTCGGGGACAACAAGTAGAATCGCAGTGATCGAGCGTGGCTAAGACGACGTCTCCCCCGTCGCAATCGTGGAATTCGCACAGTAAGAACTCGGATTTGAAGCCAGCAATCTTCTTCGAGTCGACATTCAAGACTCCCAGTAGTACCCGCTTGTTCAGCAGGAAAGACTCGGCCGAATAGTGGTGGACGATCTGGGCACTCGTTTATTGCCAACAATTTCGCGCAAAATACAGCTTCGCTTCTACATCGTCGAGTACTTTATTCAATGTTGGAGGTTTTTTCTTTGTCGATCCATTACGACTATGTGCTATATTTTCATCCTCCACGACAGGTCCTTCGGTTTCTAATGATCCTTCTCTTGTCGGTTAATGGTCATAAAGGTAAAGTACAACAAGGAGGTGATACACATACTTAAGTACATGATCAATGTATTTTCCTGCTCGCTGCATGTACCTGCCCAAGATTTTGCTCGTTTTGTTTGTAATGCAGCTCAACACCCGTCGCGTCCTCCCACATCAACTTTGACAAAAAGGCCTCCGATAGTATTTTTCGCTCTTGAGTTTCTGGAAATTTTGATCACGCGCCTTCATCGAGGAGAATGTCAGCCGCTTCTTGAATATCTGAGACTGATGTCGTTTCTTTCACTGTGTAAAATATTGGTGAATTCGTCTTCATGTTCATCATCCGCAGCTGGTTCACCAACTAAAACATCTGAAAAGGTACACGCTGATTAGTTTTGGTTCACGTTCATCCCGATCACCTTCCTACTTAGCGACTAGCAAAGATCCTTATCCTAGCAAAAACATTATTATAACATTTTAGATTTCGAATTTGACACCCGTTAGCCGTTCACTTTCTTCCCATAGTTGTTTTGCGGTGTCCGGGGAACAAGAAGATGACGAGAAAACTGTACAAACTAACATACTTAGTGTGAACGACAAGAAAAAGAAGATAAGTAGAAGAACCTCACGACGAAACTTCACTGCAGTAGTTCTTCGTCCGCTTGGCCACACACTTGCGTACATAAGTACCTGCTTAGTTTTCCAAAAACCCCATGATCGCCATACTTCTTACTCCCAACAAAATCTCCACCTTCCATCTGAAGTTTTTCGCGCATGATTTCTTCCGTCTGGACTGCCTGATCAGGCACACTCGGCGCGGTCTTACTACATACCACAAGGCCGCCTTGTCTCTGTCGCTCACCGGCTTGTCTTGGAATCTTACTTCGTTGGTTTGAGCCAACTGCGTGGAGGTCCTGCTTGTTTTAGCAGTGGAATCCTGATCGTTATAACCGTGCGGGTCCCTAATGATGCCGATGATGATGCTAGTCCGTCGGGTCGGATTGGACCTACGACTTCCCTGAATCTCTTACGAGTTCTACGAATTTCTCTGATGAATGTTGAAGTTGTGAGGGTTTAGGGTTCGTGGGTGTCCCTAATAACGCGAAGCTTTATTGATCATTACCAACAATGAAGTTCATCTTCTAAATGAGACATACAAGTTACTATACTCAATCTTCTCAAGGTCTTCTTTCATCTAGCATGATCAAATTCTCATAATAAGATAAGCCTAGGACTTTTCAAGACCAGTATTTCGAAGGAGTTAGAATGTAGAGAGGACTTCAGTCAAGTCTCTGAGGCAGCAGGCGGCTGGCGTTAGCTTCGTGGTGGTGTTGTTGTTGATGTTGTTGTTGTAGTACCTCCTAAGGGTGATCAAATTCTCATAAAAGTTATAAGTCCCGGGTCCAGGATTATCCTCTGTCTTAGTAAATTTCCCAAGACGTGGTGCTCCGCTTCGAAAATCCGCGCTTCATCCTGCTAGTACTTGTTTGTCTGACTGCAGCGCAGCGGGTGCGTTGTATGCACCTTCAGAGTCGGGTTGATTTGTTCAATTAAATGGTTCACATGGCAGCTCGACGACATAGATGAATCATGACGCGTCCGCATAGTCCGTCGTACAACAAGCACTAAATACAAATCCTACTCCTCGAACTTAGCTAGTAAATCAATAAATGTGAATTCGATGAGGAATACTCTCACCCGAAAAATCTACCAGGTCCCGGCGATGTTGAGCGTGGCGCCATTCCCTCTGACCGATCTTGCATGGACAGGAAAGGAGCCCCCGTCCCAGGACCATTGCCCATTTGTGTAGTGACGTCATAACTCCCAGGCCCAGTCCTAACATTCGTCTTGGCTCCAGGGTCTTGAAGACGTTCCGCTCGTGTAAGCGTGCGCGCCATTTTAGCGCGGTCTTTTCAGTGGGGTGGAAGCTGTGCTGTCGGCACTATCGGTTAGACAAGTAGTTTGGGAAGAATTTCTTCCTCAATCATCCTAGCGGCTTGCACATGACATTCGAGCTTAACCCTGATGAAACAAGAACAAACATCTCCAGGTTTGTACTTTACAAATATCATATTTATAGCGATCGCTTTTCCCTGGGTAGGCGAGTTCCGTGGAACCACAGATTACACTTGTCCTTGTGATTATCTCTCTCCTCGACGAGATGTCTTCTCAATCTCATCCTGCTCATCTTATAATCTCGCTTCAGAAGCCTTGCTCTTAATACAGACTCGTCAATTTCTGCATTGTTATTTATTCTGTCTACTTACTCACTCCAGTCCCCACGGTGCTGCGACTGCTTCTGCTACTTGTTTCAGATGATCTAGAAGCCACATATCACAGAATTCACCGACTGGTAAGTATTGTGCTTCTGTTTTCAAGTTCGCACTCGAGAAGTCATGACATTATCTTTATTACTAGTACTTACTTCATTTCTATATCTATTTACTTCCGACATTTTTTTGCCTGAGTGCAGTAGTTCACTTTTTCATCATATCCTTATGGGTCATTTATCTTTCTCTGTGTTCTTCTCTCATCTACATCAGAGGCGAGATGGAACGCAGCGTCGTGAAAAACGAACACATACTGCACATGGTGCGTCTTCGTGCGTAATTTGATGAGATGAAAATCGCATGTATTCTTCGATAGTTTCCACTTCAAGATCTTCGCGTTCTTGCGTCAGGGTCAGCTCCATCGTCTACAGATCTATCAATCAATAGAGCTCCTCTGCAATCTTCATGTTGAGACACAAGTGTTCATTTGCGAACAACTCCGAATGCCAATCTGATAAAAAAATCTGAGTCGAGCTTCCAGTTCCCTATGTATTAGCATGTTAAGCGTGACATAAGTGCCAGAACGGTTATAAGCGAGACTGAGTGGCGTTTTAGTGGAGTGACGAAGTGACGCGAGATGAGATATTTTTCATGCATAGTGAAGTACACCCTTTATGTATTAGAAGATTTACAGGGGAGCCGGCGGGAGGGGCACCAGAGACGCAGCTCAGCTTAATACTGGCGTGTTCTCAATGACAAACCCTCGAAGCAAGCTGCAAGATTTTGGTCACGTGTTGTTCCTGGGAGAAACCAGCGCCTGAGAGATCTGGTTGTAGATGATCCCGGTTGCCAAAATTCACCCTGGTGTCGCCGTCCCCTTTGTGGTCTTTCTTCAACTTGATCCTGATGAGCTGTAGTTCTAGACGGCCTTGCCGCAGAAAGGCGTCGACGACGCAGCATACCCCTCACCTGTCTCACCCCTTCAACTTCTTCAGCCTCTTGCGGTGGCCGTAGTCCTAGTCATGAAGATTGTTAGAAAGATAATATTAACTTTGTCACGCTAATGATTTTGTAGGCTTTGTAGAGATCGTTTTCAGCAACCAACGAACAAACACACTGAACATCGCCAAGTCTCTGTGCCGCTCCTTGATCTTGCTCGTTTTTTCTACGACTACATCACTTTATATCAACCCACGCTGTCTAATATGTGAACTAAGAGGCTCCCACTACAGTACGGATTCTTGACATACGTGTTGCTACGACGCCAAGCATATAACGTCGCATCAACTGCCAAGCCCTTTATTGGTTCTAGGTTCTGGCACCACTTTCATATTTCTATTTATATATAACTTATAACAGAACATATAATAGGTTCTGTCGGCCTGTAGCGACGAAACCCAGAGCATCCGCCTAGCAACGAAGCGGGATCTTATATATAAACGATGCAAATTGAGAGACGAGGAGATTAGACCCTTTTCGACACACACTGACTTCATTTTTTCTTTTTGCAGGCCGTTACGGACTCGTAGTCCACTGTTTTTTTTTTGTGCGCTGCAACTGCATGCGCGTTTTCGCCTAATTTTTTTCAAGTCAGAGCATATCCGTTACTTTTACGAACGAACAGCTACAGCCGCCTTTTTTGTCTAACCTCACGCCCTCTGTAGTAGTACGTGACATCATGTACTGAGTTTCTAACATACGTATCTATACGTTTATTCTAGTAATGAAACTCTATGGCGTGGCACCCTTGGCGAGGGAAGACCACACTGACCTACTCAATGACACCACCTTAGCATTAATGGGAGTGATAAAATGAAGAGAACAACTTTCTAGCACTTTCTCATACATTGTTTATACCGGTCTCGCAAATAAGTCAGCCGCAGCCTCGGAGAGTTAGCACCGTTACCGAATGGCAACAGGCAGCGACGCCTCTTTGACCGCTAACGGATGACACACCTTTTGCAACGCCTCGTTTGGAATGCCATCATTATTTTTACAACTATCATCTTTTTCTGCATCATTATTGTGACCAACTCTACCTTAGGCATAGCCTCGACCTGCTACTGTCAGATAACTACACCGCGCACAACCAGTACCAAAGAGACAAGAAAACTACATCATATTGCTCCGAAATGGACACATGTGAAGCGCTCGCGTACAGCAGAGACTTGGACTTCCAATCGCGAACAGCTTCTACTAAAATATAATCGAACCTGACTCACAAGAATACTCAAAAAAGGAAATATAATAGAGCAGTTTATAAGGGTTCCAGGTCTGGAATGGCATGGATCGAATGGCACGAATGGCACGGATGGCGGGGGCGCAATCCGTGACCGCGATCGACCTCGCCATTCGTCCCATTCGTGGACCAAATAGACCCTCGAGAGCGGGGCGCCCTTTGGGCGCCCTGCGTTCCGACGCGTTGCTCTCCCCACTGGGTTGCCACTTCCTGCGCGATGCTCTACGCCGACCGCCAAGAACCCCGCGGGCGCGGGGCGCCCTTCGGGCGCCAAGCCCTGCACTCAGCCAAACGCACACCCCTCACACAGTTCCAGTAGGTGCCAAGGCTGCCCCCCCCGCTACGGGCGGGGCGCCATGCTTCGGCGCCACCTCTTCCCTTCTTCGTCGTCACGATATAGCTTCTCCCATGGGCGGAATCACTTGCATACGACCGACATACTCGGCAAGCGAATGAGACCAGGGGCGCCAGCTGGCGGAACCCTGTCAACCTGTGCCATTCGTGCCATTCGTGACACATTTGGGGTCTGTTGGGGTGTGCCATTCATGCCAGTCGTGCCATTCGTCCCATGCGCCATTCGTGCTATAAACTGTCCTAATATAAATATTTAAATTGCTGAGAAACTACATGCTTTTGCTTTTCTTCTTCCCGCCATATGTAAGTACATTAGAGACCACCATATGTACTTAAGTACATTAGAGACAAATCCACTGCATATGCATTGACAAATCGAGTTTTTATCTTCCAATCAATTTCAATGCGTAGTGTATGTCGATGCTCTTAGCGGTTGTTAAACTAACCATCGACTCGTTAAACTTTGGCGTGCCAGTTTCCCTTGGCGAGAGCGAGCGGATTGCGCAACGAATCGATTGCACAACTGACTCGAATAAAATTCGTCGTCGTATACTAGTCGTGACAGTGTCGCGTCTATTCATTATCCTCTATGTCTAGGTGCAATCGGTGAAAACAGCACTGCCTTCAGTCAAATTCTATTTCTCATTTTCATATCAACACTTGTAAAAATAGACAACCTCCTTCAAAAGATATCTTATGGCATAAGCATTCCTCCAATTTGTCCCCACGGCAACTCAGCCAGGTTGATCGCGCCGCGAGGGCCTTCCAACATTCGCCTGACTGGGCGGAGCCTGGATATCTGTCTCATTAGTTCAGGCAAGGACTCCCGGAATTGGCGGATCTGCTGAACTGTCGGAGAGAATCCTGGCATACATGATTCCATTCCGCGTTAGAGATCGAGGATACACCTCCAGGTAAGTCCTACTATCTGTCTCGTTCAGCATTAGCATGAACTTCCACCTTCTACTTTTTCACTGTACCAAATGAATCACAATCAGGAGTGACGACCCTTCTTATCGAAGTTTAGAATCCAAAAACATAAATGTGTTCTACTGTATGGTCCAGAGATTGCAAGACGCAAGCGGTAAAGGTCTCTGGATGGCCCCTGTACCAACTCGCAACGTAAGTAGATCCAGCTTTCGCCACGAACACCAAGAAGGCACTACTCACCAGCTTCTTGTGCTTCTGGTACAACTCCTTCCAGTACCCATTTTCACTTTCACGGCCGGGACGAAGAGGACCGCATTGTGGCCCGATCCCAATTACGATAGCTTCTATTTCACAGGTCTGATTTTCCTGAAACATCCGCTTTCGCCATACCACGGGCCCTTTTCCTGTGCTGGAAGTTGGTTGATGTAATCTTCTCCCTTTCATTTTGGTGTTGCTTGAATGGGACGACGATGCTGATCGATCGCCGCTGAACTCCTCGTTGTGTTCAAACCGCCAAATGTGAGTTGCATTTTCTCCAAATTTTGGAGGCAGCGGGAAGACGCATGGAATCCCAACGACAGCAAGGCTAGGCACTTCAGCTCCGCTGTGTTGTTGAAGACCTTCGCACACTCCAGGAACAAGGGCATGCTTACAACGCGAGGCCTCCCCTTCATCAACCCCAACTTCAAAAGAAGCGCAGAAGAAAGCCCACTGCGTTAGCGAACACGCTCTTTCGGCAAAAGATTTCGAAACAGCACTCGGACGCTCTTGAAAGGTGCGCGGGATGCCCCGGCCACCAGCATGGTCCCGCCCTCCTACTGCGTCGGAACTTGCGCCCGCATTTCCTGACTCTAGCAGATCGAGCAAGCTTGGTAGGTTCTTCAAGTTGTTCCACAGGAGTACTACTGATATGACGACTAAAGTTTGCAGGTCGCATTGCCAAGCGCGGTGCCTCCCTAATTCGATTCTTCTCTCGTGTGCACGCTCCACTCTAAATTCTTCGCGCAGACAGCGCATATCCTCCTCTATTTTTTTGCGTTCAAGGCGTTCCCTCTCTATTTCTCTTCGCAGCTCTACTTCTGTATCCTTCAGTGTCAGCTGCTCTACTTCCTTCGCTAGTGCGTCGTCAGTCTCATCCGTGTCCTGTTCAGAAGGAACCGATGAAGCCGAGGCGTCCACTGCAGCAGCTTCCACATCAGAAGAGGTTGGGCGGTGTCTGAACCTGGTGCCGCCGCGGGTCGGAGGAGAACACGAGGATCCTCCCGAAAGAAGCGATCCTCTTTTTTTCGACGAGAAAGATGAAACGGAAGTGGATGGCGCAGCTACGAGAGTGCTGCTACTCGCCGAGGTGCTGGGAGTCGCATCCTGATAATTGTCCGGAGTATCGAGTCTCAACAGTAGCCCCTTGCTCGTGACGGCGTCGGCTTCCACCTCAGGAGCGTTTTCCGCTTTCTCCGACGAATTCTCTTTCATGTCTTCTGCCGCAGGTGTGATGTGCGCACCTTCCTCCTCTGGAGATTTATCGCTCGTGGGAGAACCAATGTTGTGCTTGTGGACTACGACACCATCCGAAAATATGCTTGCTCCTCGGCTTCCCACAATCGCGGCGCATACAAATAATGCACTGCGTCCGATATTCTTTGATTTGGCTGGCATCTTGCTGATCTTCTTCCTCATTTTTGTTTATGACTGCTAGTTGTACTTATTTTGTTTCACATAGATTTATGTATGATGGAATTGCTGGCTCGTCTCTGTTGATCAAGCACGACTGCTCATCCGCTAAATGAGGATCGACTTTTTCTGGTCGTGAATCTGTTGTAAATTAATGACTCCAAAATATGCCTGAATATTCCTTAGATAAGGTATCGGTCTGGAAAGGGAATGCTTACCGAATGAGTACTTTCTCCTGTTGAAAGTGTGGATGTGGAAGAAGATACCTGCTGGCATTCCTGATGAATCTAGTACCGCAGGAAACAAAAGCCACCCGATGACTCACTACAGATGAGGAATCACAATACCGCAACCGCATACAAGATGATACAAAATCAATCTGCAGCAAAGGTGAACATGTAAGCGGCGACTACATTATCTTCTTACAGTATTGAGTATAAAAAGAAAGTTCTGGAGTAGCAATAGCAAACCTTTTTAGAACAGAAGCACATGATTAACAGGAGCCACGCGCGGAATAAAAATGCAGCGGCCGGAGGCCTCATGGACCTCTACTTTTTCTGAGCTGCGTGAATTGCGAAATTTGGCGAACGCCTGACAAGGAAGAACGACCCTGAAAAAAAAAACAACGAGACAGCTAGACTTCCAAAATCTAGGGCCATTGATTACCAGATTTTGTTCGTTTTGTTTGTAATGTAGCTCAACACCGGTCGCGTCCTCCCACATCAACTTTGACAAAAAGGACCCCGATAGTATTTCTCGCTCTTGAGTTTCTGGAAATTTTGATCACGCGCCTTCATCGAGGAGAATGTCAGCCACTTCTTGATTATCCGAGACTGATGTCGTTTCTTTCACTGTGTAAAATATTGGTGGATTGATTCGTCTTCATGTTCATCATCCGCAGCTGGTTCACCACCTGAAAAATCTGAAAAGGTACACGCTGATTAGTTTTGGTTCACGTTCATCCCGATCACCTTCCTACTTAGCGACTAGCAAAGATTGATCCTAGTAGCAAAAACATTGACATTTTAGATTTCGAATTTGACACCCGTTAGCCGTTCACTTTCTTTCCATAGTTGTTTTGCAGTGTCCGGGTCTTCCGCTCGCCGGCTCACGCTGCCAATGATAGGACTTCCGTAGAAACCGAACCAGCCTGGACGCACATAGGTATCTGAATCGAGGTTGTCGTCGCAACATGCCCGGAAAATATTCGCAGCCAGATTCTCTATTTTCTGACTGAAGAAGCGCGTAAAAAAAGTGTTCACGTACCATGGCACGTCCCGATACAAACCGCTGTCACCATACCCAGGATTCACGCAAATCGCCTTCATTTTTGATGATGTGTCCGTGTTCTTAATTGCTTAGAGTTTTTACACGTCCTATGCGTGATTCAGTCCTCGTCCTCATGGTGACTTGACTACTAGCGTCGCTATCCTTTTAGCGGTTCCAAAGGTTAACTTCAGGAGCAGGGAAATGCATAGAAAACCCCAGATGAAATGAAATATCGTCGTGAGCCCTAATTTTTGCGCTGTTCGACGGCCCAACCGTTTCCGACGCGTCTCGCAAGCTCCTTATGAAACAAGACGTTCGCTAATTTCGCTTGAAAATAGGCCTCACCAAAGTGATATCGCCGGTTTCTCCAGTTTAAATCCCCCACCTGCACCCCAAAAATTAGTACAGGCTGTTCCGAGCCACGACTTCATTGGAGGTGTCGCGTCCATATCATGATAATAAACGACGACCACGACGTGCTCCCGCTTCTATAGAGTTTTCATCCCTATACATACACATAGACTTTTCTCTCATAGATACGTATTGAACCAGAAGCAGAACCTCTACCTCCATCAATACGAAAATAGATGTAGATGTTTCGAAAAATACATACTAATTTCCAAATCTTCTTAAGAAAAGTGAGAAAGTGTGCGCGACACTTGCCACTGTCACGACTCGGCACGTGTCGGCGAGACAATCTGCGGCATAGAGCCGCGCAGTGAGCGCGAAATGCCCAAGATGGCAGACACCGATGGTCTGCCTAAATTATAAGGCTAGATTCTCACTATTCGTGGTCGAATGGCTTGTCTCCTTTCCCCTTAGATTTCCCGTGACTCCAGACGGGACGGAATCCACTCAAGATACGTCGTCTCACCGGATAGTGATAAGCTAGCCTTAATCAAAGCCATCTTTCGTACGCTGAATCTCCGCCGGACAGATGCATCCCGCATTCAGGACCAACAAATCAATCTTGTTACCCGCCTGCCTGGTCATTTAACGAAAAAAGGGTGCAAATACAAGATTGGATAATTATCCCCCACAAAACGTAGAAGAGTCGTGTAATGCGGTTGCAGGCAATAAGGTTGGGGATAGGGACTACCGACCCTACCCCTAGAAAATAGTGTTAGTACTTCTTAGAAAATGAGTCTACATTATCATTAAGGACGGGACAACAAGTCTTGTATTTTTTCAGTGAAGAAAATTGGATTTGATCGCGTGAACTCAGAGAGTACTACCTGAACAAAGCTCTCCACCTTGCTCAAGGCTAGCACAACCTCCCGGACGCAATTTTCGACACTGGCCAAATCAGCAAGGTCGAGGCGAAGGAATTCCGCACGAGAATCGCGCGAAAGTTCATCGCAGATAGCACGCCGAGTCTTCAAGTTATAGGGATCACGCCCGCATTCTTGCTCCTGACATCTTCTGCCTCCCCAGGCCCAACGTTGCTTACCAAAGTTGACACCACATCCTCAGCATTACGTAGTAGCTGGGAAGATAATCAAAGGAACTAAATAACTTTAAAGCCAAAGAGTGTAAGGCATTGATTTAACGATCTTGTTGGGAGTGTTGTGAAGCTTTCAGCTGTCTGCTGTTCCTAAGTGTTGTTTTTTTGGAAAAGGCACGAAACCAGAAGAAGAGCTACTTTACATGACAACGCTAATACTATTTGTATTTTCATCTTGATGACAAAGGAACTAAATAAGTACAGCGCCGCATACCTCGGAAAATTGAAGACTCGTGTGCGATTCTTTCAAAAATAATGACATTGTTTTCGTGTCAAGAGTCAAGTATGCTTATGCTCCATTCTCATCTTAATCAACTCGTTCCGACAAGCAAGGTAAACCTTCGCAATTTTCGTGTGCTTCAACAGGTCTTTCGCTAGATTGAGCCCAAATCCTTGGCTCGCACCAGTCACGAGAGCGATTCGCCCGCTTTGGTCACCTGCATCCTCGTACCCAACCCAAAAGTTAGAAATCGTACTACTCAACATCATCTATATAATTAGACTCTAAGTTCATCTTCTTGCATTGGTTTCATTTTCACTTTCCTGAGTTGTTTGAGTTTATCTTCTTCTTGTTCGGTGAATTTAGATTTCTTCTAACTCACTGTGGGAAATCATGAATGTGGAAAAGAATACTGCTGTGGAAATCTATGTGAAATCCTTGCTAGCTGCGACCCTTAAAAGAAAAGCCATTGGCCTTGTTGGAAGCTCCAGCTGCAGCCGTCATCTTGATCTTGTGAAGTACTTATACAAATACTAGAGCGATTACCGAATTCGATAAGCGCCTCTCTCCTGTTCATGCTCTGTTGTTGTTTACTCTACTCTCTCGCTGAAATAATGGAGTATGAGATAGATTGTAGGTTATTTAACTTCTCGCTGAAATAAAGAAGAATTCTCTCGACAACCTGCTAGGTCGCTTATCAGTCCCGATAAGTCTTCTACGTCGACCGATCGTCACAGTAGAAGTCACTTATCAACCGTCGTGGCCTTGTTCGCGCAGCACCCTCTACAACTCCTAGGACGCAACATTTTTTTTGTTTTCTACAAGGCAGAGTCAGGAACTCCTTCTTCTTTTCATTCATTGTCAGTCGTATTAAGAAATTGCTAAAAAATTCACTTGATTCCGGTCGTCGTCGTGCAGTGAGTACTACCCTACAAGAATTGTCGGCGAAGGAGCACGCTGCATGTAACATTATAACGAAAAAAAAACAGTTCGCATACTCGTGTTGCCTTGAAATTATATTCGTTATTTTGCGTCGTGGTAGAATGAATACGAAACGATGCTATGATGTTGCCTGTACACAAGATTGTCCTTGACCTTGTGCTTGTAGCTTTCCCTCATCTTATCGCTGTTCCTGTTGCTGCCGTCTTGGTGACCTTAATCACGTGCTTGTATTTTGTCACGGTTTCAATTTTTTTAGACTGTGGTTGTGGTATCAAAAGATTGCTAAAAATGACATGTCTTCGAGTTTGACTTAGATTGATCTTGATGTTGGTTGATGGTTTGAGTTTGAGTTTAACCCTAGTATGCATTGATTCGAAAATCTTCTGCTTCGTTGGTCTTGCTCAAGATTTCCTCACTTTTTTTTTACGGTGAGGCTCCGCTCTGCTCACGCAAAACGACGATTCAGAGTCGTGTTGTAGCTTTTCTTGAGTAGTCCCTTGCTCAAGTCGTAGCTTCCCGGACCCGGCGCTTCGCCTCCAGGCGCCTTTGGCTTCAGGCTGCGACCGGTCGATTTCTTAGAGGCTCAAGCTTTAGCTTTCGGTAACAGACAACAATTCTGAATCCGCGTAGTTCTGACCGAGCGGAATTCAAGGAGGTCATGAGAGAGTTCATCGAGAATCACTGATCACGAAGATGCATTTGCATGACTCTTCCTGATCGACTTTACAAAAACAAACCACCACCACCACTAATTCCTCCTTTTGCCTTAAATTTCGGTGCTCCCGGTTTCAAGGGCCTTCTTGTCAAATCTGCTATGCTCCCCGCCAAGACTGGTGTGTAATCTGCTGGACTTGGCTTGGCAGGTGGTTGAGGTCCGTGCATCCGGTCCGCACTAGATCCAAAGCTCACGTGCTCTTGTCGAGCTGGGCGATACGGATTCCGATAGGAAGGGTTCAGGGGATTAGAAAAGGAACATGATAGAATAAAGCCAAAGTTTCTGCCGATGATGTATTCGTCACAACGATTGAGGAGGAGGAGGTAATCTCCGAAGGACGACGGGGAAAACAAAAACATAACGATAACAACCTGAGTAACAACTTCTTGTGGAATATTAAGAACACTCGTCTCACCCAAAATCAATATGTTAATGTGGTGATGGTGAAAGGCATAAGATTAGGAACATATGTTCCTGGACCCGGAGCTTGCCCCCTCGCCTCTCGTGCTGCTGCAATCCGTTCTTTTGCCGCTGCTTTTGCCGCAGTCTCAGCAGTTGCACCTAGACCGCCATCCGCTACGGTGCCTGTGATTTTTGCATCGAAGAACATAGCTCGTCATCTATCTACCTACTTTATCCTCTCGTCAACAGTCGTGTAATAAACTTCCTATTTCCATTGAATAACTCAACAAAAATTCGGAGCCGCTGATTTGTCAAGAAGCAATTAAAAAGTCAACCTACATGTTGTCGCTTCCTCCGGTCGCCTACCAGGTCCTTTCATTGGTTTTTTCGGCACCGTTTTTGATGCCTCTTCTTGATCAGTCGTAAAAGATGAACTGCGAAACAACGAATCATCTGTACTGATGCCTGCTTTAGATGCAGAGGCGGATGCGGAGGTCCTGCTGGACATCAGTTTTTTGATCATTCAAGAACGAGGAATTTTTCCAGAGAAGAGAACATCATGAGGACTCCGACAAGAACAATTCATTTCATGTTTGACATGTTCAACAATATGAATATTGATGGTAAAAGGACTAGCTGGTGACGAGTCGAGTTGTATCAACATGAAGATTAGATTTCACCAGACCACAAACTATAGTACCCAGAACCGCCTCCAAGAGGTCCCCCACCGCTCTTCCTTGCTGAACCCGGTTGGTGCTCTTCCTCTAGTTCCGGTAATCCTCCTCCTTCATCCCGCTTTGTCGGAAAGCGCTCTGCTCTGGACCCGAATACGCCCTGGTGGTAGTTTAGGATAGCTGTACTACCAGAAGTTCAGTTGGATGCGTGGTCTTGGTAAATCGAAGACAAGATAAGTCAAAGTAACCTGTTCTTTAAATATGGAGTATACCTATGCGTACTTACTTACTTACATCAACCACAATTACTTGTATTACCAGTCTACCCACTGCGCTCTTTTGCTCGACCCGATTCGTAATGCTGCCATAGAGCTTATCCATATCGTTGTAGTAGTTTCCGGGTGGTGGCGCTCCGTCAGCCCTTCGTTCCCTGTTGCAACTCCTCACGTCTGAAGACGTGAATGCAGACAGAGGAACACCTTCCATTTCCTGCAAAGCCATAATTACGGCGGGTTCGGTTAGAAGATGAAGATTTCTTTTAGTACTTCTTGTTCTTGTTGCTAAACTATGATCATAGGTGGAAGAGCGAGCCTGTGGCTAAGTAGTATGCTCTTAAATTGTGGACCCCCGCAAACTTTTTGTGTTTTGGGGCGCCATATGAAGCACTCGCTCTACCCCCTCCAGACGAGGATGTAGCGCCACCAGCGCCACTGCTTCCAGCCGCAGCACTGCTTGATGAACCACCACCAATGCCTTTCTGCACCTGGTAAGCGCCAGGCCCTGGTGTGAGGGATATGCAATTAACAAGAGGATGGAGAAAGTGCACGACATGGAACTCTATCTTGTTGTTCGACTACATCGGTAAAGTCTCCTTAGGACATCATTGGTCAACATCTTCAACATCCTCATCTTCCATTGGAAATACAACAAACTATCACTTCCACATATACCTGGCACTGCGTTCATCTGCATGGTGGTATCGCCTTTTAATCTTTCTGATTTCGAGCCAAAATCGTATTTTTCTATTGCCCATCTAGGCTTTGGATTTGTATTCGTTTCGTGGTAGCTGATTGGATGGGTTGTTTCAGATTGAGAAGAGCGTTTGCGTTCCTAATGTTTAATATAAACATCAAATGTTAATATATCATTTATTGATTTTATTTCATCTCATCTATTTGTAAGTATATTCTTTCATAAGTCTTAATACAACTGAAACTGATAGTGGTCGCTGTATACCCAACTTCTCGTTGTTCTTGACTCCATGAAATCTTCAACAGAAGCAGACTATTAACAAGTTAGTTGTACCTTCCCGGTCCCGGTCCTGCGTTACTCGCTTCTTTTTCTGCTCGTTGATAAGACAATAGCGTCTTGCTCTTAAACTGAAAACTCTCTGGTTCTGCACCAGGAGCGTTACCGTCTCGGAGAACATTGTAGTTGCCCGGTCCTGGAGTAATTAGCTTCGAGCTTCCTAGTGGCAGCCCTCTTGTCACTTTCGAGGTGTGGAAATCAACACCGCTCGTTGGAGGTCGTTTGTGGTCGTGCTCGAGTGATTAGACGAAAAGCTATAAGAGGTAAAGCTGAAGGCCGTATATTTCCATCAGAACAAGAAGATGATCAGAAGACTGTACAAACTAACATACTTAGTGTGAACGACAAGAAGATAAGAAGAACCTCACGACGAAACTTCACTGCCGTAGTTCTTCGTCCGCTTGCCCACACACTTGCCTACAAAAGTAGCTGCTTAGTTATCCAAAAACCCCATGATCGCCATAATTCTTACTCCCAACAAGGTCTCCTTCCATCTGAAGTTTTTCACGCATGATTTCTTCCCTCTGGACTGCCTGATCAGGCACACTCGGTGCGGTCTTACTGCATACCACAAGGCCGCCTTGCCTCTGTCGCTCACCGGCTTGTCTTGGAATCTTACTTCGTTGGTTTGAGCCAACTGCGTGGAGGTCCTGCTTGTTTTAGCAGTGGAATCCTTATCGTTCTAACCGTGCGGGTCCCTAATGATGCCGATGATGATGCTAGTCCGTCGGGTCGGATTGGACCTACGACTTCCCTGAATCTCTTACGAGTTCTACGAATTTCTCTGATGAATGTTGAAGTTGTGAGGGTTTAGGGTTCGTGGGTGTCCCTAATAACGCGAAGCTTTATTGATCATTACCAACAATGAAGTTCATCTTCTAAATGAGACATACAAGTTACTATACTCAATCTTCTCAAGGTCTTCTTTCATCTAGCATGATCAAATTCTCATAATAAGATAAGCCTAGGACTTTTCAAGACCAGTATTTCGAAGGAGTTAGAATGTAGAGAGGACTTCAGTCAAGTCTCTGAGGCAGCAGGCGGCTGGCGTTAGCTTCGTGGTGGTGTTGTTGTTGATGTTGTTGTTGTAGTACCTCCTAAGGGTGATCAAATTCTCATAAAAGTTATAAGTCCCGGGTCCAGGATTATCCTCTGTCTTAGTAAATTTCCCAAGACGTGGTGCTCCGCTTCGAAAATCCGCGCTTCATCCTGCTAGTACTTGTTTGTCTGACTGCAGCGCAGCGGGTGCGTTGTATGCACCTTCAGAGTCGGGTTGATTTGTTCAATTAAATGGTTCACATGGCAGCTCGACGACATAGATGAATCATGACGCGTCCGCATAGTCCGTCGTACAACGAGCACTAAATACAACTCCTACTCCTCGAACTTAGCTAGTAAATCAATAAATGTGAATTCGATGAGGAATACTCTCACCCGAAAAATCTACCAGGTCCCGGCGATGTTGAGCGTGGCGCCATTCCCTCTGACCGATCTTGCATGGACAGGAAAGGAGCCCCCGTCCCAGGACCATTGCCCATTTGTGTAGTGACGTCATAACTCCCAGGCCCAGTCCTAACATTCGTCTTGGCTCCAGGGTCTTGAAGACGTTCCGCTCGTGTAAGCGTGCGCGCCATTTTAGCGCGGTCTTTTCAGTGGGGTGGAAGCTGTGCTGTCGGAACTATCGGTTAGACAAGTAGTTTGGGAAGAGTTTCTTCCTGAATCATCCTAGCGTCTTGCACATGACAGTCGAGCTTAACCCTGATGAAACAACAAGAACAATTATCTCCAGGTTTATACTTTCCAAATATCATATTGATAGCGATCGCTTTTCGTTGGGTAGGCGGGTTCGGTGGAACCACAGATTACACTTGTCCTTATGATTATCTCTCTCCTCGACGAGATGTCTTCTCAATCTCATCCTGCTCATCTTATAATCTCGCTTCAGAAGCCTTGCTCTTAATACAGACTCGTCAATTTCTGCATTGTTAATTATAATGTCTACTTAATCACTCCAGTCCCCACGATGCTGCGACTGCTTCTGCTACTTGTTTCAGATGATCTAGAAGCCACATATCACAGAATTCACCGACTGGTAAGTATTGTGCTTCTGTTTTCAAGTTCGCACTCGAGAAGTCATGACATTATCTTTATTACTAGTACTTACTTCATTTCTATATCTATTTACTTCCGACATTTTTTTGCCTGAGTGCAGTAGTTCACTTTTTCATTATATCCTTATGGATTATCGATCTTTCTCTGTGTTCTTCTCTCATCTACATCAGAGGCGGGATGCAACGCAGCGTCGTGGAAAACGAACAGGTACTGCACTTGGTGCGTCTTCGTGCGTAATTTGATGAGATGAAAATCGCATGTATTCTTCGATAGTTTCCACTTCAAGATCTTCGCGTTCTTGCGTCAGGGTCAGCTCCATCGTCTACAGATCAATCAATAGCGCTCCTCTGCAATCATGAGACACAAGTGTTCATTTGCGAACAACTCCGAATGCCACTCTGATAAAAAAATCTGAGTCGAGCTTCCAGTTCCCTATGTATTAGCATGTTAAGCGTGACATAAGTGCCAGAACGGTTATATGCGAGACTGAGTGGCGTTTTAGGAGAGTGACGAAGTGACGCGAGATGAGATTTTTTTCATACATGATGAAGTACACTCTTTATGTATTAGATTTACAGGGGAGCCAGCGGGAGGGGCACCAGAGACGCAGCTCAGCTTAGTACTAGCGTGTTCTCAATGACAAACCCTCGAAACAAGCTGCAAGATTTTGGTCACGTGTTGTTCCTCGGAGAAATAGCCAGGGCCTGAGAGATCTGGTTGTAGATAATCCCGGTTACCAAAATTCACCCTGTCGTCGTCCCCTTTGTGGTCTTTCTTCAACTTGACCCTGATGAGCTGTAGTTCTACACGGCCTTACTGCAGAAAGGCGTTAACGACGCAGCAGACCCCTCACCTGTCTCACCCCTTCAACTTCTTCAGCCTCTTGCGGTGGCCGTAGTCCTAGTCATTGTCATGATTGTTAGAAAGATATTGACTTTGTCACGCTAATGAATTTGTAGAGTTTGTAGAGATCGTTTTCAGCAACGAACAAACACATTGAACATCGCCAGGTCTCTGTGCCGCTTCTTGATCTTGCTCCTTTTTTCTACGACTACATCACCTTATCTCAACACACGCTTTCTAATATGTGCACTAAGAGGCTCCCACTACAGTACGGATTCTTGACATACGTGTTGGTACGACACCAAGCATCTGACGTCGCATCAACTGCCAACCCCTTTATTGGTTCTAGCTTCTGGAACTTTCACATTTGTTCTATTTCTAACTTATAAATTGTGGTGGAGCCGACGGCGACCTAACTAGAAAAAAGACAGACCAGAGGATTTTTAACTTCTAAACATATAGTTGCTGTCGGCCTGTGGCGACGAAACCCAGCGCATACGCCTAGCAACGAAGCCGGATCTTATAAACGATGCACGTCGAGAGAGGAGATTAGGCCCTTTTCGACATACACTGACTTCATTTTTTTTTTTTTGCAGGCCGTTACGGAGTCGTAGTCCACTGTTTATTTTTTTGTGCGCTGCATGCGCGTTTTCGCCTTAAGTTTTTTCAAGTCAGAGCATATCCATTATTTTACGGACGAACAGCTACAGCCGCCTTTTTTGTCTCACCTCGCGCCCTCTGTAGTACGTGACATCATGTACTAATTTTCTAACATATTACGTATCTACGCGTTCATTCTAGTAAAACGCTATCATGGCGCGGCACCCTTGGCGAGGGAAGACCGCATTGAGATTGACCTACTCAATGACACCACCTTAGCATTCATGGGAAGGATAAAATGAAGAGAACAACTTTCTAGCACTTTCCCATTGTTTATACCGGTCTCGCAAATAAGTCAGCCGCAGCCTCGGAGAGTTAGCACCGTTACCGAATGGCAACATGCGCCGACGCCTCTTTGACCGCTAACGGATGACACACCTATAGCAACGCCTCGTTTGGAATGCCATCATCTTTTTTACAACTATTATCTTTTTCTGCATCATTATTGTGACCAACTCTACCTTAGGCTTAGCCTCGACCTGCTACTGTCAGATAACTACACCGCGCACAACCGGCACCAAAGAGACAAGAAAACTACATCATATTGTTCCGAAATGGACACATGCGAAACGCTCGTGTACAGCAGAGATTTGGACTTGCAATCGCGAACAGCTTCTACTAAAATCAATATCGAACCTGACTCACAAGAATAAGTACTCAAAAAAGGAAATATTTAAATTGTATTGCTGAGAAACTACTTACATGCTTTTGCTTTTCTCCTTCCCAGCATATGCTCATTAGAGACAAATCCACTGCATCGATAAATCGAGTTTCTATCCTCCAATCAATTTCAATGCGTAGCGTATTGAAATTAGCGGTTGTTAAACTAACCATCGACTCGTTAAACTTTCGCGTGCCAGTTTCCCTTGGCGAGACCGAGAGCGAGCGGATTGCGCAACGAATCGATTGCACAACTGACTTGATATAAATTCGTCGTCGTATCCTACTCGTGACAGTGTCGCGTCAATTCATTGTCTATGGTTAGGTGCGATCGGTGAGAACAGCAGCAGCACTGCCCTCATTCAACTTCAATATCAATGTCTCATCTTCAACATATCAACACTTGTAATAGACAACCCTTTTCAGCGAACATTTTCTAGCATCAGGTTTGCCAATTCTCGAATTTGTTCAAACCGCAACTCAGTCACGCCAGGGTCTTGCAACGTTTCCCTTACCCATCTCTGTATTTGAGGCAAGTAGACCTGCCGGAATTCGCGCATCTGCCAGCCTGTCAGACGAGGCCATCCTTCCGGAAGAAGACATCCCAGCCCGCGTTAGAGATGAGCCCAGTCGAGGATGCACCTCCCGGTAGTGCATATTATCTCTTTTGTTCAGCAAGAACTTCCACCTTCTACATTTAAGTATTCACTGTTGTGCCAAATGAAGAATCACTAAAATGTTGAGGAGTATTACTGTATCGACCCTTCTGATCGAAGTTTACGTTTACGTTTAGAATCCAAAAACATAAATGTCTGCCGCTTGATTGTCCAGCGCGTTCACGACGCAATCGCGAAAGGTCTCTGGATTGCCCTGGTACCGATTCTTTAAGTAACGAAATCCCGCATCCTTCACGAATTTTTTAAACTGTCTGCCCACCAGGTCCTTGTGGTTCTCGTAGAAGGTATTCCAGAGCCGTGCCCAGTTGTACCCATCTTGATCTTCACTTTCATCACGATCGGGAAGACGGCACTGTGGCCCGATCGCAATTACGATAGCTTCTATTTCACAGGTCTGATTTTCCTGAAACATCCGCTTTCGCCATACCACGGGCCCTTTTCCTGTGCTGGAAGTTGGTTGATGTAATCTTCTCCCTTTCATTTTGGTGTTGCTTGAATGGGACGACGATGCTGATCGATCGCCGCTGAACTCCTCGTTGTGTTCAAACCGCCAAATGTGAGTTGCATTTTCTCCAAATTTTGGAGGCAGCGGGAAGACGCATGGAATCCCAACGACAGCAAGGCCAGGCACTTCAGCTCCGCTGTGTTGTTGAAGACCTTCGCACACTCCAGGAACGAGGGCATGCTTACAACGCGAGGCCTGCCCTTCATCAACCCCAACTTCAAAAGAAGCGCAGAGGAAAGGCCACTGGGTTAGCTTACACGCTTCTTTGGCGCAAGTTTTCGCAATAGCACTCGGATCTTGAAAGGTGCGCAGGATACCCCAGCCACCAGCATGGTACTGCTCTCCTACCGTGTCAGAAGTTGCACCCGCATTTCCTGACGCTCGCGGTGCGACGGGTGGACGTGGAGGCACTTGGTTCGACACGAGTTGTACCATTAGTAATATAATTGATATGCACAAGCCCGCTAGTCCATTCTTGTGCACCCTGTCGATTTGTTCGCCTTGCGAGCGAAGCGTCTCCTCGAGTTTTTTTCGTTTACGGCATTCCCTGTCGAATTTTCTTTGCAGCTCTCCCTCTTGTGTTGGATTCGGGTTCAGGGTCAGCTGCGTCATACGCTTCTCTAGTGCACGCGCATCCTTGTCCTGTTGTTCAGAAGGAATCGATGAAGCCATGGCGCCCACTGCAGCAGCTTCCACATCGGAAGAGGTTGGACTGTGTCTGAACCTGGTGTCGTCGCGGGTCGGATGAGAGCACGATGATCCTCCCGAAAGAAGCGGCCCCTTGCTCTTGACGGCGTCGGCTTCCACCTCAACGCGTTTCGTTTTCTCCGACGAATTCTCTTTGATGTCTTCCTCCTCTGAAGATTCAATTTCAATATCGCTCGTGGGAGAACTACAACCAATGTGGTCCTCGTGGACTACAACACCAGCCGGGAATATGCTTGCTCCTCGGCTTCCCACAATCGCGGCGCATACAAATAATGCACTGCGTCCGATATTTTTTGATTTGGCTGGCATCTTGCTGATCTTCTTCCTCATGTTTTTTTATGACTGCTAGTTGTGCTTATTTTGTTTCACATAAATTTATGTACTTATGATGGAATGGCTGGCTCGTCTCTGTTGATCAAGCACGACTGCTCATCTGCTAAATGAGGATCAACTTTTTCTGCTCGTGAATCTGTTGTAAGTTAATGACTCCAAAATATGCCTGAACAATATTCCTTAGATAAGGTGTCGGTCTGGGAAGCAAATACTTACCGAATGAGTACTTTCTCCTGTTAAAAGTGTGGATGTGGAAGAAGATACGTGCTGTCATTCCTGATGAATCTAGTACCAAGAAATGTACTTATGTAAAGACGGTTGTGCCAAACTACCCGATAACCCACTACAGAGGAATCACAATACCGCAACCGCATGCAAGATGATACAAAATTAATCTGCGAAGGTGAACATGTAAGCGGCGACTACATTATCTTGCAGTATTGAGTAAAAAAAGAAAGTTCTGGAGTAGCAATAGCAAAACTTTTTTGAACAGAAGCGCATGATTACTAGGAGCCACGCGCGGAATAGAAATGCAGCGGCCGGAGGCCTCATGGGCCTCTACTTTTTCTGAGCTACGTGAAATGCGAAATTTGGCGAACGCCTGACAAGGAAGAACGACCCTGAAAAAAATGGATAAGAAAAAACAACGAAACAGCTAGGCTTCCAAAATCTAAAGCCATTACCATTTGCTCCCAAGAAGTCTCTTCACGTGTAAACTTTTGCCTTGGTTTTGATTTTTACACTTTGAATTTTGCTTGCGATTTTGTATTTTGAACTTTGCAGTCCCTAGGTCAATGCTTTTGAGTTTTGGGCTTGAGTTTTGGTTTTGAGTCTTGATTTTGAGTTTTGAGTTCTAATTCAAAATTTTGATTTTAAATTTTGATTCATTTTAGATTTTGATTTTAAGTTTTGATCATAGTCTTGACTTTGAACGTTGAAGACCAAGACACGCGGAGACAACACCGCAAAGGCGCGCAGCGTCTTGTTATAGTCGTGAACTTTGAAACAAAGTCTGGGCGTGAATTTTGAAAGTTAGGGCGTGAACGTTGAAAGTTGGGGCATGAATTCTGACAGTTAGGAAATGAATTGGGAAAGTTAAGCCATGAACTTGGAAAGTTAGGACGTGAATCGTGAAAGTTAAGCCATGAACTTGGAAAGTTAAGGCGCGAATTTTGGAACATGTTAGGACATGGCTTCTGAAAGTTAGGCCACGAATTTCACAAGTTAAGACATGGACTGTGTACTTATGTAAGAAAAGTTGCTCCAGAAGCCACACGATCCTGAACTTGATGAGCACGCTGAACAGGTTAGCACCGAGACCAACACAAACACAAGCCTCTCTTCTGACACGCTCATAAAGCGCACAAGGCTGAGGACGCACAAGAGGCGCAGAAGAGAAGACGAGGCCCATAACTTAGCACGTAATTGCAAGAAGAAACAGACACTGTGAAAGTTAAAGCGTCCGTCCCCGTACTTTGGCGCTTCCCTCTCCTCTCCCCCCGGCCCTGAGCTCGCGCAGTTGCGGCATGAGTCTCGAAGCTTAAGGCGTCCGCTTTGGCGCCGCGCTCTCCGCTCATCCAAGCCCGTGGCCCGCGCTGCCCGATGGTGCGAGGCGGCGGCCTCATGCAGTCGCGCCGCTTGCTTGCGTGCAGTCGCGTCACCTGCTTGCAGCGCCGCGCCCCACGGGCAACGCCCTACACCTCTGAAGCTGAGCCCCCGCATACCGGCGTGGCCTCTGAATGCCTCAGACCCCAGCGAACAAATTCCCAAGGCGTCGCATGTGCCTGCCGATGCCTTCCACTTGAAGATAGGCCCGCAGGCGCTTCCACGTTGACAGGCGTCTACATATCCTCCGGAGGCGATGAACGGCGCGCACTGATAAGGCTCGCCACCCCGCGGCAACGCGCCCGATGACGCCCCGCCAAGGCTGACACTTTTCGGGCTTTTTCTCAATTGTGGCGCCTGTTCAAGCATGTCCGCGCGTGTGTTTTGTTTAGCGGGTGTTTCTGGTTCCCATCGTATCCTTCCCCTGGGGAACCACACCGGGGGGCTAGTCAATATTATGATACAGAAGCAATCGCATCCACTTCGTTCTCATGCCTACCTTTCATGTGTTCCTCTTGAGGTACAACATCCCCCTTAATTAGTACACGATCTGAGTACTCCTACTCACGTCTTTCTCTGACGGCACGATCCCAGCTAGTCAGGCCTTTTGCCTTCCGTCCTTTGAGTTGAACGATCGAGCTCGAGACAACAATCAGGGCAACTAAACGAGTCAAAAACGCGAATGGCCTCTTTTTCTTTGCGCCTACCTCATCTACATCACAGACTTCTGGTTCTGGCCGTGAAGCAATAAACGAACCTCTAGTGAATATGAAAAAACCCAAGTCATTCGTATAGTTTAACTTCAAACATTTTCTAGCTGCTGGACGATGCCCTGCCGCTGCCCCTGCATCTGATAAGCATACTTTCAGGGCAACTTATCAAACACGTCGTATCATTGCGATTGCAACTTCTTCTGTACTTTCATCATCTCTATTTACATAGTATACGCCTTGCCCCAATTATGCCTCGCCGTCCGTGGTGCGTTGTAGTCGTGACTGCTCTGAAAACACGCTGTTCTAACTATCTGTCTAATTATTCATCGACTGCTCTTGCAGCAAGAGAAACGCTTCCAGCAGCAGACTTGTATATCTGAGGAAAATCAACAGCAAAACAAAGCATACCGTACGCTACGTAGCAACGTTGGCTTTCATAATCTTAGAAAAGAGATGACTCAGAGCGGCAGCGACGAGGCGGGCAGCGACGAGGACGGGCCATCCATTCATTGAAGTTGAACAAGGTCGACCCACCTCGACCCTAACAGTAACATAATTTATCGCGCTCTATCGTTATGACGTCTGATAATAGCTGGCGCTAGGTTGGCCGAACGGCCGAACTTACAATGGCATCTGAGGTATGTACGAGCACCCTGACGCCTCTAACCGGACGGCGTACGGCATGCCCAGCTGCAAAGCAAGACCTTGACGCTTTTAACGATTTAAGCGACGAAAGGCCTAGTAAGACAATAATAAGTATGGCGCGCTAGATTCAAGTCAAAATCTCGCTTACCTCCACACGCCACACGCACAAGGAATCTGCGCAGACAGATAGATTAACTTTGAAGGCCTTACGGCTGGTCTGGCGGTGGTGAGGACAACGAGCCCCCGGCGCATCGTCTGGCTTGACTATGACTTGATCCAGCGAAGAGCCTTTACTCTTCTAAGTACGACGCTCCCCAACCTGGATCATATGTCTGATTCTTCATCCTCAAACTCTTTCGAATTTCAATACGTGCCTAGTACTTCTAGCCGCCCACTTCGAATCGGCATCGGGTGAATTTGATGAAAAGTAAACTTGTTTGATGTTCAAAACAGTGATGATGTCTCAAATTGTTATAATTTTTTATTCTGCGAGTTTGCTTATTCGATTAAGTACTATGAAGTGTCTCCCTCTAAATAAAGACATCGACAAACTTTTTCTTTTACCATCTCTATTGCTACTACAGCAACCTTAATGTATGATACAACTACATCTCGTCCTAGTATGGAAATTATAATTACGTATTTTTGACAATGCTCCTCGTCAACGAGCAGAATTCTAAGTAATTATACGCACCAGAATGATATTGATAAATATTAAGAGCAATAAAACTTTGCAAACACATCCCGTCGGAAACCTCAACCTCCAACACCCAAACCCAAAACCTCCAACACCCGAACCCAAAACCTCCGACACAAAAACAAACAAACCCCAAACCCATGAAACCATGAAACCATGAAACCATGAAACCATGAAACCATGAAACCATGAAACCATGAAACCATGAAACCATGAAACCATGAAACCATGAAACC